ATAGGCTTTATATATTATCTAGAGGGAATTCGACATGGCTCCCTATGGATTTGATTATATTTTCCATGCTCAACAGACCCCTCAGGGTTGCTTGTTTGTTCTACAAAAAGGAAAAAAGGTAGTTTTCCATGGCCGATACAAATCACGTTGAAAGGGTATGGTGTTATCCAGAGACAATGATACACTTGTATATACTAGGAATGAAAGAAGATCGAGGAGCATCAAGAGAAGAAGAGGCAGGCTTCCAGGAACAAGAGAAAGACAAAAGGGACCAATGAAATAGAGTAGAGCAGAAAAGCAAGTCCAGGAGGACCAAAGCAGGAATCCCACGTAGCACGTCACATACAGTGCTCCTTGAAGATCACGGAGGCGTGTGTCCTAACCAAAATGGCCTGGGCATATCCATCTGGCAATTACTTTGGTGGATCTGTCACAATACCTTCGTATTCGCGAGAGCGAATATACTCCAGCGTGCGTTGGAAGTGGCGCTTCGGGCCGTCAAGACTAGCATTTGGCTCATCTTCGCTGGTCTGCAGGTTGGAGTGAATGAGTTCGATGAGGCCGTTCAGGTACTTGGTAGTGACGGTCTCGTTCTGCTGGTCGAAATAGTAGACATAGCGGTTGAGGATTTCCACAAAGAGTTCGACGGAGACAGCGGTGTCCATACAGGCATCGGCCACACGGAGGGCGCGCTGGAGGCACTCGAGCACTCGTTTGCCATCGCGGTAGAGCTGCAAGGTTCAAGTCAGCTAAAACATATTAAGTGATGAAAATTGAAGATAAACTTACATCTTTAGGATCATCTTCTCCACGTTGAGGATTCTCAACTACCCACCAAAGGTGACTTGCGAGATACACCGCGCGGCACTGATCGGGCTTCTTGAGGAGTTTGCTTCCGTGCAGCGCAGCCTTGGTAATGAGTGTGTCATAGTTCTCCTTAGAGAATCCACGGCTCCCATGTAGGGCGCCTGAAATAATGCAGACGGCCTGGAACTGGGCGCGTGAGTCGCTGATAGCATCTTCATAGATGGTGAATGCCTGCGCGAAGAACTCGTAGCTGACTTCCTCGAATCCTGTTTGATCGGCAACCTCGCCACACATGACAAACAATCGCAGTGCGAGATCGGCGCAACCTGGGTTTACGCGCTGGTACAAACTGTTGATGCTCTGGTGCATGAATCGGTATAGAGCCGATGACTGTGACTGCCAATTGTCATCGTAATGCTCGCGCGACTTCAGTTTGCGGGCCAATTGGACCGAGGCCGTTATGATTGCAGGGGTAGTATAGCGGATTCGTTCGTTGCCATCGGCCAATGCCTTGCGCGTTGCTTGGAGAAGCTGTCACAGACTGTTAGTTATACGTATAAAATATTTAGCAAGTAATCCTACCTTTAGCTGGGTGTCATTATCCGATGCCCGAATCAAGTGGATGAGTCTCGCAAGCCACCCTTGCTCTTCTACCGTCTCATCTGTTTCTCCTCCCCTCCGTTGGGACTGTGACCCGGGATAGCCAGCAGACTGCTGCATGCCTTCCTTGATCAATACTCTAGCGGCCTGGAGCACACGATCGAGGTTTTCCGTTGTGGATACCAAGATCTTGTTCTTCAAAAGACTGCGAATTACCTCGCCTGCAACAGCCCTCCTTGTGGGGTATGACTGTGAGGTCAGCAGTGGCAGGTAATGTGGCAACGCCAAGGCTGTGAAAATTGAGATGTAAGATTTGAGAGGAGCATTGAGAAGGTGGAGGATGTGTTGTTGGGTTGGTGCTGAATGCAAATCGGCGTGATCGGTGTATTCGGCGGTTTTTTGTGTCGCAAAGTCCAGGACCTGGTCGACGTACTCTAACCGATCTGGATAGGTATTCAATGCCAGATTGACAAGTGATACCAACAGCGCCATGGTATCTTGAATCGGCAATGCACGCGTCTTGATCAAATTGACCACTTGGTCATAGAAGATATCATACAGCTTGATTTCGGCTGGAATACCAGGCTTAGCGTCGTCCCCATTCTCAACCTGCTTTTCTTCCGTTGGCGGTTCAGCAGGCTCGGGGCTTTCTTTGGGTGCTTCTGCTTTGTCGTCCTCGGTACCATTCTCCTTGGAAGTGTCATCGGTGCTGACTTCCTTTGACTCTTCGGCTTTGGTTTCTTTGGCAAGCTCGAGCTTTTGCAATAGCTTGGTGACAGCTTCTTCCTCGTTTTGTTTCCGTGCTTCTGGCTCTACTGCCGAGTCCGTTTCCCTTGCCGCATAAGAAGACAAACGGTCCATAAGACCAATGACGATTTTCTTCAGATCCACATGTGGGTTAAGTCTGGCGATGGCAGATAATAGATGGTCCAGGGTGTGCAGGTGGAACTCATCTGGGAAGACCTTTGTGATAACTGTTGATTAGATTAGCATTGGACCAAGCAAGAGTAGATTCCAAGCAAAAATATAAGCAAAGAGAGCCGTACCTTCCAGGAGATATTCTTGCGCGAGGACATCTCGGCATTGTACAACCTGTTCTAGAAGCGCTTGCAGAATACCTGATTTGTACCCTTCAAGGTCCACCAACTGGCTGAGTCGAACGATGTTGCTACCAACGAGCAGCTCCAGTTCGCGTCGTTCTTGTATGCGTCTATCCCGCTCTCGTGAGGGGCCCTGGTGTTGAAGCCGAACCCAGAGCTTGTTCATTTCCACGAAATTCGTCAAAACAAAGTTGATCGAATCCTGCATGTTACCTTCTGGGCCATCACCGGTTCCCAAGGGCAAGTGATCCCGTGCTTGGCCAGAGAGGTAGTATCGCAAGAATAGGCCACGGATCGGGTGTTGAACGCCTCGGCTCATCTCCATCATATCCTTCATGATCTCCTTGACCGGCGCATCTTCGACGGACATGTAAACCGTACCCACGGTGATCATCAAGTACAAGCGGGGGACGATATTTCCGGCATACTGAACGAGCTCGTATAGGTCGGCAAGGTGGTTAACGGGATGATTCTCCTTTAGGTAGACGGAAAGGTGTCGCAGCGCATCAAAGACGGCCATATACAATTCGTAATACTGCTTGGGGCCGAGACTGGGGGTTCGAAGTTCAGAGACAAGAGTCGATCTATAGAAATAGATTTCAAGCTGTTAGCATAATGCGCGGGTTCCGAGGTCGCTGCCTGGAGGGTTTCATCGGGGAGCTCACCCGCATTTCAGCGCATCCATGAGCTTTCCAGGAGTCTCTAGACATTTGCGCATCAGACTCGACTGCTGCCTCACCACCCCCAATGCCTCCTCGAGGAGGCGGTTCTGGTCCTCGGTGACGGGTGGTGGGCTAGCCATCATGGAACGAGTGAGGGGCGGAAGCTAGGGGGAGGTAGAGCAGGGTGAACACATGCAATGCAAAGACAATGAGCTAGCGAGAAAGCGAATCAATTCATAAAACAATACTTCAAGGTGGAAATAATGGGGGAAGGAAGATCGGAAGGAGGTTGGAGAGGATAAGCTTGGGGGAGTGGCACCTTGTCCCCGAGACGTCACCCTGTGGCCGTACGGCAGCGGATAGCGGCTGCTCATAACATAACACCTCTCTTATATTGAGCTTTCAATCTACAAAGCTTCTAATGTTTTTACTTCTATATTTCTAGAATTTTCAAAAGCTTTCCAGGTGGAAATATTGATCATGTCCTTATTATCCGCCATACGGCAGCAAACTGATGTGTCCCCTAAGGAAGAGCGTAAAGAGCAGAACCACCCACCTCTCCTTCAAAGATTCAATCTTGCTCTATCCCGATCCCAGTCCTCCGCCGCAGTAACCCCCTCTGCTAATTGAGAATTCTCGCCTCCCACCGGGGAATCGCACTCGGGGCACCGACTCGTCTCCCTAGCTGCCCCACAGTCGCCAATGGTAAATGGATGCCCGTTGCGACAGTAGTACCAATGCCCAGTTCCAGTGAACTCTTGAGCCATTGCCGAAATGACTGCCATACGTTCCTCGTTGGTGATAATTGTGTACATTGTGCCCACGCGCAACATCTTCTCGACGCTGTGGACTTCATCTGCCAATCCTCGTGTCTGGCTTGGGTTGGCATCGCAAAGACCTCTAGCCTTCTGAATGGCAGCCTGGCCATGCTGCAAGATAGTGTCCCTCTTCTCTGGTGTCAAGCAATGTGCTCGTTCGAGGGCATAGAGCTGTGCTAGAAAAATATGACCTTCTGCCTGCTGTAGAAGTCGTCGGTGAGTGACTGCTTGCTGGATGAGGGCCTGGCAATCATCTTTGATATTCTGTAGATCAAGCTCGAATCGAGGTGTCACCTCGCTTGGTCGTCCTCGAGAAACGAGACTCAAAAGGTCAACGAGCAAGGCAATGTCCAGACGGATGATGAGGGCGCTGCCCTGTAGGAAACCTTTGGTCTGTAGCACGTTATCGACATGATCAGGGTTGCTTCTTATTTTTCGGCGTTGTCGAGCATTTTCAATCACCCTCCTAACTCTTTCGAATGGTTGCTCCTCGGGCTTCACACGGCGCCGATAGTAATCGACGCGCTTTCGCAGGTCAAGGATTGAATCCCATCGACCTGGATTTGTGCTCTGGATGATCTCTGCCATGTTCTGAACCTGCTGGTTTCGTGGGCCAGATATCTCAATCACTGGTGGCCATGGATACTTTCTTTGACCTTCGGCTGCATGCAATTCACGAACAAGCTGGGGAAGTTCCTGTGCAAGAGGGACATATTCCTGATTGAGTAGGATGATCAACTTTTTCGTTGACTCATCAAGGATAGCTCGGCGAACCAGCCGGCCATATCGTGCAATGTCTCTCAGCGGGCCACGACAGGTGGCACATTTTTTGATGTCTTGGATAGAGAACGGGGCCAATGATACCCAGATAGCGATGGGCTTGCCACTCGCATCGACCTGGTAGTAGCTAGCCATGTCCATTTGCGCATCCATGTTTTCAATTGTCAAGAAATGCCCACATTTGGGGAATACGCATGGGTTTTGGTCCAGGTTGATTTCTTTGTATATTTGACCTAGGATGAAATCGACTTGATGATTTTTGATGTTCTCGTTTCCACAGGTTTGGCAGAAGGAGGATGCAGGACATTTTTCTCCACATACTGACGGGCATTGATGCCCACAATCCAGCTTCTTCTCGCATCGCTTGGAACATGGAACATGGTCACAGGGGGCTGCACATGGCATTGAGCAGACGCTGTGAGGGCACGCTGAAAGACATTTTTCTTCTGCGCAAGGAGTACACGGCTGGTAGCATTTTCGTGGGCACTTTGAATGGCCACATTGCACTTCGCAAGGAGCTTTGCATGGTGGACATGGCCTCTCACCGTGGCAGGGAATGCTGCAGGCATGGGCGCATGTAGAATGACTCCGGTCACACCGTTGCTCGCAATTTCCATGGTTGGCTGGGATGCTCTCAGGTCCTCTGGTGACGCAGCAATAACACATCTTCTTGCACGAGTGTCCACAAGGCAGTGGGATGCGACATGGTGCTAGGCAGCGATAGTCTTTGGATTCGACATCGATGTGGCATGGCAGCGAGACAATATGATTGCAGCCCGGGATCGTCTTATCCACGCGCACCTGACAACGAACTGCTGAGATATCTTGAGCTTGCCAACAAGGAAGGTTTGGCATTTGATGACCGCATGGGAGTATCCTGTGCTGTTGATATACGTTAACCATGCACTTTTCCGGGCAAATGTCCCCGCATCGCTTAGGGCATGAATGATTACAGCCACTAAACGGTCGAGGACAACGCTCTAGGCAAAAGACAGTGTTGTGAAGAAGATTCGAATGACATTTTTGAGCGCAGGCATGTCCACAGCCCAGCCGACTGACACAGCGCTGGTTGCAACCTCCTTCAGGGGAGAACTTTGGGAAATCTTCTGGCATCGACACCACAATCGGTGTATCTGGATGGCGAGGGCATTGCAGCTCCAGGGATTTTCCGATATTCTGGTCTTGCTTCAAAATCTTTACGACTTGAGCCCACATGGGAACATGGATCGAGGTTTCCGAATTGCCGATTATGTACATTCCGTGTTGTGCTCGCGATAACAGAACATTGATTCGATTGGGAGTGCGTAGGAAGCCGCATTGGTTCTTTGTATTGCTTCGGACGAGGGATATCACAACAATCTTAGCCTCTTCGCCTTGGAAATTATCTACGGTGGCCACGCGAAGAGTTTGTGACAAGGCTGCTTTGATCGTGGACTTGTCCTTGGCTTCATAATCCGCATAACCAGCCTGTTTGAGATCTTCTTGATCACGGTCCCCCAATACAATGGCAAAGAGCTCATCAAGCCGTTTCCGTAGTCGGTGGAGTTGTCCCAGATATGGAGTCAACACTGCAATGTCTCCGTGTTTGTATGCACCTTGTTGAATAAGATGGTTGACCAGCGAAACGGTCATATCAATCTCGTGACTGTTCCAGTGGGAGGTCGACATGGCATCGGCGTCAGATCCTCCCTCTCGCTGTCGGTGATCCAACCAGAATAATCTTTTCCGCATTCCCATAATCTCCGGGTACTCCAAAACAGATGGAGCATCCTTCAACTTTGGATACTGGGTTTCACGGATCAGCCGAGCCATAGATGGATGCATTCGCCGCTGTGTTTCCAATGTGCTGAAAGGAGCTCCACAGTCCATGGGGCTTTTATTTGAGCTCACCAGTCTTTCAAACAAGGAGACATCGAGTGAATATTGCACACCACCCCGATTATTCTCGCTAGAAAGATCGTAATTTTGGACCTGAGGGCGAAGCTGTTGCTGATCGCCGATGAGAATTGCATGTTCAACGGAAGGTAAAAACGCCGTAAGGAGATGTGATTCCAGAACCTCACCAGCCTCTTCGCACAACATGAATTTGCATGGAAGTCTTCGGAACAGATCAAGTCTGCGGGCAAGTCCTGCTGTAGTGGCGCCAATGACATCTGCTTGAGCCAGGCAGCGAAGGTGCATCTCATCCTGGACACTATCGTACCCCTGTTTGGCAGCTTTGTGCGATGAAACGATTTGCTTAACTTTTTCGTCCACTTCTGCCCGGTAATCACGACACCAGCGGCTGTAAAGATGTCGTCGTTCTTTTCGGGACATCTCGAAGACATTGATATCCTTGAGTTGATCCACAGGTCGTGGACGGGCACTGTCTTTAGCTGCTGAATCAAGCCAGGAGGTGATCGCGGTCTGAGGACTGTCGGGTTTTACTCCCAAGAAACCATCTGCTTGGACCAGTGAAAATAGCTGATCGTGGTGGTCAGGATTTATCCGCTGGATATAGGACTTGAGACGAGCAATGGGGACTTCCTTTTTCAGGTCAAGGGTGCGAAAGTCCTCCTCGCACAATGAGAGTCTCTCGGCTGTACTCCATCTTTCTTTCTTCTCCATCTTTGTTCTTGCTGTATCTTTCGCAACAGTCTGAAGGTTGAATTTCTCCAACCTCTCCGACTTGGACTGAGATCCAATACGAACAATTTGCGATGTCACATTGTTGTCCAGCAAAGCCTCAAGAAGCTGGTCAAGCGCGTGATTGGTATATGTGACACACAATATGGGTCCCAGTCTTGCTCTAGTCAAATCTTGATTTGCCAGTAAGACTTTAACAAGAGCCACACCAGTGTAGCTCTTGCCGGTACCAGGTGGTCCTTGGATCAAACCAAGCTTTCGCTTCAAACAACTGATCAATGCATGGGCCTGTGCGCCATCCAGTGTTGAATGGTCCTGTACATATTTCACGTTGGATGGCTGGCCAACGCGGACGTAGAAACTAGTATCGTCTTTCATGATGCAGCGGAGATCGAATGCAAAGCCAGGCTCCAAGGCATAAGATGGAGGAGCCATATCGGATAAGTTGAAATTTTCGAAGGCCCACGGAACAAGCAGCTCTGTGAAAGGCAGATTTTGAGCTAACTTAATCGATTGAAGTGCCTGAAGCGCCGGTTCAAATGCCGGAAGAATGACTCCTGGAAACTCCACCAGAGACATAGTGGGCTTTTTGGGACTAAAAAGGTCCAGGACAACTTGAGTGTTGGTGTATCGAGAATCAACCAGCATCAATTTAACAGAGCCTCTCGTAGAGCTCTTCCACAACGTTCTTGGCTCTGCCTTGTTCTGTGGAGGGACATGATCATTTGGGAGGATGTTATCCCTTCTGCGCCTAGGGGACATATCATGATGTGTCACGGTGCAAAACAATACCACATCTTTTTGAATGATCAGGCACACAAGCGCGCCTGGCTGTAGACGTTTTGAGCTCTGCCACCACATCTCCCGGGCCATGGGTGTGTAGTTTGTTACTGCAGCAGGCTGAGGGAAGTCGACTTCGAAGTAAAGACCGGAAAGCCAATTGAATTCGAGATTGACCACGATTGATTTGGGATATACGAACTTGCGCAACTGTGATTGCTGGGCACGCGGGCTCAGTTCGTGGTGGATTGCATCTCGAAGTTGACCGACAGTATCTTCTCGCAACAATCGAAAGTTTCGATCTAGCAATCCCTCGAGACCGTCAATGTGCCAATGAAGTGGGTTATTAACGGGCAAGTACTCCGCTCGAACGCTGCAGATTTCTTCGAAGCTAGGCATGATCTTAATCTGGCAGATGTCATCAAAGTCATTGTTGTGTCTGCCCCCGGGGGTCTCATGATTTGTAATGAAAGTGACTTTCGTTTCCTTCTTGGCTTTCTTCTCTGGCGTACCCGCTGGGAGCGATTTTCCAGCCTCCATGCGCTGATGAAGATGATCAAGGTGCAGGCGAGATTGATAAAGTCTACCGCCCATGCCATTCTTGTTATTCATCGAGGTAAAGACAGTTTCGAATCTTTGTGCCACGGCATGCAGGCTGTCCTGGATAGGAGCCGTAGAATTGAGGTCCGCGATGCGAGAGAACGTGTGTAGAGATGCCTCCAATAACATGGCACTGCCTTCGTTGGTGGTGTCGATTTCGAGAACGCCACAGATGAAATTGAGCCATCGCGCTGCTCTGGACCCGTCGATTCCAAACAAGACATTGTAGATTGTACCCACTGCCTGCTCCAGTACGAGCGAGGATACAACCTCGGGATTTGAGACTATCTCTAGAAATGGTAGCACCTGGGTCTTGAAAATTAGGTCTCTTGTTGCGGGATCCATGTCTTCGAAATTCTCCTGGACAAGGTCCAAGACTAGTCGCAAGCCATCTTCACTCGCCAATGTCCGGATAACTTCTTGTCGTGTACTGGCATCAGATTCAATCAGCTGTCTCGCCTTCTGGAAGATAGTCGTTTTCCTCCCAGAGGAGGGACGGGTTACCGTCGTGCGTAGAGGAATGCTGCCTTGCCATGCTCGAATCGCCTTTTCTGGATTTTGCAAGCCATGAGATCGTCGGGCCAGGGGCTCAGGGCGTTGGATCTGGCTGGTTGGTATTGTTGGACTGCGGCTTTGGCCATTGCTCACATGAGCAAATTTGCAGTTTTTCCATTTGCAATTGCCTCTGGCGAAGTCACGGCACATACTTTACAGGTAAAATCGATTAGCGTCTTCCACAAATTGCTTAGGGGGGTTTCAAATCTATTCAGATATCTCTCAAATCGATCGCAATATCTCGCAAAAGTAAGAGAGTTTCAAACATACCTTTGGGACTCCATGGTCTGGTATCACTTCCCGGTCAAATGCTTGGTAGAAACAAGATCTAGAGCTGGGTGATATCAAGAGAAGACGTGATCTGTGAAGGTCAAGCGGTTGAAAGTAATGCAATGTGCTGCTTTTCAATGATGTTTGCTATGGGATATGCAAGCCCTAAAGCATATGAAAGAACATGATTGAAAGCAAGAGTGTGATGGGGAAGGAAAGAAAGATATATCATTTTTCAAAGTTTTCAGGTGCTTATGTATGTATAGTCGCCCATTTATATAATTCTGCTCTGGCATCTTGATATAAACAAGCACGTTTCTTCGTTTCCATCCTTGAGACATATTTGGCACTGTCTCTTTGTTCTTGACTGCCTATGTGATTGAAATGCACTATTGAGCTATAGGGCAAAGCAACATCGAGAAAGTATGCAGTTCACTTTACTTCACCTCCAAGTGACTGGCCCTCTGCTTTCTATGTACCTCTCTAGGTAGTTAGGTGATTTCACATTTGGATTATGAAAGAACACAGGTCGGCCTCGAGTCCTCCAGGCTCAGAGCTACGTGGATTGTTGGCCAATAAAGACAAAAGCCATCTAGGGTGATAAACATCCAAGGAAGTGACTATGACGGCATAATAAAACAAGAGATAAAATGTTTTCAATGACTAACTGCTCCTATTTAATGGAACCCAAACGTATCAATTTCCCAAGTCCCATCGAGGGACCTGAGACGTCAATGATTATATACAAGAGGAACAACCTGGCAAGAGAAAAGGCCAAGATTGATCAAAGGCCATGGTGAAGCACGTGTTTCATGCAATTCGCCATGCTTGTTTCAAGGGCATGGCGAAGCGTAAGCCCCAATAGGCGTGTAGAAGCCGTGACCACCAAACTTCTCTGCCAGAGACCTCCAAGAGCAAACTGGTTAACGAATTTGTTGTTTAACTTTGGACAAATATTGCCCCAATCGCTTTTGGTGAACCAGCCAAGAAACGCCATGGATATCAAAGTACAGAAATATGAATGTCGAGGTGACATTGGCTAGTCACCTACTCTGTCCGGACATGGTAGTCCACATTACGCTGGCGCATCAGCTCCTTGCGCTCCAAATCCTTGGCTGTAATGAGTTAGTGGTGTGTCAAGTCAATCATTGGCTAGGGGTTTGCATACCTTCATCGTAGACCAAGAACTCGTGCAAACCACGGCCAGAAGGCACCATGGGAAGAACGGGCACCTTGCGGTCAGTGATGACCTCCAGGAGGGCAGGGCCATCGTGGTCAATCAGCCACTGCAGCTTCTCCTCAAGTTCGGAGGGCTTGAAGCAGCGGTCGGCAGCGACGCGCATAGCCTTAGCAAGGGGAACGAAGTCGGGGTTCTGCTGGTGAGTGTGGGAGTAACGATCCTCGTAGAAGAGGTTTTGCCTGGAACAAACAAAGTCAGTCAAATATACTGGGAAGATCAGAGAGACGACAGCTTACCATTGAGTAACCATACCCTGCTCCTCATTGTTAATCAGGAGGACCTTGACACCAATGTTGAACTGAGCAGCGGTGGAAAGCTCAGTGAGAGTCATGTTGAAAGAAGCGTCACCATCGATGTCGATGACGAGGCAGTCCGGACGGGCCACCTTGGCTCCAAGAGCGGCGGGGAGACCGAAGCCCATAGTACCGAGACCACCGGAGGTGATCATGGTACGAGGGTGACGCCAGCGGAAGTGCTGAGCAGTCCACATCTGGTGCTGTCCGACACCAGTGGTGATGATGGTCTTGTCCTTGCGGTCAGCGCAGAGTTCGCTAAGCTTCTCGATAACAGCCTGGGGCTTAATAGGACCGTCGGCGGTCTGGCGGTCGTAGAGCGACAGGGGGAAGCGCTGCTTCCAGTCATTTATCTGCTCGAACCATTCGGGGCGCTCAGGAACAGCCGTAACATGCGGCAAAAGAAGACGGAGATTGTCGGCACAGTCGCCCTCCACGGCCTCGTTGGCCTGGACAACCTTGTTGATGTTCTTGGGCATGATCTCGAAGTGCACGATACCACCGCGACCTTCAGTAGCGGCAAGCTTGGCCTGAGGCGCGAACTTGGGGATGCTGAGGGTCACACGGTCATCGAAACGGGCACCAACAGCAATGATCAGATCGGCCTCCTGCATAGCCATGTTGGCGTAAGCGGATCCGTGCATACCAAGCATGTGGAGAGCCTTAGGATCCAACTCGTCAAATCCACCAAGACCCTGCAGGGTGGTGGTGACCGGGATGCATGCCTTATCGGCAAACTCCTTAAGGATCTTGGGGCCATCGGGGCGAGCAAGGAGACCCTGTCCGACGTAGAGGATGGGCTTCTTGGCAATGTTGACGAGGTTAGCAACGCGGGTGATGGTGCTCTCGAGCTTCTTCTGGCTCATTTCGCGGGCTACAACGGTAGCTGCGCTAGGGAGCGAGGGGATAGTGCTGTGCATGGGAATGGGGTTGCGGAGAATGCCAGCAGTGACATCCTTGGGCAGGTCAACCAGGACGGGACCGGGACGACCACTCGTGGCGATCTCGAAAGCTTCCTGGATGCGGCGAGGGAGCTCACCAACGGACTTGACCATCACGTTCCACTTGGTGCAGGCACGGGAGATACCAATGACATCGGCTTCCTGGAAGGAATCGGTTCCAATTGCGCTGGTAGGAACTTGACCACAGAAAACAACCATCGGGGTACCATCAGACATAGCATCCTGCATGGGAGTGATAACGTTGGTGGCACCAGGGCCAGAAGTAACGAGAACGACACCGGGCTTGCCAGAGGCACGGGCATAACCCTCCGCCATGTGACCAGCACCCTGTTCATGCTTGGGAAGGAGGAATTCGAAGTGCTTGGAGTTGTAAATAGCATCGAAAACGGGGAGAATGGCACCACCGGGGTAACCGACTACATATCAAGTATTAGAATTGGCCAATTGTGCAATATCAAGCATGAAATACTCACAGATGTGCTTCACACCCTGGCGCAGCATCATCTCGTGGAAGATCTCGCCACCACTCATTCCAACCATTCTTTATACCAGCTAGTCAGTTTCGGTGTGTCCAAGCCGTCATCGGGGTAACATACGAGTCATCGAGCTCGGGGAGCTGGCGGTGTTGCAAGGGAGAGATCTCATTGCGATGGGGCTCCTGGTTGAATGCCGGACTGGGCACAGGTCTGGACTCCCTGGCGATTAAACAAATCAGAATCAGACTGCAATTGCATTGTGATCATAGAGAGAACAAAACTAACGGAGTTGAAGCTGTAGCTGTGCTCTGGGTGCGCTTCTGGACAGAGGAGCGGTGGGGCGAAGCGGCCGAAGCCACAAACGACGTCGAAAAAGGTCGACGTCCAGCAAGCTGTCTCTGGATGTGGAATGCGCGCAGGGCGCTTTTTGAAGGTCTTAAAGGCATCATTATGAATGAGGCCAAGCCAGAAAGTCTGAGGGGAGAGTAGTTTAAAAAATGAAAAAGAGTGCCAATTGACCGCTGAAGATTGCCGTGACTCTTTCTCTGGGGACTCCGAAAAAACGCCTTAAACCCAAAATGTCCGACCGCTCTGAGTCAAGAAATTCGGGGCTTTTAATTGGCTCGGCGCCCCTCTGCGCCCTCCGACCTCGGCCGTAACTGGTCACATGATTTATTGTTTTCGTCCTCGGGTGTGTCCTCGGCAACAATATCCACGTCCTATCTACTGCCACCTCCCCATAATTCCATCTACGTGGAACTATTAAGTCTGTCAACTGCCAGGGACTTGAAAATGACGATAAATCAAACATTTCTCTACAGAAGACTCACCGGAGTCCTTATTTTAGATTCCCCGACATTTTTCAGTCAAAGTGGGTCCAGATCGGCCCGGGCATCTGGGTCCAAGCTTCTGTACTCCGTTGCCCAGGTGTAAGGACCTCGGGATGTTATATCTGTGCCTTTTGATATTATTGATCCCTTACTTCATGATCTGTGAATATATATTAGTCTTTTGCTCGGCTAGACTTCTGATCTTTTTTCAAAATCTACTCGATCTAATTATATATAACACTTGCTGTCTGGGGGATATAGAGCATTTTATGTACTTCTAGGAACACTGAAATAACCCAAGCCAAAGGAGTAGAATGCCAGTATGAAGATAGATGATTCCGAAATAACGAAATAACGAAAGGAGGAAAAGATGGCTGATTTGTATGCTAGATGGGGGAACAGACGACAAAATAAATAGCGCTTCGTATAGATCGGCCAGGAAACCTTAGTAAATATTAACCCTACATTTATCCCCACATCCGTGTCGATCTCACTGTGCTAACTAGGTTGAGACTTATATATATCGTATCTCTTAGCCTAGGCCGATGTAGCCTAGTTGACCCCCGCATCTATGGCCCCGATACTATTGGCAGTCATACACTAATTGGGCCACCATGTATATCAGGTCTTATGTATATACTGCGAGCTGTCTTCGAATACCCCAGCCGATATTGTACAGATATCTCACTCACATCTGGGGTTAATCTTCGATTAAGCCTTTGAGACTGGTCAGTCGGGATATACCTATAAAAATGCCGTCATCATGGGCCCGTTGATCTATCTAGTACTGAAAATCTGTATTTTATTCTCAGGTTGCTCTAGGGGCTTGATAAGAGTCTCTTTCCTGCTTCTGGGACTATCAATAATGGCAATTACGAGCCTTAATTGGAAGATGACGAGTCCTAAACACTATGTGTGAGCACATATGGATTTTGGATAGAAGGAAACAAATGTAAATCAGTTAGTAGATCTTCCTAAGGGTTTCTATACGACTTGGATATTCACCGATCAGATGATTAGGCCCCTTGGAAACGGCGAGGAATCTGTAGAAACCTTGCCTTGCCTACTTGCCATATACGGTCCCGCACTGGCCTCTACAAGTGCCTGGGGAGATAGATAAATAAGGTTAGTATTTTCAAAGTTCTTCTTGTATACTTATCGCTAACCAAGTTCAGCGGGAATGTATGATGACGGGTCAATGTTGGTCGAATCATTGACCTCAAGTCTACGGGTGAACTGGACAATGCTTTTGTCTTGTTTATGTCATACAATGGCATTCAAGCCCTGTAGGCACGATCTTGGATATCATTGGTTAGCCCGACTCAATGGTAAAGTACGTATTTCAAGAGGCCATAACCAGTATGTCTTATTCCCATGTCCCATCTGACATTAAACCACGTGCTAGTTGGGCATAGCCGCTCTATCGCAAGGTTTCAAGGGCTAGGTGGCAGAAGGCGGGACCCGCTGCCTTGGTGTCGTACGCTAGTTTCCTTTCCAGCCCAATCCAGAGGCCATTACGACTCTTCACTGCCATTATAGACACGGGGTTGCGGTCTCGCACTGGGCTTCGGGGGGACTATAAAAAGACCAATAAAATCTGACAATTGTAGTATGCCCCGCAACTACATGTTGAAAGAAGCCACAAAGTAGACTCTCTCCTTTCAAAAATCGGCTATGTACGTGCATTGCTCATATTTTCCCGGTCCCTATCGGGCCGTACATGGCAAAATGCCGATTTTTGAGGCCCACTATCGGCATCCCTTCATCCGATACGCTACATAGGTTTAAAACCCCACAATCCACATACAAAGTACATATATCCTAGAGACCAAGGACCTTTTGTGGCTATAAAGGAATGACTGTAGGACTTGATTATAGACAATGAAGAAGTCACAAGAGAGATTCCATACTGAAAAGAGTACGTAGTATGCGAATGTAGGGCATGTCGTCATAGCCCAATCCGGTAGAAAACTCCCGCGAGCAGACAAGTAGTCAACCAATCAGAAAGCGTAGAATTATTGATGAATGGAGACTCTGGAGAGATTCCCATAGTACCTCCCCGCAAAGCTGCTACGCGCAGTCACCGGAATTCCCAGAAAGGCAAAAATGGCCCTGTGACCCCACGTGCCCATTTAGCCGGGGAATCGGGGCATATGGGGTCTTGGAACAGAAATTACACTACTCTTAATTACTTTACTTCTTTCACTTCTTCTGTTCCTCTTTTCTTCCCCTTCCCATTCTCAATTCCTCTTCCCCTTCCAACCCTCTTCTACCCCGCCATGTCACCCCAACAAGAGCTCGTGCCGCAAACAGAATCCATCGCGGAAGTCTACGCAACAGACGATGCTTCGCTGAACTCCGTAGCACCAGAGCACCAGCAGCGATGGACCAATCTTATTACCCAGTTCAACAAGACCTATAACCACCGCCCAGACTTCGTGGCGCGCAGTCCCGGCCGCGTGAACATCATCGGCGAGCACATCGACTACTCACTATACGATGTCCTGCCGACCGCCGTCAGCGTCGACGTGATCATGGCCGTCAAGGTGGTCCCCGCCAGCGCGGAAGGTACTACCATCACGATCGCCAACGTCTCACCAGAGAAGTTCCCCACACGCGAGTTCAGCGTGCCCCACGATAAAGACGTCGAGATCGACCCCAAGAAGCACGAGTGGGTGAACTATTTCCGCGCCGGCCTGTCAGGCGCCATCAAATTCCTGCGCAAGGAAAGACCCGATGGCTCGCTCGTTCCTGCCAGCATGCAGATCCTGGTCGACGGAAATGTGCCACCCGGTGGTGGTATCTCCAGCAGTGCTGCCTTTGTATGCGCCAGTGCCCTGGCCGTTATGAAGGCCAACGACCACGACGTCTCCAAGCAGGACCTGTTGGATCTGGCTGTTGTCTCGGAGCGGGCTGTCGGTGTTTATTCCGGCGGGTGAGTTATCCCCCCTCTCAACAGACGACAGAAACCAGCAAAAAGCTAACACTGCGTAACAATAGCATGGATCAAGCAGCATCCATCTTCTCCAAGCGCGGCTACTTGCTCTATACTCAATTCTTCCCTAAATTCCAAGCCCACCACGTCCCAATCCCCACATCCTCCGACGAAATCACCTTCCTGATGGCCCAGAGCTTCGTAACCTCCAACAAAGCCGACACCGCCCCGCGCCACTACAACCTGCGCGTAGCAGAGTGCACCCTCGCCGCCGTGATCCTCGCCAAGCATCACGGTGTGACCCTACCCAAGGACAACAGCTCTCTCGGCTACAGCTTGCGCAACTTCCACAACGAACTAATGACCAAAGAAGGCCGTCTCCAAGATCCACTAGAGTACCAAATTGACTCCGTGATTCTAGCGACAATGGACCTGTTCACACAAGAAGAGGGATACACACGCGAGGAGATGGCACAGCTACTGGGCATCAGCGTAGCCGAGCTCGAGTCAACCTTCCTCTCCGCATTCCCCGTGCAAGCAGAGCGATTCCAGCTCCGTCAGCGCGCGCTGCACTGCTTCAAGGAGGCACGCCGTGTGCTCGATTTCAAGGCTTGTCTGAGCAAGGCTACGCAGCTGGACGAGAAGCGCATTCACTATCTCGGTCAGTTGCTTAATGAGTCACAGGAATCGTGTGCGAAGGCATATGACTGCAGTGCGCCGGAGGTTGATGAGATCTGTGCTATTGCGCGTCGTGCGGGTACTTGGGGTAGTCGGTTGACTGGTGCTGGGTGGGGTGGTTGCACTGTTCACATGTTGCCTCAGGGTAAGGTGGAGGCTGTTACTGCTGCGCTGAGGGATGAATACTATCTTAAGAAGTTCCCGGATATTAGTAAGGAGAAGTTGGAGCAGGCTATGGTTATTAGCAAGCCGTCCAATGGGTCGTTCTTGTATGTTCCCTTCCCCTTCTTGATCGCTGGTATACAGATGATGGCTAACATTTTTGGTTTAGGGTTACGGGGGCTGCTATTGACCAGATCCCTCTTTGAATTATTCCATAGCGAATTGAAGTAAACCCACTCGAATGGGGCTATCAATTATATTGAAATCCAAAATATAAAATTACATTCATCTTTCATGGATCATTGAATAAGTAGTATACATTGAAGCTGTACAAAAATGCGCCGGATTGGAGAAAGATACCCCAGATCTCCTGGGCATCGGCGTCTTTCAAGAAATGTGCCTTCCAAGGAATCGCGTAGATTCTTGGGATTGTGGAACGAGGCCTCTCAACTCGAGTTCACTTGCACTGGCAGTGCCTTTGGTGGCTCCGTCTGGGTAGGAGGCTCTGGCCTCCAGGTCTATAGACAGAATCTTCAACCATAGAACTTGCTTGGATTCCTCCGAAGCCAGGCAATAAATTACCCGCATAACACACGGGTATGTTATAGTTCAGTATCCCAAGTTCAAGTCTTCTTGGGTGCGGCCTTGGCGAAGAAAGAGCTCATTTTCTGCATCCCGCTCGTGTTGACCTTCTTCAGTTTCTTGACTGCTTGAGATTCCGCAGCCTTGGACTTTTTCTCCTCTTCCTCCTTGCGGCGCTTCTTCTCCTCCCGTGTATCCTCTTCCTCGTCATCAAGGGCTCGTTTGCGACTGAAGTTAGACATGTCGCGTGACGCAAGAGCTTGGGCGCGAAGTTCCGCAATCTCCTTGAGACAGTCTTTCAGCGGCTTGAAATCGATCGGGCTTTCTGCAGAAGCGATGATCTCATCGAGTCTCGAGGCCACTGTGGCGGACAGATATGACTCCTTCATGAAGGACAGTGCGGTGGAAATTCGGAGGAGCCGAGTAATGTGATCCGGAATTGTTGACTCTTCGCTTGGCTGTGACACGGGTGTCGATTCCCCTGCAGGTGTCGTAACAGATGGGGTCGCAGTTGTACCCACAGTCGAGGGTGAATCTTGCCTCTCCTCCGATTTCGAGGCCGATTCCTGGCTCTCGTTTGATGGCTCCTGGCTAGTTGCAACATCTTCTCGTTTGACCGCCATCAAGGGCGTGGCTAGCGCCTGACGAACAAAACGTTCTTCCAGACTCGCAGGAAGACCCCGATCCGCTATGCGTTCTGCCTTTTTGATCAACTCTTGAACAAGCTTCGTCTCATTGAACCGGAACATCTTCTCATCACCAGCCTCGACCACTTCACTGATAGCTTCCGCCCGTGCTAGGAGGGAGCTCCGAAATTCATCATCGTAAAGGACTTGGCGCAGATGTTTGGGCATATCGTCTTGGGAATCGATTATATCGTCCAATGGCTGGAAAAGAGAACGGCCTGACTTCGAAGAAGGTGCTAACAGTGGAACCATGAAAAACATCGCATCGATCGGGGTTGCCACTAGGAACTCTGCTTTCTTCGTGACTGAGCCCTGGGAGGGCTCGGTGTCCTTGTTCTCATCTTCCGATGGGCTCGAGGTTTCGCGCGTGCGAGGGGTGAACAGGATACTCCGCGCTAGATGCGCTGGTGGTGCAACAACTGTAAATTCGTATATACCACGATCCGGGCAGAAGAAATAGCGCGTTAGCTCTCCCGACTGGGGATCTGGCAGGGAGACGAGTCGCGCATTGTCGCTGGTCGAGGATGGGAGGATGAATGTTTTGTTCGGTTTCTCTGCGGCAACAAGTGTTTTAGTCTTAGTCTGATCTTCAGACTTCTTCGCTTTTGAGACTGGGGCTGATCGAGTCCTCATTGTGGGTGTATGAGAGAGTGAAGATCGGAAAACGGAAGGGGCTAAAATGGCGACGCGCCCAACGCGCCTTCCCGAGCCAGGCCCTGTGCGCGATCCGTCACTTTTCCTGCATTAGCGAAGTTTCAGCCCTTGTTTATTGTATCCCTGTTCTCTGTTGTTGACTACTCAGTATCGCTTCCACACTCTACTTTCTGCATTCTGCATTCTGCATTCTGCACACTTTACATTGCGCAAGGGCACGGGTCGCAAATGATGCTCCATGGTACATTCGCTCTCTGATTACGTCTGAACCCTCTTCATCGCTAGTAAGGTCCCGAGGTCCCCCTAGTCGCTAGGCTAGTTTGTGACTAACTATTCTCCCCCACTAAAGTGGTCGAACCTGCGTGGCCGCCCCAATCGCCCCGCGCGGCTCTCTCTTGAGTTCGCCGGCTGGACGACGAAAGTACCAAGACATGCAACGCACCCGAGAGAATCCGACATCCCCACTGAAGCGCTCAAGTACCACACCCAATCTCCGATCAAAAGCGAGTCAAATTGTGGACGAAGATGATGGGGAAGAGGAGGATGAAGAAACCCTGCAGCTTCAGCTAGCCGAGATCAAAGCGCGCTTGAAATTGAAGAAACTCCAGCAAAAGAACCGCGGAAGGTCTAGTTCCAACCTCGAGGACGAAGATGTGCGACCAAGTTCCGCAATCAGCGCTCTGCGAACAGAAGACCGAGGTGCAACACCAAGAATCGCCAATGGAGCGAGGCAACGAACGAGCAGTGATGGAATCCAGGTTCCAGCATCACCTACCAGGCGAGAACTTGCCGTCCCCGACCCAATATCGCCTCGGAGATATGTCATGGGCATTGATAAGGGCTGGAAGGCCAGTGATGTATCTTTGAGACGACCTCCAAGCTCAAGACCCGACCCTCGACCAAGTAGTCATATGGGATTTCGGGACGGTGCCACACCGCGCTCGAATGACATCTTCGCCTCGCGGCCCCAGACTTCTCCTTCGTCAACCGGAGGGCTCAATCGAATAAAAAGTTTCAGCGAGAGAATGGCGGAAGGCAGAGCGGCGGAGAAGTCTCGGCTGGAGAGAGCAGAAAGGGTCCAGGCTAATCGCAGTTCGGCGTTTCAAGTCGACAAGTCGGAGTTGGAGTCCTTCAAAGCTGCAGCTTCGGATACGAAGCATTCTCCCCCGCCGTCTTCATCACGAGAGCGGCCTGTGGAAAGCTTCAGCCGTGAGGATATTCTTCGATCTATGGGACAATCCCGCCCATCGGGTCTACAACGCAGTAATACAACCCCGAACGTTCGACGAATTGAGGGTGGTGGTCTCAACGAGAGACCATCTCATCTACATAGACGAACTCATACGGCAGAAGAAGAACCAAGTTCCTCCCAGAAACTAGGTCAAACAGATGATGCTTTTGTGAAGCCACCGGATTCATCAAAATTTGAGTCCTACTCATCACTGCATCTATCAAGTCGAGTTCTTCCGCATTCTTTTCTGGGCCGCACACTCGCAGACAAGAAAGTTATGCGCATTCCTGATCTACTCAAAATCGTCAAGGCGCCCGCATTCGAGCTTCCAGAGGACATCGAAGGGGACTTTGTGGTATTCGGTATCGTTGCGTCCAAGTCCGACCCCAGGGACAAGAAGGCTTCGGGGAGCGCGTCGGTTAAAGAACAGGACCCTTATGATGATGGGCTTAATAACACGAACAGATACATGGCCATTACTCTGACGGATCTCAAATGGACTATTGACCTCTTCCTTTTTGACACTGCGTTCCCGCGCTATTACAAAATATCGGAAGGAACTCTCGTCGCAATTCTGAACCCCACAATCATGCCTCCTCCAAAGCACAAGCTGGATACAAACAGATTCAGCCTGTCCCTGTCTTCATCAGATGACAAGGTTCTCGAAATTGGCAAGGCACGGGATATCGGATTCTGCAAGGCTGTGAGAAAAGACGGAAAGACCTGCCAATCCTGGATAGATGGTCGAAAGACCGAGTTCTGTGACTTCCACGTTGATATCCAGATCCGACGCACTCAGGGCCAACGCTCGGGAGTCAATGCTGATACCGGTATGCTTGGTCCTGGTGGTAAATCCGGCTCGCGCACCGGATTGTTTGGGGCAGGAGCGAAGCGAGGAGGTGCTTACAAGCAAGGCATGAAACACGACGGTCCCCAGTATGACATGGGATCCCAATCGCTCTACTATGTAGCGCCCTCCAGAAACCGCGGTGGTGGCCGTTCGTCCTACAACCCCATGGGAGGCTCGGCGGCAAACTTGATTGACGCACATGACGATCCATTCATTGCCTCGGGTATGATGGGTCGTGGTTCGGACAGCAAGGAGGAGCGAATGCGCAGGCGTCTTGCGACCCAACAACGAGAGCGTGACATTACCCAAAAACTAGTTTCCGGTCGTGTTGGTGGCGTGGGCGCCGAGTACCTTCGCACAAGGACCAGCAACGAGAGTCCAAACAAAGAAAAAACACCAGGAGCCCCCTTGCCCAAGAGCCCCACGACAACCCACGGCATGGATATGACCACCTTTGGCAAAGCAAAGAACGTCCGTTTAAGCCCAATGAAGCGTGCCCATGACAAGCCCCACGGCAGCGGGGTCAAGAAGACGCGGTTCATCACTTCACGGGGTATCAGGGAGGCTGGTCGGGAGAGCCTGGGTGCGCCAGCTGAGAACACGCCTAGTCGGAGACAGGTACTCTTGGATGATGACGATGATGATGACTTGGAGTTCATTTGATCAATCCTGTCACCATTTCAAACCTTGAGTCCCCCTAATACCCATAACGCCATAACGAATACAAAGCATGCCCCGGTTGCATTGGGCGGATTTACTTGTTGTTGGACTTCTTGAGTAGAGTTAGATACAAACCCTGTCATGAATCAATGTGATGATTAATGTATTTGTACTTCCATTATACGGCCTATGAGGGTTTTCTCTCCTAGTCAACGTGTACTAGTACTAGTAGCGGACTACTATATATCGGTGTTTAGCCCGGCTACTGCCGAAAGCTTGTTTTGACTACATCAAGTACGATCCTATATACTGACAAGGTTGAGACAACAAAACTACATACTTCCTCGACATAAGCACTTAACACCAGCAAACTACAGGAAAATTGATCCAAATATCTAAATTTTCCATTGAGCAGTCCGCTTTACCATGATTCCTCCCGTGATAACCAAATAACCGCTTCCCGCGATGAATAAACAACTAAAGAACACGCCGATACCTAAAAGGACCAAAAAGAAAGAAACAAAAGCGTAGATAAAAAGACAAGAGAAAACGCCGCTATTCCAGCCGAAGATGTTTTCATGAGGTATCCTAGTATTCGCATTTTCCAAACCCACGCATGCCATTGGAACAAGAAATGCAAAAAAAAAAAAAAAAAAAACCCCAGCGACCTGCGCAATTACAAGACGGTCGTCTTGGGGAGAAAGAAGGGCATTAGGATAAAAATGAAAAACAAAGCATACAAAGGGATGTAATGGGGAGATGGGTGCAAGAAACAAAAGATTGACACACACCCAGTGCCAAGTGCGGTGCAATGCACAAAATGAGAGAAAGGGCAAGATTTAAAAGCGCTGGAATAATGTGAAGTGGAGGTGTGAACGTGTGATGCCCAAGTGAGACCTAAGAATCGGATGTAGATGGCTCGGCGGTCGAAGCCTCTCCAGAGGCTTCTGCGCGCAGGGCTTGTCGAGTGCGTGGGGCAGGGCTACCGCGGGCCTCACGGAGGCGCTTCACACGGTCGGTGCGGGCGTCGACTTCCCGCATCTTCCTGCTGACAGGCGGCCAGTACTTCAAGAGACTGCTGCCACTGCTGGTAGAAAGACCTCGGGACCGAGTCTGGTCATCAGTGGAAGTACCGAAACCAAGGTCCTCCGAGAAAGAAGCGGGCTTGAAAGGTGACACATCGCCCACAGGAGAGCGAGTGAAACGGAGACCAGTACGTCCAACGGGGGCAGAACGAGCGACAGATGAGCTCTCAGATTCAAAGGAGGTAGCTGGATCTGGCAAGATGGGAGGAGTCGGATCCTGGTCTGCATAAGCCGGAGTTGGAGACATTGGCTCGTGATCTTCGTGATCCTCGATATCGGTGACATCCTCCTCCTCGCCAACGGTAGGCTTAACGGCGGCAGGGAATAATAGACGAGGTTTGAGGCCACCACGTCTCAAGGGTGTCACGCTCTTGAGAATATCAGGGTTATCAGCCAACAGGTCGGGGCGGTTAGCGAAAAGACCAAGGTCATCTTCATCCTCGCCCTCATCCTCCATGTCATCAAAGCGCTTGAATATTTTCTTTCCACGGCTAAGATATAAGTTAGAATATGTGAGAATGACGGGTAAGGGGGATTTGACTTACTGGACAAAATAGGCTCCATCATGGGGGCTGGAGGTCGAGCGAGTGGCAGGTCGTCCAACAGCTCTTGCAGGCTTGGAAATGAACGAATCAGTCGAAAGTGGACCGACAACTGGGATGCGATCACGTGAGTCCTCATGAATAGAGATACCCAATTCTTGCTCTGCAGCTTGGATAGTGTACCCTATTAAAGGCTCATCGACGAAGATTGCTGGGGGGTCTGCGGCAGAATGTTTGGGGGTATCCATTTTTCTGCGCTTGGGGGTGGAGGTGGAAGGAAAGAGAGAACGAGAGGTAGAAGATTCAGAACTGATTACTTTCTTTTTTGAAGGGGTTTTCGCTGGGGTAGGTAAAGCCTGTTCTGCAGAGGACCGGGAGGTGTGGTGTGAAGAAGTGCGGGGAAGTGAATGTTCCAAATCAAATGGGGAAATTCGGGAGGCAGCAGTTCTATGAGAGCGTGCAGCCTTTTTGGGAGAGGGTTTGGCGGTGCCAGGTGAAGAGGGCGAAAGGGTTCTTTTAGATGCTCCAGGTTTGGCAGATGCGCTTGGATGACTTGGGGGTGGCGTAGTTTGGACAACCCTTGACGCTCGTTGACCTGCAAGTCTAGCGGAGTAACGTGTAGGGTAAGGTTCATAGTTGTCGTGCTTTGCCCCATGTCGCGGCGCTCTGGGTACACGAAGCTCAGACGGTGATGGCGGTGGTGGTGTTGACGCCATGTTGACTTGAATGCCGATTGAACAACCGCCCGATGGTTTCCGATCTTTTGAATAAAGAAGTAAATAATATACTAGTCACAGTTTATTCCTGGGTTTTTTCTGGATTTCGCGATCTTGATGAAGTATCAAGGAGGAGTGTGGATTCAATCAAGGGCGTAACACGTCCAACTCGTGAGACGTCCGACCAAAACGAGGGAAGCACTCGGAGATATAAAAGTCCAAAAAAGATATTAAACGTAAGTATGCAGGTATCCAATTGTCCGAAGTGACGAGAACAAAAAAGCGATAAGTTGGGGATGAAGGAAGGGCGAAGGTTGTTGTGAAAGGCGATAATCGCCCAGCCACCCGGGTATCCTCACCGCCCGATAATTGCGGTGGCTGAAAACCCCGCGTCAACAATGTTGATTTCCTATTTCGATCTACTCCAATTCCCTTGATAATACCGATCTTGTCAGTCAATTAACATCCAAGCACTTCATACAATCCCAGACTAGACCCATTTGGGTATTCAGTCTATCAAGTTTGCTTGTACATACTTCGGCTCATACTCCGCGCAAATTCAACACCATGGCGTTCCGCACCACAGCTGAAGAAATGGAGAGGCTTCAGCTATCCGACGATGACACAGAGGACATCTGGAACTCCCCATCTAGGAGAGCGACTCACAAAAAGATCAACCCAAGAACCTCCGACGAGAAAACTGCACCGGAACCTCGACCTTCCCATGATGGCGATGATCCTCTCATAGATCACCAGGCGGCCCGAGAGGCTGCCCTCCGGACAGAATTACAAGGTGTGCGGAATATTAACGAAGTCATAGAAGGACTTCTGGGAAGTTTGGACTCTGCCAAAGGAAATATGGAGGTAACATGTCCTTCTCATAATGCATGGTCAATACTTTGGCTAATCATCTGTATAGACCGTCTCACAAACTGTTACATCGGCCTCGACACTCCTCAACACGTGGACTCGCATTCTCTCCCAAACCGAACATAATCAGCGATTGATCCTCAACCCCAACTGGCAAGGCGCTACTCAGGACATGGCCGATATCGAGAACCAAGCGATTCAAAGACAGCAAGCGGCAGAAAGACGCGAACAGGCACTTCAGCAACAAAGAGAGGCAGCAGCGCGAAAAGCCGAGGAAATTGAAAAGCGACGCGCGCAGGTCACTCGGGGTACTCGAGGTACCACCCGCGGAACTACGAGGGGTACGGTTCGGAGCACTGGCTTAGGGAGAACGCCCAGTGTCAGCACAACCCGCACGGCAACACGTGGATCTACGACAACCACCCAACGGCCAGCCAGCGGGATAGCACGAGGGAGTGGAATTTCTCGCGGTCGGGGGAAGACCTAGATGGAGGATAGAATTATGTACGATAAATCTTTGACTGAAGAAACAGAATGATATGATACCCTTACTTTAATATATTGTCGCCTGAGGCATCAGTATGAGCCGTTACGCGTCGCGATCTGATAAGGATAAGGAGTTACCCCAAATTATTCCCCTGTCCCCGAAGATCATTCCGTCATTCACCTTTCCAGGTACAACATAATGAACTTCGCCCCGTATCAAGATCAATCACCGGAGCTTGAGCGCGCCCTATCCCCTCCCCACCCAGATGGTCACCGTATTTCTCCAATCCTACGCTCACCGCGAGCCTCGGCCGATCTACCCTCTCCCAGTTACTTTGCTGGGGGACATGGCAACACAGGATCTGGGCGAGATGTCGAGAGTGGCCATGTGAGCCTAGGGGCTTTTGAAACAAGCCTCCCCATTCGCATGGATATCGAAGCAGCGCTGGCGTATCTGCTTCTGCCTCCCGCGGGGGGTGTATTTCTGCTACTAGCTGAACACAAGAGCGACTATGTGCGGTATGTGATAGGCCTTGAATTAAAGTAGAGTTAGTTGAAAGCTCAGTCTTCTGACTACTTACTATAGATTTCATGCTTGGCAATCGAGCATGTTATTTGCTACCATGTTTGTGAGTATTCGATCTGTCCTTGCGTCGCATACGCTTACAGGCTAAACATAGATCATCCACCTCCTGCTCTGCTGGTCGACCTTTCTCTCCTGGACATTGTTTATTATCGATATTGCTTTGATCGGTTTCCTCAGCATGCATGCTTACCAAGATGGTGAGTATTCCGAGATTTCTCTACGCGAGCTACCAATAAATACGGCTGGACTGTTTATTGGCAGGAAAGATAGATCTGATACTAATCGCATTTTCTCTAGTTGATACTTTGGACCACTTTGAGGTCCCATTTTTTGGCCATCTGGCCAACTCCTTTGTTGATGATGAATGAACATGAACTTTGTCTTTGAGAACTGCACGTACTTGAATTATTACCGCGAAGCATGTCTTTTCTTCATATACCCCTGTCTATCAATACGTCCTGGCTTCTTTCTTTGATTGTTGGACAGGCTATGCGTGGATTCTGTGAATAATTCTCTTTATGTCTAGCTTTTCAGCGTTGTATATCTTATAAATTTTCAACGCCGAATCATTTATCCAGCTGAAGCCAATATTTATAGAATTATAATGGTAGCTAAATCAGTAGTCATGAATACAGCAATGACACTATCTATTAGAAATCATCTTGTGCCATCCATCATCTCCAAAAAGATTGTCGACCAGCTGTCCCGATCCAGACTGCCCTAGAGCCAAGTTGCTTTCACTGAAACTTTTATGCCCAACCCATTTTCTATTACTTATAGACAGGAGGAACGGGCGTTGGAAGTGTAGTGGCGTGGGTTGATTGAGGCGGAGGGATGTACTGCAGTTTCATAATGACAGCATTTTGTGGCTCTATATGGCAATGAGTGTGTCAGTTTTAACGCAACATCCTGTTGGCGTTGAAAGTTGGAATAGGTCTCACCAGCACCGTCTGTTCTGGCTTTCTTCAACCTCATAGTGTTAAGAGATGATTTTGCTCGGGTGTAGCAGTTTTTAATCCATCGGCCGACTATATCAGATGCACAACTGCTGTATAACGAAAGTAGTTTTAGCATCAGCTCCTTTACAAGATCATTGTGTTCAGTTCTATCTTCCGATTATCATACATACCGAACAAAGATGGCGCATAAAAATATGAGAAACAGTAGAGCACAGCATGCTAGTAGAATTAACCCTAAAATTTCGGCAGCCAATTCTGTTGGCTTCTCTGGTGTTGAACCAGACTCGTCATTCGGAACAGGAGCCATTCTTGGCGGATATAAAGATGTCAGTGAGAGGTATGAGATATAGGCAGTGGCAAGGAGTTCTGGGGAGCTTTGGGTTATGATCTCTCTATAAAGCCAAAGCTTGTGTATACTCAACTACGGTTTGTCGTCAGTATTACCCGGAGACCTATTTACATTGTAGGTCAATTCGCGATGTTCAAAAAGCGTTAGGGGTTATATTTGGCATACAGGTCCGGAAATCAAGTATGCTGGTTGCCAGTACAGTATTCATAAGTATAGCGTTTTAAACTATTGGATACCATTGGAGAATCTGTTAGCATGAACCTCAGCTACATCGATTGACAAGCTCTCGAGACCTATCATAATATTTCTTCCAATATTTATCAGGATATCCGATCACCAAGTGGTAAAATGGGGCCCAGCTGTAACGAAAGAAGAAGCTGAAAATCAACGGATAGCCTATGAACTTGTGGATAGTCACATAGCTCGTATTACACGTGTTTATGCTTTCTTTTCCGATGAGTAGGGCCGAAGCTATATCGTGATGGGGCTTATAGAGGGGAAGATCATTGATCCATTAGACGAAACAGCCATCCAAAGGTTGCAGGCGTCCTTAGTTATTTCACAACACTACGGCACACCTCTCCTGGCCCCTTAAGTGGAGGGGCTTGTCGTGGTCTCTTTTTTCCAGATACGGAAGACTTATTATTCAACAGTTCACACGAGATGGAAAAGTGGTTCAACAGCCGGCTGTTCCCCCATAATCCGAAGCTGATCCTCGAGGGCTGCGAGCTTGTGTTCTGCCATTTGGATATAGCACCTCGAAACCTCTTATGGCAGAAAGATGGGTCTCTTCGTCTTATTGGTTGAGAATCCGCCGGTTACTATCCCCGATTGTTCGAGTTCTGCATGCAGTGGGTTATCGAAGGAAAGGATGGCAACTTCAACCCGCTTCTCTTACAATCGATGGATCCTTTGTCGAGTCATGAAATGGCGCCGAAAGAGCCTATTCTATGGGCTTGGAGAAATATTCAAAAATATCATTTGTAAGTGCAGAATCCAGCTACTTATTGATTGAAACTCACCTACGTCCAGCCCATCCAAGAAGTCATGTCCCAGATTACCAAGAAATTTGAAAACTGTGCCAGGTGCTCCAACACCCAGTTTTGTCGCTCATCTAAACTCGGCTTTAGGAGCTGAACAATAAAATTGGAGTCCACAATATTCTTGCGCGCTACTTACGCCATTTAGGCGCAATATTTGTTAAGAAACCGAACGCCACATCATTTTCATCACATGTAGCTTGCTGTGCGATGATAACGTGAGGCGCTGGTTCTCGACGAGAATTCAAGCAACATAATTTCTTGGACCCATTCTTTGTTCGACGTCCAGCACTAGATGTCAAGGTCTCGTTAGCGTCTCTCTTCTCTCTTAGATGAGAAGTGGGAGATTAGATGTCGATAGAACGAGGTATCATCATCGCTCACGACTTACTGAACACGTTTTGTCCAAAGATAGAAGTATGCGATAAGATCTATTAGGGAAAGCAGGAGAAAAATGTTGATAGCGGACATAAAAATATTGGTTAGTATCATCAACAGTGGATCCGAACGATATGAGGGAGGCGAGCTAGCACCTCCATTGCTCTGTGGTGTCTGCGTATGGGGAATAGGAGACATTCTTGTCACTCTTCTTGGAATTGTGATGGAAGTTGAAAAATGTGTGATACATGATGGTCGTCATAATTATCTTCAGTCTCCGTCACCCGAAAAGGTTCGGTGACATCCAAGTTCAGGCCAACCAAGAAGTCAATATTTACTTCTTGGAATTGGGGATGTGCTGTAGTTTTATAGTGACAGTATCTTGTGGCTCTATATGGTGATGAGGGTGTCAGTTTTAACATCGTACATAATATCATGTTGGCTGGTAGGGCTGGCATAGATCTCACCAGCGCCGTCAGCTCTGGCTTTCTTTAATTATCAAGGGCTGCGAGCTCGTGTCCTGCCATTTACATATAGCACATCAAAACCTCTTATGGCAGGAAGATTTCAAAAGCAAGCTAGATGATTAAGCGCTTTCATATCTATAGAGCTATCACGATGGTATCACATTCGACATAAACATCAAAATAGAGAAGCCAAGAGAGAAAAGCCAAGCCAAGCAATATAAAAGCAGTATACCATTATTCTTGGTCCATTCTTAATCTTTCCCATTCTTCCAGACCGAGTCACTCTTCTTGTTTGTAAACAGGCAAGGGCTCTTGGGGAGACGGTTCGTAGGCTGGCGGACCCGATGTGCTACCAGATGTCCTGATATCTTGCATCTCGATAGACTCTGAACAAAAGCAATAATAATTAGTGACTTGAAAGTAATTATCTTGAATGTGTCTCCCTTACCGGGTGTGGTATGCTATTCGCTGGCTGTAACTTGAGGCGCTGCTTTCCGCACAGCAATCAAGTGGCATAACTTCTTGACCCCAGTGATCATGAGACATCCAGCTCCATAGATAGCCCGACATAACGCTGTGAAAAGGTATTTTATCAGACATCCAACTCCATGAACAGTACTAGACGTCAGGGCCTGGTCAGTGGATCTTTCATGGGAAGTGATGGATTAGAATGCCGATAGAAGAGGTATCATGACTTACTTTCTGAAACAATCCAAACACGGTGGGCATACGTGTTTCCCCAAAAGGTATAATATCCCCAAAGTGACACCAAGGGCGACAGGGCCACAAAGAAGACCTATTAGTATATAAAGCATTAAATCAACAATGTCCGGGGAACCATCTGAGCGAGTACGCAAAGCGCCTTCATTGCTCTGTGGCGTCTGAATAAGGTGAGGGATAGGAGACATTTTCGAATTTTCGACAGACTCTTTGGAATTGTGATAGAAATATTTGGGCGTGATACATCAGTGATAGAGGTGGTAATTATATATCTTTGGTCCGTCACCCGAAACGATTCGGAGACATCTAAGCTCAGCCCAACCAGGAAGTCGATATTTACTTCTCGGCATTAAAGAAAACAACTTGCACGGTGATATCATCCCGTACCCGTCGAGAGAAAGGAGGGTCAAAGGCAAGCCGGCCTGCTATCAACTCATGGTGGTTTCCACCAAGGGAGTTGCGCGTCAGATGAACTGCAGCATTATCATCTTGGGTTGTTGTTCTCTCCTCCACAAACTTCCAGTCCACATCGTCCCAGAATCTGCCATAGTCAAATTGTCGATCTGTTGGCTCTGGTTCGCTCTTTTTCTCTCCCCGGTCCCTTGTGGTTCCAACCAGTTCCCTACCAAGTCGACACCCTGTTTATTGGACAGATAATCCCATAGCCCGTCCGTTGCGAGAATCAAGAACGATGGTTTAGTAGGATCAATCTTAGTGCTTGTCACGACCGGCTCGGCAGTCAAATATGGGGGCGTGCGAACATCGTACCGTGGCGTTAGGGGAGCTGGGCCATTGAATTTCCGCTTCATTTCCTTCTGGAAATCCAGAGGCCACTTCCACAGACTGTCACCAAACGCTCGTGAAACCATGAGTCCAAGCACCCGTCCATTTTTGGCTATATTTTCCTCGCCAGGGTGCTCCTTAGAAATGCGGGTTGTCTCTTCTTCGTTGCTGCCAGTTTGGTCTACTGACAAGGGAATTGCTTCCCACTTTCCGTCTGACCCTTTTTGTCCCAGGACCGCTCTTGAGTCACCAGTACACGCAACGTGCAGCGTGCTTGTGATAGGATCGTACAGCGATAACAAAGCACATGAACCAGCATAAGCAGGAGTCAGTTTCTTAACCTTGTCTTGAAAGGATTCTTTGCTGTTAGATGTGTCCTCTGCAGTCTTGATGATGGAGTCATCAAGGTCCACGAATCCTTTCATGATAGCGCGCTGGACCGACTCATTTGGCACCGGTTCGTTTGAAGGTGGTTGAGTTTCGGACAATCTGCGTCGCACGAAAGGCAGAAGTTGCTTCGTCAATAGTTCCGCTGTCTGCCAGCCTGAATGTCCATCAAAGACAGCCCAGGACATCCATTGATCATTCTCATTCCACGGTGAGGAAAGTTTGCCATGGATAAACCGGTCCTCGCACGGGCTATTGGACGCCAATTGAACACCATCGTATCTTTTGACGCCCGAAATATCTCTGACTTGGAAGGAGTATGCTTCTTTCGATAGTATATGTGTCACATCCTCTTTGGAGGGGCCCGGCTCAGGGGCCATGTGCTCCGCCGGTGGACTCTCGAGGCGGGGCACATCATCCTTTGTAGCGGTCAACCACCACAGGCCGGGCGTGCTGACCAAACCGGCAGTCGCAATGTAGATTTTTGAATTTGAATAGAAGCTCTTCATTGAGAAGGGGCGTTTAGTATGTGTCCGTACGATTGAGGTGGCCACGCGCCCTATGCGCGGTCGGGCGAGACATGATAACATGTTGGCTTGTAGCTGGGGAGAAGGAGAAGCAAGTAAACATTGAAGTCACTTGAGGATTGCCCCAGGTTTCGTCAAGGCGGTAAGATCACGAGACTCCTTGCTGTACTCGGACAATGGAAAGGGGTAAAGAGAGCACTCCAGAGCTGGGCAGCCCTATATGAAATAATTAGTCACAAGCCCGCAAGTGACAGATATATTTATTAAATAAATAGTATCGAGCGCTCCAATGTTCTCTATAAAAAATTGAAAGTTATACGCCAGTTGGTAATAGTGCGGCACGAGAGAGGATATAACTATAGAAAATGCATTAACACTAAGATAATCCATTTTCTGCTCTCTGTAAAATGAGATGAAAATATCTTGAAAATATCCAGAATATGTGTCTTTCGCATATTTCCTTCCCTCTTTCTCACTGCGCAATGCCAAAGATAATGCTCATTTAACCATAGCAATATACATATCCTCAGTGTATATCGTCAAACCTCAACACACACCCTAACTCGAGAATTCAGAACGATGCCACATAAACTCAATTTTGATTTGAAAGAAACTTTGCGTATCAAATAGCTAGAGTGAAGGAGTCAACCCAAACAACCCAGCTTCTAAGGGTCAAGTTCATTGAGTCTGGCAACTTCTTTGCGTTGGGTACCTCTGGTAGCAACTCGTTATAAGAGCCGTACTTCGATCCTCCTATATATATAGATGTACCATAAGGACATCCAGTCGTCCGTTTTCTTCCGGGCTAGTGCTCATTGAAACACATGCTGCACAGAATAGAGCCTAAGCCTCTTAGGCGGGCTGGGGTGAGCTCATTTTCTCCGTCATAGGTGGCTGCCCATCAGAGGTCACTGGCTGCTCTCCGCTAGCCACATCGTCACCACGCGGTGCATTATTCTCTATCTCCGTTTCCGGCTTCTTCTTGATGTTGATATTCGAAATGCAGAATGCGAATACCAGCGAGAGAACATTCGCTGGGACGCCAATGATGTAGACGATCGAGAGGGACTTGCTACAGGCGCGCATTAGGTCATTATCCACGGCGACGAGGGCAAACAGACTCACACATAGGCGCGTACGACGTTGGGGACTAGTGCGTCTGGGACGGCTGCGCTGTAAATCGACAGCGGCGATTGTAGTATCGTCTCGAAAGGCGCGTCTGGCGCATACGTTCGCAAATTGAGCAGGAGTTCGGATGAGAAGGTGGTCTCGGCGATGGCGAGGCCGATTGTACCACCGAGGAACTATAAGATAGGGATAAATTATGAGCAGCGGGCGCGAGATATAAGCGTGATACACGTACCTGGCAGAAGTTCACCATACCGGTTGCCTGACTGATTAGCTTTGGGGTGTCGTCGAACTCAGCCTGCATGGCAAACAGGATGTTCTGTAGAGTTGTGCCGATACAGATCTGTTATAGGGCTCGTATTAGAAAGATTATATGAAATATACGAGAAAGTGCTTACGCCGACGAGGATCTGGTAGCCGATCACAGCTGCGTTTGAGGGCAATGCGGTCACAGTGTACATTAGTCCAGCACCGACGGCGCCAAACACAGGTCCGCCAACCAAGTATGGCCAGTAGCGGCCGTAGCGACCTATCCATACAGTTTCTTAGTCATTTGGTACTAACGGAAAATATAACACATACCGACGAGTTGTCCAGACACCACAATCGATATGACAACGGAGAGCATGAGCGGGAGCAAGTCTACACCACTTTTCGTCGCAGAATGGTGACGCCCTGCCTGGTAATAGATGGCTGTATACTATGGTCAGCGAACGACGTTCGGGGTCGGTGAAGCTAGTACACCACGCACGAATATACTATAAAGGGATGTTAGTGGCTGCCCAACAGGCGTGATAGGGACGAAACGCACGTATGTGAAGATCAGGTAGATAAAGCGGTTGAAGATCGCGAAGGAGCAGATCGAGTAAATGGAGAGAGACTTGAAGATTTCCAACGGAACCATAGCGCGGTCTCCCATATAGCGCTCCCAAAAGATGAATACAAATGTTAGAACGAGTGCAAGGACGAGGCACTAGTACGAGTCAATCAGCGGGTCTATTACAAATTACACTCGGAATACATACGACGATGACTTCTGCACTGTCCCATGCCTTCTCATTTCCGCCCCATTGGAGGCCTAGAACAAGACTTGTGATAGCGCCCAGACTAAATATAGTGCCAATCCAGTCCAAGGCAGCCGTGCGCCAAAACATGGACTTAAAAGAGTGATCATAGTCTTCGGATCCGAGCGGTGGTGGAGCGTCGAGGAGCCAAACAATCGCTACAATAGATACGCCACCCTGGGAGGATTTAGCAAGTGGAAAACAGCGATTGTGGCTGACATACTATGGGTAAGTTGATATAGAAGCACCACCGCCAGCTGGCGTGGTCCGTGAGAGCGCCGCCTAGAAGAGGTCTGATGATATTAGCCCAACTGCACAGCGAACGGAGAAAGATGTCTTACCCAATGATCGAAGCACTAAAATAAAATTAGCAGTCTACATATCAGGTCCACAGACGCCGCAACATACAACGCGAATACCGATTCAAAGAGGCTGAACAGCGTGGGTCGATCCTCTAACCGGGTGGCCTGAGCCATCACTTGGAGAATACCAGTGAGAATGCCGGCAGCGCCGACACCAGAGAGCGCCCGTCCGCCGATAAGTGTATTGACATCCTGGGCGGCACCACACAAGGCAGAACCAATCTCAAAAATAACCACAGATGCTATAAGCACATATTTGGCTGGATAGAGGCGAAGCACTTGGGAGAAGAAGAGGATGAAGGTAGTCTGCGTGAGAACGAACGAGGCGGCGACCCATCCTTGTTGGGAGAACTATCGAGGGTTGTACGTAAGTCAGCGAAAATCAGCCTTTCCTACATAACTAACCGCATTGAAGTCTGAGGCGATGCGTGGTAGAGCAGTTGATAGAATAGTCTGGTCCAGCGCAATTACTACATTATTCAGTCGCGGACTCGAACATCGGATTTAATGAGCGTACACAATAGGGCCAGTAGCATTGCTCCAAACGCGATGGATAACTTCTTGCCTGTCAACAGATGACTGTCGCCCACGCTTGATGGTATCACGATCGATGCATCATTTGTGTCGAGCTCAGAGTGTTTGGAAGGCGTAGCATCGTTGGCCATGGCTTACAAGGCGTGCTTGCGTAGAGACCAGAAGCAAAGAGGTTTGAGGAAAGTAAAGTGTAAGCACCTGGGACATGGCCCAGATGGTGGAGCTCCGACGGACTTGCGAAACGGGAACCCCATGCGGAGTGGCCCTGAGTGGATGCCCCGGACGCTAAGGTGCGCTTGGCACGATAACCCAGAAATCAATAGTAAGTTAGCCCAGTAGCGTATAGTGAGTTACGCCTAGGGCATCGAAATACCTTGTTGAAGGACGACAAGTTGAGAACGACCCATGGAAAGATGACTCAGTACCAAAAAGCGTAAGGAGATGGTGTGAAGTACGTGATTTGATATCTACTAACCTATTGGCTAGCTTATACTAACAATGTCTTTAGACATTAGAATCTCAACAGATGACCCAGCAAATTGATCTCCAGGCAATATGAGATTATCAAAAGTCTCGGGCCAATCTTATATCGTATTTTATGACTGTTGTGAGAGGAGATATATTTGTGCTGATTGTGGCTTAAGGAATCACCATGCCCCGAAAGTGGCTATGATACTCTAAAATGCACTGACATCAATACAAATTTAACTGTCTTCAATTCAATTTAGGCTATTGCTACCGTAATTTGTCTACTGCTTACATATATCATGGATTGTTTGGAGAAAGGAGAGCATCAATAAGACCAACACGTCGTATCCTGCATAACAATGAATAAGTGTCCAAAGATAAACCAAAGCAAATGATAGACAAACAAAGAAGGGGAATAAGAAAACGGAAAGACCAGTAAGTTAAGGTCTTCATGGCCCGAGATTGCTCATCATACAATTTCGTTCGAAGAGATCTCTGTTGAGAGAAGGAGAAAGGCGAAAAAAAAAATAAAAAAACAATATTCCAACAAATTCACACGAATCACACGATAAAAATATCCCCAGAACACACACGCTAAAGTTTCCAAGAACATCCGCAAGAACAGAATAATGAGATTAAACAGGCTGTTCGATGATGTAAAGACAGGACTGCAGTGCCATGTTGAGAATGATAGAAAAATAGAAGTAGAGTTAGAACGAAATCGTCAATGTGCAAAGAAAGTCGACGAAAGGCATGGTATCTACGTGAGAACATGAAGAAGAGAATCATCGTCAGGATGAAGGTTGCTAGGGTCGTGGCGGGTCGTGATATCGATGGGGTATTAGATGATTTGCAGGTAGTTGCTTGGCACGAGACCAGGGTGGCCGCGGGCATTGGTGACTTCGGCTTCCCACCACCCGTCATCCTGCAGGCGGATAACGGCAAGGACATCGCCCTTGCCAAAGCTGAGCTCTTCGGGGATGGCGGCATTGTAGGTGTACATGGCACGAGCTGTGAGATTGAAATCAAGTTAGATACTAGCAAAATCATGGTCAAGAAGAGAGACAAATGCTTACCAAAGTGCAAGATTGGACGGCCATCACGGCTGAATTTGCGTCCAGGCTCTGCAACAGCCATAGTACGGCTCCGGGATCGGCCAATAGGCGGACCGTCACCGTAAGTCGATGAGGGGCGGCTGCTTCCTCGAGCCGAGCTGGCATATCCGCCGGGACTGCTGGAGCCGTACATATCATGGCTTCCAGACAATTGCAGCTCCATACCACCGGAACTAGAAGGACGAGCTTGCTGCCTGAACTGGGGCTGTGGCGATACAGCACGGTGACTCATAGCGGGCGACGCCCTCCGAGCAAAATCGTTTGGAGAGTAGGGTGGATCTTGAGTACGACGGGGAGTGGGCGATTGGCTGTATTGACTTCGCATGCTGTTAGACTGGTAGCTACTCGGACTAGGGCTCGGGCCCCTGCCACTGTTCTGGCTCATCCGAGTATCCACACGGGGAGAAGCAACCTGAGGCTGAGGGCTGACGCTGCGTCTCGGTGCTGGTGCTGGGGATCTAGCACGAGGGGCTTCTTGAGTTTGAGCGCTATGTCTAGACCCCATGCTGCTGTTTTGTCCTCGAAGCATGCTCTGAGTTTGACCAGTATACTTCTGAGTTGTCTTGTGCATTTGCTTTGCCGTGAAGGCCGGCTGGGGTGCGCCGAGTCGCTTGGCTGCGGGATCATTGTATGCAGGTGGCGGAGCAGCAACGCTAGGATTGCTCCCACCGTAAGTGGAAGAATGTGCCGACGGAGTAGGCGTAGAGATGCCATGGTATCTATCTGCCGAGACCCGAGTGGCTGATTGCTTCCCGCTTGTCTTGAGGTCCGCCAGAGCCCGCGCGATAGGGTCCAAGTCATCGTCAGGCGCCTGGTTTGACTGTGATCCTTTGTTGGGTGAGCTCTTTTCAGGGGATGCAACATCAAAGACATTGTTCCCGACATTGAGCTGGAAGTTGGCTCGAGGATCAACAGGCTCCGGGCTGCCAGAAACACGAGCTGGGGGGCCAGCTGGAGGCCTGACTGGGCTGACTTGCTTGGCTGGGCTAGCCTGCTTGGGTGGACTAACTTGCTTGGGCGGGCTGACTTGTTTGGGAGGGCTCACTGGTTTGGGCGGGCTTATTTGCTTAGGTGGACTGACGACTGGTTTCGGCGGGCTCACTTGCTTAGGAGGGCTCATTTGCTTCGTCGGACTAATTTGCTTTGTCGGCGAGTCCCAGCCACCACGAGACACGGGGTGGGGTGAGACAACCGCCTGTGGAGAGGTGACCTGTTGTGTAGAAATGATAGGCCTTTCTTTATCATGGCGACTCTTGCGACGGAAGGGGCTGTTGCTGAAGAAAGCGCTCTTCTTTTTCGGTGATTTGTCATCTCCTGAAATTGGCATTGGCGCAGTGGTGGTTGGCCTCACTACAGACTTCTTCGTAGGTGTTTCCTCGACACTAGAAATAGAGGTTGGGTTCGAAACTTCGCTCTGAGAGTCACGGCTAGATGGGCGATACGCGCTGGTCGCCGAGCTTCGCTCTGAGGGTGGCCCGGCACGACAGAACATGGTCATCCCATCTGTGGGATATGCGTTGTGGGGAACAGCACTAATCTCCCCATGCTGTTCGGGGTCATAGTTCGGAGGCGGCGCACCGCCACGGCGGAAGTCTAGAGGCGCGGGTTGCTGAGGTTGTGGTTGTAGCGGCGGTTGATGTTGCAGGAGAGGCTGCTGTTGCATAAATGGCTGCTGCTGTAAGGGTGGCGGTTGCTGTTGCATGAGAGGCTGCGGTTGCATGAGAGGCTGCTGCTGCATAAATGGCTGCTGTTGCAAGGGTGGAGGTTGTTGTTGCATGAGAGGCTGCGGTTGCATAAATGGCTGCTGTGAGAGTGGCGGTTGCTGTTGCTGAGGTGGCGGTGCGTTGCTAACTGCAGGAGGAGCAGGATGTCCCATTTGAGCCGCGAGCTCTGACTGTGGGTCATGGTGTGAGTCGAATGTTGAGGGTTGAGGAGAAGATGTGCGGAATGCAGGATTCATGGTGCGCTGAAACTGGGCTACCGAGTAGCCTTCAGCTTCATCTATCTCAGAGCTTGAGTCCTCATCCTTGCAAAAGTTGATAAATCGGGGAGGATCCGGGATTTCCTGGCCAGTTCCTCGGTCCCTGATAAAAGCAATAATATCCTTCTCCACTTCGCAGTTCTCCAAAGAGAGACGGACTTTCTCACATGACTATATGTCGAATTAGCATCGCAAGTTAAGCCCGGGCAGAATAAACATACGGCATCGTCGCTGACACAAACAGTTGAAGCAATATTCGCGTAAGTCCACAAACTGCTCTTTGTGAAGTCCAGACGCTCCTCTTCCAAATCTTGAAATTTGTCGCATGCTGACTTCCATTCCTTATTCCAGCGTCCAGTTGTCTCCTCGAGTTGTTTGACGGCCGCTTCGTATTCCTGGCTATTTGATGCCAGTTGGATCTGGGTCTTCTCCAGCTTGGCCTTATTCTTGCGCTCTTCCTGGCCCATGACCATGTGGCCCTGCGCGAGGTATCCTTTGATGCGGAGACAGTCCTGCTCGTAACGATCACGCGTCTGTAGAATTTAGTATTTTGCCATCCATCGCTCCACACAAATTACTCACCTTGTTGACAAGCTGTGTCTGTTGCATTTTGGTCTTGTGTAAGCGCTCAATGCACTGCTGAATGATCTTTCGTCGCTCCTTAATACCACTCGCAAAAGCAGCAAGCGGTTCCTCCAATTCGGTCTTCATTTGTCCCGCTATCGCTGCATGTGACTTAGCGATCGCTTCAGTCTCGCCGCGAACCACGTCGAGTGAGGCTCGGAGCGAACCTGTCTCGCTTGATCCCAGGCTCTTGCGACAGAGAGCCTGGAGTTTGCGCGCGTATTCATCTTCGATAGAGGCTCGAACTATGAAGTTGTGAGAATTCAATGTTTCCATAGCCGCATGCATGTCACGTACTGCTGTAGAAAACCTTCAATTCGTCATTGGTGATCTTTGAACCATGCACACGGTCCAACATTGGTTGAAGTCCTGCATCATCTTTGCCCCAAAAATTGTTGGCAACTAGAATAATCGTCAGCACGTGCAGGAATATATTAGTGTGGTACCACATACAAGACATGGAGACCGTAGGTCCGTCTGCCACTGTCCCCGGCATTGTTATCGATATTGAGCCTCGGCCAGCCTTTGCGCATGCAATCGAGGTGTGTTGAAATCACAGGTACAAAGAAAAAAAAGTAAGAACAATAAAACTGTTGAAGAAAAAAAAAATAATGAAACACAAAAGACCCTTGGAGGTCACAAGATGTTAAAGTTGAAGGTGAGCGGAGGGATGGTGTTTATGGGCGCGTCTCTCGGGGCAACCACCGCGCGGCCATGCACGTTACATAAGCTATTTATGCATCCATCTATGGATCCATCTGCCCTATTAAGTACATAGAAAATATCTATGAAAGATTCTTGATCGGAGAATTAAAACATATCGGAAATATTGTGATAAAATGTTCATTTCATTCTTGGTGCATCGTGCAACCTTTCTATGTAATCCGGAGGCCCATCAAATATTCAAATCCAGTCAGTCTATGTAGGCCAAAGCCAACGCGAAAACCCAATCCTATATCCACAAGAAGTAGAAGACACATGAAGAATTGTAGTTTCAAAATCGCTTCCAGTAAAAACGCCAGTCAAATATGCATCCCCAAAACCATAATGGGGATAAATCAAGTCATTCGCAATATCTTTTCTTTTTCGTTGTTGCAATCATATCGTGCCATAAAAAAAGCATTTCATCAGTTCATGGAAAGCTTTGCTCGTGCTTCTTTGAGAGAAGCTAAATTTCTTGTCTCATGTCGTCTCTCTTAGTAGACGACAGGAGTAGCCGACGGAGCGAAGGTGCCAGAGGCCGGAGAAGAGACACTGGAAGGACCCCAGCTGCGGATACCACGGGCCACAAGAGCTGAGGAGGCAGAAGGTGTGGCGACGGAGGAAGCACTGGCGGCGGAAGAGAACCAGCCGTAGGGGCCGCGGGCAGCCAGAGGAGCAGCTGAATTAGTGACTCTCGAGCTAGAGGGAGTACCGGAGGGGGAAGCGTGCAAGTCGCGAGCCACAACGCGAGTCACCGAGGCAGAGGGGGTGGCGGAAGAAGAGTACCAGCCACGAGCCACAACGCGAGTTGCTGAGGCAGAGGGAGTGGCAGAAGAAGAGTACCAGCCGCGAGCGACGAGATGAGTAGCAGCAGCGGAAGCGCTCAAGCTGGAAGAAGGAGAGACCGAAGCGGAAGAGGACCAATCACCGAAGCCGCGAGCCACAAGGGCAGTAGACGAAGCGGTAGGGGAGGCAGCAGCAGAAGGAGTAGCAGAAGCAGCAGAGTACCAGCCACGAGCATAGAGAGACTCAGAGGCAGCGGCAGTGGGATAGGCAGAGGAGGAGCTAGAGTACTCGCGAGCAAAGAGAGCAGGCTGACCAGCGGCTCTCAGGCCCCGGCGGAAGAAAGAAGAAGAACCGGGAGTGGGAGTCTCCAGGCACGGAGTAGAGCTAGCCACAGGAGTCGAGGAGTAGGCGCTTGAAGGAGTGGCAGTCACAGTCACAGTGATGGCCACCGGCTCGGCACCAGGAGCAGTGACTGTGGAGACTTCGAAGACAGTGTCGACTTCACGTGCAACTGAGCTGGAAGATGAGTCTCCATCGGCATTGACCACGGAGTAGGCTGCACGGCGAGCGAGGTCTTCGTTCTCGGGGTTGGCGAAAGGTGCCGCCTGGGTCACGCTGATTGAGCAAAGGGCGAAGAGTGCAGCAGAAGAGAAATGCATGATAACGGGGTGCAATTGAAGCTTGCAATGGTAATTGAAAGAGAAAAAAAGACGCTTCAAACAGATCGAAATGTAAACAAGGCAATTGCGATATGGGTGTTGGGAGAGAGGTTTGGATTGAAGGAGAATTGATAATGAATGAGAAGGAAAGGATGCAAGTCGGGTTTAAAAGTCATCTCAAAAAGATCTACTATCACAGTGAAGTGCATTTTAATTGGACAGAAAATAGGCGGCTGGGATCTACGGTGGCTGGGTTAGCTGCAGTCCAGCCATGGCTTTTTTTGTTTTTAATTTATATTGTCCAAGAATAGTCGGCCTTATGTAGTCTTTTTAGTAGTCTGCTCGGATATTCTTTTCCATTTCACTTTCATAGATAATTTCGTTCCCTTCTCTGTTTCCTAGATGGCAGAAAAGAGAAAAAAAGCATCAACTATGCAGATAACCTTGGAAGTGCTCTATGTATAACCTGGGATTTTAATTGGCTTCCATTTTGATTGGGTGGAGCTAAATCTAAGTGTACCCACATGGCGTATCTGCCAACCACGATGCTGTGGTGGGTCTCCATGGCGATATTAAGTAAGCAATTGGTGTGGCTGGGGGCTCTAAGAGTCCACTCTGACACAGCTGATATAGTAAATTTCATTTGACTGTCGCCTAGTTTCTTTTCATAGATCAACTATGATGTCCTAATGACCATAATCGACAGGACGATCTAGGCAGATCTCTTGTTTCATCAACACATCCTGATTGTCGTGGTGGCACTATACGGCAAGATCTTCCACCCTCACCAATCCACACCCCAGCGCAGCGCTGGCCCAGGCTGCACAGGACCGATTGGGGTTCCACCCGAGGGCTGTGACGTGGGTATTTTCTTCGTAAATCGTCGAGGTCCCCATCCCACTGACAGGGTTGGTCTCATACAGTTTGTATGTTGCCAGCTTCTGGTTCTCTGCCCGGTATCCGTCATAAAATCGACTGGTGCCCATAGTGTCCGTCTTGGAGGTGGGGATCCATTCGTGTGTGAACCATATCTGCTGCCATATCTGCTCCTTGTTGTAAACAACTCGTCGGAAGGGATTCGTTCCTACGACCTCACCTGCGGCACTGCCGAACAGGGCACAGGGGTGATAATTACTGCATTGCGCCATGGCCGAGACGGTGCTGCTGAGCCGGGCAATGGTGGTGGTGGTGAAAAACCGTCGAATTGGAATGATGCGAGCGAATTCGTTTTCATCCCCGCCAACTACGGACTGGCAGATGGGGGAATAGCTGATGTGGGGAGAGGCGCCTCGCATGCGGCCCGTCGAGGTCATTTCCCTGGTCGGATCGAGGGCCGACCACATCCTTGTTTCACCATCCATAGAAACAGTGATGATTAGTTGGGGATGGACCGGGTATGCCGATGTGATATTCAGTATATAGGTGGCGTGGATTGGGTGATAGAAATAAGGTAGTGGTTCAGATGCAGAAGGCTCGATATTCCAGATAGCCACAAAGCCATTACCGCAGCCCACTGCAAGATCACTAGGGGATAGCCATGTGACACATGTGCAGACTGTTGATGGCGGTCTTGCCTCAAATGCGGGTGATTCGATTTTGACTATATCTTGCACATTAGCGGGGCTCGTGAAAACCTCTCAAAAGGGACACTCACGAAATTCTGTTTCTTGTGACCCTCTACCTGTTTTGATATCCAGAACTCTGACCTTTCCATCGCCCCAGACTGTTGCGAGTAGACCAATGGATACTTTTCTTTCTTCTTCGTCCTCCGCTCGTTCGGTCTGGGGTAAAGTACACCATACCATGCGTCTCAGATCCCCCCAGTCAGCACACAAGACTTGTCGAAGCCGGGGTTTGGAGTCCATATCGAGGGTCATTGTAGGCGTCTCACTCGGTCTGCCTTTGAACTCCCAAATCTGCAGAGCGCTAGGGAAAGGCTCCGAGGGTTGAAACGATGAGATGGGCTCACTTTCTTCTGATCTGTACAGGTTTTTCTGGTCTTCTGTAATCGGCGCGGCCACAGCAAGATACTGGCTCAGACCATTCTGGTTTGGAGCCCAGGCCATGCAATGTGCCTTTTGCCCGATATTTAACATCCAACCTTCCCGGACCCTTTTGGTCCCGTTTTTTGACTGGTCCGCTTTGGATCTTGGGATCTCCCAGGCTTTTCCAAAGTCAAAAGACTCATGATAGCCCAGCTCGAAGATTTGTTGATTATCATGCGGACCCAGTAAAATGCCATGCTTTCGTGAATCTGGTTGAGGGAGATAATTTTGGTACGCCAGTGACTCTTCCATCGTCTCAATGCGCTGTCTTTTCCGGAACCTCTCACCAGTGTCCTGTTCGTAGTACCAGTCCCATCCGCGGTTGCTTTCTTTCATAACATCATCTGGATGGACCCCAAATGTGGGCCCGTACAGATATTCGGGCTTCTTCTCCGTATCCTCCAAGGTGTAACGAGATGGAAAGACCGCATCCACACCCTTGTTCCATCGCATTCGGAAGTGGACGGCTGGCATCAGGTCTCGATCGTCGGAACCGAAGGTGAGATTGTAATAGACGCCTTTGGACAAGTGATCTCTGGGCTCGATGATGCCACGAATGTGTGTCTCTTCATCTGATGGCACAACTGTGCCATCGGCTCTTCGCTTCTTGAAGTTCAGATCGTATTGGTACGACATTGAACGCCCTGGACGATCTTTCCTAGGAGTATTCTTGATGCCGTCAATCTCCATTTCCTCGGGATCAGAGGCATCAGCTTCTGATCCTAGTTCATCTTCTGGTTCCACTTCTGGATCATCTTCGGGGTCATCTTCTTCATCAATTCCCTCTTCGGCTTCTTCGCCTGAGCCAGCGACAAATTCATTATCTGAAGCTGAATCTTCTGTTTGGGCGCGCTTCTTTTTCCCCTTGGCAAGACTTCCCTGCTTGGTGGAGTCCTCATCATCACTGATCCCAGCTACCTTGAATGGATCATCAACATAAACGGCCCTGGGGCCTTTGAAGCGTCCAGACCTTCGGCCGGAAGGCATGTTGCTTAGATAGTTGGCGTTATCAACGACAGCCAATGACAACAGCAGTGTGGATGTGCAAAGCGTGTCAATTTGTTGAAAGCTCAGTAAGGCTTTTTACTGAGCAAAGTAGCTGTGATCTTGTGTATTGAGACGTCCGCTATTTGATTTTGGAAATAGAGAAGCTTCAGCAATACACGAAGGTCAAGGGCGGTGACGCTAGCCCCAACACGGCTAGTACTATTACCTTATATTTCAGGCACCAATAGACAAACATTCATCTCGATCAACTCTCACTTCGTCCTCATTTTACTAAGGAGATGAATAAAAATTAGTTGACCACTTATGCGATAGTGTGGTGTATCTTTAGTTTTTCTCGATGGTCTTTCTAGCGGTCTTCTCAATGGTCTTCTCAGATATCCTGTTTGGATGTCTGTTTTGAGATTTCCAGAGGCTTGATTTGTGAAAACGAATTTCCATGTATAATTTAGGATTAGTCTTGCATTTTTCGGTGGCTTCAAATCTATCAAAATACTTCAGCTGTTTGTTATGAGGTCACCTAAGATCAAAACTCACCAGTCTACTTGACCAAAATCCCTTCCTGGTGTGACACTAGCCCCTTGAGTATGCCGTACCACGATTCCCCAAAGACCTGCACTACAACTCTATCTCTAGATCACCTGGGGTAGTGTGTCCAACAATGCACATACCACCTTCCTAACGCAGACACTTGATGACCTCATATGCTACACACCAGTCTTGGAGGTTTATGGCTTTGATGTCTTTTGTGTCTTTGTGGACTGAGTGTATAGACAACGGTAACCCAGTCCCGAAATTGATATATCCACAGTTTAATGATAATGAAGTGACATCGCTGCGTAATCTGATCGCCATAATTATATGTTACTCTGTCTTGCAATAGAGACTGTGCTCAGGATGCTTCCTCATGACTATCTCCCATAGATCTACGAGAAAAATGCGATATATCGATAAATGATTGAGTGGAGTCAACATATGTTGTACTGGTATAATTTCAACAGAGAATTAGAATAACTGATGCTCCTTGTCCCCAAGCAATGGCCCAGCTAGATTCTCGCTGTCATGCTATGAGTTCTCAGGAATCAGCTTAGAGAGAACCTCGTCCAGATGTCTATGCATCGTGAAGTGTGTATCGCCTTCGAACACTTTGAAGGATGGACCGTTAGAAAGAAGCTTCACGTAGTATTCTGTCATGGGCAACGGCGAATTCCAATCTTTCTCTGCATGCCAGATGTGAAGGTTGTTGTAAGTAATGTCGCCGAACTCAATCCCCCAGTCTTGTGACAATAGCTTCGCCTCGTATGCAGCGGGGCCAGCACCCTGCGCAAACGGCTCAAATAACACGCGCAGCAATTGAGCTCGTCGTTCCCCAACCGATTCCTCATGTTGATCCTGGTCCTTTAGTAGGTATTCATTGACTCTCCGAGTTGCCATTTTTGTATTCAGCCCATTCCTAAGCATCCACACCAAAAAGTTCAACGAACCTCGTAGTCCAGCTGGCCAGTGTTTTGCCGCTAGCATTGACGCACGATAGATCCAAGGCATATGATGAGCCCCAGCCCTCCAGTCGCCCGCTCCGGCAAATACACCGACCGCGGACATCATTTCTTGAGGAAGCGCCCGCGCGCACGCTAATGCATAGGGTCCGCCACCAGAGCCGCCCATGATTGCAAAACGAGAGAGGCTGAGGTGGTGAGCCAGTGTTTGGACATCGGCGGGCCAGTCCATGATACGCCGGTTGGGTTGGACTGTGGAAAGACCGAAACCTGGGCGCTCCGGGGCAATCACACGAATTCCAAGCTGGCGAAAGATATGGTCTAGGGGAGAGGCCTCAAGACGACATTGGGGATAGCCATGCATGAACATTAGCGGATACCCCGTTTCACAGCCATATTCGGCATAGCCTAGGGTCCTCCCGTCCGAGAGCCGCATTGTTTGATCGAACCGCGAGCTTATAGTTCCGATATATCGACATTTTGTAGTTTGCTGTGTGCTTCTTGTAGAGAAGAATATTTTTGCGGTCGGCCTCATGGTAGAAAAATGAATGGAATCTCAGAGCTTGATGGGCACAGGGGGTTTGAATACGAGGTACATCTTATACCCTTGGCGACCAAATGTGAAGGCTAAGCCCAAAACGTGTAGTATGTGCCGCTGTACGGAGTACTCCGTGTATGTCAGAGCAATTGAAATCGGCATAATCTAATCGAAAATATAAACAAAATGCTCAAATTCATGACACCAAAAGGACCAATGTAGGGCAAATATGGCCGACCCCACCTGCAAATCGGATACGTCAACTGCTGATCTTCCACCTTCATTCTTGACCTTGTCAACCACCACACTTTTATCATGTCTTCACACACTGGTCGCGGGGAGTCGCATAACGGCGTCCTCCACGAATATGTATATACTACGCTATTCATTCTTCATGCCAAGCTAACTGACACACGCAGGCTCCCAGACTTGTGGCCTTTGAGTTCACCCCACCAGCAGAGGGGATCAACAAGACAAACAGCCTTATCTTCGTGGGCGGGCTGACAGATGGATTCGGTACTGTTCCCTATGTGTCCAAGCTAGCCAAAGCTCTGGAAAACACCGAATGGTCGGTCTTTTCTGTCCTACTCTCGTCCTCCTATGCTGGATGGGGAGTCGGAAGCCTTGATCGCGATGTAGAAGAACTTGGGCAATGTGTGCGATTTATTCGCGATCTTAAGGCGTCACGCCAACCCGGCGCACTGACAAAAGCCCCAAAGATTGCGATCATGGGTCATTCGACCGGAAGCCAGGATGTGCTTCACTACCTTTATTCGCCGAACCCCGTGCCGCACAAGGAGTTTGATCATGGCCTTCAGCACATGGTCCGCCCTGAGCTCGATGGTGCTATTATGCAAGCGCCTGCCTCTGATAGAGAGGGTCTGCAGGCTATTATCAATTCCTCTGAGCAGCCCGAGGAGCTTAGAAAGGTCTACGACCAGCTTGTGGGCTTTGCTAAGGAGCAACCATACACAGCAGAGAAAAAGGACACAATTCTCCCAATGAACCTGACTGCGAAGCTTTCTTATCCGTCCGATACGCCTCTCAGTGCCCGGAGATTCTTGAGTCTGGTCAGCCCTCAGAGCCCGGACGACCCATCTGATGACGATCTCTTCAGCTCCGACTTGAGTGATGAGCGTTTGCAAAAGACATTCGGGATGGTGGGCACCCAGGGGATGATCAAATCAAAGCTATTGGTATTGTATTCTGGTGAAGATGAATATTGCCCGCATTGGGTGGATAAGGAAAAGCTGTTGCAGAGATGGCAGCAGGCCACCGAAGCGGGAGGCGCCAAGTGGGATGCGGAAAACAGCGCGGTCATTCCTGGAGCCAGCCACAATGTTCATGACAAAGGTCAGCAGGAGCTCATTGATCGAGTTCTACGATACCTCCAGACCCTCTGAGCGCTGGAGGTTGACGATATTGAAGCATTAAAATATGAAATCCAGAAGACAAGAGAACGTTGAATTGATATCGACAATAAACAGGTCATTCAAACACCACCCAAAAGTGCACGGATTCGGAATAACGGAGGTCAGAAAGGGGTATATCACAGCACGGGCAGTAGGCAAGTCCAGACATGATACCATGCTGGACTTGAGGCAAAGATGAATCGTAGCATTGGGGCACCAAAGTCTCAATGGCAAGGCCCGGTTTAGACCTTCACCCACAAGCTCACCACGCCCTTGAGGTACTCGACAATCTCTGATCCACCCAGCTTGCTCTCGCCGTACAGACGGTCAACGAAGGTAATCGGACACTCAGACACCTTGTAACCCATTGCCTTAGCACGGACCATCATCTCCATCTGGAAGCTGTAGCCCTTGCTCTCGGTCTTGAGGATAACTTTCTCCAGCACTGCCTTCTTGTACAACCGGAAGCTACCAGTCAAGTCACTCACACCGGGCATCAGCATGACGTCCGCGATGAGGTTGGCAGTGCGCGAAGTGAACTTGCGGAACAAGTCCCAGCCGTAAACGCCACCCTTGATATCTCCACGGCTCGCATATCGGGTTCCGGTCACAATGTCGGCGTCGGTCTCTTCTTGAATTCGGATCATCTCAGGGATGAACTTGGGGTGGTGGCTGAAATCGGCGTCCATGATGATAACATAGTTACCGGTGGTATATTTCAAGCCGTGGACGTAAGCTGTACCCAGACCGAGCTTGCCCTGGCGAGGCTTGAGGATGATGTGTTCGGGGCCATAGAGCTTCTGGAGCTGCTTGGCGATCTCGAGGGTACCGTCAGGGGATCCGTCGTCAACGATAATAACCTCCCAATCCAGCTTCCTATAATTAAAAAAACTGATGTTAGCCCCAGTACTCTTGAGCTATACCAGGATAAGCGCATACTCCTCGTTAAAGGTCCTCTGGATCAGCCAGATGATGATAGGGAGGTTCCTCCGCTCATTGTAAGTGGGAAGAATGACCGAGTACTTGTTCTTGGCCGCGCCCATTTTGAAACCCCACAATTCAATTAATAAAGTAAGGAGTGATAATAGATCGGAGCGAAGATCATAAAAAAAAAGAGAAAAGAAAAGAGTAGGGACCGTATAGCTGACAGCTTGTTGCATTCGGCAACGCCAGATGGCGGCCAAGTCGCCAGATCCGGCATCCACCGCCCTGGCAGAATCCGATAGCTTATCGGTTGTTTTGCTTCGACATCCATTGTAATACTTCCAACGTTACTCTGCTTTTCATACAAATTGATCTCAGAAATACTTCAAAGGTTGTAGAGATGGATTCACTACCAGAGAAGCACATTCGAAATATCTCTAGGTGTAAGTGCTTTCTTTGTTCCCTTCACACTTCGACTGTCCCTTACTGATTGCCTTATGTATGCAGCTTCTCGGCCCCGCAGCTCGACAAGAGGTCCTCTAGATGCATTAGATGAGTGAGCATTGTACCTTGCCCTCCACCGCTATATCTTTTCTCTTACATGATTCAGCCCTCTCGCTCTCCCCGAAACACCCACCTCGCCTATCAAACACAAATCTATGCTTGCTGCCAACGACACCTTTTCTGGGGCATCCTTCTACGAGTTAGATCCACTTGCGCCAGATGATCTACCAGAAACTATAGAAAAAGACCTCTCTTTTTTACTCCGGCATAGCAACTTTCATACCCTCTCTCATCTTGATATCCCTCCGCCACTACGAACCGAATTCCTTATCCTCAACCCAGGAGAACCTCTATCAACTTCTCTGGGCATCCTCGAAAAGCTACTGGCTGAGGGTCGATTCCTCATTGCGGCACACTTTTCTGCTTCAATCTTGACCTCGTCTTTAATATCTCCGACGGAGATAAAGATCATCTTCTCCCTTTTCTACACGCGCTTAGCTTGCTTAGATCTGTCGGGCAATACAGTTCTCGCAGCACAGGAATCGAAAGCCCTAGAAGATTTGAGCTCGACATTTTATTACATCGATCTCAAGCCTAATTCGGCTACAGTCGATGATGATAAAGACTCAGAACATGAACAAGAACAGGCCCAAGATCCTCGTCATATTGTTCCATGGCCGCTTCGCGTATTGGCCGTGAGACTTCAAAGTATAGGCTTTGGTGATTCTCGCCGCAGCATTGGTGGATTGTACGAGATCGGCCAGGAAGCGCGCCGGGAGATCATGAGACCCGAAGCTACTGAAGCTGAGCGAGAATTATGGAAAGAACGATTGGCAGATCTAGGGGTTAGGAGCGTGAATGCGCTTGTAGAGATGGGTGATTTCGACGCGGCCAGGAGATCACTTGATAGCCTCCGCGTACCTGGACCAGAGTCAAACATCACGAAGTTGAGGAAAGCACTTTTGCTTTTGCGGATTGGTGATCTAGACGCAGCAAGCCAGATATTTGGTGACGCTAATGAGACGAAAGAGGCTGCCTTATTGAAGCCTCTGATAAGCATGTCAGATGGTCGCTTTGCCGATGCAGTGGCTGAATGGCGCATTCTCGGGGAGGATAGGACCAGGACGGATGGGGCTCTGGTAGCTCAAAATCTGGCCGTGTGTCTTCTGTACATTGGACAACTGGATGAGGTATTTTATCCCTATATCCCATACGCCCATTGGAAGGGGGATCTGAAATTATTGACTGACCTTTTTTTAGTCTCGTCAGCTTCTTGAGGCTCAGGTGTCATCCAACCACTCGTTTGGTAGTTTGATATTCAATCTGTCGACGGTCTACGAGCTTTGTACCGACAGTGCAACTCAGATGAAGGGACAGCTGGCTGATATGCTATCGAAACAGCCTGCCATCGGACAGACCAATTTAGATCGGCCAAACTCAGACCTGAAGTTGTAACGCTTTAAATTGAAAATCACATCGCCCTGGGAGCCATTGAATTCAATCTGTCTGCACACGATCTAAAAAATTAATTGATACTCCATGAATGATACCCCGTCTGCTAATGATACGATGTTTTCCCAACCAACGCCATGCAATGAAACGAACGCCACTGAATGCTCTTGTCCAAAGAAAGTCTAGCCCGACCTGTACTCAAACACTCGACGCGCTTGGTTCCGGCTTGGGAGGGGCCCTCTGCTTCACTCGCTTGATGATAACCCTGTCACCTTCCCGCTCCCAGCGAAGCTTCTCTCGTTCAACCAATTTCTCCCATGTCCAAGTCTGTTCGTCTCCTGTGCAGCCGCCCAAAATCCAACTGATGTGCACGCTGAGATAGGCACTACCCACGGCCTTGAGTGCGTGCCTGCGAACTCGGTCTGCAGCCCAATTCATGACTGCGCGGATGTGAGAATCCACACTGTTGTGTAGTTGCCAGAATACCACCCAATTATCGTGCATTAAGGCAGCCAAAACTTTATCCACTGTCTGTGACTGATAGGAATGCTCTTTCCGCGCCCGCGCACGCAGTTCAAATGCCGCAATCATATCTCCTTGCCGACAGGCATAATCAAGAATCAAGTATGTGACCAGTTCATTTGCTTCAGCGCCGGGTAGCGGGTGAGATGTGTTGTGTACTTTATCCAGAACGTATCGTAGAGAGGGGAAGTATGACGGCGGATGATGGGCAAGAATAGACAAGCGAATGGAGAAGACATGAATCCGCTGTGAGAATTCTGCCGGTGAAGTTGTGGCTGTTGCCAGAACGGCTTCGCGCAGCTTCCGAAGGGAGAGAAGGAGTGTGGATAGCTCTGTTGATGGTGGCGGGACACCCTTCTGTGCGGGGTTTAGTTTCAATGGCGACCGGGAAGCGGGCGGATTGGAAGTTGCATCGTTTGAGGGACTTGTTGGAAGAGAGGCCAATGCTGCATCGAGGTCTTTTGAGTGATGGGCACAAAATCGCATGTATCGATCGACTATGTTGTCGAAGTACTGCGTCTGAATCTTATGGTCCAACAATCTGCGAATGTTAGCATGTTAGCATTCGGGAGAGTGCATATCTCAAACGCACTTCTTATCCCCCTTTGAAACAAACCCAACATTTTCCAAGGAGTCAGATACTGGGCGTAAGCGACTCATCTTTTCCATGTGTTGACATGTGTTGGACATGGCCCTGGAGTATATGATCAACTCTCATTGGAGTTGATGTAATGTTTGTCTTGTTTGCTTTCCTTCCGCCGAGGCTTTCCCAACACGGCGATTCCCCTACGTTGCCCCCAACTGCCCAACAGCTTCGAATTTCTCTCGATCTTTTTTATATTTAATTTCTTCTTTTTTCTCCTTTATTGTCTTTTTTTTTCTAATCAAAATTTCATCTGCTGACTCGTCTTGCATATACTATTGTTGGTCAACTTCAAAACATCCTGTAACTCATTGCATACTTGCATATCACATGTGATTATGCCTCGACAGCGTCGCCCTATTGAACATCAGAAATTGTCGGTAGATAGTCAGCCTACGGGGATGACTACTGTCGGGGAGGAGGCTCACAGTTTGGTAAAGCGACTTCTTCATTGGGATGATCTACCTCACTGGCAACGCGACAACCATCATATCCATACTGGATATCGGCCCGCCTCGTCCTCATTTTTGAGTTCATTTCAATCGCTGGGTTACGTTCACAATGAGACCGTCAACATCTACACCCACCTCTTGCCAGCAGTAATTTCTGCCCCCGCTGCATACTGGCTCTACCAGTCACTTTCTCCGCGGTACCGGGATGCGGCCGATTCTGATATCCTCGCTTTTGCTTGTTTCTTCGCAGGGGCTGCTTTCTGTCTTGGCATGTCCGCAACCTTTCACACAATCTCGAATCATTCACCTGTGGTTGCACGCATTGGAAATTCACTTGACTATATCGGTATCGTGGGACTCATTGTGGGAAGCTTTGTACCTAGTGTCTTCTACGGATTTTACTGTGTACCCGATCTGCAGCACAGGTACTGGTCCATGATCTCTATCATTGGGCTAGGTTGCGTGATTGTATCCGCTTCTCCCCGGTTCCGCACACCACGCTGGCGTCCATTCCGCGCCACCATGTTTGTTGGGATGGGCTTGTCTGCTGTCTTCCCCGTACTCCATGGGGTTAGTATATTCGGACTTGAACGCATGCAACAGCAGATTGGCCTGAATTGGCTCGTTTTCCAGGGCTTCTTGTATATACTTGGAGCCGGGATCTATGCGGCCCGAGTACCTGAGCGACTTATGCCCGGGAAATTCGACATTGTGGGGAGTTCGCATCAAATCTTCCACGTGCTGGTGGTCTGCGCAGCAGCAGCTCACTTGACAGGGCTGTTGAAAGCATTTGATTATCGGCACAGCGGGGTTGCCGAAACCTGTCAGATTCCACGCGGCTGAGTTGGGGTCTAGAGCAACACAAGAGGTTAGACAACATACTCATGGCATGTATCATTAAGAAAAAGAGGTAGCATGAAAATTTTCACTTTGTAGCGTACGTGACGCGGCTTATGTTCAAGAATCTCTCAAGTGTCAAAGGTCCCCACCCGCGGCCCTGCTGACGATGACTCGAATTAGTATGTGCAACAATAACACAATGATGAAGAAAGAAATGAAGCGGTGAGGGCATAATTCTATTACAGGGACTAGATCCGGTCAGCCGATAAAAACTGAGAACCTTTTTGCTTCTATTTCACATGGTTCCCAGCATTGTCCATTCGAGGCTATTGTACTTGTGTCCCATTGGCGAGAGTAGCAAGGCCCCAGCGGGATAACCTTGAGACCAACAGCCCTTGTTAGCAAAAGGTTCATCTTCTCCAATCCAGAAACTTAACCCCGAAATTGACGTTTATGGTGTTGCATCAGGGTGTGACGACTACCAACAAAAGGACCCCTAGCTGGTTTCTCTTGGGAGACGCTGTCCTCTCATATCACGAGCATTGTTCGAAAATAGTGAACGCTGTCAATTAAAAGCAACTTTCCTCTTGCCAGATCAGGTTGGATCAAACTTAGGGAAGATGCATCTTTTTAACATCAGAATAACGGCTCCAGTTGGTCTCCCATGCGTGGTTGATCAGATGGAGCTGGGGTTTCACAGCGGCTGACCTCTGTATGCGGCTGTCATCGGTACTGAATTTGAATGCCAGAGTGACATTTCTACTCCCTGAAGCTTGAGCTTGTTTCTATATATACAAGGATTGCGTGGGGTGGTGTGAAGCATCTGCCTTATTGGATATGTGCTGGTATCATTGTATTGATCCTGGATTTCTATAATTTCCCTTTTTCTTTTCTTTTTTCCCCTTTTTTTCTTTTCCATATCCATATATCACTGAACCCCGGGCTATAGGTATATTTGATATCGTATTGGGAGAGAGCCTACTAGCTTCTTTCGCATTTCCCGCCCCCCCCCCCCCAGTTCACAACTATCAACACACAATGCTTGCAGAGTCCAATGGCAGCCCATATGCCGGTGGAGATACACCTAAACTCCGGACTGCGTGCGAAAACTGCAGGCAATCCAAGGTGAAATGCAACCTGTCTGGCAAGAGTGTTTGTACTCGGTGCCTGCGTCACGGCCTACAGTGCCAATACGGATTTGCAAATCGATCTGGTAAACCAAAGGGTAGCAAAAACAGAGCTACCCTCCGCAAACTAGGCCAGTTGCAAGAAGAGAAACCCACGATGCGTGGCTTCCGCAGTAGTCGGCTTGTTGCCCCTGTGGCCGACATGGAACCGCTAGTTGGGAATAGCTACGGTAATCATATTCCAGACCCAGCAATTGACAACGATGTAAGCTTTCACCTCCGCTTACCAATTCGACATGTTTTAATAAGTCTCCGGCCTATAGGTCTGCTTGATATCAAATCAGCCGGGCTTCTGGGAAAGTCCCCGAAGCTTCGGCAACACAACAACCCTAGAATCATCCGTCTGTCCTGGGCAGTTGACGACAGTTGAAAGCTCTCCATTCCCAGACCTTGTGGATCCATGTCCCGCTCTCCCAGCCGGTCTGGGATATCCACATACGCCCGTGACGCCGACATTTCTGTCCGGGGAACTGGCCGACGGAATGGGCAGTCCCTCTCTAGCCGGTTCTGTGGCTTCGCCGTATCCGATCTCGCCATGTGAGTGCTTGGATATGCAACTATTCCACATGGACCGGCTGAACCACCTACTCGCTGGATCAATGCCCCTGCGGCTCGATCACAGCCTACAGACAATCAAATGCACATTTTGCTCTTGTCAGATGTTCCTGCAGTGTACTAAATGCGCCAAAGACAGCACAAATCTGCTGCTGACCATCTCAGTACTGAATCTCACTCTCCAGCTCTTTGAGTACTGGGTTTCGCGGGAGACGTCTCGCGCTCCGCGCCCAGAACACGGAGTCGATATCCGCTACGGATACTATGAGATCTGCCACGAGGAAAATAGACAGATACGCAACTTCCTACTTCGAGGTCTGTTGTTACAGTGTCGGGATGTATTGCTGGCTTTGAAAAGCACCGCTAGTGCTGCCGTTGTTCAAATTCCCAAGTTGAGCGACCAGGACGGTCCAGCAGAACCGAAATTACCAGATGAGCACGCCAGTCAGAACTGGACTACTTCGGAGCATGTCGGCTTACTTTCCGATTTGGATATCGGTATTCTAAACGGTACGCCCAGAAATGAAGGCCTGCTTCCTATCATCGCAGGGTATGAAGCTACTGTTTCGGCATTCTTACAGTCGACTTCGTGGGGCGAGTGTATCTGTAGATCTGAACTGGTGATGCATGACGAGTCTCTTTGAGTTATACCCACATATGCATGGGAGGTCAACTGTTTTCTGTGACTGTACGTTAGGAAGAATGTAGAGAGCGGAGAAGCCAGGATTGGATTCACAAGCTGGACAGTAAACGCAGATCGGCTATATTAACAAGAAATTGAAAAACATATCGCCTATATATATACATAATAATTGTCTATATTGTCTATATTGTATACCAAAATAAATGATCATAAACCCCCATTTCTCTCTATGTGTAACCCCACAATCTCGGTCCGCGGCGAGCCTCGGCGATCCCAGAGAGCCGAGAGCTTTTGTATAAGACCTTCCCCCTCTTACAAGATTCACATTTGACTTATTCCATCATTTATCAGTTCAAAATGGCTCCCTCCGATCGTCTTAACCAGGTCAATGAGCACCTCAACTACCCAGCCGGTCTGCTAGCAGGCCAAGTAGCCATCATCACCGGCGCAGGCCAAGGCATCGGCGCCGAAGCAGCACGACTATTCGCAAATGAAGGCGCGAAGGTCGTAATCGCTGATATCGATGCCAGTATGAAATCCATCCTTACTTGATATCATGCCCCTTTACATTCCCCATCTAACAACCAAACAGAAAAGGCCAACGCCGTCGCCGACGCGATCAACTCCGCAAAAGCCGGGCGCGCCCTCGCCGTCGTCGGCGACGTCCTCGACAGCAACTATATAACCGAACTAGTAAAGCAAACCGCCGAGTTCGGAAATGGCAAAATTCACATCATCGTGAACAACGCCGGGTTCACCTGGGATGGTGTTATTCACAAGGTAAGACACAATCCCAGCTCTAATATATACTATCAGTACGGAGTACTATGTTGTAACATTCCACTAATCAATTTCCCCCACATAGATGACAGATAAGCAATGGGAAACCATGCTAGCAGTACACAACACGGCTCCATTCCAACTCGTGCGCGCCGCAGCACCCTACTTCCGCGTGAAAGACAACGAGCCGCGGGTAGTGATCAACATCAGCAGCACAAGCGGCATCCACGGTAATGCGTAAGTACCCAACGAACCCCCCGATCCCCACTCTTCCTCCCCAAAGAAAAATCAAATACTAATATCTCAAAATAGAGGCCAGGCCAATTATGCAGTTGCGAAAGCCGGCGTCGTCGGCCTGACCCGCACTATCGCCAAAGAATGGGGTCCAGCTTTCGGCGTGCGGTCGAATACTATTGCATTTGGATTTGTGACGACGCGTCTTACGGCTGCCAAGGAAGAAGGCGCTTTCATTACCACGCCCGATGGAACGAAGGTTGCCCTGGGGATTCCGGGAAAGCAGCTTGCGACTAAGACGGGTTCTGCTGAGAAGAAGGAAGCCGTTGCTTATCCTGATATTCCGCTTGGTAGACCTGCGACGCCTGAGGAGGCTGCGAGGGCGGTGTTGGGTGTTGCGTCGCCGTGGTTCTCTTATGTTAATGGGGAGACGATTCGAGTTACTGGTGGGCGGAATATGTAGATTCTGGGTGTGATAGTGATATATATCTAGGTTGAGAGCTGGATGTACGTGAAATGGAATTTGTTGAATAGTATATATCTGGTTTATTGAATGAAAGTGTGCATATATATATCTCCCATCGTAAGAATATATATTGTATGCTGGGATGTACCATGTCACCCCGAATAAGTCTATTAACCACGAGCTGCACAGGGTAAACCTCATGCAACTCACCTTAGACCCATCTACCGTCAACTCGGAATGGATCCCGTCCCACTTGGGCAGTTTCACGGCTTATTACACACGAAACACAAAACATCCATGCCCGAGTCTCGGCCATTGTCAGACGGTGAAACATTGCACGACAGGTTAGGTCTTTTGACGGTGAAATGTACAAGAGAGATTGAAGGTGAAGTAGAATGCAGTGGTGTAGATTGATGCCACACCGAGGTATCATATCGTAAAAGGGAACAAGTCCCGAAATGTCCCGCCAATGCGAAAAGTCTATGCACAGAGAAAAGAATATCACCCTTAGGTCAAAATAACAAAAAGCCTCTCCCCAAAAAAAAAAAAAAAGATAAACAGAGAAAATAAAGACACTTTCGTGCGTCAACGCCAACTTGAAAATGTCATACATCCAAAAAAAGTAAAAAAAACCCCGTATTCATCAGCCCGCCCAGGGGCGTATCTTCAAATCATGCTTCCCAGTGTATTATCACGCCAGAAAATGGAAACGTAAAACAGAAAAACCCTCCAGGTATGTGTGGAAATATTAAAACAATAAGAAAGGAGACCCGGTCGTGGTCAAACGGTCCATGCAAGGTCGTAGTCGTGAAGCCAGGGAAATGCCGTGGTCCAGAGGAAAAAAGAGTAAAGAATTATGTCCAAAGGGAATAGAAAGCTGGTGGCCGAGTCCAGTGGATCATGATCAACGCGATCAACTTTTTGTTGTTCGGCAGCTTTTAGAGAAGTCCGCTCGGTGGCGGAAGAGAGCAAGGGACCCCAAGATATGTAAAGGGAGATCCTTGGAAATAATTCGACCAAGGAATAAAAATGTAAAAGAGCGTCAAGTCATGCAGCTGCGAGGCAAGGAGCAATTAGACGGGGATCTCGAGGCCGTGTAGGTTGGGGTAATTGAGGCCATAAGCAAAGGGATCTGCGGGAAAGAAGGGCTCCGCGCAGACAGAAGGGAACATGGCCTTGCAATCGGGGACCTGCTCCGAGACTGCAGGCGACATGGTATCGATATCCGAGTAATCCTCGGTAATGGCCGAACCGTCGGAAGCAGCAGACTGGGAGAAGGCCGAGTATTGGGCCGAGTCCAAGGACGAGCCAGAGGTCTGGGCATACAGGGGTTCCATGGGGGCCATGAACATTGGCATCTGGGGCTGGGGAATGTAGTCGATCTGTCCCGGCACCCAGGGGGTTTGGACCATGGGATTCTCCGTGAAGCGGGGGCACTCCAGAATGAGCTGGCGCAGCTCCGGGATGGAGATCCGCTTGATTGGGTCAAGCTCGAAGACGCGGCTCAGGATACTAACCATCTCGGAAGAAAGAGGCAAAATAGTCTTCAAGAAGAATGGGTCCTTGAGGTAGGCCTGGAATGTGGAATCCTCGATCGAGGCACGTTTCCATGGATTGCGACCGCAGGTTAAATTGACCAGAATCACGCCCAAACTCCAGACGTCGTTGGCAGCGGACATGTAATAGGACAAGGGTCGAGCATTGGATTGTTGACATTCTATAAGCATGTCATGTTAGCCACACCGACAGAGAAGGTTAAGTTTTGAGGTTGAAGGCTTACCAGGTGACATGTAGAAGGTGGACCCACATCCAAAGTCGGTCGTATAATAATCAGTCGTAGCTAGACCAAAGTCGGCCAGTTTGACGGTCATTCCATTTTCGGTCACGAGGACATTCTCAGGCTTGAGGTCCCGGTGATAGATTCCAAGAGAATGGCAAAATTGTACGGCGTCCAGGATTTGGAGGAATACACTCTTGGCCAAGAAGTCATTACCGACAAAGTTTCCCTTATCGGTGATGTTTGAGAACAGGTCTCCTTCTGGGCAATACTCCATCACGACATATGTACAATCCACGGAATCCATGATGCGGACTAAAGGAACCACGTTGCGGTGTTGGCTGGCCAGGTGATGAAGTCTAATCTCCCGTTGCTGGAACTTGAGTTGGCGGGCATCCAGACCATCCTTGCAAAGAACCTTGACGGCATAGACCTCGTTGGTGTGAATGTCCACGGCGGTGTAAACAACGCCGTAGGCTCCGACGCCCAAGACTCTGGTGAGTTCCAGCCGGTTGGCTAATACGAGTCCTAGACGATCCTCGGGAGCATAGCGGCGGGGAGCCGGTGATGGTGGTGGTGTTGGTAGCATGGCCGGGTACATTGTCCTTGGGAGGTTGTGTGTGTAAGAGGGGATCCAATGGTCCTCTCTCGGATGAGACAAGGAAAGAGTGAGAGAGTGAGAGAGAGAGAGAGAGAGAGATCGCAATAGTCCCAGGAAGATTATAAGAGCCTAAATCCACGGATATTCAAAAGGCATCCATTCCAATCCAAGGGTTTTAAGATGGTCCAATGTAGGTCCGTTTGGTCCGGTCTGGTTGTGTTTGATAGTCGAGAAGGAGAGAGTTGCACAGGGAACCAGAAACAAAAACAAAACAAAACAAAATAAAACAGGAGGTAATATATAGTGAAATATACAAGAGTCGTGAAGAAGGAGAATGGAAGATTATTATAGAAATATATTAGGCAGATGGTCGCCTCGTGGTTCGAGAGAATAATAAAACAAAGTGACAAAGGGCGCTAGTAAAAAAAGGAAATTATATTTTAAAAAGAAAATATCCCAAAAGGGGAAGGATCGAATGGAATTCTAAAAAAGAAAATTAAAAAAGGAAAACTAAACCCAACAAATCTATGATGCGTACAAAATAGAGTGGCACTAAAATATAAAAAATTAAATTAAAAAAATAATAATAGGCCATGTGTATGAAGCGGTGTGCATGCCCGAGTAATGGTTAGACCAATCATTATGATTCAGTCGCTCTTTCCTGCAGCCACCACAACCGATGATTGGACCATGGATTCATAACGATCGTCTCGAAACTGCTATTTTCCCATTTCTCATCTTTTCTCCTTCTAGGCCTAGTGTGGCAATGCTCTGTCCACGTATGTTCAACGGTGTTTCTGCCTTGAAACCTCCTGACACACATTTGCCAACGCACCCGCCACCTACATTCCATCCAATCAAATTTATGGCCCCCCCAGCCCCGCAAAGCTATGGTATTTTGATCCTTTCTCTCTGATCGGGTTTGAATGCATATCTGTCCTTTGTTTTTATGGATTATGCTGAAATTATGAATATAAGGAGGTTAACTGTTAACTTCTACACCGTCTTTGCACAGATGAAACCCCACATGGAAGGGGGCCCCTTCTAGGCTGACTCGGGCTAGACAGGACGCTAGAGAAGTCCAGTGAGGCAATGATGGAGGGCCGCTATGGCCAACCATTTGCTCGAACTGTTCGTTTTTCGAGAAACTCCCCTAAAAGTAGCTGAGAGGTGGGGTTGGCGCTTCCCTGCTGACTAGTTCAGCACGGGCCACTTCATCTTTTCTTCTCCTGGCGCTAATGTACCTTGACCATCTGGGACATCTACAATGGACAAGACCTCGTATTATTGGTGTTGCCCTGCACTTTGCTATTCCTGTTGCCGTCTCTCCTTTTAGACCGTTCTGTTGGCTAGCCCGTCAGCATAGTAGTTTAGCTCAAGGTCTAATCCGTATAGCCGGCAAGAATAACCCCTGTAGTCCATCAAGTTGCGAGTCTTTAATCTCACTTTTCCTTTATATGTTACTTGCGTCATATACAGGCAAGGGCCATGTACTGACCCGAGTCTGACTGATTCGAACTATATTCCCGCCCCCAATCCCCGGAGCATGTATGAGCATGTATAGCCAAGATGAAGTGTGCCACTCTACAGAGTCATCACACTTCCATCGGCGTTATTGCGGTGAACAAGACACTGCACAAAATCAATAATCTAAACCTCCACAAAACTCCCTGGATCGACACCTGCAAACCCGCAGATAGTCCAATCACCTGATAGAGATCGTAGTTACGATTCATCACATCCGTCGGTTCTCAGGACCCGAAACCTGTCCATGCAGAGATAGCTGTACAATAGCGACTAGTTCCATGTACAACTATGTATCCCGTACTCTGTACGTCGTACAAGGTATCGAAATATCTTGGACTTGTGTGATATGATATGTGCTATATGTGATGAACGCCCGTTCCCCTTTGTGTACCGTGCCTTGCCTGCCTCCGGGCATAACGATTAATGTACCCCAGGATTGGCAATGCAGCTGGCTCGTCCAAAGATCAACAAGGGTTTTCTTGTTTTTCTCTCGAAACCGGGCCATTGCTTTTTTGGCGCTTTGCTTTTGGACTGCGACCGGCAGATTTTGTGTTCAGGTGTGGTCGCCGGCGCGAGTTGGTTTCGGCTTTTGGTTTCGGGGTCTACACCGCTAGAGGTGATCTAAGATATGTCACTACAATGTTTTATTGTCATACTATTTGAGAATATTGTACGGAGTACAGAGTACTGTTGTAAAGTGGCCAACTTATTGGAAACAACCTACCTCATACGCATGATATTCACATGGATCATCCATACCCCCCGTGCCCAATGAGGACATTTCCCTTTTACAATCTCATTTGCCCTTTACATATTGCCTCTCAACGCCCGACACTTCAAGGCAGACGGTGCCCTGCAGGTGGCGGGACCCACAATATAAACACATCTCGACATCATGATTACTTGACATAGACATCCATGTCTCCCGATAGACCAATAGATCCATAACTCTGAAGGGGGTCGGAGATTAACGCCTTATTTTTGCGGATTCTTTTGCCACGGGGTATCTCGGATTTCGTATACACGGCAGTTAGACTCCTGGATTTCCTAAGGGTGGCAAGGGGCACTTTTCTTCCGTTGATCGCCGACGCCTTCTGGAACACTCCACTTCCACTCCAACAACGTAATTGTGTGTATATTATATGTGTTATATACATATTATCATAATAGAAATTGATTAATGCATGCTTCATATCCTGTATTGATATGACTATGATGCATATCGTATATCGAGTACGTGGTCCTGCAAGTAAACTAAACCACATGCAGCCTTCCAACTCAACGCGGAACAGATATCCAATCTCATTGCTTTTTCAAATAACCAACACAGATATCTCCTAGTTCCAAGTAACTATCCATCAAACCAAAAAGCAAATATAATAAAAAAAAAAAGAAAAACCGTTCCAATCGGCACATTCAAGCCCCAAAGCATGTCTCCTATTTGCCCACAATTACCTTGACGACACGTCTTCTACCCAATGGCCACTAACAGTCGGGAAACACGAGCGCAATTCAAGAACTCCCGCCTCTGCCGCCAGGAGAAGCCGAGACAGGAGGCAATAGTCTAGTCTAGTGTCATGTACTCCATACTGCAGAAAAAGCATGCCAATCGGATATTCTGGCATCTATCATCTACCATCTATCATCTATCGATTTTGTGCTCCCTTGGTCAAGGGTGAGATAGACTCCTTCCCGAATCCAAGGCTCTGCCACACCCCACAACCCCCAAAAATGAGAAAGTCCACTCGAAGGTTCCGGCTATTGGACTCAACCGTGGATGTAGACTAGACTAGGTCTGAATTTGGCTTAGAGGCGATCTAGAACTCTTGGAGTTTTTAGGTTCCGTGGTTTATTCGGGTCAGAGTGCTTTTAATTGGGTGTTTGGACTGGGTCCGGGCTTGAAGGGTTGGGGATTTCTTTGTTTATTATTGGGGCCATACTCCATAGTATATTATGCATTATAGAAGTGGAATACACATAGTGTGATTAGCTCTTAGTGACTTGGGTCGATAGGGGGCTAAGGCCGTAGGGGGCGGGAATCGGGGGGCTTTTTTTTTTTTCTTTTTCTTTGTGATAGTGATGAATTGTATTCATTATCGCGCGCTACCGGTGTGCTGGGTATTGCTCGGGGGCCAGGGGCTTGGTTGTTTTTGGTAGTGGGACGATGGATGCACGGACTAGGGGGGTTTCTTTGCTACACAGAGCTATGCTTATGCTCTAATGAAAGGACTAATACCAAGCCACCCTCGATTGGGGTAGGCCTACATCTGAGGGGGGTTGGTGTCTTGTGAAAATGTTACAACATACATATTGGCATTTGAGAAGTGAGATACTAAGTTACTGTACTTTGCATATTGACAAAAAACCAATAGATCGACTCTCACCCGGCAACGCCGATCCCCTCCAGCCGAACTACGCCATTCCAGGACCAGGATTGGACAACCTGGTAAACCTAGAGAGATCAAGATGCAACCCATGTAGTAGAAGCCCTTTCATCAAGCAACTTAGTTACACCCTAGGCGCCAGGAACGGGTGTTTCAAAGCCTCAGCCGGCGTGATCCGTTTCTCAGGGTTGAGACTCAAACATCGATCGAGTAAGTCCAAGAACATTGTCAGCTCTTTGACCTCAGAATCGGGCATCCCGCGTGTTCCTTGTGCCATGAGGCGAGTCTTCAAGTCGCGCGTCGGTTTCTTAAAGTCCACAATCTTGGTGTGGAGGCGGCCGGTGATCTTATCTTGCTCCACGCTGTGGAAGTTGAGCATTTCATCAAAGTGATGAGGCGCCAGGGTTCCGCGGCGCAGGAGCTTCGGCGGGTACTTGCCCCGACACTCCATGATGGAGCGAAGCATCTGGTTGTTGTCGCGGCCGGTGAAGAGAATTTTGCCTGTGTACAGCTCAAAGAGGGTACAGCCAATGGACCAGACATCGATGGCGTAGTCGTAAGGGATACCCAGAATGATTTCCGGGGCACGGTAGAACCGACTGACGAGGTATGGCGTAATCTCATTATCAGAGGCCGGCGACGCCGAACCCAGGTCACAAATTTTCAGAATGTTGCGTTGCTCGTTCACAAGAAGATTATCCGGTTTGAGATCTGCATGTAGGATGTTACACTTGCGGAGGAGACATAGCCCAAGGAAAATCTGTTGGCCGTAGGCCCGGACTGCGCGCAGGTTCAAGCCAACGTCCCTACCGAACTTTTTCAGGACCTCACGCAAATCCATGCTGAGGTTCTCAAACACCATGCACAAGTGACCCTTGTGATCGAAGTATCGGTCGAACTTGATGGTGTGCATTTTGTGCTCCGGGTCGGCTTCCTGTAGTTGCTCTAGGATGCCAATCTCCTTCATACCAGCCTTGCGCATTATGGCGTTCTGGCGAATTATCTTGACGGCAACCAGACTACCTGTCTGGGTGTCAGTTGCACGTACGACGGACGAGAACATTCCCTTGCCAAGGTTTTGGTGGACATGGTATCGTCCGTTGATCAGCTCTCCGAGTCGAACAGCGTAATAACCTTCCGAATCGTCCCAGTTGTCCATCATGCTGATGTCCAATTCTTTGCCCTGGGGTACAGCTGTGGCCGAAGCATGAGCCGGCTTGGCGTCAGGCGCTTCCTCTGCGAACATGTCATCGTCGTCGTCTGCAAACATATCGAATGCCTCTGCCTTTGGCGCTGGCACCGGGGGAGCATCAGGGAGGAGAATGTCCTGCTTGCTAGCCTTGGTTTCATCGTATGCGGCAGAGGAAACGTCGTCCTTTTCATTCTGTACATTCGCATGCTTTTGCCTTTCTTCCTTCATATCAAGAGTTGGATCATAATCAGCAGCAGAGGGATCATCCTTATCAGTACCGAAAAGAGGTGCATTGGCGTTGACCACGTCCATGTCTTTTCCTATACTAAAACCAGGGAATGCCTCCCCGGATTGTTCAAAGGGAGATGCTCGTGGAGAATCTATCGAGTTTAAAGGGGTCAGTCTCGCTGATATCAAGGTAAGCTTGTCGGAGAGAAACCCACCAGATGCTTCCTTTGGGCTAGTTGCCTCAGTGCCAGGCGTGGATGAGTCCGTTTCAACGTCACCGACATTCAGTGCTTTGAGATGTAGTGGCGTCGCTTGGCTTCGGTGTTTCGCCCGAATAGCTTCACGGCGTTTCCGGCGAGCTTCAAGTGCATCGGCTTCGTTAATGGGCTCAGCGAGCTCCGGCTCTTGCGCAATCTCCGGGTTAGGGGTGGTTTCTCTGGGACGGATGTTAGCTACACGTTCTTCCTTGTCAATAATAGAATAAAACATACTCGTCAGCCACATGTGCTTGAAGATTAGAAGAAGCCTGCACCTGGTTCTTTTGTTTTTCAGCACCAAGCCTCAAGTCCTGAGAGACGACCGAAGCCTTTCCTCGTTCCCTCACCAACTGTTGAGTGGGCAAGCGCCGTCCGGTAGCCGTTGAAGACCTGGCATTAACCACGTTTGAATCAAGTTCATCGCCTGAATACTGCTTGGGTTTTCTCGATTCACGGTAAGGGGATCGGCTGCGGCTGCGGGTGCGTTGCCTCTTGTCCTTGTGTCTGTCATGTCGGTCGTAATCATCACTGTATCGTAGGGCTTCTCCATGGGTCTCTTCGCGATCATAGTCGTAGTATGAGTTTGGGCGCCGGTTGGGAGCGGGTCTGTCACGGCGTCTTTCGTCGTACCTAGACCTGTAACGTCGCGAAGGCTCCTGGCGGGGTCGTCGGTCGTAGCCACCATCATAGGATTCGGGATCATCGTGGCTGCGCTTTTGGGTCTTGTTCTCTCTGTACGGGGAGCGAGAACGGGATCTCGATAGCGACCTGGTCCGCGACCTCTGCCGGGGTGGCGATCGAGTGCCTTTCAACGACTCGGGAGATCTGGGCGCAGAGGATGGGCTAGCTCTGGTGGGACGGTCAACGCTGGTGCCATTAAGAGGAGGTTTTGACGCAGTTGCCTTCGTCTCTGGGCCTGATTCGACGATCTCACCCTCAGAGGGGACTGATGGGGACCTCGACCTGGGATGCGACATATTTGCGGGGTTTGACAGATCCAAACAAGGCGCGTAGACAATACTTTTTTTTTTTCTTTTGGGGTCACTTCACTCGGCCTTTGGAAGAAGCTTCAGCAATAAAGCTCAGTTAGCAAAAGCTCCAGCGACAAAATGTCTTCTCAAAGGGTTTGTGAAATTCCAACCGGCTGTAGGAGGCCTGCCTTCACACCAAAGCCTTGCAAAAGTGATTAAAATCCCAGGCGCATAGTTTTCTGAAGAAACAGGGTAGATAAAAGCACGTGTGCACAGGATATCGATGACAGCAAGAGATGAATTGAGCCATGGCGAATGCTCGATGGCCGAGATAGGGCAGAACTCGCACTAGTACGGTTGTAGTAGGCGGTGAGTTGAGTTTTGGGGGTACCCTATCTGTGCTGAGATCCCTTTTGTTTCCAGGACACCACTAGCCGTTCGTGGCTTAGTGTCTATGTATTGTAAATACCTGATTTCTATTCTACATAGTAGTAAGCCAGAAACTCAGTGGATGCTGTTTGTATGTGCTTGAAATACTACAATACTCTATACACTAGATGGTAATTTGTACGAAAATAGCTCAGTTTGCGCCCCCAAGTGGCCACAGAGGGTGTGGATAAGCACCCCCTCATGTATCTTTTTTTTTTCTCATTGCCAACGCCGTTGAAACACCCCGCCATTTTAAGACTCTTTTCAACCCTCTCTCCCCGTTAATTTTATTCAGACAAAATGGGTGGTATCGGCAGAGAAGGTTCGTTTTACTTCACACTCTAGTAACTTTCGAATCCTGTTCACTAATATCTTATGATCTACAGGTGGCAAGGCCAAGCCCTTGAAGGCTGCCAAGAAGGAGAAGAAGGAGCTCGATGAGGATGAGCTCGCTCACCAGGCCAAGATCAAGGCTGGTATGACTTCTTGATCACTCTCTTTAGAGAGTCATTAACTGATAACTTTATTTAGACGCCAAGGCCCGCAAGGACATGCAGGATGCTGCCAAGGGCAAGAAGGGTCCTCTCAACACCGGCCAGCAAGGCATCAAGAAGTCCGGCAAGAAATAAACGGATCGCATACCCCTCGACGGATCATTTGCCAACAATCCCCACAACGAGCCTTGACAACGGTTTTCTTGAGTCCATATTCACGACCTATACGAGCCATGTTCAATGAGAGAGCGGAGGATGGGTTGGCTTTGATTGTGTGATCGCGCCAGCAATCACTGCACTCATAGTTCACTCCTATGGGTCTTCTGTATATCTTTAGCCAAAATACCTATTTCGCGCTTGATCGCATTTTCACATATACGAGTTCCTAGAACGATTGGTTTTGTTAAACAGTAATGACATTAATCGGATCAAAATACATCAACATAAACCGCCACAGCCTGGGCTCCGACAAAGTGGGTATCATCCTGCCATGCAGGGGAATCAAACGCTCAAAACACAACCACCATTCGGAAAAAGAACAAGAAAACTGCCCCGGAAAAAAGTAGGAATCATAACAGGACGCTAACAAGCCCACAGTATCATCAGAAATGAGGTCATGGTCAGCGGCGCAGAGATCAATTCACAATTCAAAAGCCACTAACTTGTGACTCGCTTGACCCAGAGATTATTGCCATCACCAGCATTCTCCTTCTCGTCCAAACGACGCCACGCTCGAGAAATCTTCAGACCAAGGTCGTGCCATTCTTTCTTGATATCATCAATCTCGTTTTCTATGGCCTTAATGCTCTTCTGGACCTCGGCTTTAGCAGCTAGGTCATACATAGCCGAATTAGGCTGAATGACTTTGCTTAAGTCAACGATCAACGCCTCCAAACTAAGTCTGCGCTGTTCAAGGTCGTCCCGCTTGGTCTCCATTGCTTTAACGCGGCCCTGCGCATCGAGTGGTACATCGGGTGGAGGTGGAGGCGAAGGCGGCTGCACTGGCATCTGGCCGATCTGCTGTGCGACCTGGGATGGAGTAGGCTTTCGGACGGGCTTGGTCGAGACGGGCTGCTTCTTTGAAATCGGGTCGTTGATTGGGATTGGGCGGCGTCGGGACATGATAGAAGATGTGGATACGTCGTCTGTAGACCGGGTTTGGAGCTGCATACTCCCCCGTGGGCTTGCATCCTGACTTCCGGGTTCGGTGGCTGTGTATGTAGTTGCGCTGAAACGGCTTCTGGGCTCATTGCTCGTGAGCATCATGTTGCTGATATCATCGTCGAACTTGAATATCGGGTTGGTCTCCTCTTGCAGGCGAATTGGAGGGTTCTCTGTTGCCGGTCTCCGGGGAAATGATACTGGACCACCGGCGGAGATAGTGGTTACAGTCGTAGGAGCGAACCCAAAGTTATCGAGCGGGGGATTCGCGTTTAGCCCACCGTTGCCATTGCGCTTGCTGGAACGTTCTTCCACTGGAAACACACGTGACGAGGATCTACTTCTGGGTTCCTTTTGAGAAAGATCTTCGTTCTTTGAGAAACTGCTGATCCGGTGTCGAGCTGCATTTAGGGTCTTCTTGGGATTGAACCCCTGGCCCCAGTTTAGCAGGTTGGACGACTGAGCTCCAGAGGATTTGTTGAAGGAGGTGTTGCGGGGATACACCTGGCTAGCCCTACCAGCATCATACAAGGCTGGTTCGCCGGAAAAGTTATCCCAGTGGGTCGATTTTCCAGAGATGAATCGCGTAGGTTCCTGATAATTCTGTACTGGCTGAACTGGCTGAACTGGCTGGACTGGCTGAGCTCGGGAATGAGAAGGCGTGTCAACATAGTCTACCTTGGGATTGGGAGTGGGCGATGATGAGGCCCGAGTCTCCTGTCGCGCATAACGAGGGAATTGGTCTCCGACACCGATGGGCGAGACACAGAAACTACTTTGGCTTTCCCGCCTTTGAGCTTCAAGCATCGGCGAAACAGCAGGCGAGACATCTGAGTTTCTTCTATTGATATCATCACGCGGGACGGAATCCTGTTGTAGCGACGAATGCAAATCGCTATTTCCATTAGATATGTGCTATTAAAGAGGTAGAAATCACAAAACTTACTCAGGCAGAGGGGGCAACCGTTTTGCGACCAAATCATGCACAGGGTCTGATGTGGTGGGTGGATTGCTGTTCAATATGGGGCCGCTGATTGAGGGCCGCTTGGACTTGTGAAACGGCCGTTTAGACCACATATCGATTTTTTCACGCTCTAGACGTGATATCGGGCTGGTTTTGGTCGGAAAAGAAAGCGCAGAGTTCACGCAAAACGATGCATAAGTTTAAGTCACAAGAGAAATAATGAAAGGGGATAAAAAGAGGTAAAGAATCGCAAGAATATGGAAGGGGTTCTATCTTTCCACGATGCACAGCCTAACACGGAAGCCTATGGAATATATGGCAGAACACGAGAAATTGTATAGACAAAAACGAGTTAACCACAGCAGAAAAAGCAAAGAAGAACTAGAAACCAATCTTGGAAACATGAAATAATGACATGGCATCCGCTAATAGAAGTGGCCAGATTAAAATGGGGGCGATAGTCCTGTGGAGAGAGCTTGAAACATTTGGGCGTTTTACGTTCGAAGTCCGGGAGTCTTAGCCAATGAATTCACATGTCAAGATGATTTTCCTAAATATCCTAAATATAACTGTGAAAAAGAATGAAAGAGAATGTCCATATAAGGTCCAATCACGTGCGGCGGGGATATCGATGTCATCCCGAGCTTCCGAGCTTCCTAGTGTTTCTATCTGTCTCCAAGATTTACCGCAATGGGTATGTGTCCTACCTTGTTGATCTAAATTTCTTTTGTTAATCTGGAAGTAGATAATTCCGTGCCACAGGCTGAAGTGTTTGTGTCCCCTATATCTCACTCGACGCGCCACAGAAGATGAGACAACCTAACTAACCACTCGCTGCCCAACAGGATGTCTATCGCCACGCCCATCAACCTGATCCTAGTTTCGCTCTTCGGAGTCTTGGTGTACTGGCACTTCCGCCCCAGGGCGCCACTCGTGCTCCCCCGTGGCCCGCCACCAACCGTCTTCAAGACTTACACTCCCAAAACTCTCATTGAGTTCAACGGCGAGGAAGGCCGCCCCGTTTACCTCTCCGTTCGCGGACGCGTCTTCGATGTTTCTCCTGGCAGGAATTTCTATGGGCCGGTATGTGTTTGGAATTCGTGAAATGCCACCCGGGCAGCGCTGCTGGAGCTGAAAGCTGACAGCACGATTGGTACAGGGTGGACCTTACGAGAACTTTGCTGGCCGGGACGCCTCGCGCGGCTTGGCTTTCCAGAGCTTCGATGAGGAGATGCTGACCAAGGACCTGTCGGCGCCGTTGGATGAGCTAAAGGACTTGGACGCGGAGCAGCTGGAGAATCTACAGTCGTGGGAAGACCGCTTCTTGGAGAAGTACCTGGTTGTTGGAAAGTTGGTGGCTGAGGGCGATCCTGAAGCTCCGAAATCGTAGTCGCGCAACATAAGGAATGGGTGAATACATATCATATCTTGGGGATGTGTACGACAATGGCAATGACTGATATCTAGCGTTTACAAGAACAAGCGTGAGCTTGCGAGGGTTATGTGATTTATTTTTCGGCATCAATTCAAAATTTTACGCAACCGAACCTCATGAAAGTAACTGAGCTGGCGACTGTTCTACCGCTAGCATGGACACAGGATAGTAATAAAACAACGGAAAAAGAACCGCTGCTTTTCATCTTGCTCTTCTGACTGGGGAACCCACGCATCAAGTTTTGAAATTACCTGGGCTCTACAAGCATCTCACGGATCAGCAATCAAAGTTGCTTCACTGAAGGGTAGATGCAGTTCGCTGAATGTCCACGGGTGGTAGTTAGGTACCTCTCACTGTAGTTACCTACATATGCATACTATTGTCGGACCTGCCTAGTATCTAATTACTAAACCATATTTGGAAGTTACCTGTCTCTGATCTACTAATAGCATTGTAGCATCATAAGCTGCTGTCTACTTGACGTTTTTATCCTCATCCTTCCTACTTGCCCTGATTGTTTATCCTGATCTTTTTACTCACCTTCACCCTGCGGCCACCATGCCTGTTATTTCTGCAGAAGTTGCGTTGTTCCTCCAGGACGAGGGGCTTCTAGGACCAGCAAGGAATACCAAGCGCACAATATCAGTGACGGCGTTATCCAGTCCGCAAAGTCCCGATCATCCTCTTCCTCGAAATCGATAGATCGCATTAGCCTCTCAACAATGTCAGATCTGCAACGACGGAGAGCTACACTCAAATTCAGTCCCCAGATGTTCAGATTGACGGCGAGTGGCGGAACGCTATCCAATGGGTATTTTACAGTGACCATGCCGAAGAACTCTTTGCCCAGTGCCGTAAAGGAAAGACATGGATCCATTCCATTGGAAAGCTTGTCGAAGCTTTCAAATAGTAGCTGTCTTTCGGCGTTTTCTTATCTTTGTAATCTGCCTACCTATTGTTACTAATGGCTTTGAGTTGACCTTAAGTATACTTTTCTTTCCGCCTCTTTTTGCCCTCTACCTATAGAACTTCAACCGAGAAGAGGGAGAAAATATCTTAAGACATCTATGTTACAAACAGAATATCTGAGACCACTAAAAAAGACCACTAAAAAGACTACTAAAAAGACATCACAAGGCCGCATGCGCGGCCGTCTACTCTTGTACGGAATAAACCGACATCTAGCTAGTTGACAGATCGGTATCTGTCCCATCTGTCCCATCTGTCCCATATCCCTTGTGAGACGAAACTTCCTGCAGATCTATGTGACGCCAGAGGCGGGTACTCTCTCCATAATTAGCTACAGGACGGTTCTTCTCCACCGGATGAGATGAAAACGGGGATCCATCCCATGGAAACGATTTTCAACGGGAGATAGTAATGATATTCTTAAGAACTATAACGGGTAATGGACACTAGGAAGATTTGATTGGATGGGAGAGTGAAAGAAGTATGTAAGTGGATCCGAGAACAAGAGGATTGTCCACGGGTGTATAATCAGGTCACGTGGCGATAAAGATCTATCGCAGACCAACTTTGAGAGAATTCCACCGCCTACTCCTTTGAGGAGCTAGAATACTGCCGTCCACGTGCGAGAATGAAACACCCGCTGATTGGGTGAAGCCCGACCGCCTATATAATGGTAATAAGTCGCCTAGTGACCAAGATGTTTACTCTTTCAACTCATCTAGAACTGCTCTCTCTTTGGATTTCCATCAGTTTCCTTTATCCTGCTTGTGTTTCAGGCTGGCGACTGCTGCTGCAGTTACAGCTGATTTAATCATGCCGGACGAGTCGAAGGGGAAGAGCTTCCCCGACGTCTCGGCGAAACTCTCCGCGCTTCCAAAGAAATCACTTTTTGAGCGTCAAAAAGCTGAAGCGGAGGCCAAACGCGCCCGGGAAAAAGCAGAGACAGCTGCAGTCTATGAAGAGTTTGTCAAATCATTCGAAGACGAGGATCCAGCAGTACCGCAGTCATTGGATGGAGGATGGAATACATTTAGTCGCAAGGGTGGTGGACCTCCCAAGCGTCATTTCGCAGCTTCCTCTTCACGCGGCAGTGGCCATGGACCCTTAGCCCTCCCGCCGCCCTCACTTTCACAGAAACGTTCCCATGAAAACTTCCCCCTCTCCCGTCGCGACCACAAGTTTGAAAACATGCTTACTTCACCTGAAGCCGACAGGGTACTTGATGAGGAGGAGAGGGCAGCTCCCAAACCCACGTTGTATCTCGCATCGCTTCCTCCCGGGACATCTCCGTCAGTGATCAAGGCATTGATCCCCTCAACCCTGAGTGTGGACAATGTTAAGATTATCACCCCATCCGGACAGTTGCCAACCCACCGGGAGTCCTCTTCTGCTCTCGTTACCCTCGCAAGCGACTCAGCCGCCTCTATTATCGACACAGCTGTGAGCACCCTGCAGAACAAATACCTTGGCTGGGGGTACTACCTGGCCCTCTGTCGACACCTTTCCTCTACTGCGATCAATCCAAACGCGCCTTTGCCCATCAGCCTCCCGTCGACTACTACTTCTCTTCCGTTTGGCGCAACGCCTATTCCACCGAGTTCCGGCACCAGCTTGAATCGAGCTCCACCACCCGGGCCACATCGCGGGGGATTCGCACCCCCAAGCTCGTATGGATCAAGCGTTGGTAGAAATGGCCCAACCCATCAGGTGCAGGTGCAGGTGCAGCTACCGACAGACATAAGATTGTTAAGACAGATCCACGTGACTATTGAGCAACTCGTAAAAAGAGGTCCTGAATTTGAGGCATTGTTGATGAGTCGGCCAGAAGTCCAAATGGACGAAAGGTGGGCCTGGTTGTTCGATCCAAGATCTCCTGGTGGTGTATACTACCGGTGGAAGTTGTGGCAAATTATCACCGATCCCAAAAAGAAGAACATCGATAAGCCGGCGATCATCTTTGAAGGTGGTCCGCTCTGGTTACCCCCGAAACAACGCCTCAAGTTTGAGAACGTTACTCGCTTGGACCAATTTTTCTCACATCCAGACTACAACTCATCTGACGAAGAACACTCGGATGGAGAAGATGAAAGACGGAACCTTGGTGGAGCACCTCCAGACGGAAGCAACACACACAGCGACGAACCTAACTTCTTGAACCCCCTGAAGATGGCCAAGCTTACTCATCTTCTTGCACGACTTCCGACGACCAATGCAAAGCTTCGACGAGGAGATGTTGCACGAGTTACAGCATTCGCCATGGATCACGTGGCAACGGGGGCGTCCGAGATTGTCGACATGGTTATTCAAAACGTTTTTTGCCCTCTAGCCTACACGGGGGCGAACCCAAACCGTGACCAGGAAAGGAATGCTGCTAGAATAACGACCACAGACAAGGACAGCGCCACCTCATCCGAAGATGTATTCGATATGTCCTCCGCGAAGCTGGTTGCCCTTAACATAATAAGTGATATTCTTTGGAATTCGGCAAATTGTGGCGTGCGCCATGCATGGCGATACCGGCAGCTGTTTGAAACCGCTCTCCGCTCCCGCAAGGCGTTTGAACACCTTGGCCGACTTGACAAGGACCTCAAATGGGGACGACTGAAAGCAGAGAAGTGGAAGCGCAGCGTTGGCACTCTTTTAAGCCAGTGGGAAGGGTGGTGTTGTTTTACGCAATTGAACCAGGAGCATTTCACCCAAGTGTTTGAAAAGCCACCGCTTACAGAAGCCGAATTACAGACTCAGAAGGAGACGGAGAAGGCTCATGCAGAGCAAGCTGCTGTTGCGTTTGCCAAAAGCAAGAGTCGATGGAAGACAGTTGATGATGAGCGAGGTGGGAAGTTTGATCCTACTCACCCTGCAAATGAGAATAAGCCATCTACGTCTATCCATGCGGCGGGCGAATCAATGACCGAAAAAGATGGTATTGCAATGGAAATTTGTGACCTGAAGAACGTTGATGGGGAGTTCATGCTCAAGACATCGGGCGATGAAGATACCCAAACCGAGAACCCCGAGCAGCCACAGCAACAACTACTCCAGCACCCAACTCAATCCAACCAATCTGAACAATCAGCTGGGCAGCAGGATCCAGAAACACGGCGACGAAAGCCACGGCCCAAAGCTGAAGACATGTTCGCGTCGGATTCGGAGTAAGGTTGGGCATTGTAATTGTACAGATTATGGATAACATCGGACGATAACTGCAAGATACATGTAATGAATACAATGAATGACTATTTAAAATATTTTCTCCGTAGTATAAATAGAGATGTAGTAGTTAGGACGGAGGCTCTTGGACGATCAATACATAAGGCAGCCAGGCATCATCGGCAGAACATTTCCTGCCCCACAACCCCTCATCAACAAATACCTTTCTCCTTTCGCGCTCAACTTCCTACACCCTTCAAATACAATCGCACCTTTCCTTTTATTCCAAACCCCACAACTTCAAAATGGCTGGTATGTCTTTCTCTCTCTTGGTTCATCTATGCCTCTCCCGAAGGGGAGAGGTCTGATCATTTGGATCCCAGCAGTGTGTGACTATGTTGCGCAATGCGATGGGAACCGATGAAAGAAGCAATGTCAACACACAAATATAAGAAATTGGCTAACAAACTTGGCGATCTATCAGACTTCAACGCTATCGCTCGTATGTTATACCCATACTTCCCTAGTTCATCTACATGGAACCTGCAATGCGCCTGTTCCCGATGATCCTGTCATCCCAGGTGGAAAAGCTCCCGAAGAGATGGCTGTCATATCATACACAAAGTATCATGTCCTAACTTGTGATCAACCTGTACAGAGCAGTTCGTGCAGTTCTACTACCAGACCTTCGACGGCAACCGCGCTGGCCTCGCCGGTCTCTACGTAAGCCCCGCTCTCGATATGTCCTTACAAGTGAGATATGTGAACTTGGACTGACAACAATTATCAACCAACAGCGCGACCAGTCTATGCTCACCTTCGAGACCAGCTCGGTCCAGGGTGTCGCTGCCATCACTGAGAAGCTCGGCGTTCGTCAACCTCCAAATCCTGACCCATGAGGGTCAATATGAAGAATATTCCAATACTGATTTCGCAACTCAAATAGGCTCTTCCCTTCCAGAAGGTTCAGCACCAGATTGCCACCTTCGACGCTCAGCCCTCCAGCGGAGACGGCATCGTTGTGCTGGTTACCGGCGCCCTCCTGGTATGTTAAATGCCCCTGATGTCTCCCGTCTTCTTAGCTAATGTCAATTTCTCTCTTAATAGGTCGACGAGGAGCAGAAGCCCATGAACTACACCCAGTGCTTCAAGCTGCAGCCCGATGGTGCCGGAAGCTACTTCGTGCTCAACGACGTCTTCCGCCTGATCTACAGCGCCCAGTAAATTACGGGCCCCGAACCAAATACCACGACGCGATGACAGGGAGATGTGCTTTCTTGTGAAGAGGATATGCCTTGGAGGCGACCGGGTGAAAGATCTGTCGTTTTGTCGCAAGTGACACCCCTCGACTTGTGATATGCTCATGTCAGAATTTATTAAGAATTTATTTTTTTGGATCACCGATCATTCTAGACCTGTATGGGATTTTGTTTCTACCAAGCTACGAGATAAGCACTATATAAAAGCAGCAGACATCACATGTATCATGCGCACATTACTGGCTCTGAAGCAGCGGCGTCTCCTCAGATGGTCGCTCCTCATGCGCGGATTCTTGCTGGGCGCTCTCACCAGCACCCGATCCATTGGGCGCCTCATTTCCATCAGCCAGCTGCCCAACTTCCCGCTTGTTTTTCGACCCGAAGTACTCAAAATAGATTGCCATCGTCAACAAGGTACCCTGCAAGCAGGCCGTGACAACTAGCACGCCCCAAATACTCCAGCCGCTCCAACCCTTGCGGGCAGCCAGGCTGCCAGCCCAAACAAGACTCCCAGGCGTCTGGATGCACATCATCGGGATACTCAAGCTTCCCACGCAACGCAGCCGGAAGGTAGTGTAGATCTGCGGGAAGTACTGGATCGACGCAAGCACCGCAGATAGGACACCGAGGAAGTTCGCCCAGGCCTGGACAGCGGCCGGCTGGCGTAGCTTGAACGATAGGGAAATTACGATGGTGACTAGCGCATGCAGTAAACATATTCCCGTTATGGCGAGCGCGGTGCGGTATGTTGGTCCACCGGAGGTGGAAGAGACAACGCTCACTGGGTCTGTGGGGGATGTGGCGCGCGGGAAGTAGATCACGAATAGCAAAAGACTAGATACGGTCAGACAAGCTCTGGTGTTATTCGGTCGGAGATTAATCAGAAATTATTACGGGAATCGTTTGACTCACATTGAAAAGAAACAGAGCCATTGCATGGCCACCTGGAATACTCCCAGTAGCCCTGCGAAACAGGCGATCCCGCTGATCTCCTGGCAGCAGGCGACATCTTGTGCGGTGGATGGGAATACCAGTATATTGGCAAAGGCTGATGTCCCTGATGTTACCCCTAGAAGTATGAAGTATGGGGAGATGCCGAAGGAGCTTCGTCGGGAGATGATGCGGATGTGTTGGGGGAGGTATGAGAAGAGGATGCCGAGGATAATCAGGCTAAGGTATGTTAGTGACAGGGGACTGTGAGTTTTGGTTCTGGGGGTGCGTACACAGATAGCACAGTTTGGAAGATGCCTGGCGAGGCCAGCTCGCGGCAGTAGGGCGTTAACGGGTCCATTGTTGTGTCTTTACAATGTATGAAGCTCAGATGAGGAGGTCGGGGTCGGGAGCTCGTGGCAATAGCTGATTACGCAGTACGTCACATCGGAGGTTTCGCTCTTTACTTCACAAAAATGAGAGGAAATTTGTTATTTTGAAAGACAATGAACAGGAATTACTGAGTTATTATAGGTAGAGTTGAGTACGTCGTTGGGCATCCCTCTCTGCCTTGATGCCTCGGTGCCTCGGTGCCTTGATGCCTTGAATACATGGTGTGTGTTAGTGTTTTGGCTAGTTAACTAGTTATCCCTATTTGAGATTAGTGTCAACCTTCCAAGGTTGGAACTATACCGACGATGTACATCGACAAGAACATGAGCATGGCGAGCATATCAGGGATAGGAAATAAAAGAGCCACTTCTTCCCTCTTTTCTTGTAATGTGACAGGGCTTTTGGGGTTGGTGGATGACAGGCGCGACGATTGCGGTTGGGATTATTGCCATTTGTACATAGAATAGATACTCCAGCTGAACTTAAAAGGCGTGTATGAATTAGCAAGCTCTAGACAATTACAATAAGAGAGTATGATCTTGTTAGCTACAAAGTCGAGGTGAAGAATTACTGCCTTATACTTCGGGCATCGACATCTAGGCTGATAGACACGCTAAACCGTATCAAGTAATTCATAGAAACTACATACACATGCAGCTGGATTTCCTATTTGGGATGCCGCCGCTTTAATGAGGGCGCTCAGACTCAGGCTCTCAGAGTAAATATCAGCACGAGCTCAGAGTCAAGAGATGAGCTCAGGGCAGTCACGTGAATGATGACTGCTACTAGGTAATTGCTCATTGGATGCTTACTGATTACTCAGTGACAGTGGACTCTGTGTTCAATTAGTGAGTAACTCTGATCACTCAAGACCACAGCAGACTATACCTTTAATGGAACAGCCCCATAGTGTCGTTTATACTGTGACGTTTAGTTCGTAGACAGGATCGCACCCGCCCTTAATTTTCTGAAACCTGCCTATCCTATTAGAAAGGAGATACGTTATGCTTACGGGACATAGGAGAAAGTAGAGGGTTTCCTTTGCTTTATGATGCTACGGTTAAGTGTTCTTTGTAAATTATTATTATAGCTTAAGCTTAAAATCTTAAATATAAAAACCAACTATATTCCTAACCTAGTATATTTCCTCTTATTCTACGGCACTTGGAGTTTTGGCCCGTTGGTGGTTCCTAGAGCAGTCTTGATATTTGACTAAAGCTGAGAATGAGGATTTTGGGTTCTGATCGAGCTAAGGAATTCCCTGATCTTGTATGACTTCCTGCTCCGTGTCGGTCATAGCAATTCCCCCTCTGTTTTGCCAGTTGAGCTAATAAAGAAAATCCTCGGCGTACTCTTCGTATTGCTGTATAAACTCCTTCATGTCGAATTTCGAGTCAAGGCGCTTGTCGGCAAGAATAATTGTTCCGGCTGCAGAATATCCCTCTTTAAAGGCAGCAAACAACTCGGGTTGATCCACGTGTGGGATGAAATGCTGGTTATCACCGGTGACCATCGCTCCTTTGAAAGCCTGATAGACAGTCTCACTTTCTTGACTTAGGTCGACGATGTCACACTGACCGAAGTCAAGCAGGAAAAGACAAACTGCTCGGTGCTGAAAGTCTGGTGGGTTTCCGCTCGGTCGTTGCTCAGCTGTGGTCCCAAAAACAAACTCAATATCATCCCCGTTGACTCCAGCGCCCCAGTGCAATGTGGCGTATGCTTTACCAAGAGCGCTGGCAAGCTTGATAGTGTCGATACCGATTTGCTTCATATTGTCGAGGTACATAGGAAAGTTTCTCAGGGGAGACTCGTGGCTCAGAGTGCCGTTTTCTTTTCCAAGGTACACTCTGGCCAGGCAGTGCTTGTTTCTCGGATCTGCGAGCAGGGCCGATGCTTGCGAAATATCCGCAGTGATAAACTCGTTAATCAGCGCGCGGCGAACAACTTTCGGTAGAGGCAAAATACGCTGCAAGAGCATAGAGTTATCTCGAGTGCGGTACTCCCGTGGGAGCTTTGGCAACAACTCCTCCCAGAACAACTCATCGCCTGTCTTGGGAATGAAGCGCAATGCCTTGGGCACCAAGACTTCGGAGTCCGTGAGAAGTTGGTAGCGGTCGAATGCCGCCGAAACCTGACAGTGGATTGTGTACTCCTTCCTCAAGTTTGACGAGAGAGTCTCATTTCCTGGTTTTTCCTTCTTCAGGACTGGCTCTTTTCCAACCCGTTCAAAAACAACACCTTGTAAGCCAACTCCGATCTGATTTATCTGCTGCAGGTGTGGTCGATTCCGCGCGGTCTGAAAAAGCTGGCTGAAAGACGAGGTTGTAGAGATGACAGATCTTAGACTCAGGGACCGCTCAAGAATAACTGTGTCCGGGAGTTGCTCCAGCCGTGTGGTATCCAAATAGATTTCCGCGATCCTGGCCTTGCGAGCGATAGAAGAGGCATCTGAACCGGTGGACGTATCACTGATATTAAGCTCACGGCGCTCGGACATGGTGGCAGGTGATCGGTGTGATAGAAGAAAATTGAAAACGAACTGGTGGCAGGGGAGTGAAGAAAATCTGAAGATCAAGATATAGAACCTTGAAGGGGACCATCCTTGGATGCAGCCTGCAGGAAAGGCTATGATTTTCAATACGCTTTGATTACGGCTATAACACAGTACTGGGCCTACTAGGCTCTGGTTGACCTTATGGTGATGTAAATGTCTCCAGAGCAGTATGTATCAGCGGACAGTAATCGATGATACAGCTCTATCAATTTGAAAGCGCCTATTGTATCTGGGTTGGTTAAATGGGACTCAACGCTAAACTATATTAGGCCATCACATGATCATTTACATCTACGTTTCATTACCATCGGCTGAGGAAAATAGCCTGTAAGCCTTAGCTCTAGTAGTCTAGTAGGCTCCTCGGGGCGCATGGTGGTCCAACAACGTCATTCAAGAATGGCGAAAAGAATTGACGCTATACGCTTAGAAAAGCCTTCGGTACGACGGGTCAGGACGGCCAGGCTTCGGATGCCTGATTTTGGCCTATTTATTACTGCATTTGATGGGACTAGGGGTGATGTAGAGAAAAGCCACACGTGATGCGACTAGCGTGTTGCATTTTATTGATGTAGCTCAAGCCTCAGGCCGCTCATACTTTCGCTCAGCTCATGCTCAGTGAGTAGATTTAGGTTGCTCAGGTGACAATCAGGTGATGATCAGTGAGCGGATCAGGGCGCTCGGAGGCGTGCCCAACTTTACTCTAAGATCAAAAAGCGGCAAGAGGTGAGCACTAAAATGGAAAGGGAAAAGTCTCGAGGGCCAGGCATTATCCGGTACATATGTACGTAAAGCAGGAGAGCATTTTGAATAAAACCTGGCATAGATAGAGATATCCATATTCTATTTTGATACTAAAAAAGAAAAGAAATCAATCCAGGCCTAGCAGATGAGGTCCACAGAATGGATGATTCATGCACTCCATCCAAGGCAAATTCCCCAACTACGTCACTGCGCAATCATGGCCCTTTCTTGCTTTTACAGCTCTCTTTAAAATCTTCCATTCCCAATCTCTTCAAATTTATATTCATACCTCTTGACACTCTTATCATTTTGTCAAATACACAATGAAGTTGAATTTGGCCACTGGCCTCATCTGCTTGCTAGCTTCCACTGAAGCAGTCGCAGCTTCCAGTTGGTGGAGCAAGGCTAGTATGTTGTCTTGGCTACAAGGATTCCGTTTTGGAAGCTAACATTATCAGTCTACAACAAATGGCATGAAACCGAGCTCGAGCGATGGCTCTCGGACCATAGTATGTAACACTGGTCTTTCCGTCAGCTTCATATACTCACACTTCATACAGATATCCCCCATCCCAGTCCTGCCGATCGCCGCGACCTGGAGAACTTGGTCAAGACCAACTGGGATACCAAAGTGCAGAAGCCCCTTGGTCAAGCTGCCGAGAACTTCAATCATGAGCTCCATCACGCCAGAGAATGGGTCTTCGATAGGTAAGGTGCTCAATCTCCCTGTTGTGAATGAAAGCTGACCGGTATAGTTGGTCCGACTCTCAGTTGAAGGCATTCCTTGATCGCCACGGCATTCCGGCTCCCCAACCCCGCAGACGCGACCTTCTGATCAAGACCGCGCGTGAGAACTACGAAAAGATCGCAACCAAGGTTGGCGAAACGGCTTCCTACCCTGGAGACTGGCTGTATGAGGAGTGGTCCGACTCGGATCTCAAGGAATGGCTCGACGAACGTGGATGGCCGGTGCCCCAGCCGACTAGCCGTGACAAGCTCATTGCTTCTGTTCGCCGTAACTCGCGCATCATCAGCTTGCAGTCCCAGAGCGTTGCTGCATCTGCATCCGCTGAGGCCGAGGCTGCCAAGGAGACACTGAGTGATCAGCTTTTCAACGCTTGGTCCGACTCTAAGCTGAAGGAATTCCTCGACGAGCACAATGTCAAGGTGCCTCAGGGTTCGAAGCGCAATGAACTCATTGCTCTAGCCCGGAAGAACCGTCACTACCTTTCCGGTCAGGTGGCAAGTGCCTCCTCCGCTGTGGAGGAAGCGTTTGGTGCTGCTACCACTAAGGCTGGGAACGAATATGCACGCGCTACTGATTATGCCAAGCTGAAGATTGAGGATGCTTTCGAGACTGCGTTGAATGGCTGGTCTAACTCCCGCCTGAAGGCGTTCCTTGATGCCCGAGGCATCCCCGTCCCTCAAAACAGCAAGCGTGATGAGCTCACTGCTAAGGTTCGCGCTAACGCCCACAAAGCTGCCGGTGGATGGACCCAGTACAGCTTCGATACTTGGGACAAAGAACACCTGGTGTAAGTATATACCTGTCTGCTGATTATGATCTCACTGGCTGACTTTCTCAGGAACTACCTATCTTCCGTGAACCACAAGGCGGCCGAGCAGGTCGATGCCTCCCGCGAAGAGCTTATCAAGCAGGCCCAGGATTCCTACGCCAAGGCTTCCAAGGCTGGCGGCGAACAGTATGCGTCTGCGACAGCTGCTCTCGCCCAGGCGACTGGCACAGTCAAGGACTCTACTTTCGACCAATGGTCGCAGTCCGAGCTCAAGAGATACTTGGACAACTACGGTGTTCCTGCCTACCAGGGCTCGAACATCAATGAACTCCGAGCTGCGGCCCGGCGCAACGCCCAGTACTTCAAGTACGGCACCACAAACCCGCAACAGACCATCTACTCCCGTCTTATGGATACTTTGAACTGGGTTATGGAGCAATTGAAGATTGGTGCTGCTAGCGGCCGCGCCCAAGGCACTGAAGCTGCCGAAAAAGTCCAGAAGAAGGTCTCCGAGCACACGGAGAGCGTGCGTGGAGAACTTTGAGTTACTCTTCCCATATGCGGATCTTTCTTCTTGTTTTTCTTGTGCAACAAAGTTGGGATGCACGATTGGTTTTGTGAAATATCTTCCTAAGTTACGATGATTATGACATTTGGATTATAATGTTTTGAGTCTTTATTGTAGATCATTAACTTTATGAAAATCATGGGATCATTGTAGACTTGGTACATAGGTACTGTAGGCAACTAGAACACTAAGTACATGTACGGAAGAGACAGAAATGGATGAATAAAGTAGAAAAGGATATGTAGTACTTCGCCAGCGATCCTTTAGAGCTCTATTAGTTGAAACTTGACATATCGTCCATTTAAACGGCCAGGTTCGTTAAATTTAGCTGACATTTAGTAATTATAATCAGTCACGCCAATAGGATTCACTTACATCCATCGCCGTGATGCATTTTGAAAATATTCCTCGTAGAGTGCCGGTGGACTGGTGGATAAGTGATGGGAAGAGCCAGACATGGCATGCCCCGAACAGACCCATGGTTTGCGTGATATGCTTCTAGCAATGGCGATTCTCTGCAGAACCTTCACCATTGTTCAGAAACAAGGGAAACATTGAGTAAAGATGTTGCCTGTAGGTTTCTAAGTTGATCGAAGGAGGAAATAGACGAGGTCTACTCCATACAGGCCCCCGGGATACTGCCAAGCCCCTTGGCGCCCCCCACTCCTTGTTCCCGGTATACTCCTGGAGCTGTAGGTCCATTGGAAATCATGATACTTATGTCGAACGAAGGATTATATGGTGCGCAATATTACAATGAGAAATAAGGGATAAAAATAGGTTTGACATGTATGAGTTCTCAATTACCTCGAGTCACAAGTTCTACATTCTTCTAGGACAAAGAATATGCGTAAATATGTATTCGAGAAGTCCTACATTATAGAAATAAATAATAATGTACTAAGCCTAGCCTAGGATTTCCTCGTTTGCTCAGCTGCTTCGGTTGCTGTAGTTGTAGGCTCATCCTGAGGACCCTCCTCTAGAGCGATATCCTTCCCCACGGGAATTGTGACATTAAGCTCAGTGTTCCGGTGGTTGTCCATGACATCTTTATTGAAGACATTCACGTAAATGGGGAAAATCAATGCGAGAACAAAGCCCATCATTGGGATTGCCATGGCAATGTGAGCATTCTTGTTTGTCTGTGAGTGCACAATGTTAGCTAACATACTTGAAACTTGGAAAACCCCTAAAGCCAGGTTATGGAAACGAACCACAATAGCTCCCATCATAGGAGGGAAGACCATGCCACCTGAGATGGCTGCAACAAGCAGAGAGCCACCACGCTTAGTGTGACGACCAAGGCCACGGAGAGCTAGGGAGAAAATAGTTGCGAAGCAGCACTGTTGAGAATTTTCATTAGATATAGGGCGCAATTTACCGATTCATCGCGTTACTCACCGACTCAAAGCACAGAACAAGGATAATCATCGCCACTGACGTAAATCCCTTTGTGGTCATGGCGGCCACCGAGAAGACAACGCAGAGGATCAAGTACACTGTCAACATATACCGAGGTTTGAAAGCCTTTATTAGCATCAAGCCAGTAGCCACAAAACGGTTGAAAGCGTAGAGACCCTGCGCAATGGCAAGCAAGTCGGCTAGGAAAACATTGTTAGACTTCGACACTTAGACATAGTCTTTTTCATGTCACTTACATGATTCTGCAGATGTTTTGCCAGCTTCTTTGCAAAAGTTGATAAAATAACCAGCAACAGCCACCTGTGCTCCCACATAGCAGAACTGGCTCCACACGCCGAAGAACAGATTATATTGTTTTTTGAACGGGGCGGTGGTTTCGCCATGGTCGGAGATCTGCACTTCCAGTGCTTCCTGGTCCGCATCTGTGATCTCAGGGAAAGGAACTAACCAAAAGAGAACGATAAGCAGAGCGACAAAGCAGGCTACCCCAAGGTATGTGTATTGGACATTCTTCAGCCCGGCATTGTCATCCACAGTGTTGGCAAAAAAGACGCGGGAGGCGAGAAGAGGCGCAACGAAGGTTCCCACTCCCTGGACGGCTTGTCCTAGGTTCAGGCGGATCTCGCTGTATTTTGGGGGTCCGCAGATCGAGAGGAAGGGGTCGGCTGCGGTCTCTAGTGTGGATAACCCAGCACCGACAACCTATTGGTAAGGTTAGAAGTATATCTCGGAGCGAGGGTTTTTGTTTCACCTACAAACATGCTACCGCAAAATCCACCAAAGGACTTGTTTACGCCACTAGGCCAGAAGAGAAGACATCCGACAGCTAGCACGGCGAGGCCTGGTCACAAAAGGATATGTCAGCTGGTGATACAAATGAATCCTTGGAAGTAACCTCGTGTTTCTTACCGGTCATGAAGGTAACTCGGAACCCATATTTGCGGGCGATCCAGCCGGAGATTGTTAGTGGACAGATGAAGTAAGCACCGAAGTATGAGGCTTGCAGGCCACTGGATTTACTAGCGGTGATATTAAGGGTTGTTTGGAAATGCGAGTTCAGAACATCCAACAGTCCGTATGCGAATCCCCAAAGAAAAAAGAGGATCATAACTATAGGACCGATGTTAGAGCTTTACCATCAAATCCCACCAAGCCGATGCATACCTAACGCATTTGGAAGTAGAGACTGTCGTAGAGTCAAGTGAATTGCTGATGTGACGGCATGGTCTTCAACAGTGATCTTCCGCTTGAAAATACCCATGATGGATTATCGTCAAATATAGACTTGTTGATCTGCAAGCATGCAACAAAACTCAACGTAGGGGACAATGAGGATTTTATAAACAGACCCCAGATTTTCCCCAGCTTCACATGGAGCCACGAGTGTTCCGGCAGCGGGATAATGCATAGCGAAGCCACACGATTTTCTTTAGATCAGCTGCCATTCGTCTCTAACTCACTAGCAATTATCTTATTGCACAACGGGACAGACAAACCAATCAGAGCCTTTGATGGGCGAGTAGCTTCTACAGAAGCCAATTAGCGTGTACAGGGGTGTCTTCTCTTGGGCAGTGGACCGAATACGGAGTCGTTTAGATTGTGGAGAACCCGGGGAAGTTCGGGGCCGACAAACTCCTTGCAAATATTTGAGACTCGATGTTTTTTATGGAGTCGGATGATATTATTTTATGATGGGATATAGATATGGTCTTGTCGCTAGGTCTATGCCCACGATTTGTGCCCTTTCTGGTCAACCGAGTTATAAGGGCGGGAGGATCTCAAGCCCCGTTCTACTATACGCCTCATGATTCAGCTTTTCTGGAGGCGCATATCCTGTCCAATAGACATTCTGGTGGACCCTGAATTGCTCGTTAAGGCTTGATTAGTTGTAGCGCGTTCAGATCTCGAACGGTTATCATTAGACCGATAAGCCGAGCAGAGTATGGGGTGATAACGAAGCCATGTATATTGCCCTTGACTTGATGCCATGCTTGATCTCACCTGCAGTTGGAAGTAATAGTCGACTACGATTCATGCATTGTAGTATAGGATCCGTTATTGATCTTCAAATATAGGATCATCCGAGGATGGATGGCCCTAAAGACCATGGACGGGTTCCCTAGAGGGAAATCAAGCAAGCAAAATTTCTTTTGTGTTCTTTCTGAGATCCACTGTGAAGCTGAAGACCTTTGATATATTCGTTATCTACCGTGCTGCGCGATAGAGTTGGATCTACATCGGATCATCGCCCCTACTCCACAAGCTGGGGCCCTTGGTGGACCAGCTCGAATGTCTCACAGGATCCAGCGATGGGCTCCGCGATGTACTTTATCATGTTGATAAGCCGATCTAGGTGCCGGGAAGAGCGTATAAGATGCGTTTGGCAATACAAAAAGGGTTATTAGCTAATGCATGTTGACCTCATGAGGCTGAAAACCTTGTAGATCTACTCACGATGCATCACATATTCCTATCCTATTTGAGCCATTGAATCAGATTTACTTTCTTGAAAGAATAACTGATTTGGGCCTCGCGTCCTCGCTGTATGCTATGCAATTCTTCATGGAGAACATGGTTGATTTAGATGTAATGGTTTCTATATTATGTATTATACAGGTCACCAATAATCGTTCCGGATGCTGAGTAGTCACATAGTATCAAATTTACATTTATGGAGTGGGATATATGATATTTGCGAATATACAAAAGTGATCATATGGGAGGGTGTTGAGCGGTCGATAATTGATAATTTCCTATGTCGCATGCGACCTGCATAAATATTGACATTCTACAATATTGTAGATTAATGGATGAACCAGATCTAGAATCAGTCCAAGGAACTATCTCAAGCTCTTCTGGAATGCTGGTATATAGGGACCAAGCGGAAATCAAAACCGCTTTAGTATCAGATGGAGTCAGATGGAGTCAGACGGGGTTGGCCCTGAATGGATCCCGTTACGCACGCAACCTCCGTGCAAGAGGGGCTGGACCGAAGAAGCCCTGAGCGGCTGAAACCATTCTTCGGGTGAACGTCTGTGTTGAGACCGAATATCGTATCCCTTCTGGGTAGAAGTAGGAAGGTCTTCCATGGATACAATGCCTGATAATCTCCGAGCAGAACCAAGATCCATTTTGTACCTGGGTACATCGTATATTCGAATAGACTTTTGCTTTCAGCTGAAATATATCGATGTCCTACTATCAGATCACATAAAAGGCATCATGATAGGTGAACAATTCTGCATTTTTCGGATAACGATTAGTCCGCAAGACATTGCGTCCGAGATATCCGCTCAGCGCTGATGTCTGATTCCGGGATTCAGGTTGAATATTTTTTTTTTTTTTTTGAACCTAGACTCGAGGACCCTGAACATTGGTTCTGCGGTATCCATTTCTCCAGTTCAACGTGGATTCCAGAACCAAACATACAAAGGGGTTTGGGATTCTCACGTTGCGTGGCGAGAAAGAAAACCATTCAAATTCGACTGCAAAAGTAAATAACGTTTCAACATTGGTCTAGAACTAGAAACTATAACCTAGAACCTAGAACCTGTATTCTATTTTATTAGCAGATACTAAAATAGCACAATATAGTAGCAGGAAGCATGAAATGGTGGCGAAGCCCATTCAGGCCCACCGTAGACGGGATGGGCTCGGTAGTTGGTCACCCTAGTTGTAGTAGCGTAGACAGAGGAGTCCTAGTAGATCATATACGAGAATATAGAATGAAAAGAAGAAAGAAAAAAAAAAAGAAAGAAAGAAAGAAAGAATAGAAAAAGGCGTGTAAATCGTCAAATCGAAAAGCCAAGAATTTCAGTTGGTCCGAGTGGCCTCCGACTCTCCCCTCAGTAAACTCTCAGGCAAACTCCTCCCTTCCCTTCTCAACTTGGTTTTCTCATCTTACAACACAATCTCACTCATACCTATAATCTCCCTCTTCCTACTTATTATCTTGAGTTGAAGAGTCTGCTGTATTTGCTTGCTCTCCCCATTCCTCGCCCATCGCCCGGTAGCGAAACGGATTGATCAAACGACGAGGTGGCCCGACAGGGCTGCCAGACCGATAGGAAATGTCTGGTCATATTTCATCGGAGCATTCTCGCTCGAATTCACGATCCTCTCAAACGCCACACTCCAGAGATTCGACGCCTCGCCACTCCTTCGGTCGCACCTCCGTCTCCAATCCAAATGTCTTCGCCGACGAATACTCATTAGAACCCATTGAGTCCGATCGCATCCAACGCCCCCACAGTCCTTCATCCATTGCATCCTCCGCTACTCTTCGTGAGAACAATCAGTCAAGGACCGTCAGCACGGCTACAACCGAGAACGAGAACCCTTTTGCCGATGACGCTCGGGTGTCCTTCGATGAACCCTATCGGTCAAGTCTGCCCCAAAAGGGCTACCCTTTCGCCAACAACCGTAACTCAACCTCCTCTCTCAACTCGACACCGTCTATGATCCAGCGAAATCAGAGTGTCTCTTCTCGTTTCTCGATTCCCCGCGCTCTCAGTCCCTACACCGGAGCCACCGGACCCAGCCATCCATATGGTATGTATCCACAAGTTGGGGTTAGCCGGACGCCTAGTGTGGGTAGTACTTCGACAATACGCCCGGTCGAACGCCCACTTGAAGACTCAACTGGTCCACAGCACCCCTACGCGATGTACTCGCAGAATGTGGTCGAGGAAGGAATGGATGATGATATCATCCCGGTCGGATTTCCAGGTCATAACCCACCATATCAGCCACCCGCTGGTCGCCAAGCTGATGATGTGGGTGATATCATTGGACTGGATGGTCATGCAGAGCCGCTACCACCCTATTCACGCTATCCAACTGGTGTCGTACCCAAGCCTCCAGGGGCTGAACCGATAGCCGATCTCGAGACCCCGCCGGAGGAACATCGTCTCAACAATGAAAGCCCAAGAGCACCGCCGGTTTCAGAAACATCATCAAGGGCTTTGATGCCTGAACATTCTGGTGATGGGAACGGAGAGGAAAGAGTTGTTGCCACCACAGGCATCATGGCTTTCGAAGAGAAGCTCAAACGCAAGGGGAAACAGACTGCATGTTGTGGCCTGCCAGTGTGGACCTTGGTCCTCATTGCAACTGTGATGCTCATTGGAGGATGTATTGGAGGTATCATTGGGGGTATTCTGGGAACCAAGAAAGCCGCAGAAGCTACAAAGGATGACCAAGAAGCACAAAAGTCCAGCGCCTTACCAATTATAACGGTCACTGCGACTCCTCAGATGGATGCGTCCATGATATCAACCCCCACAAACATCAAAGAAATCCCTACCGGCAGCTATCTGGTTCCATCCGGTTATCAGAATGGATCTGGGCTTTGCGTGGACGAATCGAATTACGGGAAAGCCTGGAAATGCATGCAAAGACCGAGCGAATTTAGCATTCATATCGGCGAATCAAAAGGTCACCATTCCATCGCTTTCGACTATGGTCCTCCAACCACGACCTTCACATATGGTGCCCAGGCGCCTTATTGGTCTGCTACACCTACGCAAGCATTGAGTATGGCCATTGATACCACTGATATTGGCATGGGCCCTGCTCTGTTCTTCCTTTCGCCGTTCGACAAGTTGGTCATTGTCCCGGAGGATACATTCTCTAATTCCCTTTCCAAGCGCACATGGGTGGAAGACGGGTGGGCACAGGCAGACGCCTACAAGAACCTGAAGCAGACTGCAGAGGTCGGCGACAAGCCATGGTTCTGTTGGTGGAATAATACGATGATGGAGTTCTTCTTGTACGTCAACCAGTCGACGTCGTATTCCTTGAGCTCCACCGCTGCCATCAACAGCAACATGCCAGCAAGCACAGCTGGCTTGAATTCTGACTCCAAACGTGGCGACTACCCCACCGTCGATTACCCACGGAGGATCAAGATGGAAGAGCGCCGAGACGACCCATCGCGTGAATCTCCTTACTGTCAGCAAATGCAAATCCGCAATAACGGGGGTCTGGCGCTTCTCTCGGGCAACATTGTCAACATCAAAGAGAATGAGCCCACACCGACTACTACCTACACCAATTATAACGGTGGCACTGCCCAGACATACACTGCCAAGGCATCATACGCCAGCCCGTGCTACTGTGTGTCTCTGACTGACTAGTCGGACTCAACCTGAAACAATATCATTTATTCATTGTGGTCCCTTCTGCTGTGGACCTAGGCGTTGGCGTTGAATTGGCCAACGAACTGGTCTTAAACTCATGTGCACATGATCGTCTTTCTTCTTGACTGTGTGATTTTATATTCCTTCTCTCCCCGCAAGCTACTTGCCTTGTGGGATGTTTCGTTTCTTGCATTATCCGCGACTATGCCTCCCCCTTTTTTCGCCACCTGTCATTGCGGCATGACATGATTCTCATTACTTTGCGAGTTATTCTTTCATATTTTTTTGGGTTATATTTACTCTATCTGTTGATTGGCTCTTCTTACTGGTTCCAACTCTGGCGTTCATTGGATTGGTATGGTTCAGGTACTGTGATATGCTTGATCATATATCGTTCTCATCTGCTATGTTTTTAGGATCCTGGGTTGAATTTTATCCTATATTAACATTTGATGGAGAAGCAGTTCTATCATCATCTCACTCAATCATATTGCCAGATACGTAGACATATTGTTTTGGTTTCTCCTGTGTAGGAGGATAACGTAGCATTGGCCATCAATGGGAATCCGCCTTACAGATGTCGAAATAAGAAGCTCGAGATCGGAAATAGGGGAACCGAAGAAATATTATACTTTAACATCGTCGGGTTATATGCAGACTACCCTCCGTATAACTAGCAGGTCTTGCTTCATTAAGGTAGGTCATAGTAGAGGTGGCATTCACAGACCCGTGCACACAGGTGGACCCCAGAGGAGATGACTCAGCCACACATCACGTGCAGAACCGTAGCACGTGACCGTCTCCCAATTCCAGCATGCAGGTTGGAAAATGATAGGTAATGAAACAACAAGGGAAGGAAAAATCACATAATGATTTCATCTAGAACTGAGTAAAGCTCAATCAACCCTTTGACACTTGAAAGACAGCAAGGTGTGCATTATATTGCACCCTGGTGCCCGATTGGGAGCTCCCGCTTGACACCTGAGGCAGGCACACTTCCGACAACTCGCACCTTGCACCCCATTCCTCTTGCAACCTCTCCATCTCATCGTTCCCCCATCCATTCCTCTCCCACAGTGTCATCTTCTTTTTCCGATACCCTCCCTCTCTCGATATCGCATGATCTCGCGTCGATTTCATTGATCTGCTTTATCGATTTCCCCCGTTTATTGCGCCTGTGACCCTTAAAAATCTGTCTTTGGACCTCCAGATCAAATGATCGCGTCTCCTAGATGACCTTCCCTCCCCCTCACCCTTCCGCCCAATCGTCGATTGCTTCTGGCACCGATAAATCTTCTTCGACCAGGACTGATATTGGTGCCTGGGGTCGGTCCGTGTCGCAGTCCGGCGCACGTCGTGGGTTGACTCCACTCGCGACCAACATATCCTCCGCCGCTCCCCCCACGGCTTCCCGGGGCTTGGACGCAGGCCTTGGGGTTTCGACACCATCTTCTTTCTCTGCAGTGCTGAGCTCTGCTAGGGGTCTCTCCGGTGGAAGTCCCAAACCCACATCTTCGCCGTTCACATCCTTGCAATCTGGCTCGCAACAACACGCAACAACCCTCTCGTCTCCAAAGTTCCGAGCTCACACCCCTTCCATAGGGTCTCATTTGGCCTCTGCTACAGGCTCCACCCCGGGTGGAGGAGGTACTGGGGGAGGAGGTGGTGGGCCGGGATCTACCAGAGGTGTCTTCTCGCCGCTCTCGTCCGGAACAACCGTGAATTCTCCCACAGGCTTCGCTTCTGACAAGCCGGGTTCTGCAGCTGCCCACTCGAGCCAATCATCGCTCACCAAAATCTCCATTGCTCAGGTGTTCCTGTTGCTGGATTCTATTACAGAGAAAGAAGGCAAAGAGAAGTGGGAAACAAAGGCTGCCCAGATACACAAGGTTGGTGGTGCTACCCTATATCCCAATTCACTCGATTCTAACAACGGCAGCTTGTGACATCGAACGGAATGGAGGTCTTTTCCAAATACTTTCGCCGCCTCCTAACAGGAAATGCGCCACAAATCTTCCCGGGTGTTAACAAGTCCGTCGAGAATGCGGGCAACTACCCTCTCCTTGTCCAAGAGCTGCAGAAAGTGTCTTCGGACATGGAGCAGGCTCAGAAAATCGCTGAAACAGTAGATACCTCTGAAGGAGATATCTTCCGCGACTTCGACCTTTCCACTTTCTTGGATCATTTCCGACTCGACCCAATTGTCAAGGTTGCACTTGCCTTGGCCTTTAAGCTGACTAGCAAGTCAGATCTTCGTGCTAAAGGTATGTTTGTTCTTCTACCCCTCTCGATTTGCTCTAACAACTCCCATTAGCCGATGCCATCCTCTCGAATTCCATTGCCCCTTTCCTGCAGAGCTTGGCGACTCCCACCGACGTGACTAAAGATTACCACAACTCATTCCTCGGCATGACGATTGAACGTTTCATCTTATACCCTCCCCGCAATTTTACCGACGATGTCAAGGCGAAGCTGGTTTACGCGGCCAATCTGCGATACCAAAAACTTGGCTTGGATATGCCATTCGAAGTTTCATCTGCCCTACAGATGTTCAATTTTGTCAACCCTCAATATGTCCTTGTTCGACAGCTTCATGCCAAGGGACCTCGTGCCACTGCAAATATCGAGACCATAAGTGAAATGCTAAATGCAGACCAGAAGAACTTCAGCGAAGAGCATCTAGCAAGCGCCCTTCTCTTCATGATCTTGTCGCAATATTGGGAACAATTCTCGCTAGAGACATTCTTAAGTGCATATAACGACAAGCCAATCAATTGGCCCCTGGTGTTCCGCAACTTCGATCGTGAGGGCCTCCGAGTGGATCCGAAGCAATTCACCAAATTGTACAGCGTTCTTGCCGCCATGTCGGTCGACGACTCGTCTTTGGATGTTCAAAAGCTTTGGGGTGGAGACTGGGAGCATCGTGACACGCAGATGTCATTCCTGACAGCTTTTGTGGCCTCTCGGATCGACCCATCACACATCAATAATCTTCGCGCAACTTTCCCCCTGACTTCTTTGAAGACGCCCCTGATATCGTCAAATTGCAAGGCGAGCGTGCGGCAAAGTCACCTCTTCGGTCCATGGACGCCATGAAAGCAATTTTCGACCTTGCCTTGTTCTCCCAGGCTTCATGGGCTGCGACAGAAAGCCAGCTCCTTATAAAAGCGGTTGTCCAATTTGATCTGCCAGTCTTCCTCTGTTCCGCTCTTGCTGTTCCGCAGCCGTGGTCCAGTGTCCAGCAGAGCTTTGTCCTCCGCACGTTCATTGTTTTCATTTCGAAGCAAGAGGATGGATATCAGCTCGCTCTCCACGGTGCCTGGCGACAAGATCGACAGTGGGTATCAGAGCAGCTTTTTACCACTTTCACTCAAGATCCCACGTCCACCGCTGTGATCTATGAGCATGCCGCGGCATACGGATGGCTTGATTATCTCCTTGGGTTCACCAACGGTCTTGCCCTCGATCTCGCCTGTTACTCCCACCGCAAAAGTCCCTTTGACCTTGAACAGTGGGTTCGGAATGCCGCACAGAAAGGCGCCATCGATATGGGTGGTCTCCTTTCCAAGTTCCTGCGAATCAAAGCCGAGGACGAATTGCACGTCCAACGGAAGGAGCAGTCTGCTCATCAAATGGTCAGCCTCGCAGTCAAAACTGTTTACACGCTTTTGTCTGTGTTGGAAGAATACGTCGGGGACCGCGAAAATCTCACACCTGTCCAGCGCATTTGCATTCAGACATATCCTCGCCTGATTAACTACGGCGAAGGGTTCGATGATATCATCGACGCCAATGGCGAGAACGGCAACACGTTGCCCGATTCAATCGACAAACAAATGCAAGAGCTCTTTGGTAAAATGTACCACGAGGAACTCTCGCTTCGTGAGATGCTGGAGTTGATGCGCAAATACAAGTCTTCGCGTGACCCCACAGAACAAGATCTGTTCGCCTGCATGGTGCATGGCCTGGTCGACGAATATCATTGCTACCACGAGTACCCCCTTGAGGCTCTGACCAAGACTGCGGTCATGTTTGGTGGCATCATCAACTTCCGTCTTGTTGACGGCATCACGCTGAAGGTTGGTCTCGGTATGATCCTCGAGGCTGTCCGCGAACATGAGCCCCACGACCCGATGTACAAGTTCGGTGTGGAAGCAATTGAGCAGTTGATCAACCGTCTTCCCGAGTGGGCTGGTTTCTGCCACCTACTCTTCCAAATTCCATCTCTTCAAGGCACCCCCATCTACCAAAAGGCAGAGGAGGTGCTCCGTGAGCAAGGAAACCAGATTGGGGAAGCTGAGGCAGGACCCTTTGATGGTCTTGCTTCTGTGCCCCTGACTAATGGCAATTCTGTCGACTCCCCTATCGCTGATGGCTCTGTGCGCAAGTTCCGTGCTGTTCAAGTCGACCCACCTCTTCGATCTGAACTGTACGAAGAGCCTGATGAAGACATCCAAGACAAAATTCTTTTCGTTCTTAACAATGTTTCCGAGCAGAACATTGATGAGAAGCTTGAAGATCTGCAAGAAGTGTTGCGCGACCAACACCATCAGTGGTTCGCCGCATACCTTGTGGAAGAACGTGCCAAGTTGCAGCCCAATTTCCAACAGCTCTATCTTGACCTTCTTGGGCGCATTGGTGACAAGATCCTCTGGGCCGAGGTCCTGCGAGAGACCTATGTCAGTGTCGCTAAGTTGATTAACTCAGAGAACACTTTAAGCTCGTCTACCGATCGCGGCCACCTGAAGAACCTTGGTGCTTGGCTTGGTTCGCTGACTATTGCCAAAGACAAACCCATCAAGCACAAGAACATCTACTTCAAAGGCCTGCTTCTCGAAGGCTACGACACCCAACGCCTAATGGTTACGATCCCCTTCACCTGCAAAGTCCTTGTGCAGGCTACAAAATCCACAGTCTTCAAGCCACCCAACCCCTGGCTGATGGATATTTTGGGCCTACTGTTGGAGCTTTATCATTTCGCCGAATTGAAGCTCAATCTCAAGTTCGAGATTGAAGTCCTCTGCAAAGATCTTGATCTCGACCACAAGACAATTGAACCTGCAGTCGTCATTCGCGATCGTGCTGCACACGCCGAGGAACCACTGCCCACTGTTAATGCCCCAGAGGGTCTTGCTGAACCATTTGAGGACTTGTCCCTCAGCGCTATAAACCCAGCCATCCGAAACGAGAGGCTGTCTCCGGCCGCCATCATGTCAACACTGCCCAGCCTCGACAAGATCCTTGTGCTACCCTCATCAGCGAGCAGCATGGTCGATCCCACCATTCTCAAACAGATTGTGCACACCGCAGTCGAGCGCGCCATTGCCGAAATCATTACTCCTGTCGTTGAGCGTTCTGTCACCATTGCGTCTATCTCCACCGTACAACTTGTCTCCAAGGACTTTGCGATGGAACCTGATGAAGAACGTGTGCGCCATGCCGCGGGCATCATGGTCCGACAACTTGCCGGTAGCCTGGCACTTGTTACCTGCAAAGAGCCTCTGAAGGTTAGCATGACTAACTACATCCGCATGATTCAGCAAGACTATTCCGAGCAGCCTATGCCCGAAGGCTTGATTCTGATGTGTGTGAACGATAACCTCGATGCTGCCTGTGGTATTGTCGAGAAAGCCGCAGAGGAAAAGTCTCTGCCTGAGATCGAGAAGGTGATTGAGCCTCAATTGGAGGCCCGTCGTCGCCACCAGGCTAGTCGCTCCAACGACCCCTTCATTGATCCTTCAATGAACCGTTGGGGATTGTTCATTCCGGAGCCTTACCGTCAAGCGCCTGGCGGTCTCAACAAGGAGCAACTCGCCATCTACGAAGAGTTTGCCCGTCAATCCCGAGGCCCGGCGCCATCCACTGATGCATCGGCTGGTCGTCAGCTCCCCGACGTCCTGGGAGAATCTTACCCTGCTATTCCGAACCTTTCCACCCCGGCTGAGCAGCCAGCCATTCCTCACAGAACCCCCCAGCCGCAACCTGCTGTTTCTCAAATGCCCCCCGTTCAGACCAACGGGTTCCTTGATGCTCAAAGCCCCCGGGAACGGGTGGAAAGCCTCGTCTCCGATCTCCAGCAGTCTGCTCGCAGCGCCCCTGAAGAGCACGTCAAGGACCTTGGCAGAGATAGCGCAGTTCTCCAGGAATACAACCAGGCATTGCGCAGCATCCTTGCCTCGACGAATGGCGAGGAGCTGGCACGACTGACCTCTTTGAAGGTTTGCACCCTTTTGTATTCCCAGCCACATGGATCTCTCGAGATTGAAGTTCTCGTGCACCTTCTTGCCAAGCTGTGCGATATGTCCAGTCTCATTGCTCGGTACACATGGGCACTGCTCTCCGAAGTTGATGATGAGCACATGTTCAATGTTCCGGTCACCGTTGCTCTCATTGACGCAGGCCTCCTGGACATCCGTCGGGTCGACACGAACCTGACCCGACTCATTCAATCCAGGAATGTGCCCGCTTTGGAGTTGCTCGGCAACTTGATGGACCGCGTTCTCTTTAATGAAGAGCCCTCGGCCCTTCGATCAGACTTCTCTGGCAGTCTAGATGCCATGAGCCAATGGCTCGCGGAGGACCCAACCGTTGCTCCCGGTCTCGAAATTGTGCGCAAGCTCCGCGAGTCTGGCATTCCCGAGGTCGTCAACTCTCTCCTGACTGACCAAGCCAGGTCCAAGCGTGACCAAATGGAGTACATCTTCAGCGAGTGGATTGGTATCTACAAGGCTCCCGGTGCAACTGACCGCACCTTCCACTCTTTCCTTCAGGATCTCCACAACCGCCAAGTGATGAACAGCCAAGAGGACTCCGCGCTGTTTTTCCGTCTCAGCATCGACATTTCCGTCGCTATGTTTGAGCATGAGTCTCAGAACCCCAACGGCGGCAGCCTTGATGAGGCCTTCCTCTATATCGATGCCCTCGCTAAGCTCGTGATTCTTCTCATCAGATTCCAGGGTGAGGACTCTGGCGCCGTCAAAGCCAATAAGGCTACGTACTTCAACTCCATTCTGTCTCTCTTGGTCCTGGTCCTCAACCACCACCAGGTCATGAGAGGAGAAGCTTTCAACCAGCGTGTGTTCTTCCGTCTCTTCTCCAGCATTCTGTGCGAGTACTCTATGAACGGTCTGCAGCACACTGAGCAGCACCAGGGAATGATCTTTGCCTTGGCCAACAAATTCCTCTCCTTCCAGCCCCGTTACGTTCCCGGGTTCGTTTATGGCTGGCTTTGCTTGGTATCTCACCGGGTGTTCATGTCTGACATGCTCAACATGCCCGATCGTGCAGGATGGGCGCCTTACTGTGAAATCATGCAAGCATTGCTGTCCTATATGGGCGACCAACTTAAGGCTGCCAACATTACATACGTCGCCAAAGATCTATACAAGGGCGTTCTCCGTATCTTGTTGATTCTGCACCACGATTTCCCCGAGTTCGTGGCTGAGAACCATTTCCAGTTCTGCAACGTGATCCCGGCTCATTGCGCCCAGCTCCGCAATCTTGTTCTCAGTGCCTACCCCTCGTCCTTCCAGAAACTTCCCGATCCTTTCCGCGAAGGCTTGAAGGTCGAGCGTATTGAGGAGATGCGTGAAATCCCGAAGATTGCTGGTGATATTGTTGCTCCTTTGCAGGTTGCCAACATCAAGGAAATTGTTGACGGTGTGCTCCAGAATGAAAGCATCTCCGACTCTGCTGTTCAGCAGCTTTGCGACGCCATTATCAACCCCGATTCTAAGGACACCGGCCTCTTCTTTGTCCCGGTCGACGTGGATGTCGTTCTGGTTAACGCGCTTGTTTTGTACATTGGCCAACAAGCTGCAGTGGAGCATGCTTCCAAGGGCAACACCCGCAGCGCCTTTGAGAACTCGACTCACGCTGCTCTTCTGGAGAAGATCGCCCAAGTTCTGCGACCTGAGAGCCGCTACTACTTGCTTAGTGCCATGGCCAACCAGCTTCGTTACCCCAACAGCCACACCTACTTCTTCAGCTTCACGATCCTCCGTCTGTTTGGCGTGGAGTACTCCGATCAAGATGACTCGGATATCCGCCAGCAAATCATTCGTGTGTTGTTAGAGCGGCTGATTGTCCACCGCCCACATCCCTGGGGTCTGATCATCACCCTGCAGGAGCTTCTCCAGAACCGGAGCTACTCATTCTTCCGCCTCCCCTTCATCCAGGCGGCACCTGAGGTAAGCTTACCCCCAATCTTCCACAATCTCGCAATACTAACTCCTCCTCAGATTGGTCGTCTTTTCGACGCCCTTCTCCAACATATCCAACAACAGAGCCCTCGGCCCATTGCCTAGACTTTTCTCGACCTCTCATCCTCATCCTCTCCTTCCATCTCTCCTCAAGTTCTTTCTCTGGTAACTCGGGCGGTACAGGAGTACTTCGTTGCATGTAATTTTCACGGGGTTCTCTTCCGCAATTGCTGATGTCCTTTGCGTCATTTTTTTCGTTTTTATCTTTTCAGTTTCATGTTACGGCAGGGGCTAGCCGTGGTGATGGCATGCATATTTACTTTTTTTCTCTTACGATTTCCGCATGACTTGAGGTTCCATGATATTTCTTTCGCGTCTCATGCTGCCCGCGACCTGTAATGATAAGACTGTAAAAGCTGGAGTTGACGGTGTCATCGTTATCTGCATTGGGCAATGCTAATTTACTATTCTTATGATCATTGTAGCTTCTTTTTGGGCCTTCCGTACGGCTTCATATAATAAACCACATCTTTGTTACTAATCAAACTAACCAGCCCCGGGGCCCTAGTAACGTTTTTACAAAAAATACAGAAGTTATATTCTAAAAGACCCTATAAAAGACTTGAAAAAAGACCTATATAAAGATGATAACAAAGTACTTTTTTATGTAGTACTAGACATTGTCTACGGGATTTACGAGCGATTTAGATGAGGTGCTTCAGAATAGGGCATATATCGACTTGATAAGACTATTGAAGATGGAGAAATAATCTCATGCTTCTAAGGGCTTATGCGTAGGTAGCTATACGTACCATTTTTCCTATCTTAGCTGCCGCTGCTTTTACGAGGGCGCTCAGAGTCAGGCTCACTGAGTAAATTTCGGTCCGGGCTCAGTGAGCTGCTCAAGTACATTATGTGAAGCTGTGAGGTCCAATGTGCGCTCAGTGAGTATGATTGGATGCTTATTGATTACTCACTGATTACTCAGATCAAGCACTTAGTCTACGCTCAGTCTATACCCGAAGGAGCACTTTGCCCTACAATATTAGTTATTTTGCGATTACTTTTTAATGGCCCTCACTTCTCACTATGCCCCGATTTCCTAAGGTACGCGATCCTTTAGTCTCATTCCCCCCCCAAAAAAATAACGTACTAAAACACGATGACGCAAAATTGGAAGGCACCGAGCTCATCTATAACGTGGCGATATAGGAGCAAAGTTTTAGGTCAATTACTTTCTATATTCCGGAAGAGAAGCTCAAATTACTAGGGTATAGTAGGTAAAGTTTTGCTTGTCCACATGCACACTGATCCGTGTCTGCCACGTTGATTCGATGGAGCTATCCATTTAGTCTTGCCATGCCAGTCCGGAGTTGAGCCAACACGCTTGCTTCTTTCCACGATAAGCGATCATACCCGTTATCCAGTCTGTGCCGCCGATCCAGGATCTTGGTGAATGATGGGTTAGAAAAGGTAGAGCTGCGCTAACTACCCAGTTACATACCTTTCCACGGCGCGCTCGTTGAAAGCCCGAAGCTTCCCCTTCTACATTATTTCTAACCGGCACTGGCGACTCTTAAAACTGCGTACCAGCTATATATTCGCCTCCATGACCACGAATTAGTCTGCCCTGCGTCCACTGCATCGGACTGTACGGCGGCATACTTTGTGGCGCAAATCCTTGGAGAAGCTGCGGGCCATCATGTCCGCCAAACGTCGAGGTAGCGTGAGCGAGATGTATGGACATGGCGCCATCGCTGGTAACGCGAGAAGGGACAAATTGCTGAGTACCAGGGTAATTATGATGCTCAAACGCTAGTGGCCGATTCAGAGTCCACGATTCTGATAAATAAATCTATACCGAGTGGTGGGCGGGTTGTAGCCATGTTCAACATATCTAAAGTGGCATGAGAGACTGACTGGGTTTGCGTGACCCTACGGCAGCTCGGGAGAGTCGGGAGGCTGTGCCATCGCGGGTAGTAGGCTTCCGAAAGGGTTTATTGCGGGAGTATGTATTGGCGGCACGCACGGCGGACAGCTGCCGCCTTGATAGTATAGGCCCCGAGATAAGAGATCCTAGGAAGCTGCACCTGGATGTATGAACCCCTCGTTTCCTCCCGTGGCCTCAGAAATGGACCTCTTGCGTCTTTGAAGGTGATGTGGTAAAGTATCGTGAGATATGTTGCCGCCGGAGGTCTCTCAACGAGAAGCGACGCAGATTCAGCATCACAGAGTGTTGATAAATGTTCACTCACGTGAGCGGTTACAGCAATATATTCAGAGTTCAAAGGACTCAATTGACTCAACTCAACTACGAGATACTAGGCTACGTATACTCGTTTTATAGACCGCAAGATGGGCCCGAAAAGTCCCTCGTATTCATCCCACTCTTTTAGAGATCTCCTTCGGAGTGGCGACAACACCGTCACTGGGGTGGCAAAGGGAGCTTTTTCATGAGGTTTTACTTGTGTTCCTGAGCCCCCAAACACAGCAACAAGTAGATTAAGCACACTTCATGACCTTGCACCGAGCTGATTGCTGTTAGTATCGGTAGGTGGTCGCCTCTCGACTCCTTGTTTGAAAACTCACCTAGTCGAGTCTTGCCCGATGGCGAGGACAGACGTTGTATTTTGTTGTCTTTGTCGGGGTTATCAGTAAGATTTTCTCGCACTCCTCCGACCACACTTTCGCGAAGGGTTCTCCACAAGTTCTGTAGGTTCGAATGCCGACATAATTTTGCAGTCCTGTGACGTCGTAAATCCTTTCGGTACAGTTGGCCCAGGTAGTAATGTTCAGTCTCACATTCCCAGTACATTCGCCAGAGTTACACATGTCGACTACAGGTAGCGCAGCGAATAGCGTTGGTTAACGTACGACTGTGATGTCATGGATGATATATTTAGACGCTATTCAAAGAAGCGTGGGATGAGAAAACACTTACGTCGGAGTGATGGTAAGGGTGGTTTGGACCAAGTTGAGTACTACTCTCAAAGCCCTTTATAGTGTGTGCAGACGAGGCGCGTTTGATAGCCTTGGGCCCCTCCGCGCTGGCAAAAGACTGATGGACTGACATCAAATTGAACACCGCCACGTCGCAGTCAGTAGATAGGGCGAACACCACTCTTGATATTCGACTCCGTCCGCTCCAGCTGAGGTTCCATTGCACGGCCCTGGTGCAACAGAATGGCACCCGGTTGCCTAGTCATGATTACCGTGGCGCCCGTTGTTGTCTTCCTCGGTCTCTCCGGTTCCTCTCCACCCAGTCGATGAATATTTGAAAGCACAGCTCGGTGATATGAACCAATAGCGAAAATACCACACACGCCCCCTCGGTCGATGCTGCACCTTTCGGCCAACGGTCTGCAGCTGCGAAAGCCATGCCACAATCTGTCACCTATCGAATGGCGAATGGGCTAATAACGGGCTGATGACTAGCATGCATCGCGCAGGTCAGCGAGACTAGCGAGACTAGCGGGAATTATTGAATCACTCGTGATTGTGAAGTTGACGTGATCTCGTGTCCTTGGATGCAGAGCCTCAACTCTTGGGGCTCAAACTGAGGGCGAAGGCATTACGTACATACGGCCAATCATGGTAGACCCGGGGCACCAAGCTAAACTAGGTAATGTTTGTACATGTTGAGATACATCTTTGACCATTCACATTGATCCACTAAGCACCAGAATTTGCCTCGTGCATAGATTAGCTGGCTGAATGCAAGCCATACAAAAACGTTGATAAGTCAAAGTCAGCCGCAAATAAGACTTTCCCTTTAAGATGTGCATTGGCATATTCGTGACCTCGTGTTGCCTTAATTCCAGCTATTATGCACCTCTTCTAAAAGATCCTTGGCACTCGACCAATCGCAATATATTGCCAGGGTAGCCAAAGCTAATGCTGGACAAATCCATTAAATTAAAACGTTGCCAGCGACGTGCTTAAATAGGCCCTTAACCTACTAGGTCTCTCAAAGTGCTGCTTCCTCTTCCAATATCAAAATCCACTCCATTTTTAACTATTCTTTAAGAGTCAAAGCTAAGGCTCGATTACCAAGATGTCACAATGCTTTAGTGACGCGAATGGCCAGTGGTGGATTACGGAGTCCGTATGGCTGACATCCGCCGCCGACATCCTCGCTGCTTCTACAGCAATTCAATCGGGAGAGGCGGGGCCGTACGGGTGCCAAAATCAAAACGGCGTGCTGTCTTATTTTAAAAACCAGACACGACGCGCAACCGATAGCGATGTCATGCAAGCCCTCAGTACGAGGAATCGGGAACAACGAATTCAAATGCTCTTTGGAAGCGAGCAGTCAGATACCACTTTCGATGATATTCTGTCTAGATAAAGCCGCTAGCTTACTATGCGATCGACGAGGGATATCTGTTTATTAGTGCTACTCCCAGGCTATCAGTTGCAGAAATTCAAGGAATTTGAGGGAGTATCCATATTCACTACAACACTTAAAGACGGCTTTGATTCACTGGATCACATGGATTTTGACTTGGCATTGCCCTCCAATTAAGAACATAAGCCCATCATTATTTGGATCTCTGTTTTTCGTTAGGAGAAGATCTGAATCATCTGATATAGTTGGAGATTTCTTTACGCCTTATTCAATGTGGGTTTACAATCTCTACTATTTGTTATATATGCTATCTCAAATTCTATTACAATTTTAAAAATGATACATCAATAATGAGTGAAAAAAGAGGCGCGGATTCATTTATGATAGTAGGAAAATACACCAAAATACGTCAAATATATAGGTAGAACGAGTTGTGAGAGTTACTTAGACGCCTTAGCCATCTAGAGACTATGCCCGTAAAGCATTTTCAATTAACGAAGCACCTTGCGAATAATTTCTTTATATTAGTATACGTACAATTGGCTAGAACAATGTCTTGAATTGGTCGGGATGAAAGAGGGTGCTCATCTCCATCGGTGATATTTCTTGTACACCCATTTCCACACCTTCGCTTTCTAGGATATGAATCCGGCTGATAGTATTTTCCTATAGCTCGGAAGATAATTCTAGTTCAAATTCATCTTCAGTAATGTAGTCAGCAGCAAAATAAATAACGTATGCCCATATAAGCCAGCCGCCCCTAAAACACCATAGTAAATGTGACATGATATCTCAGTAATAGTGGTCTATAACTACTTCTCCTTAAAGTATACTATGTTTTGGGTAATATCTAGCTTCTTTAGGAACTTTTAAGAGTTTTTATAATCTAGACGTTGAGTAGATATGTAGGTTGGCGCGATGGACCCAAAAACATGCCGTAGAGACCTCGGTGCAGATAAGATAACAGGATAAGCCTGAGACAACTTCAAGCTTGTCTCTGCCAACTATTCCCGAAAAATGGCGGACTCGGAATTTGGAGACGAGTCAGAATATGGTCCATCTTCTGTCAGGGATGTCATCATGGTGGGTATATTGATGCAAGTTTCTCAATTGTAGCTGACGCAAGACAGGATGCGGTCCTCACGCCGTTCCGCGCGCTGGTATCCAAGTCTGCCTTACGGCTATACCTGAATACGCTGCTGTTCATGGGCGCCGCAGCGCTCCTAATTGGTATCTCTGCAATTGCCTACGGGGTCTTCTATTTCAAATTCATCCCCACGGTCGGACTACAGCGCGAAGTCCATCTACAATTCGGGTACGATAGCATTCCCCGCAACCAGACAGCTCAACTAACATGTGCACAGCAATGGCAACCCCTGGGGCACAGCAAACTTCGACTCGGAATTCGTGGCTTTCCAACCTTACGATGTATCCGTGACGCTCGAGCTTCCACGCACACCCTCAAATCTCGATACAGGCAACTTCATGCTCGACCTCACCCTCTTTTCCTCCCGCCCGGCCTCGTCCCTCCTACCCGGTCTGAATAACACCCCGATATCACAGGCCCGCCGTCCTGCTATCATGACTTATGCTTCGCCGCTGGTGGATGTTGCCCGGAGAGCGGCACGTATGCCGCTTTATGTTGTTGGCTGGCGCCGGGAGTCGGAGACGTTGGAGGTACCGATGATGGAACAGCTTGAGTTTACGAAGGGGGGCCAGAACTTGCCGCAGAGTCTGCGACTGGAAATTCAAAGTGACTCGAAGATGCAGGTTTATACCGCTCAAGTGGAATTCCGGGCTAGGCTTACGGGGCTTAGGTAGGTCTTGTTGGGGATTGGGATGTTTTTGAGATGTGGCTAATATATCGGTAGATGGCTTATGTGGCGCTGGAAGATTACTTCTTTTGTTGTTTTCAGCACTCTGTTCTGGTCTGTCTCTATGCTCTCTGCTGGCTTGACGTGGCTGGCGATGACTTGGATTTGGGAGACTATGCCTAAGAATGAGATCAAGGAGGAGCCGGAAGAGCCTATCAAAGAAGAGTCCGAGGACGGAGATACTTCTGAATCTACCGAGGTCAAAAAGGAGGAGCAGGAGGAGCAGGAGGAACAGGAAAGGATATTGCTTTCTAACTACCCGGCTGAGGGTGATGAAGCCGGTACAGGCTCTGGACTAGAAAGCGCAGAAGCACGTGGAGTACAGAGACGACGGAGTCATTTGACACAAGCATATTGAAGTTATTTCTAGCTAGTTATATTACATGTAATATCCTTATGTATATGTTATACAGTATATCCTTATAGTATCCTTATAGTATAGCGAGTATAGCGTGACATGTGGATCTGGGCCGATTGCGACAACGCAAAGCGGGGGGGAACTTTCTTCCCCTCCATTCTTCACATTTCAACCAACAATGCATATCCTGGTAAGTAAGGTATAGTTCATGTATTAATCTAGAGGCTCATCTCTGTCTAGGTCACCAACGACGACGGTCCTCCGTCAAATCAGTCATCGCCGTACGTGCATTCGCTCGTCCAATCGCTCCAGTCCGCCGGCCACACGGTATCGGTTATTCTCCCGCACCAGCAGCGATCATGGATCGGTAAAGCCCACATCGTAGGCGCATCCGTCAAACCTACCTATTTTCGGCCCGGCACGCTTCACCAAGAAGACGGGACAACACATCATCTGCCCCGAGGTAGTGATGGTGAACCCGACGAAGGTGAAGGTGATGAATGGGTTTTGATCGACTCGACCCCCGCAAGCTGTGTCCAGATCGGTCTATATCACTACTTCAAAGAACGGGGCCCTGTTGATGTCATCGTGTCCGGTCCGAACTATGGCCGCAACACAACCGCTCTGTTCGCATTGTCGAGTGGAACTATTGGCGCAGCGTTGGAAGGTGCCTGCTGTGGGACGCGTTCAATCGCTCTGTCGTATGCTTTCAGCTCTCGCAACCATGACCCTGTTATTATCGCAGAGGCCTCGGGACATTCGGTCAAGTTGATTGAACATCTTTGCGCGAACTGGGCAGATGGCGTGCACCTCTATAGCGTTAATGTTCCCCTCGAACCCGGCGTTAGTGAGAACAAGGTCTTATATACCGATATGCTGCAGAATCAGTGGACCGGGAGTTGCTTCCAGGCCGTCGACCCCACATCGGCGGAGGACCCTGATTTGCAAGAACAGCTGCTGCGCGACCAAGGCGAGGTGGCAGGAGATAAACCGGATCAGACTGTCGGTGCCAGCGAGAAGTCATCCATTGGACCCCGAATTCAGCACAAGCATTTCAAGTGGGCGCCGAGCTTCCAGGATGTTTACCGAAGCGTGGAGGAAAGTGAACCTGGCAACGATGGCTGGACCGTTAAGGAGCAAATGACTAGGTTTGTCCACCGCCCTTTTACTTATGAACATCGACTGACTTTTACAGCGTAACGCCTCTCAAGGCCAATTTCATGCCCGCGCCCAGTCTTTCGGGGGAAATTAAGCTGTGAGTGACGACTTTGACGTGATGGGGGCCATGGTATGGAGGGTTCTATCCGAAATCTACATGTTGCAGGCACTCTAGATATCTGGCTTAGTTGTTAGATACCATGTCCCCTCCCCTTTGATCTGCTTTTCTTGTATTGGCGCCCATTCTGATAGACGGAGATCTTGTAGATCGGCTAACCAACCCTCGTTGTATTCCTTTGTCGACTGCGATGACTCCTACGTGCAAGAGATGGTTGACCGGGCATTGACCCGTCGCCTGGGAAGTGCCTCCAAGCGTGTGTCTTCCTTGTCTGAACTACCAGACTCTTCCGCGCCGCTTTTCCAGTACCGCGAATACGAGCGTCTCGACTTCGAGCATATCATGTCCAGGCCCTCGACATCTCTTTCGAGCGCATACATTATCCGGAAAGCTTTGATTCGCAAGCACTATCTCTCAAATACAGTGGCAAATTGGATCTCAAAGCACCCGGATAGCATCCTACGACACCATTTCAAGCCCGCATTCGACTTCGAACTCGACTATGCCGAGTTCCTTGACGACGCCTTGCTAGAAGCATACGAGCTAAACGACAGTCTAGCCAAAAACGAAGAGCGACCCGACTCCGAAAAGGAATGGTGGATCCTCAAGCCCGGCATGAGCGATCGAGGCCAGGGAATCCGCATCTTCAACAGCGAAGACCAGCTACGCGAAATCTTCGAGGAGTGGGAAGAAGACTCAGACGATGAAAGCGGATCTGAGACACACACCGACGACGCGGAAGGCAATGTCGGCGCCGCCCTGGACACAGGCATCGTCACTTCACAGCTCCGCCACTTCCTCGCACAACCCTACATCGACCCTCCCCTCCTTCTCCCATCGTCCTCGAACCGTAAATTCCATATCCGCACCTATGTGCTCGCCTCGGGCTCGCTCAAAGTCTACGTCTTCAAGGAGATGCTCGCACTATTTGCTGCTAAGACCTACTGCGCCCCGCACGAAGAGGACGACGTCGCCGACCTCGCGCGCCATCTGACCAACACCTGTTTCCAGGAAGGCGGTAGCTCGAACAAAGAGAGTGTACGTCGCTTCTGGGACCTCGATCATCATGTCCCCGGTCTCAGTGCAGACTGGAAGGAGAAGATCTTTGAGCAGATCTGCTCGGTGACGGGTGAGGTGTTTGAGGCTGCGGCTCGGGGTATGATGGTTCATTTCCAGACTCTGCCTAATGCGTTTGAGTTGTTTGGTGTTGATTTCCTCGTTGATGCTAATGGGGAGGTGTGGCTGCTGGAGCTCAACGCATACCCGGATTTCGCGCAGACTGGTGAGGATCTGAAGGAGGCTGTTGTTGGGCGCTTGTTTGAGGAGGTGGTTGATGTTGCTGTTAAGCCGTTCTTTGGACTTGGTGACGGCGCTGGTACTGATGATATGAAGCTTGTTGCTGATATTGATCTCGGAAGACATGCTTAGAGATGTGGTTAGAATAGATATAGATATACCACTTGGGATGTACAAGAATAAAAGTTTTGATTTGGATATTTCATCCACTTATGTTTTTTCTCTTCATAGTGTTTGTTCTACCCAGTTATCTATGTAGTCTTCTGCTAATTTATATTGTACAATCAAACACTTCGCCTGCTCAGTTGTCATTCTTCCAAAAAATACGCCCCTCAAACAAACGACGCGCTGTCCGAAAGACCGTGGCAGAAGTCAACGCTCCATCTACATCGAAATTGGCACCAACCAACAGATTCCCACTGGCATGACCAATAGTAATCCCAGCACCATCGACAGGATCCTCATCCACAACTCCAGACACTGTACTCTGCGGCACACGAGCAGCAGCAGCAAGAGCCAAAGCAACAGTAATCGGGACTGCCTTATGCGGTTGTCCAACAGAAAGGGCACGAGCCAAAAGATCAACATCAGCAGACGTCTGTCTCTGCTCGATATCCCTGGAATCGGTAGTCGAAGGCGTAGCCACGACACAGATCTTAGGCACACTACCAGGCACATCCCCAGTCTCATCCGCAATACCCATCTTAACACCCGCCTGCCGACGAATAGAGTCCAAGCGCAGCAGCAAATCGGGATGCGCAGTGATCTCATCAGGAGTCAAATTCCCACTCACACCGAGATCAAGCGCCTGCACAAAGACACACGGGTTCCCGACGTCGATGCAGGTAGCCCTGATTCCATCAAAGATATCGATGACATTACCGGTAGGCAGGAGTTTCCCCGTAACCGAGCCGGCGGGGTTGATAAAGTCTAGCTGGACACGGGCAGCAGTACCAGCGACACCGTCTATAGCGAAGTCACCGCTGGCGGCAGCTTCGCCGTCAACAACGGGGAAGGAGGAATGGATGATCTTTCCTGTGTTGGTGTTGTGGATGCGTACCGAGGCTAAATCCGGGTGTGGATTCTGTAAGGGGAAGACATGTGCATCGACGGCGAAGGGACCGACGGCGGAACTCATGTTCCCGCAATTACTGGAATAGTCGACGTCGGTGTTCTTGATGCCGAGGGAGATGAAGGTGTAATCGATGTCGGCTTCGTCGTGTGTCGAGGCGCCTACTACGCACACCTTCGAGAGGCTGGAGATCCCACCCCCTAATCCGTCTAGTTGTCGGCCATGGGGATCTGGACTGCCGATTACACTGCGGAATATGGGAGCCCAGTCTTTTTTGTTTGTGGGTAGGTCTTGTTGTTTGAAGAAGACGGCGCGTGAGGTGCCGCCGCGGTAGTATGCTGCTGGTAGGGAGTGTTGTTTTTTGGTTTGGAGATATCGCCGGCTACCGGGTGCTAATTGGGTTGATGTTGACCGGCATGGTAGACGAGATAGTTGTGTAAACATGGTTTCTAGTAACCTGGGCATTTTTTGGGGAAGATTATATCCATGGATATGGTCTAAATACCTCGGAGTCACTCCGATGGCGGTGTCGGACCGTTTCATTGGAGCAGAGGAGCCAACTGGCAGAGTATATAGGATGTAGATCGTATCTATATTATTGTTTTATGGATGTAAAAGTGAAGAATACAGGATATTCAGAGGACGAACACCCTGACCTTTTTAATATTCAGCCAAATCGCTGCTTCGCCAGAGCCTGCAAGAAGCCCATAGTCTCTTGCTCCTTCTGTCGATATGCCTGTGCACGTTCTTCTCGCTCAGCTGTACGCGCACGAAGAATCTCCTCTCTCCGGATCTCACGATCGTTCTTCTTACGCTGGTCTTTCTCCTTCTCCCGTTTCAAGGCAGAAAACTCATTACCACCGCCCATTAAATCTTCATCACGAGCTGCTTCGGGCGAACCACCGCGCGCAGAATCCGCGAATGCACGGTTGCTCGAAGCAACTTCTCGCTTCTTCTCGAGCTGTCTCTCTCGTGTGCCTGCCTCAGCTCGCGGCGCAATCTCGTCTTCGAGTTGGCGCAATGCAGATTTATGCGAACGAATTTCAGCGCGGTACTGATCGCGTGATTCACCGCGGGCAGCCATGGCATCTTCAATAGCAGATTCTAGAGGAGGGTCAGCACTCTGATCATATTTGGGGGAAATAGAAAAACGTACCTCTTTTGAGCTCAAGATCTTGCATAGTTGGGATTGCAGGGCCCGCTTGTGCGCCGCCTCTCCCTGAACCAGGTTGTGGCAGACTAGGCCCGTACTCGTCGTCCTCATCATCGTCGTCGTTGTCGTCTATTGGCGGGTTTTGTGGGGCTTTAGCAGCCGCTCGTTCGCCCTGTGTATAATCAGGCGATTCGCGTCCGCCTCTTACTCCGGCTTCCGGTTCTTGTTCTGCATTCTTGCGTGCCTTGTCGAGTGTAACGGGATCATACCATCCCTCGGCGAGCTCTCCACGGTTCCTGAGAGGTCAGTAATTATCGCATCAAGCAAAGAACACCCTCAGACCTACCATTTTTGCATAAAGCTCTTCCACCGCCCTTTCACTTCATCTTCACTCAAGTCTTCAATATGTTTTCCTTTCTGAATATCCAAATACATGCCAAACATGGGCTCGTAGGCCTTCAGGTCGCGCCCTGAGAGCTCGCGCGCTTGGTAAGGGAGCACGACTGGTTTCACTGGGGCACCTCTGTGTCGTCGCTCGTGGTGTCCACGGTCTTTATCTTCGTCACGGCGGTGGTGACGGTCTGATCGGTGTCTGTCTGATCGGTGCGGAGAGCGCGAGCGCGAGCTCTCTCGGGGCCGGTGGCGGTGGGAATGGCCGTGGCGGCTGCGGTGATGGCGGCTTGAGGTTTGCGCAGACGGAGAGGCAGCTCGGTGCGATGAGCGAGTTGGTGAAGGCATTTTGGCTGATTCCTTTGTAGTTGAGAGGTTCTGGAAAGCCTGAAGGAGTTTGTCTTCTGGGATGATAAGGAAGGCAGGTCGGCTTATCGGTTCCGCCATCTGATTTCCAGATTTTCCCCGGGTTGTCGATTCCAACGAATTCATCATCTCAATTTTCTTGATTTCGACTATAAAGTTACATAGAAAGGACTCAATATTACGGGGCAAGTACTTTATCCAAAAAATATATTCATAGTAGCAAATACATCTAGGCGAAGAGGTATACAACATTCAATAATTCAGCAAACCCAAATCAATTTTAGCTGGAAGGAGCGCTCTGCTCCAGGCTAGGGCTGGCGGTAGTTTCAGCAGGGGTGGCAGGTGCACTGGACTGCGAATTGGCCTTAGACCGGTTGGCCGCGGCCATTTGCCATGCTGGGATGGAGGCAGACCGACCAAGCTGCGAGAGGGGGTTGGGGCTCTGGCTTGTGCTCGCTGGAGTAGCGGCTTGGGTCGGCTCCTGTTCGGCAGGAGTTACAGTAGCAGCCAAATTGTTGGTGGCGGCAGGGGCAGTGGGAGTGGCGGGGGTCTCTTCCGGAGCCGGACGAGGAGTACTGGGGACGGGAGTAGATCCCAGTGTCCTGCCAGCAACAGGGGTAGCTCCACCACCACCAAGTCGGTTGCCCAGCAAGGTCTTCAAGCTCTTAAGCTCAGTTCCGAGCTCCTTTAGTCTGTTCTCATTGCCTTCCCGGGCACCTTCAAGAGCCTTGGGAATGGCATCCTTCAACGACTTCACCTCGTCGCTAATGCGACGAGTCTCATCATCTCTTCGACGGGATGAGTTCTTGAGATCAGCAACAAGATTCTCCACGTCCTTGAGAGCACCATCCAAGCGCTCGGTACGGGCTTCCTCGGCGGTCTTCAATGCAGCGGTGTCGGTCGATAGTTGTTCGATCAGAGTAAATGCACGTGAGAACTGCTCATCGATGTTTTCTTTATCTTGTTCCAGCTGGGGAGGCGTCGGTGGGGCGATCAAAGGTGCGATATAACGCTGGATGGATTGATCAGCGCCATCGGTTTTGAGGGGGGCCACTGGATACATACCTTGGTGACAGTATACAACCCGTAACCAACTCCACCCACTACTGTTGCCATAATAAACCAGTCACGCCAATCTCTCTTGGGTGGCCTTTTCATGTGATTAGTCTCAAAACCATGCGACGATCGATAGATAAACGTACTCAGGAGGCGGCTGCCATTGATTATATGGAGGATAACCATATCCTTGAGGCGGCTGTGGTTGCCGGTAAGGAACTGGCTGTGAAGAGTAGCTAGGTGCTGGGGATGCTGAAGCTGTAGCTGCGGCCGCAGCAGACGGGTCTTCGCCGACTCGCGATAAGGCAATGTCCACTTCCTCTTGAGTCAAGTTCTTGGATTGAAGAAATGAGACCCTTTTTTCAATGGGCGAAGATGCAACCGATGGGTCCTGAAGGACTAGATAAAGTCAGCGATCATCACACATCAAGTTGTGTGTCTCGTAGTGCATACAGGTAATCTAGCGGACATGAGTTAGCGGTAGCCCCGAAAGCGGATGATAGAGACATTATGTCAATAGACAACTTACAGCTGAGGCAATTAGCTCCTCGCGTGGAGCCATTATGATGGATGTGGACTGCCAGTGAAGTGCAGGAGAGATGAATTGGGGAGAGAAGATGCGACGCTCACATCGGCAATTGCCATTTGGACCTCGGAACTCGCGCCAACGCCAAGACTTCCCCAGACCGGGAGTCTCGTGATTATCGGCCAAACTGTTTTTCCTTTTGGAGTACACCGCCTACCTCATTTGAAAGTGGCACGCATTTGTTTACATCGCCGCCTCGTGGCTGCCAAACAACAGATCAAACCCCTCCACTCGGATTTTGTGGTGCCAACCCACTTGGACGTTGAATCTTTGTCAATAACCAACCATATCCGAAAGTTGTTAAAAGAATCGCACTGTCTATCGCCGCCTGCGCGGCTTGTTTATCACCATGTCGCAAGATACTGGGCTTTTCAGTATTAAGCGCCCCCGAGAAGTATAGTTCCCTCCTATTCAGCGCAAGGCTTGAGGCTAATGTATATTGCGATCAAGACTCTCGGAAGTGTGCAAAATTTCTCTGCCATCCCCCAACCGCAGTCGGCACTGAAGCGCGCAAGCTCTATCGGATTCCAAAACCCCCGTTTAGCTCTCAGAACCACCGAACTTCCTTGATGGGCTCCACTGGTCGCCCGCAGCAGCCCAACTTTACGCGCATGTCAATTGGTGGACCATATGGCGCTGATGCCGGTCTTTCGTCTGTTCGCCGGTCAGTGTCTAGTAACATGTTCACTGGGGCCAGTGCCAGTCGGCAGAGCTACGCGCCAGGGTCTCTTTCCTCCAATCCCGCCCCTCCTCAGAACCCACAGCGCAGAAGCAGTGTATTTTCACGGCCATCAACTGGTGGAGGGCCGATGGGACATCAATCATTCTTCACGCAGGTTCCCACCGTGGCTGGTGTTCCTAGAGATCCGCGCCCTCTCAGAGACCGAGCTTTCCAGGCACGAATTGGCCAGGAACTGTTGGAGTATTTGACTATTCATGGGTTCGAGTTGGAGATGAAACATTCCTTGGGGCAGAACACTCTTCGCTCGCCCACCCAAAAGGATTTCAACTTTATCTTCCAGTGGCTCTACCATCGGATCGATCCAGGGTACAAGTTCCAAAAAGCAATGGACTCCGAAGTACCCCCAATCCTGAAACAGCTAAGGTACCCGTATGAGAAGGGCATTACCAAGTCGCAAATCGCAGCCGTTGGTGGCCAGAACTGGTCAACATTCCTCGGAATGCTACATTGGTTGATGCAATTGGCACAGATGATGGATCGCTACCAGTCCGGCGAGTATGATGATGCCTGCGCTGAGGCGGGTGTCGATGTCACCGGTGATCGCATTATCTTCCGCTTCCTCACTCAAGCCTACCATGATTGGCTGCAGGGTGGTGAGGACGAGGATGATGACACCGCGGAGAAGCGGTTGATCCCGCACGTTGAAAGCATGTCGCGAGAATTCGCTCATGGCAACGAGCGGTACGTGCAGGAAATGGAGGCACTAGAGGTGGAGAACCGGGCTCTTCGTGACCAAATCGAGGAAGTGGAGAAGAGTGCTCCTGACATCGCGAAGTTGGATAAACATTTCCGCATCTTGGAGGATGACAAGAGGAAATTTGAGGATTATAACCAGAACGTCAAAGGCAAAATTGATAAATACGAGACTCGCATCAAATTCCTCGACGCGGAGATCCAAAAAACCGATGCCGATCTCCAGGCCACTGAATCTGAGCGTTCCGATCTCCAGGCAAGTGTTGATCGCCAAGGCATCACTATCCAGGATATCGACCGCATGAACTCGGAGCGAGAACGTCTGCAGAAGAATCTCGAAGATACCGTGGCTCGCCTAGAAGAGGCCCACGCCCGTGTCATGGAGAAGGAAGCGGAAGCCAGCCAGAAACTGGAAGATCTGGAACAGATTGTGAAAGCTTACAATACTCTTGGCTATCAAACTAGCTTGATTCCCGCGGCTGCCGAGAACGCCAAGGGCCAAGACTATGAGCTCAGTCTGAATATTAATGAGAGCAATTTCTCCGCGAGCCAGATTGGTGGCGCTCCCAACCGAATTTCTCCCGAGGGGGATCGCCTACTGGCGGAGCCTTTCACTGGCTACCACCCGGCGCATTTGCTCAGTCTGGATCTACGGGGCTCTGTCCGAAACAGCCTGCAAGCACTCCGGAAAGAGATCAACGAACGACGGAAGCAAGGGATCGATGACGACCTTGACCGTCGCAATCTACTCGATAACATCAAAGAGGCAATGGACGAGAAACGAAGCGAGGTCGAGGCCTTGGAGCATCGACGCCGGGCAGCAGAGGAAGAGTTTGAACGAACCAAGGAAATCACCACCACTCAGAAGCTTGCCTCCGATGCCCAAATCGAGAAGATGGAGAAGGAGTTGGCGAAGATGCGCGCTACGCTCAGTGACAGTGTACAATTGATGGAGCAGCGCGAGATGAACACCAATATCGAATATGAACAGCTGACGCTTCGGGCAAATGCTCTCCGAGAGGAGTTGCACACCAACGTCGAAACAATGCTTAATGACGTGATTCGCTTCAAAGTACATGTTCAAAAAGGTCTCGAGGACTACGAGAGCTTTGTTGTTGACGAAGTGGAACAAGAGCTTGGAGGCGAAGAAATTCTCGAAGAGGAGCTTTGAAGTTAGTCTTGTCACGATTTGACGATTTGTTCCATTTAATTGTGTTGGTTTCATGTACAATACCCCCCGGACCAGTTCAGGCTTTTGGCGAAAAGGACGCGCAATGCACATATTGTTTTATATTCTATAATCTAGTACATTTAATAATGGTAGGATCAATACTGTGATCTATCACCACCTCTATGCGAGTAGCTTGAAATTAATTCAGGCCAAAATCATTCATATCCAGCATTCATTGACTGTGCGACAATTATCTCACTCTATTGCGAGAAAGGGGGCAAAGAAAACAGCGGACTGGTTAGGCATCGGACCTACGTAGACATACAATGATCAATTCCGTCGTACTTGAGGATATTGATGCTACGGGGTATGGCGTATAATTACATTAAGAATATGCAATATGCAGACCTGCAAAAATCACCAAAGTGTCCTTCACATTTAAAGGTATTAACCCACATATATATGTCTCTTTACTGGATTTTAGGCCGCGGCTTGCCCTATTGGGATGCCACTTTAGCCCTAGTCTTGATTGGAGACTGAGGAACGGCACGTTGACGGGATACAATCTCCCCATAGTCAAGGAATTCTAAAAGCTCTAGAGTCTTCCAATATAGAATTCAAATTGAATCACGGAGATGGTTCATGAGTTTACCCTTGCCCGTGCTAGGATTATCACGGAGGACGGAGCCCTTTGAACAGCCCGCGCCGTGATTATGTGATACTTCAGAACATGACAGCCCTAAGTATTTAAGCAGCAAAAACAACCTGGGCAATTCTATTTTCTATAAACAACACAAACTTCTTCCATCCTTCGAAACTCCTGCCGAAATGGCTCCCATCCAAGTTGGCGCTCTACTCTTCCATTACCAAACAATCGACGTGATCGGACCATGCGATCTGCTCAATTCCGCGGGCAAAATGCTCATTCAGGATATCAGTCAATACACGCCCGTGGATCCGAAACTTCTAGCAAAGGCGCCCGAATTCGTCTTCCACCATATCGGCGAGACCCTGGAGCCGGTGCATATGCCTACGAGCTTTGTAACAATGATGCCTACGGTGACTGCAGATGACGTCCCCGAGTTAGACATTCTCATCGTGGGTGGGGATAGTCCTGCGAGCAGCAATCTTCCTCCGAAATTGCAAGATCTTATTCGTCGCCATGTTGCCTCTGGAAAGCTACTGTTCACGACCTGCACCGGCGCTGCGGTTGTTGCTGCCACCGGTGTTCTGGATGGTAGGAGGGCTACAGTCAATAACCTCGAGTACAATTGGATTAAGGAGAAATATCCAAATGTCAAGTGGACAAAGGAGAAGAAGTGGATTATTGATAGTAATATTTGGACTGGGAGTGGTGCTGTGGCAGGGATGGATATGGTTGCCCATTGGATCAAAGAGAATTTTGGGCTGGATGTTCTTATTCAGGCGGCATTGTCGCTTGATTATGAACCCCGGGATGTTGATGGTCTTTTCAATGTGCTACCTCAGCGATACGATTCGACCGGAAAGAAGATTTCCACCCATGTATTTCCCGACGAGATCTGATTGTTATGTTGAAGCTGCAGTTTGGGGTTGAGGGAGCATGAGTAACTTGTCAAGTCTCTACAGATGATGAACCTGTCATAGAAAACGTATCCATAAACAGAAGATCGCCCCAAAGCTTCTCGTCTTCTATCTTTTGGACTTCCGTAGCAATGGCGCTTTGTAGTGTGGGCTGATCCGGAGCCTGGGCGATGTGTTTCGAATACCGCAACGCAGGGCAGCGGTGCAGCCGTTGAGCAGATGAAGCTGTGTGTTTTGATGCCCCAAACTCGTGATGCGCACGGTGACTATCAACCTGCGCAATATTCTCTTTTGCTAATGCATAGGAATTTTTCACACTTCCTATAATCTCAGGCAGCATTGAAAAGAGGCTCTTGGTGGGTATTTGCCTATCTGGCGGATTAATAGCCTGTAGGTGAGACAACAATGTATCAAGGTATTCCTGCAGATCCACAGATTGATGTGCAATCTCCCTGTTCCATTCAGGTACTTCTGACAGTCCCACAGACAATCTGTATAGCACAAATACCGCTAAAATAAGCTGATACCACGCAGAAAATGGCAAGCTAGTATGCTCTGCAGCGGGAATGGCGAGGAACAAATCGAGATACTCCTTAGTAGAGCTGACGCATTTGACTAAGTTCCTGATGACCATTGAAGGTGTAGATAATATGGTCGAATCTTCCCGTGCCTTTGGGGCCGGTGGCCGTCTCCGCCCGTAGCAATCTACCAAGCCCATTTCTTGAATCCGGATCTTGACGGCATGATAGCCGTTGATCAGCAATACTAGGTAATTTCAATCAGTTAAATGGGAAGCCAAGAGCTTGGTAGGGCCCTACCCGTGTTTTGAAGCTCTGTGGATAGAGCCAACCACCATTCTTCTAACCGTGTCGCGAATCGTTCAGCATGGATGCACAGCCGAGTTCCATGAATGCCTTCGGACCGGTAAGTCTCGCAGACTTCCTCGGTAAACTGTAGCAATTTCGACACTGGGTATATCATGAAGTCTGTGTCGAATTCTGGCTGTTTTTGGATCATCATCGCGCATCGAAGCATGGCATCGTGAAATTGAAGATTGTTGGGCTTTCCCGAAGACATTGATATTCTATCCAAATCAGCTCAAGCCAGTTGGCGCATATCCGGATGGGGAACACCATCTTACGTGCTAGACATGTAATAGCAGCCTAGACAAGCACGACATGCTTCCCGGATATAGGCATCACCCAGCTCGGTTCGCTGCTCAAGTAAGTCGGCAACCTCTTGATCAAGGTGAAGGTCGACGACCATACTGATTGCAATTTGTAAATACTGGTAGGCTTGCTGACTTCCTGGAACAAAGTTGAAATGGAACCTGATATTGGTCAGCTTGCCGGTGCCTCCGATGCCGTTAAAATAGAAAACAGTGTGGAAACTGAGATCTTACCAGGCAAGGTGGACAAGTAATCCCTGGAGCAGATCTAGATCTTTCTCGCCAGCTATGATAACCCGCTGACTGAAAGATTCTTTAAATCGTCTGATCAGAGCATCTTGAAGGTGACAGTATTTTGAGGAGGCAGCAGCAGCGACTGCAAGCAATAGGAAAGGGCGATCTTCAGCCATCAACGCAGCAGTCCAGTTATCTGAGAGTCGCACAAATGGGAAGTAGGACGTCATAGCGCGGAACCTGTCTAGAATATGCTCGAGGACGATAGGACTAAGTCCCAAGTCGGTGATCCACGCGGCGTCCATTGTAGTGGATACGTCCCAAGAGTTTCCTAGGGTATTTTCGGTATTCTGGGTTTCGCTCGACCCTAGGCTTTCGTCCAATTCAGGACCAGCCAGACACCCTTGGCTCATCCATTCAGCTGTTGGATGTGGACTGTCGCTGAAATATTCAGGAATTGAAGCTAGTCCATAACCCGGATTAACGGGGAGTTCGACTCCACTAAGGGGTGCGCTAGAGCGCGACAGAAGACCGATGATATTGGTGAGCTTGGACTCAAGATCGGCCAGTCTCCTTCATTCCCTCGCTGTTAGCAAACGTGACCTCTTGACTGGAGCGCCCTCCACCGTCACGTACGGTTTCGCTTGTGAAACTCGAGCTCGCTGTCTCGGCGCCGAAGTTACGCATTGAGAGTTTGATCTGGCACATCTACTTGAATTAGCTAGAGGGGGAAGTATACAAGGACGGGACGCCCACTTGGTACAAGTCTGTCCTTCCTTGGGTCGAATACATTTGACCTTGAGGACACGGCATTTTTCGCATGCTGGTGTCGCTTTCTTCGGCTGACAAAGGTCCGTTGAGTTTGCGTTATCCATAGTCACATATATACTGATCTCAATGTTATAGGTTCAAAAAATGATGGGCTGCGCTAATATAATTTGACTGCATTCCAGCTGACAAATCGGGTGAACACTAAAACAGAAAGGGAAAAGCCATCTTACGCCTACGCAGCGGTATATGCGCCAACTGCCAAAACCCTATGTTGATGCCTTGATGCCTAGTTTTGGCCTGGCGGCCTGAATTAAAGACAGGCAGAAGAATTAAAATACCTGAATTACCAAGGCGGTGTAATAAGCGGTCAATAACCAGATTAAATTAGGCATTAAGGCATCAAATCTATAACTGTTAACCTAAAAATGGGGTTTTGGCAGTTGGCGCCTATACCTCTGGGTATTACGCCTAAAATCCAATGTGTATTGTTATCTTTACCTTGAACTTGTCTATCTCATATATATTCATTGGCCTCTTACCTTCGATAGGTTAGAACACTAGCCGATATAATAAGCGAGAAAAAGAAAAAGAAAATATTACTTCATGTTTGAGCAAGATGTCAAGATACATATATATGTGCTGCAACCATGCTAGCTAACAATTGCTTTAGAGAACCCTAATAGTAGAGTCCTGTTGATGTTATACCCCCCCCATAGGTGAGACTTGGTACATCATTTTGTCACTCCCAAACCCCATTTTAACAACCTTGGTAGACCATTGTTTCATTTAGCCATGTGTACCGCACGAGGCTGTGTTTCCTGATGCCTGTGTACTTTTAACCCCGTTGGCTGAGTAACCTCGAGGTTCTAGATCAACCATTATAATTCTCGAGGGGTTCGCATGGATGTATCCATGGATAGGACTCAAGTATGCTTATTCACACCATAGGAAACCTAGGGCCTAGGTTTCCTGGACTAACCACCACACTCGCCTAGCCTGGCATACCCTGAATTGTTTATTTCTTTTGCACATCTTTTCCACTCTCAACATGGATATGTATGGAACAACCGCAGAGGATATGGAGTGGAGAGATTACTGCTCAACCCTGACGAAGAATCACTCAAGCCAAAATACGGGGAATAGTGAAAGAGGAACTAGGTAAAGGAAACCCTAAAGGAAACCCCCAATAGTATGCAGTCTTAGTGATGTTATCTCTCGGTTATATTTCCACTAAGATTTTGAAGTTAAAAATGTCATCCTACCCTGTACATAGACTATATAGGTAGGTGTGGCTAACTTGCCCAATTTCTTTCGCGTATAAGCTTTGACTGTAAGCCACCGGTATATAGCATTCGAAAGTGGCTAAATCAAGACTTTGGCAAGATCTCAATGTCAGTTTATCGAAGGATTGAGGCGTTGTCCCCACAGTAGTTTGCCATATAGTGTTCTATAAAAAGCCAGGGCCCAGAATACTTCAGTGTTGTTCTAGACACATATATGTTTTACTACGTCACAACCAAAAATTCCCATACGATAAAATAAAGTGGAAATCGATTCCACATTCTATAATTTATCTTCTACAATAATATTATCCATGGATATGTTGTACTTCCGATTCTAAAATGTTCCGGGCTTGGCGTGGTATGCCGTCTTCAGGGCTCCACCAATCTCCATTTAGGACACACCTCCATCAAATGCCCAAGTGATCGACAGGAATGTGTAAACCAGGTGGAGAACTGTCATTCGCCCGTTTTATCCGTCTTTCTTGTCTGAAACAACTTGCTCCGCACAATATACGGCGAGTCCGTCGACCATCTGGATGTGCCATAAGTTCCTGGTTCCACTGCAATATACCATACTCCGAGTGATAGGGCTATTTCCCCATCCATGAAGATCGTTCCTGCTTAAAATCCTTTCGCCACGGCATGGGAATTGCCCCCCTGCAGATCCAATTCCTCTCATGGAATACATTGGTTTCGACGGTCTTTCGACGGTCTTTTTCACGGCTCGATCCATCATTTTGACTCTCGATGATGAAACACTGGGTATATAACCAGCTAGAACTTCCTTTCTACGACGTTCTTTTTTTTTTCAACCAGCAGTGCTGTGCACCTTCATTCTTTTCAATAGCTCCAGATCTTTCTTTACATTGCTACCTCTAGCATCCATTCATTTTCCTCTTTCGCTTCAAGTGTCCAACTCAAACAATTCATCATGAAGTTCACTGCTGCCATTGGCGTTGCTTTCCTATCTATGGCCCCGTCGGCTGTGGCCTGGAAGCTGCCTGTGAGTATCTACACTATAAATTTCCAAATATTTCTCGTTGCTGACATTGTCTCCCAAGCACGCCGACAAGGCTGCGGCCGTTGCTACTCCTACTGAGCAGCTAACTCCTACTGGCGGTTTCTCATCCGGAACCCCATCTGGATCCGTATCTGTAACCCCATCTGCAACTCCTTCTGGAACCCCAACTGGTTGGCCCACTGGATGGCCTACCGGATGGCCTACCGGATGGCCTACCGGATGGCCCACTGGATTGCCCTTCATCCCCGAAGGTCCTGAACATGAAGGACCTGGCCACGAAGGAGGCAGTCATGGAGGACCTGGCCATGGCGGACATCGTCACGGACCTGGCCACAAGGGACCCGGCCTGGGAGGAAATGGTCATGGTCATGGATCCAAGTCCACCAGCTCTCCCACCGGAACTCCCACCGGCACTCCTACTCGCACTCCTACTCGCACTCCTACCCGCACTCCTACCCGCACTCCTACCAGCGTGCCCACTGGATACCCCTCGACTACCGGTGCCCCCCTGGATTCCCCGGCGGCTTCTCCGGTAGCCAGACTAGTGGTTCCTTCACCATTCTGCCTATCGCAGCCGAGACTGCTGCTGCCGCTGCCGAGGGACAGGGCTCATCTGGTGAGCCCGGAGACTTCGCTCGTCTTCACGCCCGTCATATGTTGTTTTAGATTCTGCGCTTTGCAGTTTCGCTCGCTGTACCATGTGAGATAGACCAGTACTGTTTTTCTTCTTAGTAGCTGCTGGATCAGCTATAACGAAGTTTTTGCTATTTTGGAACCTTTTTCCAAGCGTCATATTGAGTAGTAAATCAGTAGATTTGTGAACACGTAGCATAATAATAGTACCCTTAGAGAACTACAAGGTATGGCCATCTCATAGAACTCCGGCAAAGAGTCTTATGTGTAGGCGTTAGGACTCAGGACACAGTATCGTCAGCCCATCATACATAGCAAGTTCTGTTTTGTATTGGGATATATATATCCTCTATCTGCATCTAAAGTTACAGTACGGATGGAGTTCAAGACACTGATCGAAAAACGCTACCTACATACTAAGATCAATTGTACATAGACATAGAAGTGTAAAGAGCGTCTTAAAGAAAACACCACTTGTGAACTGTGTGTAAAAGTTAATCAATTATCTTGCCTCAAGCGTACTCCTATAGGTACTTTATAATTCTTACTATACAAAAGATGTCACTATCTAGTACAGTCCACCAACACATGTGTTGGTGGCTCCAGGGGCTTGCCATGATTATCCAATTATGGCCCTAAGGCCGAAAAATATGGCATAACTAGCAGGCCGTGGTCAGCTCACCCTACAGTTTTCCACAATAATAAATTTCTACGCACCTACCTTAGGCCTATCTGGCAGGTCTGACCGCTATGTTTAAATTTACTTAAGACTAAAGTAAACCCCGGAGCCCCCTTATTATCCTTGTTTTGCCCGTTTTTCAAACTTTTTTCTTACCTAGGAAATCCTAGTTTCGGCCAGAATGTCCTCTTATTCGCTCGATAATATCAATTAGTTTTTTATTCTCACTGCACCGTCACGCGGGACGAATGCGACCAAACCGCCGTTGAGATTGCTGGTGGAGCTGTGAAGCCAGTTCAGCTACAAGGCGCGTTTAGTTACACTGTAGCGACTGGGGACCTCCTAGTACAATTTCGTGTTTCTGGATCTCTTTTGGACACAGAGATTTTGGGACTCGCTCGAGAGATATATGGGAATATGGTGCCCGCTTGCATTAATAAGGGTTTCATCGGACCGTCGCCTTCGCTTGCTGTCTATGTCATGGACAAGGTCCCCGGGATAACCTACATCGAAGCCCCTATGACAAAACTTGGGTCTCGCCCTCACGACCAATACACCATCCAGTAGTCCGGTAGATTTTCCCATATTAGGCCTGTGCCTCATTAAGCATCACTATTCCAGAATTGCCTAGTATAAGCTCTATCATAGGCGAAAACGGCTTATGACCCAATGCTTGTAGCCCGAATATATCGGTCAGGTTATGTTCGAGGAGGTATTTGAAGACTTCCTTAAAGAAAGATGGGTCAATTTCTCTAACATCGGTAGGCGACCCTTCTCGGTACTCGTAAGCCACCAGTTTTCCGTCCGTAGACAGCTTAAAGATATGACCGTGTACATTAGCGGTATCAATATCTTCAATAGGGATAGGCTTTGTCTAGCACCCCGAGGGGCTCTTAAAATAATGTCCTAACATCACCCGATCTTTCGGGATTTCAAAATGACCGAGGATAAGATGGATGCCGAATTTGTGTTGGACGTTGTGCCGTATCAAAATCTTTCTGATTTCTTGGGAATGACTAGGAAGCAGCGCTGGCTGCGCTTCGTCGGATGGAAGCTGATTGTACCTACGGGGTTTCTTAGTCAAGGCAAATGGTTGAATGTATGGATGACAAAACATACAAGTTGGAGGACTGCTTTAGATCAGCCAAAGTCGGTGCGATGTGTAAGCTAGGTATAATAGTTTGGCTGATGACCGAGGCTGAAGCCATTGCGATAGATAGTACGGAATATTAAGATTGTAGAATTCGAATAGCACACTTGAAATTGTTGAGGTAGAAGTTCGTGAGGGATGGTGCCTTTTATATTTAGAAATAGGCGACTAGACAAGTGAATATGATCACCGAGCGGGGAACCCTGTCTATGAGGCTTGAATACCACATTCAAAAGGGGTTAGATTGCAGTACAATGTTTTTATCTAGGATAATACCTTTACCTGCAGCATATACTAAGAGCCTCCTAGCTGTATAACATTGGCCGGAAGTATGTAGGCAAATCTGCCACAGAAACAAAAGTACATATGAAAGTGACCACTAATGTATGAGCATGTGATATGTTGACAAGCTATGTATGGATTACCGAGGTGTCAGGCATGCAATTTGAGCCCCAAGATAACAAAGTACGAACCAACAGACCTCGCGCCTCACATGTTTGGCCCAGCGGCTACGTCGGGTTTCTGACCTACCAACAATGGTTATAATGCGAGGTAGGCGGTCATGGTCATAGACCATGGAATATGACCAATGAGACTGACGGTGTAGAGACTTTGAACTTTTGAGGCTTTTGTCCGCAGTTAGTATGACTGCGAAACTCCAAGTGGCTTAAGTCCAGGCTCTATCTCATGACGTGGCAAAATGAAGGGGTTGTTGATTGACTTATTGCATATTTACCTATCTACCTAATAATTGATAATTTCTACCTCTATCTTGTGGTGGCTAATAAGTATTAGACGGCGCCGGGCACTGAGTGAGGTTTGAAACTAGGTCTGTATGTATAGATGGTCTGGCTAACTGCATTCACGCTAGTAAAAAAAAAAAAAATTTTTTTTTAGATTTGAGGCTCATAAATAATGCGAAGGGAATATATAGTTTAATGGTGAATCGTGATAAGAAGCTAACGCGACGATAGTCAATCCATGGAGGCGATGTCCCTAGTCCTGAGTGAGAGTCACCTACCTGGGCACTACGTGCCGCTTGTCTTAGTCTCGTTGGTCTTCCAAATGCTATTGGTGTTGAAATTATTACTCCGATCAATCATGTTAATATCATGAAGACATAAGGTTGTATATGGGTTTGATGAGAAAGGATCATCTCTGATGGCTGCTGACGTTGTTATTGGTGCCAAATATACGGAGATAAGAATAATAAATGAGAGCCAGAAGTACCTAGAAAGAGGTGTAGGTTTCTACTGTGGGTTTGAGTAGGTAGGCACACGGTTAATACCTCACGTTCGAAGCACATTATCCATGACACTTATATCACACAAGTGTTGTGACAACCTGAAAAGTCTGCTCCCATGGGCCGCTGCATAATTTTCTTAGTGTACGGAGTACTCCATCTGATCCTCCTAAATAGGCAAATTATGGCCATAAAACCTGTTTGTTTTGAATGCGCGCTATTTGTAGTAAAGTGAAGTAAACCTTGGAATAGTTGCCAGATGCTGGTGGTAATGGATATCCAGGTGTTCTTAAGAGTCACCACGGGTGGATCCTCCAGTGCATGGCTCGGAGCTCACTGAGCATGTAATGTACTGACTATATATCATAACAACCAAATAAGAACCTTGGAATATCTCAGGACATCCCCTGACAATATAGACGTTAGGAAGTATGAGAAACTCCGCATTCTGTGGTCTCCGATTGGCTCATAGCTCTGTGCTGACTCAGCAGTTCCTGATCTCCAAAATTCTCGGAAACAACATTTACCTCATCTCGCTCACCTTTGGTCTTCATTTGCCCCGGTTGGTACGGGGTTCAATTGAATCTGCATATTACGCTATGTACCTGTGAAATCGACATGTATCACGCCAATCCCGTACCCATCGAGCTCGCGAAACCTACACACCCGCCTTCGAGCCTCGTTGCGATACCATGAGCAGGTGCTTGCGCTCCGGCCGCATCCTGCCATTCGGTCGCAGGCCTGCTTCACGCCTCCCTTTCCTCCCATATCGATCCGTCTCTCCTTTCTCCCGGCCGACTTGGACTCAATTTACCCGGAAGACTCGCAATGACCAAAGAGAGATTAATTTCCCAGATGAAATTCTTTTTCTACGCCGATACAATTTAATCAAACACCCTCGCCTCAGACATGACCAGAAGAGGCATATTGAGGAATGGATGCCAGTGCTGAGGGGTTGTATTCCACCACAAAATGCCAAACAACCAGACGTTGCCCAATCTGCAGGCCAGCCCAGGCTTCGACCGCTCCGCGAATCTGAACGTCAGCTTGATCGGACCCACGCTCTACTAGGGTGCCTATGGGATGGAAGGGTTCATTTTGAATTTCAACTCCTTGCGCATCTCGGATTTGCGCACCATGAGTGGTCTAATGTACAGGCTCTCTTAAACGGCATGATCGACACCTATGCGTTGCTAGCTGCTCATATGCCCCCTAAACACCCTTCGGCTGGGCTCGATTGGAACAGACCATATCGGGTGCGCCGCATAGACGAGTCAAAATCTGACCCTGTTTCTCCCATCACCACGGAGATCTCCCTCAGCAAGCTCACGGGAGGCACAAAACCATCATCTCCTTGGAAATGGTCTCGTCTACAACCTCTCCCATCAGATAGCATTTCTCTTGATACTCTGACGGTGGAACCTGCACCGAGGTTCTTTGGAGAGAGAATTTTGGCCGAAGTACTCGCAAACCTCGGCTCTCTGGTTTTGTATGCGTCACGCAGTCGCTCAGATGATTCGAAGCATGCAATGACCTGTGTATTCCGAACTCTTGCCCGTTTACACCATGCAGGCATGATATCTGACAGAGTTTATCAATATCCCAAACCAGATGCCAGCCAGATTGTGTTCCGTCCGCCAGGGCTCCATTTTTTGTCTAGTTCCATCATGAGCGTTTTGTCCGATGCGGCGTGGCATGAACACGAAGCAGCAGTGGCCTCTGCGGCTGCCGATGCAGGAGAGGCGTCACCTTTCATTCCTTACACGCCGCGAATTCGAGAGCTGGGTCCCGAAATTTGGCTTGAGCTCATTCTGTGGTGTTGTGTGGAGCATGGGTTTTGCAAAACGGGCACACTACTCGTGCATCAAATGACCCGGCTTAGCGAATGGAAGGCTGAGAGTTGGGCGCCTTTAATAAGTGACCTTGATACAGTACAACAAACTAATGTCAGTATCGAGGAATCATGGCGTCGACCAGGCCAAGACAACAAACCCCCAACACTCAAGGGTCAGGGAAAAGCACCATTCAATGGACTTGGATTCCGAACTATCAGCTCTGAAGTAGTTGCATCGCTGCGGAGTGGCTTGGCGAACAAGGCCTATGTCGGAATGGGAGATCGTGGATATCTTCCTGCAGATCTCACCAATTTATCAGCCCCTCTGACTACCCTGATTGACCCTCCCGCTCCTAGCCGTGAGGAGCTTCGGCCAACAAGCAGGTTCACCAACTGGCACATTGTACGGATATTGGCCTCGGGCTGTTTAAAACCGTCCTCTGATCCTGTTTCCTTCGAGGATCTCCTAAGGTCTCAGAGCAATGTTGTTCCTCCGTGGGAAGGGGACGAGTTGTGTCTGGCACAAGAGCTGGATGGAAAAACGCGGGCGCAGTTCTATGACGAATCGGCCGCCATGACTGGTCTGATCGAGTTCAATCTCAACTATTATGCTCGGGACAAGCAAAGCGGACGCCTTTTCCACGAGTATGCTTGGCTTCAAAATATTGCCGATGCAAGCAAGGCACAGCACATCCAAAACTTCTTTGAACGGATGAGCCAAGCCAGCGATGAAGAAGCTTCTTCGTTGTTTGATTTCAAATCTTTCGAACCTCAAGATATCTCTCAATCGTCTATCCCGCAGCTGTCATGCGCCACTTTTGCCAATCTCCTTGACGTGGCGACTACGACCCACGCGTTTGATTTTGGTAAACAACTACTTTTGGAAAATGACATCGATGGCCCTGCCATCCCTCAAACCGCATATAGAAACCAGGCCCTGGCGCCATCTATTCTTCGATTTGCAGCTGCCACAGGTAATACCGAGCTTGGCGAGCGTGTCATCGCGTCGCTCGGGATCCCACTTTCTGTGAACACCATTAAATCGTTGATCAACTTCAGCATCGCACGAAAAGATTGGAAGCGCGTGGTACTGATGCTCAACTTCCTGACCGACCACCGAGCTAAATCCTGGGGCTACATGAATATCGGCGTACTGGCAAGTGCAATAATTCGGCTCGATGCCACCGTTAAGCATAAGACGTCTGCCGGCACCTTGACTCAGGCAGATACGGAAGACCTGGATCAGGCAAAGGACATCTTGCTCCGCCTTTTCTGCGGCGAGTGGCACGCTAATAATACCCGTGAGAAAGTCAGGAGCTTCCAGCTTCGAACACTTTCTCGTATGCATCGCGTACTCTCCGTCATCCCAGGTCCTCTACCGGACCTCCTCAAACAAGTGGAGCCACCCAAGGAAATCACCGGACACCACAAGGCCACTCTGATCCCCCCAACCACCTTCCACGAGATATTTGCCGCCGTTGTGGAAACACAGGGCGCCATCGTCGGCAAGCAGCTCTGGGATAAAGTCTGTGTCGACTGGGTATCTCCCAAACGCCAACTCCAATCCCCAGGTGGTGTTGCCCGACTACTCTTCAGCGACGAACGGACCAATTCACACGGTGCCCCAGGATGGGATGCAGATTACGTTAACCATGTCCGAAGCAAAGCCACAATAGCAGACCTCAACACCGTCCGCATCCTCGCACGAAGTGCCGTCCGAGAATACGCAGAATCCGTGAAAGAAACAACGCATAAACAACCCAACGGCCAAGATCCCAGTCCCAGTATACCCCAACCCAAGACCACCGACACTCACAACACCTCTTCCTCCTCCTTCGTCTACGACCCCACCATCCCATATACATCCTCCCTCTCCCGCAAGGAATACCCCTACCAATTAAAGACGGGCAAGATGCCACAGACAGAACTCGAGTCCATCCTCGACTACTGTCTCGAAACCTTCCTCAAATTCGGTCTCCCAGAAGACCAAATCGACATCGAGATCCCGGGTCACATGCGTCGCATGCAGCTCAGAAAGGTCTTTTCTTCGCCAACGCGCAGACCTGTCAGACAGCGGATCAAGTACAACAGATCTGACCCCTTCATGAGATCTCACTGGCCGAAGGAATTGGCGGAGTCTTTGCCGAAACCGGAGATGCCAGAGCCGAAGTGGCCTTATGATAATCACAGGAACTAGGACGTGGGAGAGACTTCTTTTCTCCTCGGTCCGGGGTCTATGTATTTTTATTTTCAAAGTAAAAACTATTCTCGAATGTATATACAATTTTTTTTTTCCACTCCACGGATCAAGTGAGAAGGCTATGTAATTGATATAGAACGGTTCTTCGGATTAGATGTTCATTCTACAAGATGCTAATAGCACTCGAGAGGAATACGCTAGAAAAGAAACGTTGAATGGATTTGATATCAAACTAGTCTTGAGACTCAATGCCGATAAACACCCCAGCACCAACCAAAAACCAATCCCAACCCCCCAAAGCCCCTGGTGTGAGTCCAGCTCTCGAGGCACAGCCTAGATCCTTCAAGTCCTGTCAACACCAATATCAATCATAAATGTGAAGAAATATCACGCGCGTTCGTTTTTGGTTGCTTCTGTATATCACCTAGATATCAATTTCGAGACACCCAGGTATTGATATACCGTTATAAACATATTTGTGATGCAAAGAGATATTCGTGGTAGATCGAAGGGAAAAGGAAATTCGTAAAATGGAGAGAAATGAGCATCAAAAGAGGATAGATATGGGTTAAGTGGAGAAGGAAGATAGTAAAACATGGGCATGAAAAAGAAGAAGGAATAAAAGAATAGGATAGGGCCATGAATAGGTTTAAAAAAAAGGGTTCTTAGGTATACTGCTGGGGATGAGATATGATAATTGGGTTCAAGGGCAATAAGTGGGAGAGTCAGCTGAGAAGAATAGGATGATAATAGAGAACACGCATGCTCTTTTCGTGTGCTTGCATGCTGTTTTGTGGTTTCATAAATATGACATTCATGAATATGGGACATAATTGTATTCAATATTCCCAGTTCTCATTCTCATTGGAATGAGGAAAGAAAGAACGCATAAACTCCCCGGAGATAGGATCATAAGGGAAGTACGAGTCCAGGGTATTGGGGGTCAAGGCTTCGGCCAGGTCTGCGGTTGAGATGTCCGGATGGGTGTGGTGGTCTATACCGGGCGGTGCCTCCGGGATAGGCAGCGGGGGTTTTCCAGCTGCGGGCCCCAGTAGTCGCCGGCGGCATGAGATAGGCCAGACGGCGGTTCCGAGCTGATAGTGCTTATAGGCTCTGGGGTGTATGGGTAGGAAGGCATGTCGCTGAGGTCGTATTTCATACCCTGGGCGAGTTTGCGGAGGCTGAGGTCGCAGAGCTGCCAGGCGCGTCGGGAGGCAATGCTCTGCTCGGACATTGCGAAGAGCCAGCGGATTGCTTTCTTAGACTGGATGACGAAGTTCTGTTCTTCTTCTGGCATGTGGACGGTGCCGAAGGATAGCTCGAGGAGGAGAACGGTCGCCGCTTGCATGAGATAGTGAAGGATACACCACCATGGAGCAATGCGGTACAGCTGGAGAGCGTCTGGCTCATCTGGGATCAGATCCAGCATGTGTCGCGCAGACTTCAAGGTTAACACTGCCATTTCGTGACTGAAGGAGGGCTTATTGTTCTTTTGGCGCGCGTCACGTCGGCAGAGACAGGGACGGCCTAGCGTGATCCGCGCACTGTAGTAATGCAGCGCCAGGTTCAGCTTGCAGCGAAGGATATCCGGTCCATTATCTTCCTTGGATTTGAAGTCAAGCCCGGTTGGAAGGTTTGATTCCCATACCTCGGTTCGGGACTTGAGTTCGCCAATCCGAGCCTCGATTTGTGCCCATGGCACCATCACGCAGTCCACTGAATAGACTTTGTTGATGATTTCTTGCACGACAACTGTCAAGTCGCAATAGTAGAGATAACAGAGCCCGTAGTTGACAGGCAGGCTCTTGATCCATTTGATGTCTCGTACTCCAGAGTGCTGAGCGGCATCCTTGCCATTTATTGGGTGGAGCGGCATTTGTCTGATACGTGCACTTGCCATGACGTTGTTGATTCGTTCATCTCGTAGGGTCGTGCCTGTGAGTACTTCGATGGCACCAGGCTCATGTAGCTGTTCTTCTTCAAATGGAATCGGGAATGGCGCGGTGCACCCTCCATCCTGGATACTAGTCGCCCGACCAGTCATTACTCCGAGCATGTGCTCAAATGTATACAGACACCACCAGACTCGGTAACGGGCTTCTTTCGAAAGATCGGGTGTGGTTGGACTGCTGCTTTTCATGTTGATTCCAAGTGTGATTGCAGACCGCACTGCCAAAGCCGAGATTCTCCACGCCCTATATTAAGTGTTATGGCCCGCTCGATTCGAATGATAAAGGGAGGATCTTGAACTCACCGGTTAATTTGATCAGAAGCGAGAAGGTAGAAGGCAATCAAGGCCTCCACCTGGACTTGCTGGAGATCGGGATGACTGAACAGGACATCGCCGTTCATACTAAGAATCCTGGCTCTGGTCAGATATACCAAGTGGTCCTTCTCGTCCACGCTCCATGGTGCGTCAATGAGATGGCCATGTTTAGCCCCAATTGCGAATATCATGTTCAATATAGCAAGCCACTTGTCACCGGGTCGAGCGGTGCTGTCAAAGAATGTCCGATACTGTGCCGAGAAAAGAGGTTTGTTGATGATGGGGAAGAATGGATGCACAGTAGTCAAATAAGCCTCAAACATATGATCCGCCACCTCTCGAGGAGGCATGGCATACAGTTGTACCGGTCCGGGGACGGAAATATCCAAGTCATCGAGATGATAATTGACCGCATGCATAGCTAATGCATCGTCGGTCTTTAAATCTTGGCCAGGCTCCAAACTCCCCGGAAGACCTTTAGAACGTTGGTCTGCCTCTCTCTGCAGCCGTTGCATCCAGGTAATTTCCGAGTTTTTCCCCATATAACCAGTTGCTCTAGCATGTTCTGATCGATTGATGTCCTCTTCTACTCGATCAATGGCCTCGAGAGACCCAATAGATGAAGGCGAGGATGGTTCATCGTTTATCGGAAGGTCATCCTGAGGGGTTGCTGATTGTGATTGGGAGTTATGCGACGAATAATCCACTTCCGGACCATGCTGTGTTTGCGAGTGTTAGCGATACTCCGGTATCCCGAGAAGAAAAACAAACCTTGTCCAGCAAGCTCCTGATCCGCTCCGCGGCACTCAAGTTAACAACATTCGCCAAGTCCTTCAGCAGATTTTCATATTCGTTCACTCTCTCCGAGAGATTTTCAACTTCTCTATAATGCGCAAACAGTCAGCATGCTTGCTCGCAATTGAATTTTGTTTCCAAAATGTGCATGTAATAGCCACGGGTATGCCTACTTTTTCGTTCTCTCCCTCCAACCCTCAGGGTAGCTGCACGTAGCCCTCAGCTCACGACACTGGCGACAGACCGGGGTGTCACCACTGCATTTCGTCTTGCGCTGTCTGCAGGATGAACAGGCGCGAGGCACTCTCCGATTATAGCGCGGGGCAGGCGCGACCCGTTGACGAGGAATGGCAACCTTAGTGTGTGCGGCAAGTGCCCTTGGCAGAGTCGATGCTGTATTGGCTCTTTTGGCGCCTATGTTTGACACAGTGTCTGGGATGGAAAGAGCCAATGTGGCGGGGTTGAGGTCTGCTGGTTGTTGGACGGACGCTTCAGGTTGAGGAATGCTGCCATCATAGTTCGGCTGCCGAGGCGCTTCTTCGATCGTCATGGTGGCAGAAGTCGTATGCAAATTAACGAGAGTTGTGTTTGGTGAGTTTCAGTCTCGAGATCGCGTTCCAACCATATGTATAAAGCTGCGATGAATGATAGGACCGAATTTGTATATTGCCGAGAAATGAGTGTATGTACAGGGGAGGTTTGAGGCCATTAGTAGCAGAAGTTTGTACCTCGGAAGTGAAAACACTGTAGTAACCAAAGAATGAAGTCGCGGAGTGGCGGATTATGCGTAATCGGCGGGACCGATAAGGCCCCTTTCCGATTAGTCAGGAACCATTTTAAGGTTTGATGTTTATAAAAAAAAAGGTGATGAAACAGATATAAAAGATGATAAAGATGAATTTATGGGAAGAAACGCTAGTTATTTTAGACACTTTTCGGTAGAGCCATTCCTCCAGCCGTGAATATCCTCCCAATCTACCCATCCAGGGTAAGTAAACCAGAAACATATGTATATATACAAGGAAAATAGGCATTAGCGAGAAAAAAAACAAAGGGTAAAAGGGTGCGCCAAAAAGAACAATGAACATGTACAAGCGAGGGAAATAGAGGTAAAGAGAACATGGGTCACAGCCCAGCGAAGAGTGGAGAGACGGAGAAGAGAGGAAACATAAACCGAGAGAATTGGACTCGGTAGTCGAGGATAGTTTAGAATTCGCCAAACATCTCGTCGAGCTCATCGACTTCCACCATCTCCGGGTTTTGCAACTCTCTCCAGGACTCGAAGACGGGCTCCGAGTTCATGGAGATAGCGCGAGGGGTAAGAGTGAGCCTCTCGTGCGACTCCGTCAGGTCCGACATCTTCAGATCGACGTCCGGAAGGCTGCTGTTCAACATATCGAGCGAGCGCTTGAGGGTCGAAACAGGTGTGGCATCGGGATCTTCGGGCAGGCTAATCTGGGGGGCAACAAGAGCACCGGCAAGCTCCTCACCGTCAACACCGAGATCTGTCAAAGCGCTCGTGCCAGACGAGACAGACGATGCAATGGAGGTGAGGGAAGGTGAGGGGGAGGTGCCGAACAGGGCAGTCGCAGCAGCCTCGTCCAGATCGTGAGCCATTTGGTCGACGGGCATGTGCGAGAAGTAGTCACTATACTCTTCTTCAGACATGCCGTCTTGCAGAGAAGGAGACATTGAACCACCATTCACAGGCGATTCAGAAATGCGCATATCACGGTCCTCCAAGGCACTCAGGCTCTCGGAAAGGATGGACTGGCTACGGCTCGACTCGGCTTTTTCCTCAGATGCACGCTCACGCACAGCGCTAGCAGTTTGTGTGAATTCCTTCTCGTCGCCCTCCAGGGGCGGAGAAGCCGCACGGTGCGAGTTCATAAGACGCGTCAAATTACTAGCATTGGGGAAGTGCTCAGAAGAACCGTGGCTAGCGGAGGTATTCAAATCGCCATGCTCCTCGAAGTCGGGAGAAGACAAGTCCACTTCGGGACTGGGGCTACGTTCCCGCACCATCGCGTCTTCCTCATCCTCGAGACTGGAAACACTGGGCGTGATGTGCTTGCTACCCACGGCAGATACCAGATCATCGGTCTCAGGAATGGGCTGATGGGGAAACGTAGTAAGATAGTAGTACACTTTGCGCGGGTGAATTAAAATAAGCTCCTTGGCGATAGGGCACGGCGCGAGAGCCGTCCAAGGGCGCTTCATATAGGCTGCTAAACGCGAAGAAAGCAAGGCGGCGGGATTGGCGGAACTAAGACAGGAGATGTTAGTGATTGCGTTTTCAAGATAGCCCCGAATGGGATACGTACTTTGCGACATTGACATTTAGCGTGACCAGGACCGCGGCGAGTTCTTTCACGAGATGAGGGCGATTCCCAGTCTTCTCGAGTTGGTTGATTACCGCGATCACAATGTCGTCGTTAATTCCTTCTGTGTCGATCTTGGGTGCCAGCACTCCATCCATAGGTGAGGGAGGCGGTGTAATCTCAAATAGTCCATGTCGGCCCGCGCGCGCGATTGTTTTGGAGTCGGATGGCTCGGGTGATAATGAAGAACCGTGCGATCTCTTGACTTTTTTCGTGGGTTGTTCATCGCTGTGCACTTTTGAGATAGAGGGAGAACGACGAGTGGAGTTTGGGAGCTGAATGCCCAAGGATGGAAGGGATAGTGACTTGCGACGAGTGTTGTACGGCATTGCGAGGGAACGAGAGATAACAATCAAGAATCAAAGAAGACAAAAGACGAGGATATAATGGAAACGAAAAATATAATAATAAACAAGATAATAAGAAGAATAATAATAAAAACGATTCTAAGATATGGGGGAAAATGTTAGTAGAAAGGGGGATGAGAAGGATAAACGGGGGGGATCATCAAGATGCGACAGGAAGAGCTGTTTGGATGGCAAATTATCAACCGGGGCCTGAGGAATCCGTGGAAAAAAAGTGCAAAATTGGAAAAAAAATAATAGTTGAGGTGTAAGTTACGGTATGGTATTTTAAGCCTTTAAATTTGGCCTCCCAAATTACATAAGTGTGGCTGTGATTGGTTGCACTGGGGCTTGTTTTTATTTTTCCTTTAAAGAATGTGGGAAGCCTTGTCTGTACATGTGCATTTGTACATATATGTACTTTCTTATAAAACTACCTCGCTACTCTATATCCATGTACTCAGTACTCCGTACTTGGGTAATCTCACGTAGATAGGCTGTTTCTCACCGCCATGTTCAAAGAATAGATGCGACATGCGACAGCAAAAGTCGAGCCGAATAAATTCCAGGGTGGGGCCAATCCATTCCTTTTCAGGCCTTAGTATGATAATCCATAGTTCTTCCATTCTATCTTGGGTCTTAGCGCATTTCTATATACCAGAACAAGAGGTTTGGGTGGGGTCGTCCATGTGTTCTATGACCCGACTTCCAATTTTGGTGCTCCATCTAACCTTGGCGTCTCCATATATCAGCCAGTGATTACTCCCCTAAAGGTATATCGGATTCCGCTAATCGCAAATTCTTTAAGAGTAATAAGACCTACCATTGGATTGATTGGTCGGGGTCCGGTTGAACTCGGTGTCTTCCTACTGCATGGGATATGTAGATTACAAAGTATTCGATCTGTCATCTGTTGCTAGGAAACGGCACACACCGCTGCTGATAGATCAAAATATATTAATACGGAGTCAAAATGAACTAAATATGCAAGTCAACTAACTAAGCATAAACTAATCCAAGGATTTTTCTAACTACGGAGTAGAAAAAGGGAAAGGAAAAAAAAAAAAAAAAAGACATATGGCTTAAGCCGAGCCCTCCGGCGGAAACACCGAGAGCCAAACAGCTCCCTAGCGCAACCGTTTAGAAGGAGAAAAAAAAAGATATGAAGTGACCACTTAAAGTCCACTGGCTCCACCTATTTAGTGGATCTCAAGGACCCAATCGACGGGACAATCAATCAGAGTCGACGTATCGTATTGTACATGACGCTAGTAAGGGATGCTCACATTAGCGTCTCGGGGAGAAAAGGAACGTTTGCCACCCTATGATGAAAGCTGAGACACTTGTTTTTCTTCAGCCTTAACTTCAGATCTATCTTTTTTTTAACATTTTTAGATATCTAAAAACTTGGAGTTGCCTATTAAAAGTGCGCTATGGTCTGATGGGAAGGCAATAATATAACACTTAATTATATCCTACGTGCATATGATGACATCCTTCTTCCCAGCCATCGGATCCCATATCCACTCTGACTTTCAGTGATATGATGATGATCAATAGGATATCAGTGTTTATTATTGCCGTATATTGTCTACATCATAACTCATATCTCCTTCGGGGCGGCATCCAGCAAGGGATTTACATACAAGGTACGAGCATTGCTGGCTAGATGTGATGCATGTACTCCCCCGTATTGAGGGGGAAACATCATTCCTTGAATTTACCCCTGCGATATACAACATACAACATATCGTCGCATTTATTTTTTTGGCCGATCTCCGTTTTCATATCGACCAGCCCTGGAGTTCAGAGGATACAGCCAACCATGGATCATCAGCCCATTGTTACACCGAATAGAACACCAATTGCCTAGTTCGGGTTTATCTGATCGCATTGAATTAAATTGCCAATATTGTAACTGTACCTACATTGTACAGTATGCAGGTGCACGGGAATTCTCCGCACTGGTATGGTAGTCCACTTCCGTCTACTCTTATTACTACCTACATCCATAAAATTCTAATTGCATCGATACAGAGTACAATGTATATATGGGCAAATCAACATTATCAACCTTCCAAGGTTATTAGAAACCTGAAATAACATCAATCTAAACGGAACACATCCAAAGTCTAGATCTACCAATGAAAGTACGAGTATGCACTCGATAACCGATATCCAAACCTTACCTCAAGCCATTTCCTTCCCTGCAAACAAAGAACCGATGACTAACCGCATGACACGGCATAGCCCCTGTAACAGATCTGCACCTTGCATATCAATCAATGATGGAGATTGGTAGCAAAACCCGTTTTGAATGCGGGACAAGATCGATATTATCGCCAGCCAATACCACCAGAGAAAAAAAAGTGCCGAGGGGCTACTAGTGCATACATATGTCGGATGGCGTTGTATGTACCGGATTCTAGGCCGTAGCGATTGTCCCAATCGGGGTAGCGCCGCTTTTGAGGGGCTCAGGGTCCTATTCACTACTGTTGTATCTCCCAGCACAGCCATGGTGGTTAGATACATGGGTTGTAGGTACTTGGTGACCTCGGAAACTTGTGATCCTCGCTTGGATATCTAATTCCATAGTATCGTCTAGCCGATTTCGATCACCAATATCTAGCCAATCTATAGAAACAAGAATAGTTGGCTTACGCGGCCTCGGTTATTAACGAGGCAAGCTAACGGGCTTCGTTACCTATATCGTCTAGGAGAAAGTTCCTAGCGATTCCTGTAATTCAATCAGATGATGGCTTCGGCCCTTCGGCAAGAGACAAGCCGTCTGTGATACTTTCCGTCCGGTGTTCACGTATACATAGTTAGGAAGCCTTGTTGTAGTGACTTCTGCCTAAGATAGGGAGGCTTTTGGAAGGAGTTATGCTAATTATGGCTACTCCATCTAATATAATCTATGACGAGTTTTCTCAGATATATGTCTATGCTCTCATTTTGAAATAGGCAATTATATTATTATCTATCAGATTAAATCTAGTAAGAATAGACGATATGCGCGAGACATTCCCATGGACAAACATCGCATTGATTGTGTGATGGCACAATTTATATCACACTGTCCATACCTCCCATTAGCTGTGTGGAGTTTGAGCTCTGAATAATCACCCCGCAAATACACAATCCAGCATCCTTCTCACAACGGGTATCTCGATTCATCCATCTGGCATGTACATTCTGCTATTTCCTGTATTTAAGCTAGGTTAGAAGTTAACGGAGGGAAGCCCCGTTAAGAGACAACTTGCCTTGGCATAATAGGCATAAGCAGTTCAAAAAACGGGAGATTGTGAATATAGTATGATATTATGGATATCAGCCTTTGGGAGCGGGCTCGAGGGCCAGCCGAGCGTGTAAATAGTCCAGCATATTGGAATGGCCCACTAAGACACGGAGTTCGGGATCACGCATGCAAAGAGCTCTGCCAAGTTTGTCTTCGCATTTCTCATAAAGGATAATGTGAAGGTCGTCCATTTTGTGGAAATATGTTAAGGTTGAGAGCTGAGGTAGCTGAGGTAGCTGAGGTAGCTGAGATATCTGAGATAGCTGAGATTATATGAAATGTCTACTGATATTAACCCGATGCTCCAGAACCCATCTTATGTAAACATTTAGATTATCTTGCGGCTGAACTTTATTGTGGCGATCATATGACTTACCCCGCATGACCTTTTCCATGTCTATAAAAAGAGGGGGATTTGTTTCACTAGATCATCTTCACTTATAATTAGGTCTAGACGTCAGATGGTGGCAAAGATCATTTAAGATCCATATATCATAAGGATCTTGATGCAATATATCTTGCGATTCGTGTTATGGCAGCGCAAGTCTTGCTGGCTATATATATGCTGGTAACAAATATGTGTCATGGACCAAGGAGAGCATGATTTCGGTTTAGTATACTATTTGCTACCGCTCACTTGAATGATGAGAGCAATCCATGTCCTAAATTTCTAGGCAGTTCCATTCAAAATCCATAGTTTGTTGCTATAAAAAGGCACCATCTCACTTGAATTTAGAAAGATCATTTGATACCCTTGAACCTGACATTCACCATGCCTGAAGAAACCACTATCGCAGTTGAATTACTAGGAAGCACAGAAACCACTGTCAATACGATCGTGAACAACCTTGGAGCCAATAGACTCGACAGGCGGAGCTTCCGAAAATATCTTCGTGATTACGCTGAACGCACTGCATCCGATGGACGACTCATCAATGCTTCGAGGCAAGACTTGCGATGTGCCAACCGTGGCTTGCTTCTAGCCTACGCTCATATGGAGTTGATCTGCTGGCTAGCGAAAAGCAACTATACCATCTCAGCAACGTCCGTCGGATGGTATAGCTGGAAGAAACTGTTCGCGAAATATCGCTTGCCCTTACTTGCAGTTACCTCGCAAACGACACATTTAACGAACCACTTGCAGAATATCAGCAAGTTGGCAGATCAGGTTTTCACAGATCTGGACGCCAACGATGTAAAGTCGCTTTCCTTAAAGACTGGTGGCTATAAACTAACGTCCGGGAAGATTACTATCCCGCCAGATTCTATTAAATACCGCAAAGTCCCACTGGGTCAGCCAATTGGTTCTCCACCAGAAGGTGTGCATACATCCTCTCATTTAAATGAAATCCGCTTTCTGAATTTCTTTTCATGGTAGGATCTCATGACCTTGTTCATCGGGCCACCCTTGCCCAGCAGAAGCTCTCCCAGTAATTAAAAAGAATCACAGAGCTTCATGGTTGGCCTTCTAGCGTTGAGATATCACAAAACGTCACACTCGTTAAATGCTGAATGTATTTGCCAATATGTACTTCAAACAGCCTTGTGTTGGAATATAATAGTTGATTACATGTATAAGACTGTGACCACACTAGCGCTATACTACAGCTAGATTGACGGCACTGCGATATACTTTATGATAACAAAATAAAGAGCTCATATGACCCCAAGCTCGAACCAAGGAATTGTGTCTAGGATGAGTCTATCTCGGAAAGCATCAAATCATATGGCTTATTCACGACTTATTGGTGGTAGATTCCAAGCTTTTAGACATCAAAAGGTAACCGCAAGACCTAGAACTCTAGCTGTACTAGCAAGATCCATGGAAACGTCGCCAGTCATAGCAGCAGGAAAGCTGTAACGGACACTGAAAACTGACATTGCATCTAGTTTATACTCGAACTACTCTCGCTTAGAAACTCAAATTTACTACAAGTAGATGTTGGAACCATTCACAACTTTCTTGTCACCACTCGGCTTACGTTGAAGCTCCATAACTCGCTGAGCGGCTTGCATTCCAATCTGGACAGCGCCGTCAATCCATCCACGCCATCCATCCGACCAATCTCCGCTGGCGAAGAGAACATTGCCGTGCGGCTGTTGGAGAGCCGTGAGATATTTGGTGGTGAACTTGGGTGGAAGAAAGCACCATGCTCCTTTTGAGAATTCGTCTCTGTTCCAGTCATGTGAGACCTTGATTGACGGTTAGTAAGCTCATTTGAGAACGCTGCGACATTGATAACTGACTATTTTGTTGATCTGCACTCCGCTCCGCTTGTTTTCGGGGAGCAAGTGCACGAAAGAATCCCTAACCACCTCCATATCCTCCAAAGTAGTGCCCGTTGAGCTACTAGGATCGGGCCCAAAAGCAACCAAGTGCGTGTTATTGTCTGGCGTCAGTCGATCTCCAAAGGCTGCGACTGTACCCTTCCCGGGACTTGCCAGGGAACTCCATGACACCCAGTCGGGACCTTGCATGTCAATATGAACCTTGTTGGTGAAATTCATTGAGCCTTGGCGTGCGGCGTCCTGCTTGTTCTTGGACAGGGGCGGAGAAAACTCAATAGAAGATAGAACATTAAGAGGAATCGTCAAGACAACAGCCTTAGCCTTCCAGGTATGGCCATCTCGGGCGGTAACGGTGACGAGCCCGTCTTTCTGCTCAATCCGAGTTACAGGAGTATCGAAAGTGTATGACAAATTGCCAGTGGATAGCGCATGGTGGAAGATACGACGATGTAGCTCGCTGTGCCCACTGCCGAGGCGAGTGTGCAGAGCAATATCGTTGAGCCCCGTTCGTGAGTGAGATCCAAGTACCCACCATCGAAGGGCGTCCAGAAGGCCCAAACGGTCTAAATCATTACCGCCGGCCTGCACAAGAAAGGCTGTCAACACGCTGGTTTCATCCGGGGTAAGCTGATCCTGGGCCTGCAGCTGGTCAAGCCGTTCTTGACAAGACAGCCGGTCCCACTTTGCCATGAGCTCTGGAGATTGACCAGTCCCAAAAGCATATTTCCACGTATGCCGGAGCGAGTCGCCGTCTACGTTGGCGAATACTTCAAATGCCCGGCCAACAATATCAGCCTAAAGCAGTTAGGAAAAGAACCTTAGCAGCCACAGACTAAACATCGGGTTGCCTACCTCATCATCATGCGACATGTTACGCTGATCGTTGTCCGTAGTCAACGTGCAGTAGTCTTCTTTGCCACCGGGGATCTGGGTAACAAGCCAATCGTTGTGAAGACCGTAGAAAGATACCTCTCGATAGATGTGAGGCATATGCCAATGGATCCAGGTGCCTCCCATCTCATAGTTAAAGCCATCAATGGAGCTGCTCCATGTCCTTCCGCCTAGTCTATCGCGGGCCTCAATGACAAGGGTTTTCTTGCCTATAGCACGATGGTTAGAGGACTAATTTGGCCTGCTATGCCGTATTTCTCACCTTGAGTTGTCAGATCTCGGCTGGCAACCAGACCTGCATAGCCAGTTCCGATGACGATGGTATCGAACGGATCATCCTCGGGTTGAACAAAATGTGTCGAAGGAGAGATCACACCAATGCATGGTAGACCGGCACGTTTGCCGCCAGATGGCGTCCAAGTAAAACCATCTTTGGAAGCCATTTTTCTTTCTGAAAGTCAAATTTTGGTAAAAAGTAGGTGAATGGTATTATGGAATGGTTGACTTATGAAGGTATTCCGTAGTCGAAACCCTTAGGGACCTTATAGTTACATGTGACCCTATACAGCGGAATAACTCTCCTTTGCTGGAAAAATACAGCTAATCAGCGGACTCGCCATTGCAATTTTCCAGGAACTTCACTTTTGGACAAAGTGCGTCTAGCTCTACGTGTACTAACACTAGAATGGACATCCTTTGTAATTAAGCTGATTTTGTTCCTAACATGTGACGCTTATGGTAAATGCGTAGCGACAATCAAGTTGGGATGAGTCTGAGGGGTAAGGGTTTATCCTTAGCCTGTCCCTCCCCACCTGGACATCATCTTGAATCTCAATGAGCTATGATGCCCTCAGTGCAAGGCCCGAGAACAAAGGTCACATTGGCCTGCGATGCCTGTCGCAAGCGACGGGTAAGTGGCTATTGAACTGCCTGTCTCTCCGACCTAACCAGATTCCCAGATCAAATGTAGCGACACGTTTCCATGCTCAAGCTGTGTCGAGACTGGCACTAATTGCGTTTTTGACGACAAGTACCGGGGACGTCGTGGGCCCAGAGCGCGACGCCCGCCGAAACGCGTAATCCACGACCTTGCTCCGGCAACAACTGGTACTGCTATCCCGATCCTCCACAAGACCACTGACCCCTCGAGAAATGCACCAGAGGGCCCTGAGAGATGGTTCGATGTGAGGTCTGCGACTCCTGCTACAGAATCGGTCACTGTGATTCAACCACCTAGCAACTCTGACACGGATGAAGAGGACGCCTCCTCGAGCAGGTTTCTTGGCGCTTCGAAATGGACAGCCGGACTCGAGGGATTATTGTCAGGCGACCAATCAATCACTAACGAGTATGTCATGGTTTTGATTATCGCGGTCGTTATTAGACTAATATCTCGGCAGTCCAACCCTTGATATTAATCTAATGTCTCACCTCTTGGAAATTTTCTATAGCCACACCAGCGCTCTCATCAAGCAGATATTGCCGGCTTTCCAGTTGTTTGAAGCACTAGCAGACGGAACAGCGTTTTGCGGTCTCATTCTTGCCGCGTGCGCTTCAAGTGTGCGATTCTCCACGCATCGATCAGCAAGGCCATCAACAGGAGAGGACCCTGGAATTGCTGCCAGGCTTGCCAAGCTTGCTAGAGCTTCAATTGATATCTATAGCTATGATATGCTCCCCCACCTGGATCAGATTAGAACAATCTGCATCCTCGTTGAGTATGAAGCTAGAATTCCTTGCGGACGGAGGGCTTGGGTAGACCTCGGTACGGCCTTATCTTCTCTCTACAGGCATTTCTTGCTAACCATCTGCTTCCTACCCCAGCCACGGCAAGGAGCCTCACACAACTGTATCGCGCAAAGGGCAACTTAACCTTGGACGAGTGCCAGATATTGGACCATACAAACTATTTCATAGCCGTGACTGAGGCGGTTCATTGCCTTGGTAATGCTTCATTACAGCCGCATGAGGGTTCCGTCGATCTAAGACGCTACGCTGACAATGTTGATCCCGCCGCCTATAGCGCGTCACAGCGACTACTATACATTGTATTGTTGCTTTCCCGCATACAAAGGCTTCGTGCTCCACTAGGACGACCGAATATGCCTTGGAAGCCTGACTCGGACTTTAGAGTCTTACATCACGAGTTAGAGGCACAACTACTCTACTATCCACACACAACATACACCGGAGCAGAAATCTCACAGCAAGAGACCAGGGGCGACGACTTGACCTCGTTGATCTGCTCACTGGTTTGTCATTGTTGTGACGTGGAACTGAATACACCTTTCCTGCCAATTCCCCCAAACAAAAACCAAGACTTGGGCTCACCCTCTGGGTGCGCTAATTTTCCCGAAGCACCAACTCTTTTTTTGCTGGAGAGAATCAATCGTTGCGAGTCAGCTGCTGAAGCTACATGTCGCAGCGCACGAGACATCATCAGTCGGGGGGACTTCTTCCAAGTGAGAGATATTCTTCCATGCGTAGATCGCTGAGACTGACGCTATCGGTAGTACATGTTAATACTTGGATATTGCTGCATGCAGAGTTCTTTCGTACTAATCAATCAGATTCACAGGGCTTTGAAGGTACCTGATGCTAAAGTGGTGGAGAACCTCCGGTTTGTTTTCATGGTGGTTGCAGCGGTTAGCAAGTTCTACACACAGGGGAAAAGCTGGGTATGTTATGATAGCAGGTCGCTGGGCTAGATGTGAAGTTTCCACTAATCGGTTGATAGTTAAACACTATGTTTCGTGTTTACGATGTGAATACACCCCTGACGCGTGTTTCCGGGTCGTTGGAGGGTGCTTTTGACGGCTACTTTAGTCGATTCAAGGAGCTCTGTGAGCCTAGTTGCGTCCCTTTAGACCCGGACCAACCCTTGGGTGATGATATTGACAATGGCAGCAGGCCTTGGTCTCAAGTGCCGAGTCAAAATGCATTGGACCAGCCAGCGCAGGGATCATCTTGGGCTGCAGATTATGCTGGCCATCTGTCCGAGTACATATCGGATGAAGGGGCGGAGCAAGGACCATACAGCTCCACCGATCGTCAGGAAGTTACGCGGCTGGCTTACAGTGGACAACCAGGGTCCACAAGCAATGAAGTGGATCAGGACTATGGGAACCGTGGAATCGGGATTGAGCATGGAAGAGGAGGGAGCTCAGGACAGCAGCTGACGACAGAAAGGTGGCCGCTGACTGGTGTCGACGCTGCCCTGCTCTTGGGCATGGAGGATGGGTATGGTGCGCGTTTCGAGAGCAGCGCACTTGCTCCGATCTTTCAGTCATCCCCGGACCTGACTACTTCCCCGTTCACGGGCATAGGTACAGAGATGGATCTAGGTCTACAATCGCTTCTAGACTTAGATGTACTGTTTGCCGATAGTAGATTTGACTTTCGCGAGGGGTCGCTTCTAAATGAGAGCTTTACAGGGAGAGAGTGAGATTAGATAACTAGAGAATCTATTAATAGTCGGCCTAATACGCCTTGGCACAACTCCCTCATTGGATAATATCGCCCAGTAATTTAATCATCCACTCTTAGAAGTATATACAGTCAACATTGTACCAATTTGCCTACCCTTTTAATTGATAATGTACAATATGCTCCATGATTGATTTGATCCTTTATTAAGTGTATACGTTATATGATAGTGTCGAACCAATATGTTATATCTAGAAATAACTAGTAATAAACCCCCATATATTCTAGCGTGTTAAAGTAGTGATAGGGCGATAACTGCGGTCAGATAGCAACTTCCCAAGTTGGTTAGCCGAGGCTGATAAGACTAGACGAGATCGGGTTAATATGCGGGGATGATATCTGGTCCTGTGACCCATACACTTGGCTTGGCCATGCGGAGTAAATATCATTTTGTTCTATACCGTGTCTTGACATACTGAAGCAATGGATATCAATCTCCCTCTGGAGAGAGAGAACGGCGGAGCATGCTGGACCTGTTTAAAGCACCGTAGGAACTGCGATGCTACTCTACCACGTAGGTTACTAAGGCCCTTGTGACTGGAAATTCTATCTAACACACCCGCGACGTAGGATGTCGAACATGCAGCAAACATAGCTCAAGATGTTCAGGTTACAGCATTAGACTATCCCTTCTAGACGGCACAATGGTACCTAAACGAAATCGACCAAAGTCAACACGATTGCCTCGGATCCATTCCCCAGCCAATTCAATACCCGAGTCTATGTCAACACTGGGCCTACCAGCTGAGCAGAGCTTCTTGATGCAACATTTTACCCGTATGTGAGAGAGATAATAACCAATCCCACGAGCTCATCACTTACCCCAGTGATTAGAGAACATCACACGAGTCACCCTCGCCATCAACTATCACGGCAATGACTATCATCATCTTGTGCCCATGGCCATGTCCGACCCTGCCTTACTAAACGTCGCGTTAGCCGTTGCAGCCTCACATCACAGCCGGTGGCAACATACCGCCGACGAAACATCGCAAAAATACCTACGAGCCTCTTGTAAGGCTCTCAAGCAGAGGTTTACCAACCCTACCCTGATCAACGATCCAGAGACATTGGCGTCGATGCTACTGCTGACAACGTACGAGGTACTGTACAATCTAGATCCTGTGCCCGCCCTTTCTGACCGGGAAATAGGTGTTTGCGGGATCGAGTCGGTGGAAGAATCATCACGATGCCATTCGGAGTTGGATACGTTCGCGCGGCGACTGCGCCGGTCTCGACCCATTCCTGAAGAACTGGGTGTGTCTGTTAGACACGCAGAGTTCTCTTAATCTTGGAACTGCGACGATGCCCGAGCTAGACTCGTGGATGGACGCCACGACTGACCAGAGGGAGACTGTGGATACTTTGTTCGGTTGCTCTGCTAAGTTACCGAAGCTGATGGTGAGTTCTAGAGTCACTTCATCTTGAATAAAGCTAATAACATACAGTCAGCCGCCTCGCGCCTCTACGTCGAATCGAAAGATCCAGAAATCGCCATTGATGAGATTCGCAGGAAAGCCGATATCCTCCAAGACCAGATCCACGCCACAAAGATAGCACCAGATACTTTCCCAATGATCGGGTTGTCCTGCCACAGCACTGTTGAGGCATTTTCAACCACTATCGGCATGGACGAGGACGAGCTGCGACGCAGGGCTGTCGCCACAGCCGAGATCTTCAGACACGCCTCGCACATCTTTGTACACCGTATTACCCACGGCCCCGAAGAGACACTCCCTTCCGAGATGCGCGAGTCCCTGGAAAGCGCTATGCAGCTACTACCGCTCGTGCCGGATGCTCTCGGCCCCGGGGCAAATCTTGGCTGGTGCCTGGTGGTGCTGGGGGCCGAGCTGGACGCGGTAGACCAGCGCGAATATATCACTTCGCGGTGGGTGGGCCTTCATCTGCTGGGGATTTATAATACTAAGAACGGGCAGAAGTTACTTGATGAAGTTTGGAGCCATGCTGATCTTGTAAGAAGGGGTTATGCAACTTCGGAACGGTGGCAAGATACAATGCTACGGATTGGTCAAGCGCAGATACTGGTGTAAAGAGGGTTAAAGGGGTTGGTCTATACCTACAGTATTATAGCTCTCTAATGTTTATTATGGTAGACTTACCAGTTTGATGACTCACCGTCTTTTTCACCTTGAACTTGACACTTGTGATAACACTTTTTGCTAATCCAGGTTGTTCTATTGGGCCATTATAATCTATCCATAGCCTATCGGTACTATCGGAAGAAACGGTTATCAGAGCTAATGCACCTCGCAACTCCATGCCCTAACTTGAAAAAGACTAGGTTATCATTGAATTTCCTTAATATTCCGTTTAACAACAAATTATTTCATAGAGATAGCACAAGATTTAGTTCCCTCTCAAAGTAATACGCTCAATCTTCCAAGGTTCCAGCTAAACAACTTCCCCCTTACTGGTGGCGTCCATCAATAACCTCTTCAATTCCAATATATCCAGATTTACCATAAGCAAACCAGCCTATAGTCGTCATCAAGAATCCAATCCCCAACACCGGGGCCGCATAATTCAGATTGGCAGCCGTGACTGGATAAATGGTCGGGAAACACAAGAAGATAGTGATGTATATAGACCAAGCCAGAGCAGCCAATGCAATAGGCCGGTGATACCGGCCCAGTGTGAAGGGGCCTCGTGGTACATTACAATGCTGGAATCCGCACACCGCATTGATCAAGATGGGAAAGGCGTAAGAGATAATCAAAGCTGCTGTACAGGCAGAAGAGATACCATAATATGCCGTTGCATTGCCGATGTAGATCAGGCTAATGAGAGATATCAGAGCCCAGGTGAGGATAATTGCACCAGTGGGTGCCTTTGTTCGGTCGCCAACTCTCGCAAAGTACTCGGGGAGGCCGCCATCTCGCGCAAAGGACCAGATGACCCTTGACGTGGATGAAATTATCGCCGTGCCTGTTCCACAGAAACCAAGGATTGGAAGAAATGAGGTCAAGCCGATGGTGGCTGCTTGACTGCCCCCTGAGACATTATAGTAGAGTTGTGCAAACGGACTGATCCGTCCGACGGGGCCGGCTAGGATATCCCCCAGATTGGTGAAGCAGAAAGCTACTGCAATTACCCAAGGAAAAGTCAGAATTCCGCTGACGGCAACGTTGGCGATCACTAGGGCATGTTAGTATCCGTTGTGATTTGCTTCTATGGAGTGATACGCACTTGTTCTTGGTAAATCTCGTGATGCATTTTTCATCTCTTCGGCCATATGAGTAGAGCTATCCCAGCCGACGAAACTGACTGTTGAGGTCAACAGACCGATGGACCAAGCAACCTGTATTCTTTTGTCAATTTCCGTGTTTTTATTGATCAATCAATAGACATACCCCTGAATTCTCCCATCCGCTTAGATTCGTAGCATCCGTAAAGACATATTCGGCCGAATTCTTCGGATGTGTATGTACGAGAAGGTAGATGGCAGTAGCGAGATACCCAAACACATGTCCAAACATGGCGAGAAAAATCATATAATGAAGACGCTTGATGTCAAAAATAGCAAATAGGGTGTAGAGCGATGTCAGGGCGATCACAATCTATCAGGTAATATGAGCCTTTGGTGCACAATCAAGTCAGGGGCTGTGGCTCAAAAACCCACCAAGGATGTATGCCATCTCTCATAGACGTAGCCCTCACTAAACAGAATAGCCCAAGACTGTATCTGCATAGCAGTAGCAAAGATGCCAGCGGTTGCGCACAAGACCCAACCGATCATGGTGATCCAGCCAGCATACCAAGCAAAGATCCTCCGGTACTTGGGTGGTGCGAGCTTGGCAACATAGTGATACTGGCCACCGGCTGTAGGAATCATGCTAGCATACTCAGCAATACACAGTACAATCAGCAACGCCCCAGTAGCTGAGGCTGCAAACCCCCAGACAAGACTGGAGCTGCCACCGCTCGTCAGGGCTTGAGCTGCTGCTGATGAAATGGCTTCCCAAGTAACACTAGTGCAAAAGGACATGAAAAGCAATGACCAGATGTTGAAGTTGCGCTCAACTTTGGTTGGCGCAATGCCAAGATTATTGAGCTGGGCATCGTCGTCGTTTGAGAGTTCTTTGATCAAGGAATCATCGATAGGGCCAGTCTTGGACACTGTCCTGTCAATAGAATGAGTTTCGGTCATTGCAATGGTAGATTGAAAATAAACCGATTGTTTTTTTCTTGGACAGGGATGAACTAGTATACTCCGCGAGACTAAGTTTCGACTTCCTTTCACGGGGGAAATGGATAATTATGGCCAATCGGGTGTTCGTTTATTATTCCCAAATCCATTCCGCGATCCTATACGAAGTATCCTATTCTATCTTGAGAAATACATCTAGTCCAATTGGCTTATCATTCCAGGTGAATTATTCTAAACCTCCCCCTCTTGTCCTATTTATCACTATCCCAGTCCCCCTGAGAAAGTCAGAATACTCACGATAACTAGGCAACAATATTGGCAACATGACATCAGCTACTTTGCCCTCATCTTGGTTTCGGCAGCCTGAGATCTACGACTTGGAACGCCGAGCCATATTCTCCAAGACCTGGCTCATTGTCTCCCACAAGTCCCAGTTCGCCACAGCTGGCCAGTATGCCCTCTATGAAGTCGCAGGATATCCATTCTTTGTCATCCGGGACCGTGAGGGTAGTATCAATGCCTTTCTCAACGTCTGTCGTCATAGGGCATTTCCAATTGTCCACGAAGAGACTGGCAAAGCATCCATTCTATCCTGCAAATATCACGGTTCGTCTACATGGTACCTTTTATGTGAAGAGTTTAGCTAACCATCACAGGCTGGAGTTACGGATTGAAAGGAAACCTTGCTAAAGCACCTCGGTTTGACACGGTACCGAAGAGCGAATTCAACAAAGACGAGTTCTCGCTGTACAAGCTTCACCTGCATATAGACCAGCTGGGATTTGTATGGGTCAATCTAGATGCATCTGAGAAGCCGAGTCTCAGCTGGGAAGAGCAATTCAAGGAAATCGACACCCAAGAGAGAATTACCGAGGCCTACAACATGGACGATTATGTCTTCGACCATACTTGGTCTCTTGACGATTGCAACTTCAACTGGAAGACTCTTGTTGAGAATTATAATGAGGTAAGCTCAATTAAATCCAATTGACTTGTCAAAACTGCTCACTAATCCCACGTAGTGCTATCACTGCTCTACGGCACATCCGGGAATTGCACCTTTCATTACAAAGGAGACCCGGTTCGACGTCGAACCCAAGCTTTGCTACATCCGTCACCTTGCAGAAGACATTGAAGCCGGCGACATCAATGCTAGCCCGACATTCATGTTCCCCAATTCTTCTGTGACTATGTCTAAGCATTTCTTCTACATGATGTTTATCGTCCCCACTTCAGCCACGACATCTCGCATGCGCTACGAAGTCTACCGCAACAAGAACTCCTCTGAAGAAGAATTCACGAAAGAGATCGACTTTTTCAAGCAGGTCGAGAACGAGGACAAGTATCTTGGAACCAACGCTCAGAAGGGTCTTAACAGCGATACATACAATGCCGGGCCACTCCATCCATACATGGAGCATGCTGTCAAGTATTTTGAATCTCTTGTCAGATCGACCTTGAAGAGTCACGTTGAAGAAGAAAAGTCTCTGGGCAAGGAGATATGGCCGGCGAGGAGAAAGCTGTCAAATGCACAGTTGGACGAGGACGAGGCGTTTTGCAGGGGTGTATGCGAGTCAGCGAAGGCAACCAGCGGAAATGGTGCTTTGGCATGGTAGGCCTAAGTCTTCAAGGGCCTGGTATATCAACTCCTATTTTTTTATGTATCTAGCAGCAAATTGACTTGTTCTAAAACAATACAACTCCAATGCTGGCTACATGATACCCTTCAGCATGCTGAAATTCGGGTTGGCATATTATATATTCCCCTAGATTTCAGATAACGAGGCTTCTGGATTATATGTAACACTTTCTTTGCCTCTGATCCGTTTGTACTACTTGGATTAACTCTTGATACAACGGAAGATCTGGGTTGAGTTACCACCTCAGGTCAACGTACGAAACACTTCGATATCCATCCTGAGGTTTGCAACTGAGTTTGTTGGTTGCAATCTTGCTAGCAATCCATGTAAATTTTGATTGAGGGGCATTATACAAGAAGAAACCATTCCATTTATATATTTATGCATTGAGTCTCTATCACTCGCCTGGTCTCCTAGCTAAATATGTAGATACCAAAATTACCCATGAGAAACAACCAGGGACTGCGGCACCTGAACCACCTTCTGCAGTTCCGCTGCCTTATTCTTCTCCTCGACCAAGTTCATACTATCGTAGTTCCCACCAGCAGGAAGAGAAAGTTCCTCTATCGTTCCTGGCTTGCCAGAAGTGACTTCCCGAGCTATTTTGTCAAAATTCTCCTCGGCTGCCCGCTGGCAGTCAAAGTCCATCACCCAATCTAGGAGAGGCATAATAAGTGAATCTGGATTTTTCTTCACCATCTCCAACGTCCAGTTGTTCTTGTGGTAGATGTTTCGGGTCGAGATGGAGGCTTGGTGGATGGTATGAGATCGGTTAAAGCGAATACGTTCGAACACCTGGAGCGCGAGAGGAATGTCTCCGTGCGACTGAGAAGCTATTTAGCAACTCGAAACTTCAAGTAGGTTGGCTCACTAAATGCCCGGGTCATGAACTAACCTTCTCCAGGCAGATTGCCATGGTTGCTGCGTCTTCTACCGCTTGGCAAGCTCCGTTGGCAGAAGTAGGTAAGTGGCAGTGGGCTGCATCACCGAGAACAGCACAGCGCTTTGAAGGTGAAAGCCATGTGGTTAAAGGATCCCGCCAAACTAGCTTCTAGATGTTGCAGGTTGATTAGTGTGCGACAAAGGAAATTTTAAGAAGGGTTATGGAGTGGAGAAGAGTATATGGAGAGCCCCGGAGGCGAGACGACTCACATAATCCACCATCCTCTCTTCGGGAGTCAAGGCAACCACTCGGCGCCATACTTCTGGGAACCGAGCTTGCTTCAGGTACTTGTACACGTCCTCCTTCTTGGCCGGGAACGACCAACCCTCTTGGATATCGGCATCATCGAGGTGTGTCAGGACCCAGGCACAGTCACTAGTGAACGATGATCAGTCCAAAACGTTGCAAAAGAATTGCTGGAACTATAAGAAATTACCGGCCTTCATTCCAGGTGTAGATGAAACCATGCACATCTTCACCAACCCAGAACCTGGTCGTGTCCTCATCTTTCTTAGTGAGCTCAGCCATCAAGGGATCCTCGAGCATTTCATCCGTAACCTCAAAGAAAGCCCTGAAGATGGCATAGCCACTGTTGACCCTACTCTCTGGGAGACCAAGCAGCTGCGATCGCGCCAGTGATTTCGGTCCGTCGCAGGCTAACACCACATCGCCGAGGATCTTGGCACTCTCGGAGATGACAACGCCCCTCTCCTTGTCCGAGTCCAAGTACTCTGTCACTCTCGAGTTGAAGTGCATCTCAACTCCAATCTCCTTAGCATAGTTATACACAATCTCATGCATCGTGCCTCGATGGCCAGCGAATGTGCCTTTGAGGTCGATACCCTGAGGCCAAGGGTCGGATTTGAGCAGGACGTTGTCCTGATTGTAGAAGTCGAGGGTCTTCGCGCGGTTGACACCAGCTGCCAACAGCATCTCGCCAATCCGGCCGTTATCCCATGAATCAAAGATGCGACCGCCATTAGGTACAAAGTCCAAGAGATCTCCGTGGGAACTGGCGCCTCCATATGCCTCGACGATGATAGGGTGCATGCCGCGTAGCTGGCATTCTATCGCCGCTGTTAAGCCGCAGAAGCCAGCGCCGACAATTACCACCCTAAGCTTCTTTTCGGCGGTTGGCGACATTTTGGGAATTGACTCAATTGACTGAATTTTGGGGGTGAGGATGATTGGTGCTGAGGGTTTCCCTTTAGACTTCGTTTATCTGGTATGCCGTATAGATAACTATCTAGAGCGCGAATCGGGGCGTATGTAGTCTTGATATGAAAGGTAAATGCACCAGCTGGAAGAACTCAGCGAATCATCTGCGAGAGAGTTCCGTAAGAGACGGCCCTATTCCGCGCCGACCCCCTTATTCCGCCACTCCTAGGAAGTTATTCCATTAATCCGTGTTTTATATCTTTGAGGAATTCAACAAATGGGAATCCTAGGATAGTAAATGCGGGGATCAATTGGAGTTCTAGTACGGGCTTCTTGTTCCATTTGGATTTAAGCAGAGAGCGCTTCATGGCGGGCCTGATACGACCCAGTCTTCTCTCTATCACTTCTCTACTTCTCCGATATCTCTATTTCCAGACGATATCTTGACTTCAACCCAGCCCTTTGACGCAGCAAGCAACTACCATGATCCAGGAAACGGTAGTACTTGTGAAGGCACACTGGGTCTTGGTGCTTCTCTCGACCGTTATCACACACCTTGTCTACAATTACGCCAAGGGGGGACTTTGGAGGATACCAGGCCCATGGATGCGAGGAATTTCTTCCCTTCCCCGCATCCTCTCAGTTTACAACAACAAGTCCCACGATGAAGACATCCAGCTGCATCAAAAATACGGCAAAATCGTACGTCTGGCGCCGAATCTACTCTCCATCGCCGACCCAGCCGAGATCAATCAAATATACGGCATTGGGACCAAATTTTATAAATCTCGGTTCTATAGCCTCTCTACAGCATACGATGATGAGGGCTTAGTTCCGGACACGTTTGTCCTGACTGACAAAGTAAAACTCCATCGCGCGTACCTGATGACCTCATACTAACTTCTAAGACTCTACACACAAGAATGAAAAGAAACGCTTCTAATGCGTACTCTACAAACGGTCTAGTGCAGATGGAGTCATGGATCGACCCAGTGACCGACCGACTACTGAGCAAATTGCATCGCCAAGCAGGGGAACCCATTGAGATGTCAAGCGTATTAAAAGATTATGCCATGGATGCCGTCTTTGCCGTCACGTTTGGGAGAGACTTCAACTACATTGAAAAAGGCGACGTTCTGAAGATGTACGGCATTCTGGAAACTGTCGCTGACTACATGGCAATCGTAAGTCCAGCCTTCTTTTCACCCGTTCGCCCCAAGAGCCACAGTTCTGACCTGCAACAGTTTGGACAAATCCCCTGGATCCATAAATTTCTCCTGGGTCGGCCATTTATAGCCAGCCTCATGTTTGGCAGCAGCGGTGATAAGGAAATGATGCAGCTCGCCATGTCCCAGGTCGAGTCCGCCAAACAGAATTCCTCCGAGAGCGGGCCTTTGACCTTTCTTCAGCGATTGCTCCTAAACCAGACCAAGGATCCATCATCTATCAACGACCGAGAGATCATGACCCATGCATTTGGCAACATTTCCGCTGGGAGCGATACTACTGCCATTGCACTGCGTTCCATTCTCTACCACATCCTAAAGGACCGCCGCGTTTATGATAAGCTCTACGACGAATTTCGGGTTCTGGAGACTCCCGTCCAATTCACTGACACTAACAAGTTGCCGTATTTCGCTGCTGTCATTCAAGAGGCTCTCCGGCTACACCCTTCAGTCGGTATGATGCTCGCCCGTCTCGTCCCCGCCGGAGGCGCAGATTTGTGCGGGTTCCACCTCGCCGAGGGCACGGAAGTTGGTATCAACCCGTGGGTGTTGCACCGTGACCCCGAAGTGTTTCCCGACCCTGATAGTTTTCGACCCGAACGATGGCTGCCATCGGAGACGGATGATAACCAGCGTACGCTTATGAACAGGTCGTTTTTCACCTTTGGTCATGGCGCGCATACCTGCAGTGGACGTTGGATTAGTTTGATGGAGATGAAAAAGGTGATTCCGTCTCTGATGCTGAGATTTGAGATGACGTTGGTGAGTGAGGAGAAGTATGGGTTTAAGAATCGTTGGTTCACGCCGCAGGACGGTCTATTTGTAAAGTTTATCGAGAGAGATAGAAAATTCTGAAAAGAATCCAAGTTATATTCATTCGACTAAGGCATAGAACTCGATCCAGTCTCTTTGCAAAAGAGTTTCGCAGCGACTTTGGGCAGAATATAAAGGTTCATATTCATCTTTCGGTTTCGCAAGCTATCTACTAGAGCCAAACTCTCCAGTTACTATCACTTCATTTTGCTATGTTTAGATCTATAACATTACTGATCCTTTCAAGGGGTGTATTGATACCAGTTAGTATCTAAATATAGATATTATCAACCGTACGTCCAAATGCTTTACCTTTAAACGGTACACTTTTACCCCCTAAACCAGCCTTTATTCACAAGTATCAACACGATCTAATTCTTCGTAGATAGCCCTTTTGACATCCTCCTCAGCCCAACACATATCCACCGCATTCCTCGCCAACTGCACCATCTCCTTTTGACTAAACCCACAGTAAGTATAAACCTTCTGCAAATTCCCATCAATCCAAACATCATGCATCAAAGTCGGATCATCACTATTAATACAAATCTTCACCCCCCTCTCCACCAACCTCCGAATCTTCGAAAACAAAACTTCAGTCGCCGTCCTCCGATGATAAGCATGCGGACACAAAGTCAACCCAATCCCCCTATCCACCAACCCACGCCACAACACCTCCGAATCCTCCGCATCCAACCCATGATCAATCCTCTCCGCTCCCTTCCCCCCACAAACCTCAAAAATAGCCTCAGTCACATGCTCCCGCGTATCCTTCTGTCCAAAGTCACAGTGCATAGTAACATGCAAGCCATCTGCGCGCGCAAGCGCAAACCCCTCTTCAAATAGCATCGGCGGTCTTTCGTACGCATTGCTCGCTAATCCAACAGCATGAAATAGCCCCTTCCCGCCCTCAACAGTCCCAGCAGCCCAAGGTCTCGCCTCGCGGTAAGCATCCAGACCTTGCTCGACGGGCTCGTCACGCAAGAAACACAGAATCCAGCGTGAATGAACACCGAGCTGGGCTGCGGCATCATGTTTCGCGCGTAAATACCCGTCCAGAACGGCAGCTGCGGGGACACCGCGTCGTGTGTGCGCCTGGATGTCGAAGAAGGGTTCGGTATAGCGCACGTTCATGGTGAAACAGCGGCGCAGGTATGCCATGGCTAGATCGTAGAAGTCTGTTTCTGTGCGGAGGACTTCGCAACCGGCGAAATAGGCTTCCAGGAAGGTTGGGATGCCTGGTTGGCGGCCATTTAGCTCGGGTCGGTGGTTGAGGGTTACTGCGTAGGAGGCTTGCAGTTCTGAGAAAGTGGCGTAGGGGAGGGTGATGTTGTTACGGCGGGCCAGGTCCCAACGGAGAGAAGGTGTTAGAGTGCCTTCGATGTGGACATGGAGCTCAACTTTGGGAAGATTGGCTATGAATGGGGTAATTTCGAGGCCGTTCATGATTGCTGTGTTTCCCACTTCCAAATAAAATGAAAATGTAGTCCCAGTAGAAGTTAAAGGTTTAAATGCCAAGTTTCAGAATTGGGGTAGATGAACTCCAAAAATACGACGGTATCGGTGCATTAGTTTCAGCCCTAAAAGGACTTAGCTCTCTTCTCGTCCAATTGAGACTCGAAGGATTCGAAGGATTCCTGCATCGGCGATAACATACAGGGATGCGGTCAATGGACCAATGAGACGTGCGGGCAAAAGATAACAGCATCTTATAAGAGCTGTCGTCTTGGAGTTTCTCATTGTCTCTCTTTTCCGTGGCATCGTTTCCACTATGGACACAATGACTCCCGACGCGACGCTGGAACAAGGGACGGACCAGACTATGGCGAAAAGAGTACTGTGGAAAATCGACAGACGACTGATCCCACTACTCTTCACAACTTATATGTTCAACTTTATGGATAAGACCATATTGTCGAGCGCGTCTGTCTTCGGGTTGAGGGATGATACTGTAAGAAGATCTCGAGAGAAATAAATAAGAAACCCTAACTAAGATCATTTCTAGGGTTTGGTGGGCCAGCAGTACAGCTGGGTATCATCGATCTTCTACTTTGGCTACCTGGGATGGGTATATCCAACAACTTTACTCATCGCTCGTGTACCTGCCGCCAAATACTTGACGGCCAATACATTTTTCTGGGGTGCTGTAGTGGCTCTCACTGCAGCCTGCACCAACTATGGCGGTCTTATAACAGTCCGCTTCTTGCTTGGAGTTGCTGAAGCGACCATCACACCGGCGTTTATGTTTATTACCTCGACATGGTACACGCGTGATGAGATTCCTACCAGGACAGGTCTCTGGTTTGCTGGAAACGTACGTTGTCTTCTGTCAATCATTTTTGGATAAAAGCTGATCTTTTACAGAGTGTCGGTGGTATTCTTTCCAGTCTTCTAGCCTACGGCCTAGGTCACGTCAAAGACCACGTTGGGCCGTGGAGATGGATGTTCATCGTCCTCGGCTGTGCAACCTTCCTCTGGTCATTCGCTATCTGGATTCTACTACCCGACTCAATCTCCAAGGCCAGCTTCCTAACAGAAGAGGAACGCCAGTTCGCAAGCAACAGAGCGGTCGTCGCAGGCACAGGCTCAACGGAAAAGACCGCTTGGAGATGGGACCAGTTCCTTGAATGCCTGATGGATCCAAAGACGTGGCTTATCTTCGGGCTGGAGCTCTGCACACAAATCCCCAACGGAGGAACGCAGAACTTTGCCAATCTAGTGATTGTCTCATTCGGGTTCACAAGCCTGCAATCGACGCTGATCACCATCCCTTACTCGATCATCACCATCGCCGCAATCACCGGATCGGGCTGGCTAGCCGGTCGTTTCCGCCACATGAACTGTTTGCTGGTCGTAGCGGTTGTGCTCCCTTGCGTCGTCGGCAGTGCGATCATCTACTCCCGCGAACATATCGTCTTGGGGGTGCAGTTATTTGGATATTTCCTCTTGTCGACTGGACCTGCGGCAATGCCGCTTGCTTTGTCGCTCGTACAGTCCAATTACCGTGGAGTCACTAAGAAAATGACTGTCACTGCAATGCTCTTCCTGGCTTACTGTGCTGGAAACATTTCGGGGCCTCAGTTCTTCCTTAGTCACGAGGCGCCGCATTATAACACTGCTTTCCGCACGATTATGATTTGTTATGCCCTAGCTGTTGTGCTGGCGTTGGCTTTGCGGTTCTATCTGCAGTGGTTTAATGCTCGTCGTGTGCGCCTGGAGGGATTTGTGGGTAGTTCTGGAAATGCTGGTGCTGTTGGTGGGAAGGCGTTGGATACTGATGATTCGAAGAATGTGGCGGATATGGTGAATCAAGTCCAACTGGTATCGGATGACTATGAGGATGTTACGGACTGGAAGACACCAGGCTTCAGATATCGTTACTAAAAGGCAGAACCGAATAAATGTGGTCGAATGGGCCAGTTTATAAGATAGCATCATGCCAAACACTCGTATTTATCATGCTTTACTAATAATCGATCAAAAATGAATATAATCTATCCCTGAATCTCATTTCTATCACGCCAGATATTCATACACATCTCCAAATTATGTTACATCCAAAAGAGACCCCGGCCAAAGTCACACCGGAAGATCAAGACTGAGACTTCTCGGCCTGCTTCGGTCTCAACACATAACGCCACGTAGTCCCCAGATGCCAACGCTTCTCCTCCACAATCTCCAACCCACTCTCCCGCACAATCTCCCCAATATCGCGATTCCACCAACACCCATGCCGATCCGCATGAGCCGGAGCAAGATTATCCAAAATCCGATTAACCCAATCATAATAAGAACGCCCATGCTCAAGCAACAAGATCCGCCCACTCTTAGGCTCCGTAACAGATCCCAGATGTCTCAGCGTCGCAACCGGATCCGGCATCGAACAAAGACCCATAGTCTGCAAAATAGTATCAAAGTAAACCTCCCCCTTCTTCACCCCAGAACGCTGGATATCAGACGGCGAAACCGCACCCGCATCACAAGCCTTAAACACCGCCGGGAACGCAGGATACAATTTCCCGAACTTCTCCTTCGTGATAGCCACCATCTGCGGACTAAGATCGACAAACGTAACAGAGCGACAACCCAAAACCGCAGCGCGACCATCCGCATCCGTCCCGCGACGCTCCCCGAGCTCGTAGAATGGCAGATTGCGGCCAGTGCCGCAGCTGACTTCGAGGACGTCTCCGCGCGCCTGCCGCACTAGATCCCGTCGCTTCTTGCCGAGTCCCATTGCCTTTTCCGAGAGCTCGACGTCCGCGTCGAATGTTGCGGCTGTTGTGTTGTAGCGGTCTGAGACGTCGCGTGGCACGTCGAGGGTTTGCGCTTTGCTTACTTCGCGCGTGTATGACGCGTACAAATAGCCGCAGTACATGCTGATTGTGAGTGCTGAGATGCCCAGGAAGGTTAGGGCTCTGGGTGGGATGCCATGGCCTTGTTTTGCTGTTTCAGCGGTCTCGGGTTGAGCGTTTTGTGGGGTTGGAGGTTGGCGAGGCGGAGTTGCTTGTCGCCGTTTTATGATCACTGGCTTGGAGGTTTTGGGACTGCGAGGATGTTAGTTTGGTAGGGTTGAAGAGATTTGGTTACATACCTCGGCTTTGGGGGTCGAGGTGCTTTGGTTGATGCGCTGCGGCAGGGCGTGACGGGCCATTTTGCAACCAATGGCACTCTGCGCAATTGATGTACATTCATTGTAGTGTTTCGTAGTAGCAGAATGCACTGCCAAGGGTTTTGTGGGCTTTTTTTATGCACGGTATATGATTTGACGCGAGCGAAGATTGAGTGCTTACGCGACAGGTTTGTCAACCCGCGCGATGCCGAAAGGAGATGGAGGCTCTAAGAAGGAACCCCGAACTATCAAAATGCAGTCCCGGGATTTTAGTTGCACATCTCCTATATAGATCGGAGCGGTATCCAGCGAAGAAGAAAAGTCGGAAGCTGAAGCCGACGAACGACGCCGTTATCGGCTCGAGTGTTATCAGTTGGAGTATCCCCCAGATTCTCCAATTCGGGTCTTGTGTTAACCCACACACATATTTTTGCAAATGGCATTGCCGTCCAAGATTCTGATTGTAGGAGGGGGTGTGTTTGGATGTGAGTGTTAACAATCTTGCCCTGACACCGTCTACACTATCACACTACACTTATACATTTCCACACTACTAACAATCCCCCAGTATCCACCGCCCTCTCCCTGTCAAAGCGACACCCAGAATCAAAAGTAACAGTAGTAGAGTCCTCACCAACAATCCCAAACCCGCACGGCTCATCCTTCGACACATCCCGGATCGTGCGGTCTGACTATGCCAACACGGCATACTCCAAGCTCGCCGCAGCAGCTATCCACCGCTGGCGCAGCACGGACTGGGGCCGTGAGGGCCGCTACACGCAGAACGGCCTGCTGCTCGTGTACCCAGAAGACAGCGCCAGTGCCAAGGAGTACGCTCGCAAGAGCTACATCAACGTGCGTCAGATCGAGGGCGACAATGTCACTTTCCTACCGACCCAAGCGGACGTCCTCGGCGTTGTCCCGGCCTACGGCTCGACCCTCGATGTCGCCGGCGGCTATGTGAACTGGGGATCCGGATGGTCTGATGCTGCAGCCAGCGTGCGCTATGCTAAGACCCTGCTCGATGCTGAGGGGAAGGTTGTCTTCCGCACTGGTGATGTCGAGCGTGTGCTGTACGACACGAACGGCGCGAAGCCTAAAGCTACCGGTGTCGTTTTGACAGATGGCTCGACTCTCGAGGCGGATTTGGTTGTGCTGGCGACTGGCGCGTGGACGTCGAAACTGGTGGACTTGCGTGGTAGGGCTGTCGCGACCGGTCAGGCGATTGCCTATATGCGGATTTCCGACGAGGAGCAGCGTGAGTTGGAGAATTTGCCTACGATCTTGAACTTCGCAACAGGCATCTTTATTATCCCGCCCCGGGATAATCTGCTTAAGATCGCGCGACATGCGTATGGGTATCGCAATCCGGTTGAGGTGCCGGTTCCTGGTGTTGGAGCTTCGGGCTCGATGATGGTCAGTCTGCCTGAGGAGGGGGTTCATGTACCGCTTGAAGGACAGGATGCGTTCCGGGTTGCGTTGAGGCAGCTTTTGCCGCGGTTTGCGGAGAGGGAGTTTGTTGGTACGAGGGTTTGCTGGTATACTGATACGTGAGTTTGGTCCTTTGGTTGCCAGCTGCGAGCTGGGGGTTGTGGTTCGTGCTAATATTGTTTTTAACAGGCCCACGGGTGACTTTATTGTTTCTTATCATCCTGACCATGAAGGTCTTTTCCTTGCTACCGGTGGTAGTGGCCATGGGTTCAAGTTCTTCCCTGTTATTGGAGACAAGATTGTTGATGCGTTAGAGGGCACACTTGATTCCGAGTTGAGTAAGATGTGGACATGGCCTAAGACTGCTGTGTCGGATGATGAAGACTTTGATGGCGATGGTAGTCGGTCTGGGGAAAGGAGGGCGATTTTGAAAGACGAGTTGGCCAAGACAAAGAAGGCTTCGCGGGGCAGTGTCCTTTAGGCATGGACCCCTTTGGTGTGATGTATATAAAATGAAGGTTGGATGTAGAAAGGCATTTACACTAGAGACCAAGCGCGAGCAAAGGTCGAGACAGGAGAGCTAAGAACTACATAGATCTGATCTACTCGAGCATATAGAGGCAACTTTGTTTCAAGAGATTTTCATTAACTACTCAAAGGTAGTATCACGGCAAAAGCCGGTCCATCAACCCCAGAAGGGGAAAACAAGGACGGAATTGAATCTAACAGACTGCCATAGGTCACCATTAATTTTTTTTTGCCCGTGGGAATAAAAGCAATCCACCACAGATGAAACCATAGAACGATAAATGATTAAATCGAGGCAGTCATCGACCGGCGCACAACCGCCTCCCTGCGGTGTGCAGCAATCTAATTTGTGGAAGAACGCGAAAGTGTTAAAACCGGGGATCATCCGAATCGCTAAAAACGCCCAACTATGCTTGCATGAAAAGAGTCGTAAGAACCGAAGGAAAAGTGAGGTGCCGACCAAAGCCGACAGTCCTCAGGGAAAAAAAGCAATGTTAATACAGGTTGGGAATGCATGAATGATCTCCTCTGAAGCTTTCTTTAGACCTTGCGGAAATCTGCGAATAAAGTCAGTAAAGGTTTGATTGCAGCGAATCCAGCAAGACAGCATACCAGAAAGCACAGGGTAGATCAGCTCGAAAGCCTGGTAGATCTCCTCGCGGACTTTAGCACCAGTCAGGACAATCTTGCCACTGACGAAAATCAAGAGAACGATCTTGGGCTTCATCATGCGATAGATCAAACCAGGGAACAACTCAGGCTCGTAGGAGCTGAAGTTGTGGTGACGAGAGGCCAACCCTTCCAGACGGATGGGGAATTTGATATCGCAGGAGCCGACGATGTTCTGGATTTTGAAATCGGTAAACTTGGCGTTGAAACCAAGTTTCTGAATAATACGCGCATACTTGCGCGAAGCCAGCTTTGAATCATCCTCGGACTTGGCACCAGTGACAACCATCTTGCCGGAAGCGAAGATGAGCGCGGTAGTCTTAGGTTCACGGATACGCATGATGACGGCAGCGAAACGCTAAGGAGAGAACCAAGTTCAGCCACATTGTACCCTGATGTGGGCCCTGTCAGGGCAATGTGAGGAATGGGTGATAAATACCTTTGGGTTGTACTCGGCGTTGCGTGCGTGCAGCGCAATAGTCTTAAGATCAAGACGACAGTCAAGGTTGACAGTAGCAACGATGTTCCTTTTGGAATAACTAGTTCAGCCATTCTGGTCACCCAGAAAAACGTCCAGAGTATACTCACTGCAAGGTTGGGACAATGCCGCTGCTTCCCGTGGTCGCGCCAGGGGTCGCGGCGGGGGTAGCAGGAGAAGCGGGAGTCACCCCGGTGCCATGGATGGCATTTCCTCCAGGCTGGCCATTCATGCCATTTCCGCCCTGAACGCCCTGCGCCATAGCCTCCTTGTCAGAGTTGGGAGGGGTCAGGTCCCCAGCGCCACCAGGGAAAGACAGCGACGAGGTAGCAGTGAAGGCACGGGCCTGCTGCGCATTGGAAGGGTGGGTGGTGAGAGAATCCATGATGGATACTCGAGTTGTAACGGATAAAGAAGATAGAACTGTAAACGAAACGCGTGAGCTTGAATCGCGAAAAGTCGCGGAATCACGTGTTGATGGCGGAGAGGGGAGACGGAGAGGGGAGAAGACGCGTGTTGGCATAGGGACGGGGTGGGAAGTAGGAAATGAACTTCTGAGGGAAGGAACATCCGAGGAAGGAACCCAAGAAAGGAAGGTGCAAAGGAAAGGAAAGGAAGGTGCAACCAAGGTAGAAAAGGCGAAAGAGGCTTACCTGGGAGATGGACAACTCAATGTATCCCCCTACGAGGTATTCGCACGTAACCTCTCGTGAATATCACGAGATAGTGTATGCAACGAAACCAACGCAGTCGACTGGTGAACGAATCAAGAAAAAAATCACACTCAAGTGTTTTTTCAAGATAGTCGCGACGGCGATATTATGGGACGGCAACTTTTTTTTTTGTTTCTTTCGAAATTTTTCTCGCTGCTTTTTTGGAAAATGGGATTGTCTATCTGCGCGAATCTGAAAAAAAGAGAGAGTGATGAAGTGAAACCTGAGGCTCAACTTCTATGGTGTTTCCGTGGAAAACCCTTTTTTTTTGCCCCTAAAAAAAAAAGTATCAAATCAAGGGTCCAGAGAATAATCAAAGATCGAAGATCTGATTAGTAAGAGAAAGCCGGGCAGATATGATGAGGCTTTTTGAGGTGAGCGGGTAGAAGAATTTCCGAAAATAAGATCCGCCAAGACCGAGACAAAATTCCCAAGGTAAAATGGGGGGAGGTTGGGTCTTTATATAGTGCTGAGTCACAGCCCGGTCAGGGGAGGCTGGGCCGCCGGTGGCGGTAAAAGCAGCAAGACCTTTCTCCCTTCAACCTTGGCTTCATTGTCCACTAGCGGCTCTGGGAAACCACCTCATGAACCAATCAAAGCCGCACACCAACTATACCGTATTTCATTCGCCCAACGCACTCCGCTAATCTCTCTTTATTAGCCCCTGACTGGCTCTAACACCCTTGCTTTATCCTCCGGCGCCATGGTTGCAGGCGTTGGGTTTGCCAGTCCGCGCTCCTCCTGCAGCTGATAGTCCATCCGTCCCATAATAATCCAATCACCGTCATCGACTACCCTCGGTCACTCCATGTACGACGCGCTATCCTCTTGCCGCTTTAACGGATGGCAACTGAACAAAAATTCTGATTTTTTTGCCTTGTTTCTTTCCCTACCTCTCTGACCTCACCGCAGGAAAGCACTATAATATAACCAACTATTGTTAGTGGACTAACATCGAATAGCAAGATATCTCTCTCACGGCTTATATTTGATTCGACTATACTTTTTTCTCACTTTTCAAACCGGTGACTCGCCCCCAGGGATTTCGATTAGGACAGGTGGCCGTTTTGATTCTGCCTTAACAGGCGGTGGCGCCCGGCGGTGACCCACCGCCAAGTCTGGATGAATCTTATGGCATGCAATCTAGCGGTGATCAGTCACTTTTTTGAGCTTCGGGTCTCTTATTCGGATCTATTATTTAGATCTACCAACTTTGAGACTTTCCAAGGCTGTTATTCGCAACCCCTCAGTTCATTCTCGTGGTATTTTTTGCATTTTCTGGAGGATTCCGGTATGCTGGTATGGTATAATATGCTGAATACCCGGAACGGCACAAACGTCACATTCCGGGAAATGCTGTAATAATACAGGAAACGGGAGACTGCATTGGTGCAGTCTGATCTGGATCGGGGCTCGCACTCTTGAAACAGCTGTGTAGTATGACTTGACTATTTAAGGTTGTTTCTGGCATATATGCAAATAAGCCTGGAGCCAACGTTGGACCGTTGGAATATTTTATTCTGAAGCTAACCATGTGATGCATGTGATCGGTGCGGAGTACTCCGTATCTATATCGTATCAAACATGTGCCAATGGAGTAGGTGGCAAGAGTTGAGGTGCTCCATAAAGATAGTATAAAATTTATGAAATATACAAAAGTTCTGCGCTTGATAGACGGCTATAGGCGATTTCCGCTTCGGGATCCATGAGGATCCATCCATGGATCGCTGCCTCAGGCCTCTAACTTTGGATAATCGCCGAGATGCCTATTGGCTAAGAGAGATAAGCCGAGGGTAGGCGGTTTCTCGGCGTTTTGTCACTTCCACTCAAAATTCGGGTACTCCAGGACTCTGGGGACATACGGGATCTACGATCTACCTAAACATCCTCTCCGCATTCATCCTTTCGACCTGGTGCCAATTGCTGGTCGCTAGTAATCCTGGTCTCACCCTCCGGTCTCCGAACAATACACACCGCGATGGCATCAAAAGGTGCCGTTCTGCCTCTATTGAGGCGTGAAATTCGATCCTCCCGATTCCCACGAGCTACCTCCGTCTCCGCCATTGCTACCCCAGCCCGCCACTCCGCCAGTCCCTTCACAGCTTCCGGGCGACCTTTAGCTCGGCGAACGGCACTATTCGCCGCGCCAACCCAGACACGAGCCTTTTCGCAATCGCTATCAAAGCGCTTCACCGACGAGGATGGCAACTTCGATCCTCGCACATTGGATCGGGAGTCGGACGACGTGGACGTTTGCATTGTTGGCGGTGGTACGTGCTTTGTGGATTGATTCTCCCCCAAAGCAGCCTAACTAAGCTTTGGTTTACTGCAGGTCCCGCCGGTCTCGCCGCCGCAATTCGCTTGAAGCAACTTGCCAATGAGGCAGGCAACGAAGAGTTCCGGGTTATTCTACTAGAGAAGGCTGGTGAATTGGGCGCTCATATTGTCTCCGGAAACGTTTTGCAACCAACCGCCCTCAATGAACTGCTCCCCGACTGGTTGGCTGAGGACAACCCCTCGCGCTTTGAGGGTGCGACCCCCGCCAAGGGTGACAAGATGCGCTTCCTAACAAAGAATGGCTCATACCCGCTCCCGACCCCGCCACAGATGCATAATGAGGGGAACTACATTGTCAGTCTGAACGAGCTGACCAAGTGGCTGGGAGAGCGTGCGGAAGAGGTTGGTGTGGAGGTGTACCCTGGATTCGCAGCCAGCGAGATGGTCTATGCACCAGATGGCTCAGTCAAGGGCGTTGCGACCAACGACCTGGGAATCGCTCGGGATGGTAAGCCCAAGGATACATTTGAGAGAGGAATGGAATTCCATGCCCGCATCACGTTGCTTGCCGAGGGCTGCCACGGCAGCTTGACCAAGCAGGTGATGAAGAAATACGATCTTCGACGAGACAGCCAGCCCCAGACATATGGTCTTGGAATTAAGGAAGTCTGGGAGATTCAGCCCGAGAAGTTCCGATCAGGCGAGATCACTCACTCAATGGGATATCCTCTTCCCAGGGATACCTATGGTGGAGCCTGGATGTACCACTTTGGAGACAACATGGTGAGTATCGGTCTGGTGGTAGGATTGGACTACCCGAACCCATGGCTTTCGCCATACGGAGAATTCCAAAAAATGAAGCACCACCCCATGTTCAAGGAGGTTCTCGAGGGTGGAAAGTGCATTTCTTACGGGGCCCGAGCACTGAATGAGGGTGGTTTCCAGTCGATCCCCAAGTGCGCATTCCCCGGAGGTGCCTTGATTGGTGACACGGCTGGCTTCTTAAACGTTCCGAAAATCAAGGGTACCCACACCGCGATGAAATCAGGAATGTTAGCCGCCGAGGCTGCCTTCTCGGCGCTTAAGGGTGACAATCAAGGAACCGTCTTCTTGTTTGATTACGAGAAGTCTCTACGGGATTCATCCATTTGGAAGGAGCTCTCCGAGGTCCGTAACATCCGACCCTCATTCAACACCCCACTGGGCTTCTTCGGTGGACTTCTCTACTCCGGTATCGAGGCCTACCTGTTCAAGGGCCGAGTTCCATGGACGCTCAGCCACCACAGCACGGACTCAGCGGCTACCAAGCTTGCTTCTCAATACGAAAAGATCGTTTACCCCAAGCCAGATGGGGAGCTCAGCTTCGATATCTTGACCAGTGTCAGCCGGACAGGCACCAACCACGAGGAAGACCAACCGGTTCACCTGCAGGTGAAGGACTTGGATAAGCACACGGACCTCGCATGGCCTGCTTACAAGGGTATTGAAAACCGGTTCTGTCCTGCAGGCGTCTACGAATATGTGGAGGATCCTAGCAAACAGCACGGGGTTCGATTCCAGATCAACTCACAAAAGTAAGTCCCTCGGTCTGAGTCATATTGGATATATACTAACTTATTTATCAGCTGCATTCACTGCAAGACTTGTGATATCAAGGTTCCTACACAAGACATTAACTGGCAAACACCTCAAGGTGGAGAGGGACCTAAGTACATCATGACTTGATATAGAATCGGGAGTTTTTAATATAGGGACATAATGGGAAAATGGAATGTATATAGCCCAAAATAGGCAATTCCAAAAAAAGACCCCATGGGGTTGGCAGAACCGTGGAATGACAGTGGAGAGTTCCACGAGGGATAAGCCTTGCTTCGATTTCTATGTCTATCAAGTATATCAAGTCTATACATGTATATGTTTTATGAACTATATAAATATGTAAATACTAGAATAGATGTCTTATATTAACTATGTATCAATTATCCCCTCTCTCTCTCTAGGTGGAACCACGTGGATCAAAAGTGAGGCGGCCAAAGTCCACCGCCAGGTACTTTCTCTCTTTTCTTCCCCCTCTCACTCTCTGTATCTTTTTCTCGTTTGGCTGGCTATTTCGTTTGAAAGTGCAGTCTGTCCCCTGACTGGATCGTTTGTCGGGTTACACGTTTACGCGCTTTCCTGCAGCACGGAGTTAATAACATCTCTCTGCATTCCCGCCTTTTCGATCTCTTCCATATTTCCTGGGACCCTTTCGCCAGATCTTTTTTTTTCTATTATTGTTCATCGCTTATCTCAGACCAGCCATGACTGAGGTTTCCTCAACCCGTCTTTATCTTGGGAACCTTCCCCGCAACGGTATGGCACCTGATTCTTCCCTGACTTTTGGAGAACACACGCACCACCATGCATGACCCGGTCGCTTCGCTTCACTGGTCGCTTAGAGACTCATGTGCTCTGATCCCTCGTGTTCTTGTCCGGAAAGCCCGCATCGGCCCACCCTTCCCAGGGTGAGCAAATGGGGAGCTTCAGCTAGAACAGCTTCCCGCCTCGGGTAGTCATCTAACCGGTGTTTTGGGAATCGCCTTTTGAGAAATGATGCGCTAACCTACTTTATCTTATTTATTACAGTGACCAAAAGCGACATCGAGGAACATTTCAGCAGCCATGGCTCCGGTAAGATCACGGAGATCAAGTTGATGAACGGTTTCGGCTTTATCGAATATGACGACCAGCTGGATGCCAGAGATATTGTGCCCGGTAAGAACAACTCTCATAATATTCCATTCATTTGCGCGCAGATTTGCTAATATTATTTTCCTGCAGCATTCCGTATGACCCCCATGACCTCTCCACCGATTACCTCTCGCTTATCAATACCACAGACGGCAGTGACTTCAAAGGCGAGCGACTCACCGTTCAGTTCGCGCGCGGCCCGCGCCGCAAGGAGGCTTTCCCGGGACCACCAGACCGCAATGCTCTCCCTCGTCCACGTCGCACTATGTTCCGCATGCAGATTTCCGGTCTTCCAGAAACAAGTTGGCAGGTTAGCAGCCCAAACCCATTCCTTCCCGGAGTCCCTGATGTAGATTCCTCAACCCCGCCTCTCTACTCAGCCCACACATGCTTCCAGTCCATTGTTCTCAGGGCCATCGGTTGAGCCAAGGATCCTGGAGTACTAATCCATTAGCACTCCTCCTGGTAACTGAGAAATGCTTCTATGGCTTTTTTTTCTTTTACCTCGAGATTTGAGAACTGCTCCTTAATCCTTGCATACTCACCCTAATTTGTCAGACCCCATGGAACCTTTCCTGGGACTTTTGGATGCCGATATAAGATGGCCATTCTGGATACACCTCCTCGGACTGGACATGGAGTGCTTACCTTTTCCTCTCCACATTTGCCGGACACCTTACCTTTCCTGGACCTGGACTCACCATGCATTAAATAGGACCTGAAAGACTTCGCCCGCCAGTCTGGACTGGACGTGGTGTACTCTGAGACTGGCCGAGAACAGGGCAGAGGGTAGGTGAACCATTGTATTCCGCAAGAGACCCAATTAACATTTAACCAAGGTTTGTGGAATTTGAAACCGCCAACGACCTGAAGACCGCCGTGGAGAAACTGGACCAGCGCGAGTTCAAGGGCTCCGTTGTATCTTGTGTCGCCGATGTAAGCGCCCATCCTGGCTCGGAACTGGAACACCATCTCACCAAATCCCAGATTCAGAACTTTGAGGAACGTCCCGTTCGTGACCCATACCGGTCTCGTTCCCCACCTCGTCGCCCCTACCCTGCCACCATGGAGGAGTACGACCGCCGGATCCCTCCCCCACGTGGCTACAGTCCTCGGGAGCACTACCGTGAGCGGTCGCCGATTCCAATCCGCCGCGATCCCTACTATGAACGGGATGGCTATGCCCGCCGGACTCCCCCTCGCCCTCGGATGGAAGACTACCCACCTCCACGTCGTCCGTATGAAGACCCCTACGAGGCCCGGCCTCCCCCACCTCCTCGCCACTATGATGATCCCTACCTAGCTGCTCGTGGTTATGGTCGTCCTCGCTCTCCACCGAGAGGCGAGTATGTGCCTTACGACCGTCCTCGCTACTGGTAGAGGGCGCCGGGTCTTGATTGGATTTACTGCATATTCTTCCGTTCTACCATCATTTTTTGACCTTCGCCAAATACCCGCAACGTCTCGTACTGATTTCATGGTGCCATGATCTTTTTTCACCTGCCGAGGTTTTGTCCAGCGTGTTCTCGCGGCTGGGTGCTTTTCTTTCTTCCTGGCGACTGGACAGCGCGAGTTTTCGATCATTTCTTTCTTCCCTGATAGCTTTGGGGTGGCTGGAGACTAACGGTTATTTACCTTATGGTTTTTCTTATCCATCCTGGACTATTGTGTTTGTGTTAGCATTTGAAAATCTTAATCCTTTTATTTGATTTGTTTCTTCTGTAACATCCGAAGTTCCGTTGGTCTATGATGTCCGGACATGACCTACCTTTGAATAGATGGTTGGATTACAGTACAAAACTTATGTTTATTTTCTGGGATTCAATATGTTGAAACCAATATATATATCTTGGGAGTGTGATCATGATCCCTGGCAAACTCCAATTCTAGCACTGACTGAAAGAAATATATGCAATATTCCACAAGAGACCCTCATATTCTTTATTTAGCCATAGCTCTACATACAAATACAAACGGAAATGCCCGTGTGGGTTCTACCGTCATGATCTACAATCATCCACGGGTGCCCCGCCAAAAAAAAACCCCTCCCTCTTTCAATTTAATATCCACGTCACATTAATCAACTCTCCTTAATCCAACAACAATCCATCATGACCTCCCAATCCATCCTCCCACCCCGCCCCGATGTCCTCGACAGCGTCCGTCTCCGCGACATCGAGCTTCCCCTCCTCGCCCCAGAAGCCTGGCACCGCCAGGGAAAATCCCAACCATGCACCGCAACCCTGAAGCTCTCCTATTCCTCCATAATCACAGCCGCCGAAACCGACAATGTCTCCCTGACCCTCGACTACGGCAAGCTCTTCCGCCGACTAGAATCCGACGTCCGCAACATGGCCGACAACATCTCTTCCCCATCCCACCCTTCCAATAGACTAATCAGTCTATCCGGCACGCGTCGCGAGGAAATGCAGAGTCGGGGATTGGGCCAGGACCCGCGCGTGATAGCGGGTGTTGTTGCGGATGCCGGATTGGGGCTGTTGGAGACTACGTCTGCTATCACTGCGGCGAAGCAGCCAAATCCTATCTCGGCGGCGTATGGCGAGTGTGAGGTTCTGTTGCATTTGCCTAAGGCTTTGTTGCGTGCTGATGAGGGGCTGAGGTATCGGGGTGTTATTGCGCTTGGGGAGGAGGTGGCTGCTGGGGAGGCGAGGGGGTTGGTTGTTTTGGAGGAGGAGTTCCGCATTGAGGGGATTAGGTGTTATGCTATTTTGGGAGTGAATCCTCATGAGAGACTTGAGAAACAGGCTGTTGTTGTTGGTCTTACGTTCCAGGGTCCTGGGCAGCTTGCTTGGGGGTCTACTGTTGTTGATACTTATCAGGCTGTGACGCGGGCTGTGGCTGAGGTATGTGTTTATCCTTTTTTTCTCTGATGCTTTTTTTGGTTTTATGGGGGATTTACTGACTTGGTTTGATATTATAGAAGGTTGATCAGACTGATTTCAAGTCTGTGGAATCTTTGGCTACTTTCATCGCTCGGATTGTCACTGTGGACTTTGGCAATGAGAGTGTGACGGTCAAGGTGGAGAAGCCAAGTGCTCTTGCTTTTGTTCAGCGCTCTGGTGTGGAGATTACTCGCACCAAGGCTTTCTTTGACAGTCGTTAAGAGCCGCGTAAGGAGTTTCATGTTATACAGGAGGCTGCAGTATGCAGATCGACGCCCATCTGCAAGTGTAGTATTGAGGCTGTGTGAGGCTGTAGAACTACTTCGCATAAAAAAAAGATTAAAATATAGACAATATCATATATAAGATGTGAAGATCAAATATAAATCTGATCAATAGGATCAATAAGATCATGTTAATGTCAGCATCTGACACGTGAAATCCAAATCGGGACTAGTACCTCAGCCCCCGGATCTGCGCTTGAAATCCGATTTTCTGCAGATTCTCTTTTCTTTGTTTCACTTCCTGGGGAAGAACTGTTAATCTCTATTTGCTTATATCTTCATCCTCTATGTGCCTATTTGCGCCTCCGTCATCGCTTGCTTTGATTTCGCTTACTGGCTTCCCAGCCAACCTTGATCCATCCCTTCAGAATCTCGACTCACCTGCTCCTGATATTTCCAGCGTGTCGACACACTTGCTGTCTCCCTTCGCCTTGGCCTTTGACTTCTCGTCCCGCGAGGTGACTTGGCTAGGGGTCCCGGGTCCGTCCTGAAGAAGGGCGGACGGTAAAGCTGCTCGAAAGATCCAAGGCTGGTCTATCGACTAGTTCGGGCACTGAAGGAAACCCGCCTATTGATACAATAGATTCCTTAAGTTGAAGTACGTCCCTCCAATCAGCGTTTTATTTGCCATTTCTACATTATTTTTTTTCAATTTCTTTTACGTTTTTACCTTGGCTTAATTAGTGGGGACGTGAAAACCCTCACCTACCCCTCTATTCATTCTTTACAGTTCATATTCAAGGCCTAGGCGATCAAGGCTAACCGGGTGTCTCTATGTGAACAGCGACTGTTAGATAGGTATTCTAAATACCTTGCTACCATTCTTTACAACCGCGCAAGGTCAATCGTTGACCCTGCGGTTATTGCCGGCACTTCACCTAAATCAACCGGGGTGTTTCGCTCCAGTCGCGGAACTATTACAGGTGATACAACGAAAGCGTAATGCCTTCCTCGAATGCCGATGACCTTTCCGTCGGGGATGTGTTCGCGCCGCAGGCTGACAGCGTCATTGACGTCCCGGCCAATCACCGTCGCCCCAATGCACACATGGGCACCATGTCACCCCCAGAGCAGCCTAAGGAATTCAATGGGTTTGCAAGCCAGACTCTCAACGAGAACATGATGCCGAAGCAGCGACGGAAGAAGAAGAAGCACCAATTCGTGCCGTCGTGCGCGACTGTCCACGGTTTCACACCACTGGCATCCGGCGACGAGGAATCAGACTTCTCCGCTGCAAGCTCCCGCGCACCCTCTCGACCTCCTACTGCGTTGGGTGGCGCAAGCCCAATGGTACAGTCGCCCGCAGCCCATGGGGTCAGCGCATTGAAGCTTCAACTCAATACTCTAAATTTGTCCGACACGAATGGTTCCAGCGGACTTGTCTCCCAGACCCCGAGTGTTTACTCCGATAGCGACCAGACCGAGATCTTGACCAGCTACGAAATCCCTCTAGATCAGGACTTTGTTAGTTCCGACGCAGTGCAACCCGAGACACTGGACGATCGCAACGCTGATGTCCCAGGCATGAATTCGGAATTGCGCAGTCAACTATGCCGCAAGATGACAGCGGAGGACTTTGTGCCTATCCTCTGTCTGGGCAAGGGCTCATTCGGAACTGTGTTGCTGGTGCGCCACGTCGTCACGGGCAAGCTCTACGCCCAGAAACAATTCCGGAAGGCTACTCTCACTGTCCACAAGAAGCTAGTCGAGCAGACCAAGACAGAGCGCACAATCCTAGAAAGTGTCAACCGCCACCCCTTTGTCGTCAAGCTATTCTATGCCTTCCAAGACCACGAGAAACTCTACTTGATCCTAGAGTACGCACAAGGCGGCGAACTCTTCACCCACCTCGCCATGGAACGCATGTTCGAAGAAGACGCAGCAGCCTTTTACATGGCTGAGATGGTACTTGCACTAGCCCACCTCCACCAAAACGTCGGTGTTCTCTACCGCGACCTGAAACCCGAGAACTGTCTCCTAGACGCACAAGGCCACCTCCTCCTAACCGACTTCGGCCTCAGCAAGATCGCCCTCAGCGACGATGACCGTTGCAACTCCCTCCTCGGCACAATCGAGTACATGGCACCAGAAGTAATCCAAGGCAAACCATACGGCAAAGCCTGCGACTGGTGGTCTCTCGGCGCACTGGGCTACGATCTCCTAACTGGCTCACCTCCATTCCGCGCAAACAACCACGCAAAGCTCCAAGAAAAGATCGTCAAGCAAAAACTCATGCTTCCCTACTTCCTCGGACCAGACGCAAAAGACCTTCTCACCCGTCTCCTCCGCAAAGAACCCTCCAAACGTCTCGGCTACCACATGCAGAAAGACCTGCAGATCATCAAGAAACATCGCTTCTTCCGAAAAATCGACTGGGCTGCCCTTGAACGTCGCGAACTTGACCCCCCTATCCAGCCTGTCGTCACGGACCCCGCTCTCGCGGAGAACTTCTCTGCTGATTTCACTCATCTCCCGCTCAGCCCGACGGTCACTGCTGCTGGCTTTGATGAGTACTATGGAAAGGGACAGGATTTCCCGGCTGGAAAGGGTGCGGATGGAGACGAGCTTGGGATTGGGAGTAATCCGTTCGGTGGATTTAGTTATGTTGCTTCGAGCAGCTTGCTGGATCATGGGTTGGGGGTTATGACTGCTGGATATTGAATGTGTGGGGATTTGAATGGGATTGAGAAGACAAGGATGGAGATGAACGGGAGAATGAAGATAATGCACATATTCACATCAAGGCGTGTCGGTGTCGGTTCGGGCTATCTGCTCGTACATTGCATTGTATGTATCAACTGTGTTAGCTGGGATCGGTTCTCCTGTCCAGTTGCCTGTCTTCAAATGTTCTGAAGAAATACAAAACTGTATCATCTGAACATAAAGTTGTACTTTGCATCGCATCTCTAGGAGTTTTCTTCATTTATGTAGAGTAAATTTTGGAAAAATACATATACATCTCCTTGGACATGGACCTGGAAAACTGAGATTGAATCTTACATTTTGACATTGGAACTATACAAAACATACATCGTCTACAGCGCCAATATATCAGGACGTTACAAAAGTATAGTAGGTAAATAAGCAAAAAAGAAGAGAAAGTTTATTTCTGTGAATTTCATTCTCACTCATAAATAGTAATCTCTCTCAATTCCCCAAGGCCCAACTTCGCAACAGTGACTAATAAACCCAAATGTATAGATCTCATCTATATCTCGCCTTCTTCACTTCCAGCACCATCATCATCAGCCTCGCCCTCCTCGAGCTGGGAGTCTAATTTACTCCGACAATCCACATCCGTAGACGGGTGAAGAGGAGGATGCGCGACTGGAACGACGTGTTGTTTTTCACGGAGTTCGCCTTCTTCAATGGACTCTTCTTTTGAAGGTTGTGCGTTTGATCCTGACGACTTCTCCGCGATTGATAGGGAGTTAAATTGCGGCGTGGCTTTTGTTTGGGATAATGCGGCTGCGGGGACGCGTGGGGCTGGGTTTGTTTTTTGGTCGGGGATTGCTTCGTGGGAGGGTGTTATGGTGCGCTGGCGTTTTGGGGATCGTTCGCAGTCGCCGTTTCCGTTGAGGGTTGTTGGGGGTTTGTTTTGTGGGGAGGATGGGTGGTGTGTGTTGGGGTGAGATTCGGGTTCGCGTGAGCGTTTGCGGCCATTGGATGTTGTGTCTGGGGTGACGGTGAGGGTTGGAGGGGTGGAGGTGGATTGTTGCTCTGAGGCTGATTTTGTGGGATCGGTGTCGAAGATGCGGGTTGGGTCGTTGGGGTGGGAGGTTGAGTCTGTAATTGCAAATTCGGGGTAGCCCTTGCTGAGGCTTTGCTGGACGCGCTCGTAGATCTTGACGATGAAGGTGCAGGCGCGGACGAGGTCGTCGAGGTGGACGTCGATCTGCTCCCACCAGGGTCGGCCTTCGGCGTCGTCGGGGAAGGCGACTTTGCAGTGCCGAGCTGCGGCGTATAGGGCCGCGGCGGCGATGACGCGGGGTGGGAATTGGAGGCAGAGGACGGTGTAGGTTGAGTCGTTGAGGAAGGAGTAGGTGGAGTGTCGTAGAGCTCTGTTTTCGCCGACGCCTAGGAAGACGGAGTAGTCCCAGAGGATGCGGTAGGGGGACTCGACCTGCAGGTCAAAGCAGAGGTATTCAAGCATGACGCTCTCGTTCTGCAGGATCAGGTCTCGCCATTTCCAGTAATCCTTGGACTGTTCGTCGACGATCAGGTTCGGCTGCTTCATGGCGACGCGGCAGCATGCGATGACAAAGTCTTTCATGCGGCGCATGGCCTCGTCCACCTTGAACGCGACGAACAGGGCCACCGCGGCGATCACCTTCGGGTGCATCAGGTCCGACCCCATCTCTGGATATTGGCCCATCAACGAATAGCGCATGAGGAAGCGGTGCATGTACACCGTGGCGGTCATTGAAGTCTGCGGGGGCATCTTCAACATCACGCTCACTTGCCAGATGAACTCGACTGCACGGTGCCGGATGTAGTCCTCTTTCCCGCGTTCGATCTTATCAATGCGCGACGGCGTGCGCTCGAATTCTTCCTCGGTGAATAGCCATTTTTGCTGCTCTGCTTCCAATACCGGATTCGGTAGGCCGGGAATTCGTCGCTTCGGTGCCGAGGAAGCCATGGGGTGTGCGAAGTGAAGAGGGGAAAGACGAATGAGTTCGACGAGGGGTTCACACAATGGCGACAGAGCTGAAGCGCATGTGGCGCGCCTGATGAGGAATAGGTCGCGCGAGATTAACAATAATCGTTATCGTTCCGAACGTCACAGTCGTCAAGCCCAATCTAGCATGGCGGAGCTTTCTATCGCATCGCGGAAATAGTAGTAAACGGCGGGAGATGTTCGGAGGATTGAAGAGAAGGAAGTCAGGGATAAGCAATATATAAACAGAGCGCTGCCTAAATCTCGAGCAATATCAGATAACCTGCAAGGCGGTTACGCTCTCCGTTATTGACGCAGCCGACAAGGGAAGCTTTTAATCGGAATAATGGCTTTTCCGAGCGGAATTATTTATCCGCAATGTAAGAGATGCGAGTGTTAGTACAATGAACAGCGTTATATTATTCTATATCTATTGGAAGTAATACAACTCTGAAAGATTCACATGTAAATTCAATTGCTCATTAATATGCAATTACACTTGGAAAAGTCCCTATAAGCAATTACAATTGGTATCTAGTACTTTGGAATCAAAGTCCGTCCTGGCGCCACGCTGATAGATGCAATAGACAAAAAAAGCCAAGCAGACATTTACTCCTCCTCGCTGACCTCACTCTCGTCATCACTCGGAACGTATTGCCTGGTCGTAGGCTGAGTGTAATGGTGGCTCCGAGCTTCCTCTTCACGAGCACTTTGTTCAAAGGCGGCTTCCATCTCCGCCGCCAAGGCATCATCATCTTCCATTTCATCCTCTTGGGCAGCCGTGCCTGTATGCGCCGAGGAGGTAGGTGGAGCTGTATTACCGACTGGGGAGGGTAAACTAAACTCCCCAACGTCCTCATCCCCGTCTTCGTCGGCTGGGGTGTTATTGGACGAGAAGTAAGCCCGGTTCACGACGAATGGGCGCGACGGAGGTGGAGATCCCATATCAATAATGAGATCTCCGTCAACAATGATGTTTGAGCTGGGAGACTGCCCAGTCTGTTGTGATCCCGTGCCTGCATCGGATGGCGACGAGCGAGGGTCCTCATGCTCAGGTGGGTCGGGATAACTGACAGGCTCGCTTGGCTTCGCGGGCGGGTGTGCTTTGACTGGTGCTTTTGCTGGTGGTTTCTTCTGACGCAGTGGGTTTGCTTGTGTTGTGGGTCGAGGTGCAGGTCTGGGTGCAGGTCTAGGCGCGGGCCTAGTAGCCGGCATCAATGGTGTGTTGGCCCTGCTGGCAAGTTCCGGGGTGCTGTGGCCTGAGGTTGGCTTATCAGCCTCTCGGCGATTCTTCGGAAGGAAATGTCGGAAGTCGTAAGGATTGCTATCATCGGCCGGGCCCTCGTCCTCGCTGGTGCTCCCTCCGTGCCGGTCTTCTCCCGAGGCTGGTTCATCCTCTTCCTTGATCTGTAGTTGTTCGTATTGCTCGCGGACCTGTTTTTCCGTCTTTCCTGGAGCCGACCGTAGATTAAAGTTTAAGGTTGTCGAGACCGGCTCCAGAACGAAGACTTTCCGCTCCGGGTCGAAGATCAGAACCAGGCTTCGCTCACTCGACGGGTCCTCGCTGCCTTTGTATGAATAGGTCAATGTTTGATCGGCGTTTGGAGCCTTATCGGTAACGGCGAGGTCATAGAGATCGGACGATCGGGAGTGTGTGATGACCGAACGTTGCTGTGAGGTGGCGGACTTGGATTTGTGGTTGTAGTTGACGTTGATCAGTCGACTTGTGTTTGGGTTTCGAGCAAGCCTTTCGCCTAGCACAATTGGGTACTCGGCCTGCTTTGTTGGGTCGATCATGGCAGACAATGTAGGGGTAGCCATTATTTGTAAGAGACCCCAAAAATCAGTACAAGAAGAAGGGAGGGAAAGGGAAAAGAAGTCCCCAAAGTCGGGGAAAGGTTGAAGTGGAGAAGAGCTGAATTAGGAAATGACTTCAGAACTCCCCACTACGCTTATTGGTTTCTTACATTCTTACATTCCTAGTTAGCCCTTAGTTCTTACGTCTTACTTAAATTCTGAGATTGAGTCTTTGATCTGATGTTTTATGTTGAATGAACATGCTTATACTCCCGAGTTCTGTGCTACAATCTACGCAGGCTTCAGCTCCGATTTCGGCTCAGATAGAGACAAGTATAAACATTGAACACAGAAAGCAAGGTAAATCCCATTAGACGATTAATTACTAGCCGAGGCTTAAACAAAAAAAGCGGCTTGGAATACAATGCAGTAAATCAGGGCAGGAGAGGTATCCAGAAACAAAGAACGCGAGAAAAAAAGCATGGGATATCGGTCGGCTCGTACAGCCAAGACTATGCCACCCAGAACGACTGGAATCAAGCATATTCCAATGTCAGAAATTTGAGATTTCCGAGTTTACTTAAGCTTCTCCTTGAGCTTGCCGAAAAAGCTGCTCATGCGGTGCTTCTTCTTCTTTTCGCCATTAGAAGAAGCACCTTCAGTGCTGTGGGACTGTTTGCGAGACTGTTCTGCGGGCTTGGCGGTCGAAGTAGTAGGTGCCGGAGCAGACTCAACTCCAGTCGTCACAGTGGGACCGGCGGGTTCAGCCTTGGGAGTCGAGGTTTCAGCAGTAGAAGTAGTCTCAGGGCCAGTTGTGACAGTGGGCCCACTGGACTCGGTCTTGGGCGCCGACGTTGGGATAGCAGCAGCAAAATTGCGGCCGGGCGGAGGAGTCGAAAGCGGCGACACATCTGCGGAGTCTACCCCACTAACAACAGCGAGCTGGGGCGCAACGGCCTGGGTGGCCGCAGTGACGGTAGGGGCCGGAGCGCCCGCGGACTCTTCAAGATGGACCTTCTTGTGGAGTTCCTCCTCGATAGCCTTCTTCTCGTCGACTGCTTCTTGGTACGCAGCAGCCTCAGGGTCTCTGTGGGCCTCGGCCAACGAGTCCTTCACCACCTGCGGGACCTCATCGACGGGCTCGCCGTTAGTCTCCTTGCCCTTGGGCTCCAGCGGCACGGCAGCAGCCAGTGCAGCCGTGGTCGAGTTGGGGCCAGCGGACTGGATGTTGTATCCTGGATCGGCCAACGTTGCCTGCACCGGAGCTCCAGTATAAATTGGCTCGGCCTCACTGGCGGCGCGCTGCGCGGGTCCACCCATCGGAAGACTGGATTCGGGAATCATGTTGTTTGTGATTGGGGGAAGGGTATATGGGGAAGCGCCAGTATCAGCGGTGTTCTGGATCCCGTCAATAGGGAGGGTTTGGCCCTTCTCATATGACTCTTTGTCCAAAGTGACAGTCGAGTCAACGGTGTTGTTGTGAAGGGTGCTGTGGTGAGGGACTTTCTCGCCCGGGTTCAGGCTGACGGGGTTGCCATAACCCTCCGACGCTGGGATGGGATCCACGGACAAGGTCTGTTCGGATTCCAGTCCCGGCGTCTCAGGGAAGGTACCAGGTAGATTCCCATTGGGCTCCTTGGGAACGTTAGCAGCAAGAGCCGCGGTTGTAGAATCAGGGGTCACGCCGGACATAGTGGGGGCGGAGTCGGAATTGATCTCTTCTGGTAGGAGGACGTTGTTGACGTTGTTATGTCCGTCTTCTTCTTCGCGTGCGTCGGGATTTGTAGTCCAAATACCGTCGACAACAAACTTTTTTTTTTTTCAAAATCAGCAATAGGAACGAGTTATGTTGGAACCTGGGATTCCGGGAAGTTGTCTTTATATGAAGAGCGGCACGGATGACAGATGACGTCAGTGGAAAATGGCCTGTTGCCTAAGGCTCACCGCCATCCAACGACAAATGAGGCAAGCGCGAAGAAAGGGAAGGTGCGAGGGGAAAGAATTTTTTTCTAGGCCTTACCTTGTAGTGGACTTTTTGTATAGGAGAAATAGTCACTTCTTTGGTGAAGATGTCGTCCACCCGGTCCAGTTTCACCGTCTTACCCCAATCATCGAAAGTGCCTGTGACGAACACTTCGCTCGCATTGTGAGGCCTGCAAGTGACCGTCTTAGCATTGTACCACGAGGAACTCGAGAGGTACCGAGATCCGCATCTTAGACGATTGACTCACCACTGGAATGTAAAAGTTCCCATATTTGATTTCGCAGAGAGAATTGAAAAAAAAAAAAGCAGGTTGGGGAAGGGAAAAAAAAAAGAGATCCTAAATCAGTGGGGGGTGACACAGACCAGTACCTGACCCTGGAGGACTTAGCGCTATATAATTCTGTGAATAGATAGGATATGCATCTATTATCACAGGGGGGCTGGGGGCAACTCTTTCGGGTCTATGCGCCCCCGTTCTAGACTTGCCTTTTGACATGACGCCACGGAGCTTAGGGTTATATAGCCAAGTACTACGGAGTACTCTGTACATAGTACTCCAGGGCTACCTACCTTATGGCTTTAGCTTATTATATGATATGCGAACAGTTTTATATCATTAACAGGGCTAAATTGATATGGAAAATCTGAAGTTATAAAGTCTAAGATTTTAAGTCGTCGAATAAGGGTGACATTCGAAAACGGCGAGTCCATGACATATTCCGGGCTGGAAATGGTTAAGCCCACAGGCATCCCAGAGTTCCCGTCGCCACTTAAGTGGCGAATATGTAGTTCTAGAAGACACTTGGAAGACGGTTAAAGCTTTCTTTTTGAAATCTTATTAAGTAGAATGAGTGACGTCGATCACCTCTATAGGGAGTCCATAGTCCATGAAATTTGAACAAAATATGATCGACGAAGCTCAGACCAACTTATGTTTCTACCCCTCAATTTTCCTTTTCTCTTTACTTTCCAAGATTTGAACTCTTTAAAAGTAGAAGTTTTGAAATTCTTTATACAGGTAATTTCCCTCTTTTTTTTTTTGCTTTGAAATGTTTCATTTGCTTTATTACTTTCCGAGGTGGAAGAAAAAAAAAAGAGAGGTCATGCAGTATTCCCTATTAGACTCCAACCAATAATCCACTGCCCCTCCGCTTCCTCACCTTTCCTACTCTTCTACCTTGTCTCTACCTACATCATCTTCCCATTCTCCATTTTCTCTACTTAAAAAGCCACTCCTTTCTAATATCTACAGATATCATCTCTGTTTCCTCATTTATCCTCAGCTTCAACGCCGGACGTTGCGGCCTCTCTGGCCCTCTAACCCCCCCCCAAACGCCCTCATGGCACAAAACTCTGCTCCAGGCTTTACCCCGGCCATCAACACTAGAGCTGGCGATAAATCTGCTGGCGCTCAAAAAATTGCCGACGACGAGTTCGAGGTGACGTCACCAACCGACTTGACTTTCCGACAGTCTAACTCGGGGATTTCGCCTCCGGGCACCGCTCTATTTGGAGGTACTGCATTCGAGGGAGGAGAACAAACGGGAAGATCGCTGTTCAGTCGGAGTCCCTTCCAGGAGACTGCCGAGGAAGAGGGCGAACAGGAGGGGGAGCTGGCCCCGCTCCCGGCACGATCCGCACAGCAAGGATTCCCTAGCAATTATGCGCTAGGTCGTCGGACATCTGTCTCAGCGGAGTCTTTAAATCCCACCGAAGCTGGTTCTGAGAGCTGGTCACCTCCTCACCACCCAAAGACCGAAGAGCAGGTCTCCCGCCTCAAGAGCGCCGTCAGTAGCAACTTCCTCTTCTCCCACCTCGACGATGATCAATTCTTGACCGTCCTCAACGCTCTCGTTGAGAAGCCCATCCCTGCAAAGGATATCAAGGTCATCTCTCAAGGTGACGCGGGTGATTACTTCTACATTGTAGAGAAGGGAAACTTTGACGTCTACATCCACCCCTCCGGTGCCGTGCAGCCTGGTCCCGATGGCTTGGGCAACAAGGTCGCCAGCACTGGACCCGGAGGATCTTTCGGCGAGCTGGCTCTGATGTACAACGCCCCGCGTGCTGCGACAGTGATCTCTACCGAGCCAAAGAGCACCTTGTGGGCCCTCGACCGTATCACCTTCCGCCGCATCCTAATGGACTCGGCATTCCAACGCCGGCGCATGTACGAGGCTTTCCTGGAGGAAGTCCCGCTGCTTTCTTCTCTAAAGTCATACGAGCGCTCAAAGATCGCCGATGCTTTGGACACCATCAAGTACCCGGCCAATTCCACCATCATCCACGAAGGCGATCCCGGAGATGCTTTCTACCTTTTGGAGTCGGGCGAAGCCGAGGCTACCAAGAATGGTGTCTCCGGACCCGTCAAGAGATATCGCCGAGGTGATTACTTCGGCGAGCTTGCCCTGTTGGACGACAAGCCGCGCCAGGCGAGCATCACCACCAAGACGGATGTGAAGGTGGCGCGCTTGGGCCGGGATGGATTCAAGCGCCTTCTCGGTCCTGTGGAGGGGATGATGAGAGGAGCCGAGTATGAATTGGACGGGGAAAAGTCTCCTGTTTCCAAACCAATGTGATATGATACAATGAAATTGAAGGGGGTTTTGAGGGAAATTAGACTCATTGGCGAGATCCAGCTCTGTCATCTGTCACTTTGTTGAGTTCTAAAACTCACCTGCTACCTATCCCAATACCTGATGATCTAACTTTTTTTTCCATGTTTATTATTTGTCTCTTTTCCAGCAAACTTTCCACTCTTTACGACTATCTGACTTGTATCTACAACTGTCTCTTTTATGCGTGCTATCTGTGATCTATGACAGGGACCTACTGTCGTCCTTGTTCATATTGCCATTTTGCTATGTTATTCACTCGGACCCTCCAATACTTAGGTATCCAGCAGAATGATTAGAACTTGTGTTTGATTTCCCGTCCAATTCCCATATGCATGTTTAAATACCCAAAACTCCAAGTCGAGGTCGCGTAGGAACCCACGATTATGCTATGCCCAAAAATACTACATCAACTCCCAAATGCAAGCATCAGTATTATCACACATCACCTCGGCACAACCAAATCACTCCTCAAAACCCACTTCTCCCCTCCAGTAACCTCAACTCCCTCATGCAACATACAATGATCTCCATGACGATGCAACAGCGCCATCCCAACCTCCGGCGCAACAGCTATCGGCTCCGGATTACGGTTCGCGCGCGTCGGCTCAGGATAGAAGACTGTTTCACCGCCTGTACAAGACGTCAGGTAGACAAGAAGTGTCCAGGTGGTGCGTGCGGGTGTTGCTTTTGATCGCGAATTCGGCGGGGGCAGGGTTATATTATTAGCATCGTCATCTGCGATTGCATTAGATTAACTTTACTTGTATCAAAGTGCTTGTATATAATCCAAGAGAACTTCTTACAATGTTGTCCAAAGAACTGTCCTGCCGAGTATCGATAAATACGAATATTAGGATTCAACCCCAACGGATCTCCGCCCCAGAGTTGACGTGCGCGTTCAGCGAGCGCGGGCGAGATACTATCATCTGTGTTCTCGTACCCATACTCATCTTCTTCAAAACGCGTCGTGACAAGCTCTTTCAGCGCCGTCGTGCTCCATAGCATCTCCGCAAACCGCGCATCGTCGATCTGGAATCGGTCGTTGACGCGTAAGGCCTCATCTTTCTTGGGGGTTCCCGGGGTTGTTGTTAGTGGAAGAGAGGCGAGGAATGAGGCGTAGGTTTTGCATAGGGTGCTTGGGAGGAAATTGCGGATGAGGTAGATTTGGTCGGTGAGGAGGGGGGTCAGGGTTAGATCGGCGGCGGGGAGGAGGGGGCGGAGGGGTGGCCAGTTTGGGGTTGTTTTTGGTTGAGATTTTGGGTCTGGTTTTTTGAATTTGGCCATTGTGGTTTTTGTGGTGAGTGATGAGTATGTAGATGAAGGTGAAGGTGAAGGTATAGGTAGAGGTAGAGGGAAAAGGGTCTAGAGGGTGGCTTTTTTTTTATCGCGATAAGATCCCATTGCCCTGGGTACACCTGGGCATCCATGGCTGTATAAAAAAGAGCTAATTGGTTTCTATATATACTCTTCCCCAGAATATGTAGCATCTTATACCCCTTGCATATGATATATACTTGAGAATTGTATTTGCCCAAAGTACTTTGGTTTCCCCTCATCTCAACATAGAGGTAAGCCACTGAATATCAGAGGGGTCGATTCCACATTAGACAATAAAGCGAGGCAATGTGAGGCTATAGGAATAAAAAGAGACTAATTGTATAGAAGTATACGAAGTATCGGTCACTGGCACAAGCATATAGATCTAGGCTCTTTTGATCAACAAAATCGGTGAGGAACCAGTCCATACAGGTGGATCAGGCCGGAGAGAATATGGATTTGGGCGGGGCGGGAAAGAAAATTTGTCCCGGAAGAAGATCATCGGCGTTTTTCCTTTCCAATGTTTCTCCAACCGTAAACAATTTCAGATTCATGTTTGTTGGTGAAGCCAAGTCAAAACCGCAACAAGAACTAAGAGAAAAACAAAAAAATACAAAAAAAAACATGCCTCAGCGGTGACTACGGCCAACTGCAGCGACCAACTTGGCCATCGCTCACCGCCCGGGCCCAAGTTGAGAACTTCCCTTCTGGAACTTCATTCCTCTCCCTTCCCCAGCACCAGCCTGTCATGTCGTCGCAGACCATGACTGCGCCAGCCGTGGGCCATCGACCGCCTGACCCAGGCTCCGATAGCCCACTGTATGACTATGGCTGCTCACCAAACACCACAACCCCTTCCAATCCTCGAGACGACTCCGCAATCCGCGACATGCAGAATAATTCTGCCCCGTCAACTCCCAACGGGATGCCCGCCCCGGACGTCGCAATCAAAACTGAATGCTCGGACAACAACGATTTTTCAGCCGCGCAACACCAACAAGATGCAAATACGCAAAGCGCCGCAAGTGCGCTCCTAGCACAGCTCCTCGGTAATCAACCTGCGGCCAACGCTACCCCAACTACGATACAACCTGCACAGGACGACCAGGATCTTCACATGGATATCAAGATGGACGACTCAATCTCACAGTCATTTGACATGTCTGCACAGAACCCCACGCATATCGACCCGAGCTTAAACCAAGACACCGCCTCGATATCTCGGGAGATTCAGGACTTACTGAATGGGAAAGCTTTAGGTGACGAGCTTATGGGAACAAATTCTGCACACCACGATATGAGCCATACAGGATTCAACTCGTCCGATGCCATGAATACCTTGTCCGACCCTATGAACCCGAAATTGAACAACGAGCAGCCCTCGCTCCTTCCAGCCTTGGATTTTTCCGCCGCCCCAAAAAATGCGTTTGAAGCTCTCCAGCAAAACGAGCTGCTCACGGCCGCCTTCCTTTCGCAAAATGCCGATCTGTCAGCCCTGGGATATCAAGATATGGCGGCTTCAATTGCTGGATCTGAACCTAAGATCCAAGCATTTGCTAAGTTGGAGTTCGATGATGGGCATTTCTACGTGAATACATATTCATTCATCCTAGGGCGAGATGTGCGCGCCGCCCGCGCCGCCCATCACCGAGAGTTCCAGTACCGGCAGGCCGTGCGCAGCACTCGGGCGAAGAGTTCAAGTGGAGGAAACACATCTCACACCCCTAACCGCATGAAGCGGGAGGAAAGCGCGGCCATGTTGGGCAGTGTTGTCAGTGATCGGGGAGGTATTATGGGCTTTGATCCAGATATACCCCCCCATCTTCCGAACAATATGAACATGAGCCGGCGGTCATCAAAATCCTCCTTTGATGAGGCTGTTGTACCATTGCATGCTAATCCGGCTCAACTACAATCCACAACCGACTACAATGCGCTCGCCATGCAATCATTGCAAGATGGAAATGGAGACGCAAAGCCCGTTGATGCGCTGGCTTTGCTCCCATCCCCTGATTCTTGTCCTACCATCCCAATCCACCCCCCAACGACCGTTGACGGCAGTGCCGCAGGCCATCGAGGGATTTCCCGAAGGCATGTCCGAATCTCATACAACTTTGATCGTAATTTGTTTGAAATGGAAGTAATGGGACGCAATGGAGCGTTCATTGGAGCTGATTGGCTATCACCGGGACAGGTTCGTCCGTTACACAGCGGCGACTACATCCAAATTGGAGGCGTGCGCATCCGGTTTTTGCTACCAGATGTCCCTATTGGCGAAACTGGAGCCGACCGGATGGAAGAAAAGATGGCAGAAAAACGTGAAGAGGAAGAAGAGAAAGATGCCCGTGCTTCGATCGAGATGGATGATGATATCGATGAATCGGAGAGACTTGGAAGCGACAGCGGCGAGAGCAGGGAACCTTCAAAGAAGATCATCCTCAAGACAAAGGATTCCAAATCGTCCCAAACAATGGATTCCATTGAGCCTGGAGATAATGATTCGCAGCCGGCCCGCCGCCGGGGACCAGGACGCCCTCCCAAGGATGGGATCATGTCTAAGCGCGAGCGAGCTGAGCTTGCCCGGGAGCAGAAAAATGCCGCCAAGCGCGAGGCCAACGGAGGTATCACACCACCTCCACCCAAGGTGCCTAAGGCTGGGAAGACAGTTGCCAAAGAATCTGTCGTTCCCGAGTCACCAAAGCCATCCGAGAAGCGGAAGTACACCAAGAGAAAGAAGCCGGATGGGACACCAATGGATTCTCCCCTTCCCTCAACAGAAGGCGGCCAGATGTCTGCAGAGCCACCGCAGGAATACGTCAAACCCCCACCGGTCAAAAAGCGCAAACCATCACGGTCACCCTCTCCGAACTATCCTCCGGAGTCTGCTTACAATGCCGAGGATCTGGCAAAGCCCCCGTACAACTACGCCGTTCTCATCTTTGATGCTTTGACGGAAGCCGGCACGCCAATGACGTTGAAGCAGATCTACCGTGCGCTGAAACTGAAGTATCCCTACTTCCGCTTCAAGTGTGAGACTGAGGGCTGGACATCTAGTGTACGGCATAACCTGAACGGCAACGGTCATTTGTTCATGCACGCAGAGCGAGATGGCAAGGGTTGGTCATGGCAACTTATTCCTGGCGCGTCGGTCGAGAAGGAAAAGAAACGACGCCCTTCGCCGCCGCCGCAGGTATCCCACCCACCTACGCCTGCTCCCCAGCAGTACATGCCCATGTCCCACTCCTATGCACCACCACCTCAGGGTCCACCACCGGTGCCAAATCCGCCACAGCATTTCCAATTCCCTTCCATACCGCCTGCTCCTTTCCCGGCATCTGTTAATGTGGGAGGACCACCACATTCCAGTCCCTACCCACCTCCATCAAAGGCCCCTGCGCCAACACCCCCCGCTCCTCCCCCTGCTCCCCCGGTTCAAGCTCCTGCTCCTGCTCCGCCCCCACCTCAGGCACCGGCACCGGCACCGGCACCCCCGCCAGCGCCTACACCTGCCCCTGTCTCTGCTCCTATTCCGTCGCCGGCGCCAACACCTACTCCGGCTCCTATGCCCGCGTCTGCACCCGCACCTACACAGGCACCTGCGCCAGTACAGGCAGCACAGCCGCCGGCGTCGGCACCAGCACCGGCACCAGCACCAGCACCACCCATCAATCCAGCTGCATCCTTCCCCATCCCCAGTCAGCTCCGCAACAATCTCCCAGCTGCATTCGCGGCGACGATCCCTTCAACCTACACTTCGCCCTACGCATCCGCTCCTGCCCCGCAAGCCGGCCAGCAGCAACAGTTGCAGACCCCACGACCTCCTCACGGACCACCTCAGCATCATTCTCCTTACGCACAACAAAAGCCGCCATCATCTCAACCTCCTCACAACAACCCGCAGCCTCGGGCCTATCCCCCATCTGGTGGAACACAGTTCCAGCACCAGCACCAGCACCAGAACCAGCATCAGCAGCATCAGCCACCGGTCCAGCCTCAGTCGCAGCCACTGTCGCATCCTCCTCAGCAGCAACATCCGCTGTCTCACCACCAACACCAGCCGCAGCACCAGCAGCATCAACACCCACAGCACCAGCAACACCCGCACCAGCATCATCCGCCTCCAGGCCTCCCGGCCCACTCTCATCATCAACAGCAGCAGCAACACCCTGTCCAGCAAAATTCTGCACCAGGGCCACAAGAGTCATCCTCGTTCATTGATCGAGCAAACAAGGCAATCGATGACTTTGAAGCTGTTCTCATGGAAGACTACGAGGACAAGAACTACATCCGGGAAGTTCTGCGGAGTGCGCGCGCACGCGTGTTGGGCGATGCGCCAGAAAGCTCCTTCCCAGGCGGCGAACCAAAAGACGAAGCCGTCATCATGGACGTGCTACGCAATTTGGTCGGAAGTCTGAAAGACGAGTGAATGGTCTGGTTTTACATATTGGTGGAGGGAATGGTTTCCTCCCTGACGACTTATCGAGTATACGAGTCTTATGGTTTTGCTTTTTTTCTTTTCTTACCAGTTCAATTTATCTGTGTCAAATTTTTTTTGTTTTGCGACATGTCTAGATTCTTTTTGAATCTTAATGATATCCCTCTGTTTTTGCGACAGGCGTCTGCTTGCGCCTTGTCTATTTTTTTTTGTCGTCGATATTATATCTGTTCTTTAGGCTCTTCATGGCCCACTATTTTTGGAGTGGTGCAAAGGGATCTTTCTCCGGAGAATCCTGACTTTGCTTTTTTTTGTTTGTTTTGATCCTGGCGTCGTCCGGTCGCCTGACATAAAAGCGTAAAAGCTCTGCATGATAGAAATACCATTCACATTGACCGGACTTAATACTTATTTTACACAGGCATGAATACTCAATGTCAACATTTAGTATCTCTGTACAATCAAGTCTGAAACTTATACCCTGCAAAGAATGATTACGAAGATTCTACACATCAGTCCCTAAAACCATCATAAAGATGGGTTCACCCTTAGCAATGTATACAGGCTACAATGGCACTAGTTCGACTTCATAGACGCATATCTCAATGCATTGTGAGAAGGAGGTGATTCTCAAGTCTTTGCATCTATGAACACAGGATCGAATACCATACACCATACATTGGCTTCTCTACCTGCCTAGTTCTGGAGATGGAGAGGATTGTTCCCAGACCACTTGGGTCTTGCTGTTACCATCTCACGCTCCAGCCCCGAGCATGATCAGGACTTCTCCGGTGTTGGGATGACGTCGCTTTTCTTTTCGATCGGCAAGCTGTCCCAGATCATTGCGTGTAGGTCTCTTGCATAGAGAATCAAAGGGGGAGAAACGCCCACTGATTTAGGGCCTAGATGATCTTTGGAGAATCGAGTTGATCTTCCCAAAGTCACCCGATAGGGGATTGTTGTCATGTAGACTTTTTTTCGCGGATGCGGACTGCATGAGCCAAATCTTCAGGCAATCTCCAGTCACGCTTCCTCAAATACGTGTGACGGGTGTTTACTGCGAGGTATTGGTCGACCATGATGTATCTGAAGCGTAGTTTCGATGAGATCAAAAGAGGAGCAGCATATCTCAGCATGGCAGTATTGAAGGTGGTGCCTTTTTTTCGTTTCGGCCGTGTCCTTGGGTTAAACCCCTTTTCCTCAAATACAGCCATTTCTAGGAAGGTATCGGCTGAAAATCCGACTGGATCAAGACAGCCTCTGTGTACCAAAGGCTATTGAGAAGAAGCCCAGCGAAGACATTTTGAATGGAGAGGCTAACAAAGGAATGTGAGGTCACTGGTGATACCCCGTAACCCAACTCCAAACAAAAAGATATTCTCCCAACCAGAGGCACGGGAATGAAAGGTATCCCCCTTTGTGATATGCTTGTAATAGCGTACGGGTATCGCTTTTCTCTGCTCCCAGCTGGTGATGACGAGCTTTGATTTGTGCCTGCCGGGTGGTTGGGTACCCAGGGTACCTTGAGTTCACCCTCGAGTTTGATATGTTATCATGAACATCTTGTAGGCCCACTTCCATATTTGTGGTGTTGTTTGCCCCTCCGAGATGTCCCTTGCGGGCCCAATTACCCAGTAAACGAATATAAATTGTGTGTCGTTTGCAGCAGGAACCATTGAACCTTGAGCTTGGAGGCATCAATGACGGAATCTGCTCCATCGAAGCTAGGCTATCGACTCTAGTCCCCAGCCATCATGTCTGGGAGAGATTCTGCTTCTTTGGCTCTTGTTTGTGGTCACCAGGCTTCTGTGGCGAGAACAGAACTGGACACCAGTATCCCATACCGGACCGTGTTCCCATAATTGTCCTTCATCTGAGTATATAGGTTGTGCTGCAAACAAGCTTAGATTGTATGGCGGGGGTCCCTAATCTGATAGGAGGTAGGTGCAGGCTTATATAGATTGCATGGCCTGAGTAGAGGAACCAGCTTGATACTGCAGGTGGTACTTCTGATTCCCGCAGCTCGCTTACCAAGCGACTGAGGGCTGCTGCACCTTCTTCTTCAGGCTCGTCGTATCGACGGTGAAGCGCCCGGGCTTTCCGGAAGGCCAAGAGAGGGCTGTGGAGAGAGTCAGCCCGCTGGGGAGTGGGTCGGATTCTCGTCTGACAGGATCCTGGAACATCAGTCTTGATGACGTTGAGATCACGCGGAGGTTATCGGCACAGCTATATTCACAAATTAAAAGCGGCCCTAGTCCTGAAGTAATTCTGGAGAGGGGGATCATACTGGGATATCAAAGATCGACTTGATCGAATGGAAATGGTTGTTGAACATTCTGCGTGGCCACTTGTATGACACTCAGGATTTGGGGCACCTCTCCCTTCCCACTTGATCGTACGTCGGACGTCGATGCAGACCTCAGGGAAGCCAGTGTATGGCTCATGCTCAGTCTTGACCACTTCATTCCCCTTCGACAACGGTGGCAACCCCCATCATATAAAGATGAGGCTGTGTGAGAAAGCTCACAACTCGATTTTGGAGGTGTTAAAGATAACATGACGATCTCTCCGATGAGCACCAGCCTCTCGGTCCAGACCGTAGTTCTCATTGAGGTAGAGATTGTGACGCATTATTTGTGTCCATAGGTGGTCAACTCTGTTTTAATCCGTTTACCTCCTTGAATTTGGGTTTGGAAACCCGTTGTTGCTGATAGCATGCTATAACGCCAAGCCATTTTGTGCGGACCATGTCAACTATCGCAAAGTCAGATTGATTGCCCTGAAACGTGCCAACTATAGGTTAAATGGTTAGCGCAATCGTAAATTTCGCAGAGATTCACCTACAAATGTGGAACGCAGTGGCCCCAAAAGAGTCTGCTCCCTTGAAGGCTGGTGCTTTTTTTTATCGTAGAAACCCGATTTCGAGCATCAGATCGTAAGCAGGGAAGTTTCGAATAAAATGCGTCCAGTCAAGTCTTCTTCGTGCTCTTTTTTGCGACTGAAGGCGGGGCGCCATGACTAGTGTCGTGGCTACCAACTGCAGGATGATGATGGCGTCCAGCTAAGCTGGCTGCATAGTTAACCCCGTCTGTTGGAAGAACGGCTCGAGGCCATGTAGAAGTCATTGTAGAAGTGCTTTCATTTTGACGATGAGGATCTTGTCGCTGGTTCGAACGATATGTCGGTATATAAGATGGGACTTTGGCTTGGGTCGAGCAAGTCTCGCTCGAAAGCTGGGCTATCAATGGAGAAGATGATGTATTCGGTTGATATCATGGGTACCCTGTTGTCGAACGATATCGTTGCTGGCTGAGGAGTGGGATTTCGATGCCGGCTAAAAGGATCTGGGTTCCTGGAATTTCCAACAAAAAAAAAGGAAGACCTTTTCTAGTAGGTTGAGATACCCACGCTTGATAGGAGTATCAAGAGTATGTAGACATCCACTTTTGCGCCCCTCTTGAGTCCACCAAGTACGAGCAAGAATAGTCATGGTGGTTTTATCCAAGCCTTTTCGCCCTGACCAACCTCCAACACAATAGAGGTGAAAAGAGATGGTTAGTCCCCACCGATGAGATGAGTTTGCAAGAGTGAGTTCATTTTGCTCAGCCCACCAGATAGGATGGTGTTGTGAGCCATCAGACAGTTATCTTCTTCATAGTGCTCCTTCAAGAAGCGGATGAGCCAAATCTTCGAGCAATCTCCAGTCATCTCTCCCAGCATTGTTGTAAATGGGTCTGATTTCTGGGGCTCACCACAACGCAGAGGGAAATGGGCGAGGCGTGAAACGAGTCCATTTCGTTGGGAGGTTTCTGAGAAATCCCAGCGTTTCAGAATCGAGATAACCACTCTTTGGTTGCTGTCCAGTAGTTGGACTTTTGGTGAAGATGCTCGTGGACAGCTGCATATGCTACGACAAAACCGGCATTGACCCGAATCGACAAGGTCGAGTGTTAAACAGGAAGAGACAGGGTCGGATGACACGGGGGACAGGGAAGGTAATAGCAGCCCTGGAGATGCCGTTAAATGTCCGGAGGAATTCCAGGGTTTCGAAGAACTCCCACGCCTTAAAGCTTGAGAGCCTGCGAAAGAGGTAGAATATGATAGGATAAAATGTTGGGAGAGAAATAGAAAGAGGGAAAGGGAATAGGAAGGGAAAGGAGGGAAAGGAGGGAAAGGAAAGAAGTGGAAAAGGAAAGCGCAACTTGTGACTGAATTGCCATGATTTATAGAATCTCTCATGGTTTTCCCTTTATAGTATCCCCCATAACTCCTCAAGACAAGCGAACTTTTTGGAATGTTTCTCTTTACATCCTTGTTTGTCTTTCATAAAACTCAAAGAACAATGTGAAATACAAAGATCTGAAGAATTGAAGAATATTGACAGCTATCTCAATGGTCTAATTATAAACATAGTAGAACAAAAAAAAGGCATAAAAAGACATCAAAAAAGACAGACATCGACAACCCAGAAGCAAAGTTCGACAAACACATGTCGAGTAGCCAAGGGTCATAATGTATTGTGCGATAGCAATAGCCATAGCCAGTCTGTGGTCCCATTTCAAATCCATATCCATGTCCATGATATCCATAACGCAAATCCAATGATCAAATCCTATAACATAAACACCCCAAGACCCTAGGAGCTGAACAGAAAATCAACTCCTTGGGCTAGAGGAAGATAGGTTGGTCACAAAGAGAAACAGAAAAGCAAAAAAAAGGGAAGAGAATCGAAGAGAATCGAAAAGGAGCCAGCCTTTGCCCTGTAGAATGATACATGTTGTACATCGGAGCAATATTCCCATCAGACAACCCAATTATCGACGTCTATTGGCAAGGTGCCGGATAGATACGAGGATTGAGAGCAATGGGGTGAAACATTATTAGGGAATATCTTGAGAAGAATAACAGTAACAAAGAAAGTAACATGAAATACTGTGTGGATGTAAACGGGAAGCAAGAGTAGAAGGATCATAGGAAACGGGGCATATTCATTCGTTGCTTGTTCGAATAACTCATGACCGTTTTGGTTTCTTTTTGTTTTTGTCCCAAGTTCCCCTTTTCTTTCTAGTCCGAAGAAGTTCAGCTTTTATGCATGTGCCTTAGGACCAAAAGTCCACAGATACAAGAATCATAGGAACCCAGATCAAAGATAAAGGGGCCACATGGAATTAAGACCCCGGCACGATGTGACCAGCAACAACCGTGCTTGTGGAAAAACACCCCAACCGAAGACTCATCTCAAAGCCTAATGAACTCAAGACGTCATGTCAACCGGCAGGAGAAAGAAGCCAATCTAGTACTAATACAAGGGATTCTTGACATCCTGGACTCCACGTCGGATGACATCCTCGACGCGCCAGCGGGGAGGGGAAATATTGTCCGAGCGCTTGCGGTGCCATTCCTTCTCCAGCTCTGGTGGAGGAGCTGGCAGTTCGGCAGCAGGCAGCGCACCACCCGCGATGCCAGTTGAGAATTTCAACTGGAGGACGTTGCCAATTTCATCGCAAGCGGTCAGCACACGGTCAAGATCGTCCTTGGTATGCGCAGCAGAGACACAGAAACGAGCACGGGACGATACCAGTGGGGTGGCCGGGTAACCAACAACCACGACGGAGATCTTTCGACGGAGCATCTCGTGCGAGAATGCAGGCATCTTGGCCGGGTTAAAGAGAAGGAGTGGAATGATTGGTGAATCATCGTGACCATACACTATAAAGCCAAGACGCTTCAAACCGAGACGGAGGTATCGGGAATTGAAAGCCAATCGCTGCAATCGCTCCTCACCCTGACCGGGAACGAGCTCACCGCTAATGATGCGCAGAGCGGAGGAGATCTGGGAAAGCACTGCAGGCGCGGGAGACTCTCCGTAGTAGACACCGGGGTTGGTGGCACGAAGTTGATCGATCATCACCTTGTCTGCCGCAATGTAGCCACCGTTGGCACCGAATGACTTTGTAAGTGTACCCATCAGGATATCGACCTCGGAGGTGTCGATACTGAAGTAATCGCAAACACCACGTCCCCTGGGACCAATGGCTCCAATGGAGTGGGCCTCATCGACGAACAGGTTGAACTTGTACCGGCGCTTCAACTGCACAAGACCAGGAAGGTTGCACATGGAACCTTCCATCGAGTAGAGTCCCTCGACCACAACCAGAATCTTCTTCCAGGGACGGTGAGTGCGGGGTTGCCCCTGAGAGATGGCCTCTCGAAGTCTAGACTCGAGGTCCTTCATGTCATTGTGCTTGAACATAGCGATGGAGGCGCCAGAGAGACGAGCACCGAAACGGATAGAGGCGTGGTTCAGTTCATCGGAGATCAGGAGACATCCCTTCGAGACTAAGGCGGGGAAGATGGTTGCGTTGGTGCCGAAGCCCATGGAGAAAATCATCGACGATTCTTTGCCCACAAACCTGGCAACCAGTTCCTCTACTTCGACGTGCATATCCTGTGTGCCGGACTCCGCACGGGTGCTGGGTGCTGCAATGCCATACTTCTTGATGGATTCTTCTGCAAGATCGGCACAAGGGCCATCCGACTGAGCGAAGCCCAGGTAGTTGTACGAGCTCAGATTGAGGGTGTCGGTCGTAGTACCCGTCAGGAAAAAGTGCTGGTTGTGATCATCCGTGCCCCGATCGATAAGAGTAATGGTGCGGCCGGGAACACCAGTCACGGGGCGCTCGAAGCAATCGTTGATACGCAATTTCAAACGACGCACATAGAAGTTGTCGAAATCGCTGTTGAGAGCACCATAGCCATTGCGAGGCTTGAGATGGCGGTAGTGTTCCTCGCGGAATCGCTTGCCAAAGAAATCACGAACATGCCCGAAAGCGATTAGGATTAGATAACTGATATAGGTGGTGAGCAGGTAATAATACGGCGGCTCGTCCATCACCGGCTCCGGGAAGACACCACCAGGGTGTTGACTAGAGTATCGGTGGCTGGGATGACCGATCGGACCAAATTGGGCATGTTGCTTGGCCAGCCGACGAGCCTCCTCCGGGGTCGGAGGCTGGAAGAGTGTTGTAGGCAGCTCGTCCATGTTGGGGTTATCCGCAGTGGCTGTTGACAGAGAGATCGTCGGTAGGGACAGTGAGGCCAAACTTATCGGCGGAGAATTGTTAGGTTGAGAATGCCCACTCTGTACAGTTTCCGTCTTGGACTTTGGCGAGGACGAGAATAACTGAGAAAGACGATTGGACTTGACCGTGGGGGCCTTGATGGAGATACCGCCCTTTCCCGAAGAAGGTGAAAAGGACGGCGGGTTGGTAGAGGTGTCGTTCGA